AGACCTATAGTACTGACTGCAATACAGACCTTCAGTACAGACCTTCAATACTGACCTTCAGTACAGACCTACAGTACTGACTGCAATACAGACCTTCAATACTGACCTTCAGTACAAACCTTCAGTATTGATTGCAATATAGACCTTTAATACAGACCTATAATACAGACCTTTAGTACTAACTGCAATACAGACATATAGTATTGACCTTCAATATTGACCTTTAGTACTAACTGTAATACAGACCTTTAGTACTAACTGTAATATAGATATACAGTACTAACCTTTAATATTAACCTTTAGTATAGACCTTTAATATAGACCTTTAATATAGACCTATAGTATTAATTGCAATACAGACCTTTAATACTGACCTTTAGTATAGACCTTTAGTACTGATTGCAATATAGACCTTTAATATAGACCTATAGTACTGATTGCAATATAGACCTTTAATATTGACCTTTAGTATAGACCTTTAGTACTGATTGAAATATAGACCTTTAGTATAGACCTTTAATATAGACCCTTAATATAGACCTTCAGTACTGATTATAATATAAACCTTTAATATTGACCTTCAATATAGACCTTTAATATTAATTGCAATATAGACCTTTAATACAGACCTATAATATAAACCTTCAATATTAACCTTTAGTACTAATTATAATATAGACCTTTAATATAGACCTATAATATAAACCTACAATATAAACCTTTAATACTAACTATAATATAAACCTTTAATATTAACCTTTAATATAAACCTATAGTATTAATTATAATATAAACCTTTAATATAGACCTTTAATATAGACCTATAGTATTAATTATAATATAGACCTTTAATATTGACTTTTAATATAGACCTTTAATACTGATTGCAATATAGACTTTTAATATAGACCTTTAATATTAACCTTTAATATAAACCTATAGTATTAACTGCAATATAAACCTTTAATATAGACCTTTAATATAAACCTATAGTATTAACTGTAATATAAACCTTTAATATTAACCTTTAATATAGACCTTTAATATTAACTACAATATAGACCTTTAATATAGACCTTTAATATAGACCTTTAATATAGACCTTTAATATAGACCTTTAGTACTGATTGCAATATAGACCTTTAATATAGACTTACAATATAAACCTATAGTATTAGCTATAATATAAACCTATATAGCTAAAAGCTATAACTTAAATAGTTATAAAGCTTAATATAAACTATATATTATTTATATAACCTTTAAAATAGGTATTTAAATAATTATTTATATTTTTAAAACTTTACTTTATATCCTTTATTATATTTGGATTCCTTAGGTAAAGTTGGAAAATAGGTTTTACCCCGCACTTGACCTGATTTTTTATTTTCGCACTTTGTGGTAGTGGCCCACCCTAGACCATCTATCCCCTGCTTAAATTTAGAGTGCACCATATTAGGAAAGCGTGAAGGTTAGTATAGGTTAGCTATAACACACGATCTGCAAGAGCTTCGCAAAGGTCCCACGACAACATAGTATGCCTGAGAGTAATATAGGGTCACGAAACAAGGAGCATGCTCGCTTCTTCAGCTCATTAGTGCACGAGTCATTGATATCAAGTGAAGTTCTAAATACCATCAAGCACAAGTTATAAATATGGCCAGCAATGCTCATCCAACACTGCTTCTCAACTTGCTTCATCATCAGCATCGCAAAGTACTCTTTTCCTTTTGAAACTCAAGTGAATATCCCATTCTCCTACTTTCAATAGACCAAATTCATCATGACTACCTACCTTATCACCCAGGCCACTGGCCAACAAGCTCAGTGGACTATCAAGCACCTCCTTGATGCAGGAGCCAAGGTCCACGCAGTTGTGCGAGACCCTGCGAAGATTCCCGATATCCTAAAGCGTCCGGGTGTGACCATCTTCAAAGGAGAGAGCGTCAATTTTGACGACGTTTTCCAGGCAGCGCAAGGTTGCAAGGCAGCTTACTTGAACACTTTCCCCATCCCTGGCTTGGAAGCTCAGCAAGCCAAAACCATCGTTGAGGCCGCCAGGAAAGCAGGGATCAAGAGCATAGTTGCTTGTACGACTATGTGTACCGGGAATAAGGAGCTTTGGGATGATGATTACACAGAGGGGTGCAATCTACGCAATTATTGGCGGTCCAAGGCCGCAGTTGAGGATATCGTGCGCGGTGCCGGTTTTGAAGCCTGGACTATCCTACGCCCGGCATTCATTCATGTCGACTACTTGACACCATCGTGCTACGGAAACTTCCCGGAGCTCACGAATGGTGTACTCACTCATCTATTCGACGATGGCTTCGGCATGGCTCAGACTGACGCCAATGATATCGGGAGATACGCAGCTGCGGCCTTGCAGGATCCGGTGAAATTCGGAGGCCACGCGATCGAACTTGCCAACGAATACTTGACCATCGAGGAAGTTTGCGACCTCCTAGTGAAGGTCAGCGGCAGAGATGTCAAGACGAGGAAGCTCGCCCCAGAAGAAGAGCCTGTCATGGGCCAGTTTTTTCAGAAGTGGTCGAACGCTAGGGATTACAGCTCTGTTCTTGCAGCTACGAAGGAGGCACAGGCGAAATTCGGTATCCCCTTGACCTCGCTTGAGAATGCTCTCCAGAGGGATAAGGCTCGTCTTTTGGACACCCTTCCAGTCAAGAACTAGGAGTATATATCCCTACCATATTGAGCTCCTAATGTCTTAAGGATAGGATTATTCAAGTTTTAGATAGATTTCGTGTTTTGATGTAGGAATTAAGGCCGATACTGAATAGTACTATGCGCAATTAATCACGTGTCAACATGTATGACAATCTTTATCATGCGAATAAACCAGTAGATCTTCCAAGGTAGGTTTAGTACAGGAGACATCAGATTTCCGTCGCTCACTAGCTGTACTTGTCCCCAGCGTTCTTTTATGCTTGCTAGTTCATAAGAAAATGGCGATTTAGTGGTAGTGTATAACAAGGACAGAGGTCTGAGCTTGGGACTGTTGGTTACTGCAATATTAGGAACTCAGTACGAGAGCGTCTGCTGACTCATTGTGGCGTCGAGCCTAAGCAATATACATAATGATCGACTAGGGCTGCAAAGGCCCTTAGCTAACCAATTCCTTCCTGACCTTGATGGCTGACTTAAATTCTAATTATGCACAATTGGACCGCTAGTCCCCCCTGCCTAGATCTTATTGATCTGTTTCATGAAGCGAAGTCTGTAAGACCTCATTTTCAATATAATTACATGTCTCTTGAAGACCACGAATGGTCTGCATTACACCCGTAGCCGTAGGCGAACTGCATGTTCAGCTGTACGTGTGGGTAACATAGTGTGACCGGAATTTGAACAAATATAAGTATATCGAGGGCATGATCAGGTTTAGCCTAGAAACAACTAGACCATACCAACTGTAGTTAGATCAAATTGCTCGCTAATCTAAATGAAGATGCAAAACCTTCCATTGATGCGAGACTCACGATGTTGAGAACCCTAGAGGTGAACCAAATTATCACCCTAATGTTCAGAGACAAAATATAGCCAAGGCACAAGAATTAGCAAACAAGCTGCTCTAGTAATTGGATATAAGTCAGTATCCATAATAGAAGCGAGAATTCGAGTGGGATTTCGTTAGGGGTTTGGGGCCAAGTCTGAGCACAGTACCAACTTGTTTCAGAGGCAGAAAGAATCCTAAGAAGCTCTATCTATATATCCGTCTAGTTTCATCATAATGGCGGGCCACCAATACAGATGGGATTGCACAGCCAAAGTGCGCTGTTAGAACGCTGAGAGCCTACTGACATGGGCGGCACCAAACTTCAGCCACTCCCCGGCATAGGGTATACACGTCGTAGCATATTCCATAAATTATAACTCTAAGTTTACACCAATCTTTCTGTTATGCGTGATCCGATTCACGATTTATTTTGCTTTCCATTTAATACCCGTTTCTTTAAGGGATGATAATTAATCACTATTGTGGTTTAAAAGGGCATATTGCAATTAAAATATAGATATATATAGAATAAGAAGTCTTATAGTCGATCGGTATTATTTGTATTTATCCAAAATATTTAAAAACGAAAAGAACAAAATAGCGCCTGTTGGCGTTATTATTCTCACAGTAATTAATCTATGTAATGAAGGCCACTGGTCAAGATATTTGCGTATTGATCTACAGTCGATGAGTCTCAGGAGTTCACATCAATACGCGAGATGATATAGATAGTATGCAGCTGTAACCTGTTATTACGGTTTTCTTAATTTGATTTAGAGGTAAGATAAAAGATACCTACTATAATGTTGGCTCAGCTCCGTCATCAATGGCACAATCTGCCGTCATTGTACAACATTCTTCTCGTGGTACTCTTCTTTGACCTACAACTTCCTCATGCGCAAAATATGTTCCCTTGCACAACGTTACGCGAGATCCATCCACTCAAGACTTGCCAATTGGCTCCAAATATCTGTGGCTACTAGTAATGGAGGAACATGCTGGTATCATGAACTCCTGCTATACTCCACAATCCTTCTCTACCATTCACAATACACGCCTACCAATCATCTTCCGTGCAATTTCTTGTAGTGGATCTTAGACAAGTATCAACCCATCTACCCTGCTCGACTATGATACCCACGACCCTCGGTGAGGACAGAGACCTTCAGGACGGCATAAGAAGGGCCGATAACATGACTTGGAATTGAAACTATCCCCGAGAAATATTCTTCCAGGGGTGCAAGGGCTCTTGATAATCATTTGAATCCGTTTCTTCGAATATTGTTGGTTAGCCTTGACTCTATACACAATGGGCCCGGCCGTTACTAACCTCCGAGTCCGTCAATATGTCTCATAGAAGCGAGGTCTGTAAAACCTCACTTTGATTCCCGTAGGCATGTCTCGTTATAGTGGCTTTGCAAGGGATGTACTCGTTCCAGAAGGCGACCTGCATGTTCGGCCGTAAATGTGTGTGACATATTGTATCCATTCACGGCGGCCATGAAAATCCAGCATGATGGTACTACAAAACACGGGATTGTGGATACCTAGCCTTCGTAATGGACTCACATGACGATTGTGAGTTGGTTACTAAGCTACTAGGCTGCTACAATCATCATGCCCTATTTATTCATATATTCTAGCCTTGCTTCTAATTTACTTTTGCTGCTCTTGGATGGTAAGACCGCGTAGCCAGAGGGTATTAAGAAATTATCATACTCTTCATACTCGCCAAACTCGCTAGCTATCCCTCCCAGCTCATACTATCAACCTTGGACACCTAATGGCCACGTTATTATGGGACCCCCTTCATTTCCATCAGCCTCGTCGGCCTCTTCGGCCTCGACAAACCTTAGAGCACGTACCACCTCCATCTCCCCGACTACCTCTATCTCTTTCGACTGTTCGATTTTGTCCCCCAAACCTAGAATTATCTCGCTTGAAGACCCAATCTCGGATTTCATATGAATCTAGCATTCCAAAACTTCGAGAAGATCATGAGCGGAACCAATCGAGTTTTCTTCTTCGCTTTCCCGCAGAAGTAAGAAGTCCATATCGTCATGCAACTACAAAAACTAACGATGATATTATTAGATACGTAACGATATCATGGAGTATTCTGTCACGCTGGATCATTATGTTAATCCCATACCAGTCCATGGTCATCTATCCGTCAATAAATTTGTATGGGGTGGATCTGAGTTGCGCAAAGGTATACTGGATGGACGCCGAGTCGGAATTCTTTTTCCTACTGACGGTCCACTGGCTGTTGTCTCGCTTCAGCTCGCATGTAGACAATTGTATCATGAACTAGATGGTGTATTCTATAGAGTCAACACCTTCCTATTTCGGGACGCTAAATGGTGCGAGCGATATTTAGCTGCTATCACTGCCGAGAAACGACTTCAGATTCGCCATGTAGGCATCGATTTCTCCCAGATCGACCTCTTCAATGGACCCATCATAGACTACATCGAATTCCCCCTAGGTTTTCTTCCAAAGAGCCTGCTGGCAATTTGCCCTCTTCTCGAACGATTCATCATTCTTCTCGGGAACTGCCCTCCACCACACATCTACAGGCCATATATTAACCGTAGCCGGCTGACAGATAGAGGTCTTCCGCCTGCCTACACTTCTTTTAGCTACGAACACCACATGGTCCGCTGGCAGCACTGCGATCGATACCTTGCACAGACCTTGTGTCTAACTTCTCGATTCGTGTCGTCTATCGGGCATCTTTTTGCGACTGGAAGGCTGAAGAATTCGCCTCTAGCGATTCCACAACTCGAATTCGTTGTTTCTGGGTCTTCATCTGTAACCGCACGAGTGAACGGCCAAGTGGGCCACAGGTCGAATTCAAGCAGCTTCAATATTCATAGACAAAACCTGGAAGCTAATCTAGCTTGGGCAAATCAGAAAATGTGGGAGTTTAAAAAGCGACTGCGAGAGACACCAGCTGAAAGGGTCGTGAATCACAGCAAGGATATAAATAGTCTCACGTGGACCGACTCGAATCGAATACAACTAGGTCCAATTCCCAACGTTGCTAGATTCCGGCCAGCTCCCAAATTATCCGAGGATGGAACGAAAAGCAGTTTTTTATACGATGCGAGTGGGCTCATAGTGTGGAGTAAAAGTTCACTAGAGTATATTAGGGATATTTTATGGCTGGAAAACGAAATCATGTGTTGCCTGGTGAATAATCCTCCCAACCATGACAAGCCTAGCTTCGAGCCCATCTGGCGGTTTGCGAGTCCGAATGGTGTCAGAAAACTCGTTCAGTATTATTTTCGCCCTCGTCCTCGCCAGACTCAGCCGAACATTAGTCAATGGGAAGTATTAATGTTCGATATCCTGAAAGGGTATCCCTCGCCGAGGGATATCGACAGAGTGCTCAAAGCCACGGGAAGGTTAGGTAATAGTGAGGCATCCAACAACGTGTATGAGTCTTGGGAGCAGCTAGTCGCCAGTCAAGATCGTTGTATGCAGGTGTTCAAGCAACGACTTGCACAATCTGAAGTGGCGTCAGGACTTTTGGATATTGAGGTATGATGCACGTTTGCCCCTCCACGCTAAGATCTCTGAAATTTTACGTATTACAATTTGTTGTTGCCAACCTCTGGCCATCATGATAAATGTCTTCCCCACCATCACTCTAATGATTAGTCGTCCCCTTTCAATGGTTAATTATTTCTTTTGTTAAGGTTGGAGGGACGGTCGTTATTGCTTAGTAGTAGTTTATCTATAGTTTAGGGGTGTTTCGGGTTTACCCAAAGTTTACCCAAATTTGTCATTCGATTAAAGCTTTCCCGACGCTAGATACCTTCCTAGCAATTAGAACAATTTGCTAAACGCGACAAGTTTTGGTATGCTACCACTAGAAGATGCAGAATTAATCGACATATATAGTAAACTCTTAGGCCCTGTTTTTCATCTACTCAGACACCTTTACAATACAAACAACAGCCTTTCACATTCACGCAAAACTATGCAGGATCGTCAGCTCTCAGGAGTTACAATTTCACAGGCAATCCGTAAGCATAGTCCCCGTGAAGATGGTCACCAGACTGTGCTCGCTGCCAGGGCCCAGTAAATTCCCCTGTCCGTGGGGTCTTCCCCGCAACAAGTTTGGAGGTGTTCATGTGGCCCATGGTGACAACGTTCCAAAAACAAGGAACGCTGAAGCGACTCACAAGACCACCATGGTGAAAGGCACCAAGGCAAGAATTTCGTGACGATAGTTTCAATGCTCAACTGGGATTGATGCTAATTAAATTTCCCAACACCACCTGCCTAGAATAGGTCGAAGACTATGCATGTGCCTGTCAGTGACCCTGTACTTGGGATGAGCATGACGCTCGTCGCTGCGCAAAGCGCTCCAAGTGTTTTCATGCATTAGGTCTGGGCGATAATCGAGTGTCACTTCTGTGATGAATAACCGGCCATAGCTGAATCCAACAATAAGCATCTGACAGTCCTGTCTGAGACAAAACAGAGTAAAAAAGAACAATCCTTGTGGCTTATGCGCTACCACTGCCAATTTGTGGTGGGTATGTGACGGAGAAGGCATCGGCCTGCTAGGTGCCGATACCAAGCTTTTTAGAAGCCAGCTGGGCAAATCTTATTCGCCCAGGCTACTAGAGCCGATTTGCGCAAGAGCTCTCGGCTCTCCACGTTGCGGATAGCGGATACAAGTTCGCTCCGTGTCAGTTGAAATAGTACAGTGTGAGTAATACTGTAGGTGAGGAAATACTGTATATTGCACTGAGGAACTAAGTCTGGGTACTATAGGTTAGGGTGGTACATTTGTTTATATAGTAAAGTGTATGTGGGTCGAAGTATTAGCTATTAGGATTATTTATCCTTACCTTTCTAATTTTAATACTTCTACTTGAACTATACACACTTTTAAGGCTATTATAAACCTTATTTTATAACTGTTCTTTATTATATATAGAATTATATATAGTTTTTAAAGCGTATATCTTTCTTTCCTTAATAGGGTAGGTTTTTAAGTTTAATCTATTTAGATAGTTTTAATAGTATTTTTGGAAGATATTTATTTTTACTTCCCTTATTTAAGTTTATATTATATTAGACCTTTATTATAGTTATTTTTTGTTTAGTTTTAAAGTATTTAATAAATATTTATTATTTTTTAAAGAGTATCCTTTTTTATTGTTTTAATTTAAATAAAGCGAATAATAAATTATAATTTTAAATTAGGATATATTTTCCTTTTACTTCTTTTAATTTAATAATAATAATAAAAAAGATATACTATTATTTATTTACCTATTAATTTCCTATAATAGGTTTATTTAAAATATTAAATATTGCAATTTTAAAGTTGCTTTTATTAATATTTAATACTTTTATAAAGTGTTTAAAGGTATTTTTGCTATTTATATTTAATATATAATTAAATTAATTTATTTAATTTTATTTATTATAAAAGGAAATAATTTATAGGTAAATATATAATAGTTTTCTTTACTTTTAATAAAGTTTAAGGTAATTTAATATTAAAGGTAGTTTTTTTTATAGTTAAAATTATTATAAAAATATTTTAATATTTATTTTAAATGTTTTTAAATTTGATAGTAAATTTTTAAAATTTATTAGAAATTTAAATAATTTAGGTAAAGGTAAGTTTAACAATTTAGGTAAGCTTAATAATTATAATTACAATTAAGGTAGCTTTAATAGTTTTTATAATTATATTATTAATATTTTTAAGGATTTTAATATATTTAAATATATAGATAAAATTATTAAATATGTTTTTTTTATAATTTTTATCTTTATATATTTTCTTTAAAGTAAAGGCTTTAATATTAGTTATTTTACCCCTTTAAGGCATTTTTTTATAGGGTAACCTATTTAATTACTTTATAGGTAATAATATTAATTATTTTTATTATTTTTAATATTAATTAATTTATAAATAGGTAGAAAGTTTAATAATATTAACGTTTGGAATATAAATTAATTAAATATTAGTTAATAAGGTATTAAAATATTTTAAGTTTTTTAAAATAAAATACTTTAAAGGATAAAAGTTTTATTAAAATTAAATATATAAGTTTTAAAAAAGGTATATATTTTATAAAGTTAAGGTTAAAGGTATTTATCTTTAAATTTATTTTATTTTAGCTTTTTTTAATATATATAGCTAAAGTTTTAATTTATTATAGGATTTTTAATTAATAAGGGGTAAAATTTAATAATTTTTTTATTTGCTTTATAATTAAAGATTTAATATGTTTTAAAAAGTAATAAATTTATTCCTTAAAAGTAGTTTAATTAAATTGTTAGCTATTTATTTAAATATATAGATTTATTAAAATTCGATGTTTTTTTTTTAAAAAGTTTTCCTATAAAAGGTTTATTAAATAGGAATATATTTTATTTTATTATAAAATTAAAGGTTTTTTACTATAGCTATAATCTTTTAATTATTTTTATAAATAATAATAATTATTATTTATTTTTTATAAATATTTAGCTTTAAAAATAAATATTTTAATTATATTATTTCCTTTATAATTTATATTTAACTTATTAATTTTAATTTATAGGAAAATAATATTATGCTTTATTACTTTTTTAAGCTTTAATTAATTATACTGCTATTAATATTAAAGATATACCTTATAATTAATTATTTAATTTATATATATTTAGCTTAATTAATATTAATTTAATTTATTAAATTTTATAGTTTGCTTTAATAATATAATTTATAATTAATTATATTATAAAGGTATTATAGGATTTATTAAGCAGCTTTATTATATATTAAGGTAAGATTTTTTATATATTTATTTAAATATAAAATAATATATATTATATTAAGTTAAATATTAAGTATAATATATATTAGGTAATTAATAGCTTTTATATATTATTATATATTTTCCTTTAATACTTTATAATTATTTATTAATTTAGGAATTTTATTAATGTTTATAAATATAATAATAGTATATACTTTTTATTAATTTAATTTTTTAATAATTTTTTTTAGGTAAGCCTTTTAATTTAATTCGATGCTTTTATTTTTCCTATTCCGGATAATAGCTATATTTAAATAAAATAAATATAGTTTTAAGTTTTACATTTTAAATTTATTAAATAAAGCTTTTTTAATTTTAATAATTTCTTCCTTTAAAAAGTTAATTATTAATAAATTATTAATATAAATAATAATATAAATATATCCTTTTATAAAAATATTAATATTGGAATTTAATAATTTAAAATTAAAGGTTTTTAAAAATATAGTTAAGGTTTAATATTATATTTAAAGTATTTATTTTAAATTATATAATGCTTTATTTAATTTATAAATTTTATTAGTTTTATTTTTAAATTTAAGCAATTATTAAATATAAATATCTTTTTTTACTTTATTATAAAGGAAGGCTATTTTTATATTTATTTATTCGATTTTTAAGTTAAGGGTTATAATAATAGTAAAGATAGCTTTATAATTTATTAGTTTTATTATTAATATAAACGTTTTATTGTAGTTTTCTTTAAATATTTGTTTAAAGCTTTATATAATTTATTATGCTTTATATTTAATGATTTTACTATTTGGGCCCCGTTTGATTTTATATACCCATTTTTTACTTATTAAGGATCTTTTAATAAATAGTTTATAAAGTTTTTAGGTTTAATTATTAATTAAGGATTAGTATTTTGCTTTTATAGCTTTATATTATTTAAATTATTTAATATTTTCTTTTATTTATTTATAGCTTTTTAGTTTTATTTTTGTTATTAAAAAGATAAACGATAGAGCTATAATGGTAAGCTTAAAGGAAGGTAATAAGGCTTGTAGGCTATAGTAAAATTGATTAAGAGTTTGTATTTAAGGTTATAAATTATAATAGTTACTTTTTTTAATTAGACTTTTTAGTTTAAGGTTTAATAGTTTAAAGTATAATATAAAAAGGCATTATTTTTTATTTTTTATAGATTTATTTTTTAATTTAAAATTTAATAATACTTTAGTATATATTAGTAATATATAGATATTTAAAGGTTAAGTTAAAAATAGATTAAAAAGAAGTTCCTTTACTTTTTTTTTAGCTATTTTCCGTTTTTTTTAACGATTTAATAATAATAATATTTTTTACCTTTTCTTTACTTTTTTAATTATAGTTATAATAATCCTTTTAATATTTTTTATTAAAATATATAAGTGTTTTTTTATAAAGATTATATTATAGGCATTTATAATTAAATAATTATTTAAATAGAAGACTTTTTTAATTATAGTACTTTTTCCTTTATATTTTAATATAAAGTAGTTTATTATTTTATTTTTAAGTATACTTTGTTTTATTTATAGCTTATATTTATTTTTTACTTTAAAGGTTATTATTTTATATATATTGGGTTTTTTTTTATATTAGTTCTTATAAGGTATTATATTTAATTTTTTAAATTTCCTTTTATTCCGGATAAAGGTTATAGTTTTAATAAAGATAGGTTAATATTTTAAAAGTATTTCCTTTTTTTTAATAATAATTAATAATAATTTTATTAAGTTCTTTAAAGTATATATAGTTTATTTAGATTTTTTATTTTATTAATATTAATTTATTGCTATATAATAAATAATAATACCTTTTAACGTATAATAATTAATAAAATTTTCGTTTATATAAAAGTTTAATTTATTTAAGGTAATTATTTTATATTTTTTTTAAGTTTTTTTTACTTTTATAAAAAGTTTTTAAATTTTATAAATTAATTATTTAATTTAAATAATATTAAGGTTTAAATTATTTCTATAAAGTTATAGGTAATAGTTAGCTATTTTATTAAACTATTATAGCTTTATAATATATTTATTAATATATTAGCTTTATTAAAATAAAATAATTTAATAAGGTAAGTTTTTTTAAATAGCTTTTTTTAATAAGGTAAAGCTTATATTTTATTATTCATATAAGCTTTATAAAGGTAGTATTTAGTTTAAGGAATAAATCCTTTTATTATTTTTATTAATTTTTTAATTTTTTTATTATTTATATATTTAAGTTATTTATATTATACTTTTAAGGTAGGATTAATAGAATATATATAAAAAATAATATTAAAAGTAGCTATTTAAAGGTTTTTATTTAATTAATCGATTATATATAGTTTTTTAAATTCCTTTATAGTTATAAAAGTATATTTTTTTATTATTACTTATGCTTTATTTTAATGGAATAGAAATTTAGCTTCCTTTTTTATTAATTAAGCAATGGAAATTAAATTAATATTTGTTTTAAAATAATAAATAATATTATAAATAATAATTATTTTAATTTATTTATTAACAATTATAGGAAACTTTATAGTTTTTATCTATTTAGGGGTTATTATTATACCTTTTATATTATAAATAGGTAGTTTATTATAAGGATAAATTTTTATAAATAATATTCTATTATTAAAGTTTATTTAACGCATCTCCCACTTGACCTGGCCACCCAATTGAGCTGGCCACCCCCTTAACCTATATAAAAATCCAAAGTTTCAATTTGGAATAACTTTACGAATACTAACCGTACGATTTAATAATTAGTACCTTTAAATCCGTTAGTTAAAGGGGAATCCAATGGTATTTTTTACTATTTTTTATGAAATTTATTAAGCAAGATATTAAGCAATGCGCTAAAGGGGCGCTAAGCAAGGATTAATTTAGCGCTTACTTTAGCGTATTGCTTAATAACTCAGCGGATATAAGTCTTATAAACTAATGAAGGGTACCGTTAAATAGCTCTCTTTATTACGAATCCAATGGTATATTTTATTATTTTATAAAATTAAGATTCGTAGAGTTATTAAATTATCACGTGATTAGCGCACCGACGTTATTTGTATGGGCTAGGGGGGTGGCCAGGTCAATTGGGTGGCCAGGTCAAGTGGGAGATGCGTTAATTATAATTATTATTAAAAATAATGTAGCTAAATATTTACTTTATAAGTTTTTTTACTTTTAACTTTAGTAGATTTAAAAAGCTAACTTTTAATAAAGCTTTTTTAAAATTTAATTTTAAAGGGATTATTATTATTAACATTTAAAGTATAATATTAGTTAATATTAATATTTCTTTAAGTTAATTACCTTTAGGTTAATTTTTTTTAAGTTAGGTTTATTTAAGGTATAATTTTATTATTTATTTAAAATTGTTAAATATTTAACTTAAGATATTTAACTTTTAGCTTAATAATTTTTTTTATTAATTTTATATTATTTTTAATAGTAAGAAATGTTAAATTTAAGGGTTAAATTAGTAGTGATGAATTAATTATAATAAATATAATAATATTAATATTATTATTAATAGTTAGGTTATTATTATTATTATTATTTTTATTTAGTTTAAGTTTTTTATTTCTTTTATTATTATTTTATTATTTTAAAGCTTTTTTTAAATATTTAAAGAAGTATTTATTATTATTATAATTAATATTCTTTTTATTAATAGTAATATAATAATAATATTTTACTTTAAATACCTTTTACTTCTTTTAATAATTATTTTAGTTATTCCCTTTAACGCATCTCCCACTTGACCTGGCCACCCAATTAACCTGGCCACCCAATTAACCTGGCCACCCCCCTAGCCCATACAAAAAACGTCGGTACGCTAATCACGTAATAATTTAATAACTCTACGAACTTTAATCGTATAAAATAATAAAATATACCATTAGATTCGTAATAAAGAGAGCTATTTAACGGTACCCTCCACTAAATTCTAAGATTTATATTCGCGGAGTTATTAAGCAATACACTAAAGTAAACGCTAAAATAATCCTTACTTAGCGCTACTTTAGCGTATTGCTTAATATTTCGCTTAATAAATTTTATAAAAAATAGTAAAAAATACCTTTGGATTCCCCTTTAACTAACGGATTTAACGGTACTAATTATTAAATCGTACGATTAATACTTATAAAGTTATTGGAGATTAAAATAATGGGGTTTTATATAGATTATTGGGGTGGCCAGGTCAATTGGGTGGCCAGGTTAAGTGGGAGATGCGTTATTATTATTTTTATTTTAATTATATTATTAAAAAAGAAGGGAAGTATTAGTGGAATTTTAAATAGCTATCTTTTTTATTTATTCTTTTTATAATACTTTTATTAGGGCTAATTAAAAGGTAATTCCTTTTATTATCTTTTTATTTAATACCTTTTAAATAATAATAATATAGTTTGTTTAAAGGAAAGTAGAGATAAATGTTAAATATTTATTATTAAAGTTAGATAAAAACCTTATAAGGAGAAATAGCTTATTTAAAGTATAAGTTTTTATATTTAATTTTTTAAGATCTGATTGTATTAACCTTAATTTAGTTGTAAAGGTTAAAATTAATCCTTTTATAGCTAATGAAGTAATTTGCTATTTATTTAATAGGTTTTAAAAAGTTAAATTGCTGGTTAGCTTAAATTTCTTTTCGATTAAATTTTAAATATTTACTATAGTAATCTTTAAGCTTATATTCTTTTTCTATGTTTTATAATTTAAGATAACTTTAAGTACGTTTTTTTTATAGTAGTTTTAAATATAGCTTAATATTTTTTACTATATAACCTTTTAATTTATTTGGGCTTTATATAAAGTAGTTTTAGTTAATATATTTTTAATTTTAATAGGTTATTTTTTTTAGCTTTTTTAAGTAAATAATTAGTATATTTTATTATATAAATGTAGTTAATTATTTCTTTTTTAAATTTAAAGTATTTGGATAAGGATTTAAACATTATAATTTAGTTAAGGGATAAGGAGCTAGTTTTAATTTCTTTATTTATTTTGATTTATTTTAAAGATTGGATAATATAAAGTATTATTATTTAAGGTATTATTTTTTAAAGTAAATAGATTTAATATAAATTTATTAAAATTATTATTATTTAAAATATTAATATATTTAAATATTGCTTATTTTAAAAATAATAAAGATATTTTTAATAATGGGGACCTAATAATAACTTTTAATTTAAATAGGTTAATTTTATTAATATTATTAAATATAGAAATTAATAATACTTTTTTAAGTAAAGGGGATAATAGGAATTATAGTAGTAAAGTAAGTAATAGTAGTATTTATAGTTAATAATTATAATTAATAAGGTTTTTGTAAAAGAGTTTTAATCGTTATTCATTTTTAAGTTTTTATATAAGGAAGGGAAAATTCTTTTTATTTAAAAAACGGTAATAAATAGGTGGGATAAGTAGTTAAGTTTTAAGGTTATATTTAATTATAGATTTTTAGATTTTTATAAACGAATTTAACTTAGCTTTTAAATGTTAATTTATTTTAAATCCTAAAGTTAATATTATCTTTTTATTATTTTAATTATTTTTAATCTATTTAATTTCCGGTTATTAGGGTAATAAATAATATTTTAATTTCTTTTTAATGGTTTATGCTTTTATAATATATTATTTATTACTTTAAAGCGTTTTTTTTAATAATAAAATAATAATAGCTATTGATAACAAAGGTAAAATTTTAATATTTTCGTTAGTATATTAAAAGGAGGTATAGTTATTTTAATTTTTATTATTTTAATAGGTGTTATATTTTTAATAGGTACATTATACATTAGGGTATATAGTTAGGAATACGCTGTTAAGGTATAATGTTCCTACTATTATAATATTTTTAATATTTTTTTACCTTTATAGCTTAATAAAAAGGTAATAATCTTTACTATAAATAAAGTATTTTAATTTAATATAATATATTTATAATTAAATGGATTAAATAAGGTAAAATGCTAGAAGTTATTCTCTTTTTAGGATTATAAACTTCCGGGCTTATAATTAGTTGAAATAGTATAATGTAAATAATACTGTAGGTAAGGAAATATTATATATTATATTAAGGAACTAAGTCTGGGTACTATAGGTTAAGGTGGTATATCTGTTTATATAATAGAGTGTATGTGGGTCGAAGTACTAGCTACCAGGATTATCTATCCCTGCCTTCCTAATTCCAATAGTGTCTACGCTATACTATGTATCGAAGCTCGGCGGAATTGCTTGTATGCTAGGGTCAGTTCATTCACCTTCCCTAAGCATATTATATCCCTGTGGGTGAAAGTAAATTCACGAGGAGCAAGAGACAAAAAAAGGAAGGCACGAAGGAAATACAACCTTACGGGAACCTCAACACTCTTGAATCTGACGATAGATGGAACGTTTGGGCATGTTGATTACGTTAACTATTGCATTACTAATCATATCCAACCTAGTCTCAACTTCTACCACGTCTCCCTAGCGCCATTTGATATTCCTCGCGTGCCTACTCATTCTCAACCACTCATATGTTATCAGCTTAGCAAAAAGCAGGGTTATCTATTATGGGAGAAGGTTGAAGGAATCTAGGCTATGGCGATGGTTCAAGCTAAGCTGTTACTGACCACGAAGCTGACGTCGTCGTTGAACACAGCAGGGTTGTCAAAAGGATGAGGGCCACTGTTGCCCGCAATGTAGAGCAGAGCATCGTAATGCCTGAAGTATCGGGCTGGATAACTCCACGACCGAATTGAAGTGCCCTTACCATTGATGCCAGCCTGCGGGCAATAGGTAGCGTCTTCCGCGAATAGCTTGCTGCCATCGTTAGCGTTTACCACAATGGCGTAGTTGGAGTGGCGCATGAAGGAGCCAGGGGTGTCGACAGATTCGTAGGAGTAGCAGGCGCTATTTCCAAGACCAGTGCGGACGATCCAGCTTGCTCGCTGTTTTAATCCGTTGTCGCTGGACGACGAAACAACCTGGGTGTTGACCTCTGCCCCGGTGTGCGCAATATAACGGTTGTCGTAGCCCGGCGTTGTAACTCGGAATGATACCCTAGAGCCAACGCTGAAAGCAGGTCCACTCTTCAGAAGCCCGGCGTTGGCGCCGTATTTGGCTGCGATGATATTTCTTTGTACCTCGTTCTCGGTATCGTCAGATGGGTAGCCGGTTGTCATTACGCCTTCGTAAAACGTTCCTTGCGCCCAGTTACTATTGTCGCCTCCAATTCCAAGGATAATAGCTCCTTCTTTGCTCATCGGGTTATACCCATTCGCCGGGCGCTCGCCGCTGTACAGGGTGTTTAAGGACCCAGTCGTAGCATCTCCACCGCGGAGTGCCCACTGGTTAGGCCTTCCCTTCAGAGTGGCTGTGACGAAACGGTGGTTGATGGTTGGATTTGCGGGGTTATTGATAGGGTCATGTCCTGTGAATAGACCGTTCTCAAGATCCGCCATGATCCACGGACCAGGACCAGATCCAGTACCTCGACCAGAACCGTCTCCAGTGCCAAAGTAAAGAGTCTCCATATGGCCATTACCAGTATCAAGACTGTTAGTCTCGGCGTTTCCATAGTCGAAACAACAACCTGTACACTGTTAAGTCTCTGGTTTCCCACAATAAGGGGAAGATCTATACTAACCTGTATTGTAGTGAGTCCCATCGAAGATGGCATCTGGAGTTCGCTAGCGTCAGTAACCCTTTTTTTTTTTCTCAGGTAGAGCAGATGGGATTTGAAGATCTTTGCTTGCTCTTGAGGTATACTAATTACCCAAAGGGGAATATTCTGTCTCCGCAATCTACTGTGATAGGAAGAAAACGAGTCCAGAGAATACATACATATGCCTTCCGCAGCATCGCCTGTGGCTGTGCCGCTTGGATTATTATTACGATAACCAGTCATTGGTGAGATGAAGACACCATATACTTTTTGCCCGTTCAGAGTGACGGGTGCCCCCAGGGCGCCAGCTAGGTAATCATATCCATTAACATTCGGGCCCCTTGCAGCGCCACCTGGAGGGGCCTGCGTCAAATGATTGCCGTGACCCGACTGGTCGTAGATTTTGGAGATAAGGCAGGTCGAACCGTTGCAGAAATTGTCCTGCGTGGCGGAATTGGCGATACCTCCAGCTGATAGTGGCCGAATATCAGTCGTGGCATTATCAGAACCACGTAAGACTTGATAAAGGGAGCCTGAATAGCTGTCATACTAAAGAATTCATAATCAATAAAAGTTTCATTCTTCACAGAATCTTGTGAGTATAGAGGGCTTAGGAGACATGTTTCAGCTTGCGTAGGGATCTTGTAAGTGTGTAAAATGCGAAGATAATGCCACTTACCAGAGCTCTAGTAGTGCTATGCGCAGCCACACAGGGTGTCCCTCCCGAGGCATAGATATCACAAGGCCCAGCGGCAGCCAGAGAGGCCGAGGCCGCCAAAGCAAGTATTGTACGATACACCATCATGTATGATCTGACGTAATGAGATGGGAGAAGGGTTGAATCTCGAGCTGATCGACAGATGAGCCACGCAGATGAAGAAGCTGCCCTGGATGTTTTGAAGGCTGGCTGGCATCTTCCCTCCCTTTCTATATCTCTATTTCCGGTAACATATCGGGTTCTTCGCCCGGTCTTGTTTGGAACGCAAGCAAACGCACTAACGCCACTTTCCACTTTAAGTCTCCCTTAGACTAACTAATATTGCCTCGATATTTCTGCTTTTGCGAGCACCGCAGGTGAAATGAAACGTTGCGCATACATGATACCCTCGCAACCTGCCTCTGTCGTCGTTAGTGGCAAGAAAAACAAACCTCATGATGCTTGTCGGGCCGAGTGACGAGTGGAGAGAGCCGGCCGGCATCCAAGTGACAACAACGTTGGCGCGAATTTGCGAAGCTCGTGCTTGGGTTTTTGGGTCTTCTACAACCCTGCCGCGGGGATGCTGGCGCTTCATAGTGTAATCGTGGGGGACCCTCGGGACTCAGGCTGCTAATTCGAAAGGATTCTTCTGGGACCTTGTCGGCGCATGGTCCAGAATGTAGTGTAATGCTAACATGTGGATCATCGAATATCTCTTGCCTCTATAGGATAGACCAGTCTACCCCGGAATCCACTTAGATCCCCACGGCCATGCGGTCACAGTAGTTGTGGGGTTAGGCCGTACCCGCGGCGAGCCTCTGGAGTTTCCTCTTGCTTCACCTTATCCACGCATATTTCGCCATTTTCGGGTCCAAACAGCTATATTTATGTCTGATATGCAGCTCTTTACGGAGCGCTGTTCATTGACTCTTGCGACCCCGTACGTTTCTCAAGCCTGTGACAGAGCTCTCGTGCCAATCTTCCAAGCATGGCGACAAGGGCGATGTTTATCATATTCGGCACAGCTTCATTTGTCAGATGGTGTATGCTCATTACCAACTTGTCTAAAGTAAAGTATAAACTGAGAGTCCTTAGCTGGCATGATGGCGTAAAGCCAGAAATTGCACGTTTCAAGACCTTCAAATGGAGCTCATAAGACATTAAAATCAAATGTAAAATGCGGGAAAGAATCTAGAGCGCTTGAGATAACAAGAAAAGGTAGGATTATGGCCACATGATGTATGGCGTTGATTTCCTACGACCAAAAAGCTTCGTAGTGTATTTACCAACAATGTTAAATTGATTTCGTATGATTATAAACCAGTAATTCATCTCAACAACGCCAGTTACAGACGATCATATATTTGACGGGCGAGTGATAAACCTGTTCACCATTCTTGAATTGCCTCGAATCTACTACTTGCAGGAATTGGCAATAATGTGATTAGTTATCGATGTATGAAGTCTAGCGGTATCACAAGCTATTAGGATAATCTTATACCCTTTCCATACACACTCACAACATATGCTACATATGATGAGTCATCATGTGAATTTCTCCAATCCACAGGCCCTAGAACTACAACTAATCGGAATTTTACCGAGTAATTGGGCGAGGGGATCGTAAAATTGCTGAAGACGTATCAGCATTGGTCTCTGAGGACTTTCAACCTTGGTGATATATGAGCTACGGTAAGACACCCAGTTCATGCCTGCTTGAGTAGTGATCTTTATGACAAGGGCTGGGTAAATGCTTACCTGTGTAATCTCCCAATGCAGTGGATATGTCTCAATATTAATGAGTCCTAAGTAGTCTCATCCAAGACAGTCTTATGAAGAACTGAGACCTTCCTTAGGGAATTGGTATTAGGTCGCTTGACATTTGTTTCAGGTGGAAATAATGAAGTACCTATCAATTCGACAACGATCTTTGCTCTCAAAGGTGGTGATTCTAGCTCTCTAATAAGCGTCAAGAAAGAGGAAAGGCCGAAATAGGGCATTAGCATTAGACGGTCAATATTGATTCTCGTATGTTGTGAAATAGCAAAGACAGATGACTAGGCTCAGAATGAAGCTATTCGCAAGCGAATGGTCTACAGAGGCTACAAGATTCCTTGGTTACCCAATTAATTACTGATCTTGGTGGCTTGACTTTGGCTCTTTATACAACTTGACTGCTAGTCCTGGCCGCCTAGGTCTCATTGACCGGTTTGGTAAAACGCATGACTTTCATGACTCTTCGTAGCTGACGATCGAACTTTTTGTTTTCGCATTCGAATAACTAACGCCTATTGAGGTCAAAAATAATTTGGTTATACATTATAAGTAGCCGTATCAGAATCATATTCCTTCATTCCTGCCTCCATGTGATCGCCAAATGTTTGATTATATACGTGAAGTGATCGGTTTAGGCACAGAGGGTCGCTGTGAGGTTGACAGGCTGTGGGCAGCCATATACCTTCTTCATCGAAGGCGTGGAGTAGCAGCCAGCCTGACCGGCTGCGCAGTTGAAGAGCTGGCAGCCCGCGCCTGGAGACAAGGTGTTGCGAGAGTTGGCGAAGGGGTTGCCAAATTCACTGTTGGGGTGTTAGTGTGGAATGTGGTTAAATCAAATAAAGTGTTTCAACTCACGTGCTTAGCTCATCTGCGAGAAACAATGTGTCAGTCCACATGCCACAAGATCCAGGGACATGGATATGGGAATGTACTCACAATAGGCGTAATCGGGATTCGAGCTAAAGGAATAACCGAAGAATAGCGGGCTGGTAAGGGTCTTGGTGGTCGCAATTTTGACGGTCTACCAGTTTGGCACGCGGTTAGCATACACAATATCGACGGCGCAATGTTGCATGAGACGTACCGAGCCAGATGTACGGAAGTTCTCAGAGAATGACTTTCCAGGCGCAACGGTTGTCAGGGTTCCGGCTTTGCTACCGTCGAAAGGATATGACTGGACATAGACGGTAGACTTGCAGTTGTTCTTCACAACAGCCTTTTGTGCAGACACGCCCGAGGCAACAAGGGCAGCTCCCAAAACGGTGGTGAACTTCATCTTGAATAGTGAGAGAGGATGGGGGAAACTAGGAGTATAGTCAAGGCTAGATTCTACTTTCAATAGTTCTTAGTGAATAAACCATAAGTTCGAACAAGTGAGTAGCATGCTCTTCTCATTATATATCTACTGAGCATATGTCTTGGCAGAAAGGCAATCAATAACATGCTGTTACGTGAGGTCAGACCATTGTCGTGTGTACGGTGTAGTCTCGGCTATACCGGGCAATAGATCTAACTCTTCTAAGGGGTGGAGTTATTAAGTCATGGCCAACATCATCAATACGAGCCTCAATATTCGTATTACCTCAACACGAGGAGCGGAAAGGGTACCCTAGCAGGGGATGCGATCGACAAGACCAATCGCTAGTTGTCACCGCCCTTGCAACCCCGCATAAACGTTCCCTATCGCGATCAGAATTGGGTCTTTTCCTCCACATAAACCAGTCTCACCGCTGAAGGTCGGGAGTTAGACCTCATACCATGTCCCCTCTCCATTGAACACCAATAATTATGGCATTGTGGGCTTGCTGGTTTGGCGGGCCAGAGTCTGACAACATGTCACAAACATTACGCATTACTTTGTGTCGCCAGTATCTAAGACAAAGGCTTCATTCAGTCCATGTGCGTTTTGACCTAGTGGAATCAGGAGTCCCTCTTCTTAGCTCGTTCAATTATCGCGAGTTTTCAGTATAACGGTACTGTACTGGTGGTAGCGGTGAGGGTTGCGAATTTAATGACCTCACCTAGGCATTAACCGAGAAACATCAGGTACCCTTTAGCGACGGCTTCACTTGCAAATATTCAAGACACTGCCATAAACAGCCTATCCTCGTAAACACTTCAAATAGGACTCGTTGTACTCCGTAATTGGCCTTTCAAGTCCCTATCTAGCGTGCTTGGCATTCCACAAGTGAAGCTGTCGTTAAAGAGGTACAAATTGATGTTATTGCATTACATTATTAAATGAATTCCCGATCTACGATAGTTACAATGTTTAAATTGTCAATTATGCAGTCAAGCATCTACTATGTAATTCTTGTTATGTGAGCCGAGGTTTATCGGGTCATTCCGCTCTCCGATCCGATCACTGATCGCGCCATTTTCTCGCTTGGCAACGCGGGCCATGATCTAGCGCATTAACGCTACGGCACAGGACTGCGGAGGGCTGACATCACTCGGTCCAGGCCGACTATGTGCCGAGATAGGCTCAGCCGCTACCGCGAGATGAAGCGCCATGATCGCCATCTTCGATAGGAGGCGTATCGTAGATAGACAGAGTGAATGCTTATACCCGTAGAGACTTGAATGGGTGTTAGGTACGACATGGGTATGGGACCGTTAGAGGCGTCAGTAAAAGAGGTCAGGCACAGGGGGCAGCCCTGAGGAAGGTCGTTGTCAAGGCAACTGGGGGCGTGCTCGGACAGTTGGTTGAGTTGGCGGTAATCTTCTCGTTAAGGTTCTGCGGCCAGCCGCTGGCCTCGCAACATGTCTCATCTGTTCATCTTCTACCAACCAAACTAGCAATCAAAGGTGAAATGATATTAAAGGTGTTGCAATAAGCCATTTGATACCCGAGTTCCTGAACCTCACTTCTTTCGGGAAATTTCTATGAAACTTGGCACATATCTTCCTATAATGTGTGAAACTATACAATTGGGACCTGCATCTTCTTCGAATACTAAGCTGTAGATTAGTATAACGTGAACGTTTATGCAATATACTTCTAGCATAGAGGTACAGAGCAACCTAACATACAAATGTTCATTTCGAATCTCAAGATGGAGACTATCTAGCAGCTATCACCGAAGTCTACATATGGAACGCATACCAGGATATTCAGCGTATCCAACTTGTGGAACAACTGTCGGCACACTCAGCACGGGCGTACTCTTCCTAAAGCAGAAAAGAGCTCGGAATGTAGCCGTATCCCAGACAGTTAATCCGGCGGAACCTATACTCCAGTCGGCTTTTATTTCCCCACAGGAACTCGGGAGAATCTGCTACGAGCTCACAAGCGGGGAGCGCTGATTGGTGCAGTACATCACATCGGTATCTGATTTCATCTTCAACCGGTTCACATTCACATCACACGGATGAAAGCCGAAAGTGAGGAGCATTTCCTATATAATCATGTATTCAATCCAGGCGATGCTGAATAGCACATTGGCTCCTAAGCCTACGGACATTTACCCCCAACTGAATCATGCGGGTCACATACTATACTTCTGTTGCCCTTGTCGGTGGCGCATATTTGGCAGCAGCACAGCAATTCCAGTCAACGCCGGTAATGGGATGGAACTCGTATAACCAGTTTGGTTGTAGCATCAACGATGCCAAGATTACACAAACCATCAACTCCTTATACAGTCGAGGGTTCGTTGACGCGGGGTACAAATTTTTCCAGCTGGACTGTGGCTGGGCGTCGAGAGATGGGCAGCGAAACGCGACGAGCGGCGCACTGAAAATAGACTCCCAAAGCTTTCCAAACGGGCTCCTACCTCTCAGCAATCTTGCAAGATCAAAGGGAATGAAGTGGTCTATGTATTCAGACGCTGGGGTCCGAATGTGCGATCCTCAGGCGCCCAGCCCCGTCTTAGGCTCTCTTGGCCATGAAGCTGCGGATGCCGACCTTTTCAGATCCCTGAACGCGGAGTACATCAAGTGTATGATATCATATCTTTCTTGACTTGGGCTAAGGCTCATGACTGTTGTTATAGATGATAACTGTTATGCCGATGGACCTCAAGCGTCACAAAATGCACCCAAAGGCTCGAGGACCGATTTCGTAACACGTTACACGACTATGTGGAAAGAGCTCCAGCGAGTAGGTATTAAGGGGATGCTGATCTGCCAATGGGGAGTTCCCTATTCCACATCTAACGGCCTTGAAGGTCCCGTTAAATGGACCAAAGGGATCTCGACATCATTCCGATTATCCGATGACATTACCACTGGATGGGGGAGCGTCTATCGTATCTACAATCAAGCTGTACACATAGCTAGGTCAGGGCTGATCGGACCTGGTCATATCGCTGATGCCGATCTACTGGAGGTCGGGAACAGTGGTATGACCTTTGACGAGCAGGCTACTCATTTCGCGTCCTGGGCCATGCTAAAGTCTGCACTTATGATATCGACGAATGTGGCTGCTTTATCGAACGAGCTCGTTGCTGTCCTCCAAAACAAAGATCTCATTGCTATCAATCAAGACTCCGCCGTCAAGCCTATCAAGCTCGTCCAACGCTGGACTTCTGACCGGGATCTATGGTCTGGAAATCTTACCAATGGCGATATTGCTGTGCTTGTCGTAGACCTTAGTAACGCCCGCCGTACTTTGAGTCTGCAGCTGTCTGACCTTGGAATCAAGTCCGCTGATGTCAAAGATCTATGGACCTCAGAAACCTTCAAAAATACCAACAGTTATTCAAAACAGGTCAACGGTCATGGCTCTCTCGCTCTCCGTCTTTCCAATATTCAGTACGCATCAGGGTTGGGGGCTGAATACAGATACATCTCTGTTTCCAGCGGTACATTGGCATCCGGTGCCAATGCTCAGTCATGCGCAGGTTGCATCTCATCTACTAAAGTCGGTAACCTTGGGGGCTCATCACATGGTAGTGTAACCCTATCCAACATCTTTACTTCACAGGCAACCCAGACTGTCAAGTTTGACTATATCAATTGTGATATTTCATACCTTGGAGGAGGGAGTAACGAGCGTCTAGCATCAATCAAGGTGAATGGTGGGGCCGCGCAAACGGTCAGCTTTCCCCTAAGTGGTTACAACTGGGCCACAGATATCCACGCGGATTACGGTGTTCAGCTGTCTGGCTTCAACACCCAAGGACCAAATTCTATTAGTATATCGGGTGTTGGGAATAGCTACGCTCCAGACTTCGATCGAATAGCGGTTATTGCTTAACTAGGTAAATCAATACTATAGGCCATTTCCCTCCTTTTCTATTTGATTGTTCTTTCTGTTGTTCTAGTGGTTGTTGTAGCAAAAGGGGGGAGGGCGGAATTCGAACCTATATATACAAAGTAGATATTCCAGCCAGCGGAGCACAAAGTGAGAGGCTAATTCAACCCGAATTTTGTTTTAGGGGGTGCAGAAACTCCAATTATAATTGATGATAAATATTAAAATATTAAAATCCTAACTTCATAGAAAGGTTTTCTTTAATATAGGAGTTAAATAAAAAATTATTATCTGGTGTGTTGTGTTATATGCGTTCAGTATAACCTAGAAACATGCTGCAAGTAAGTAGAGGTCTTCGTATTTTATGCCTATTACTGATGATCTCGTCTTGGGCACTAAAGCAAGCACCTTCCTTTTGAACTTGTGCCACTGTTTCCTCGTCAACCCTGTCCCCAGAGCACTACCTACCTTCTTTCGCCTCTCCTTCCCAATCAATGCTCTCTATCCCTCCCCATATATTCATTTTCCGTTGGTGAACCATTTGTCACGTATCCAAGGCGCCTCATCTTCTCTCAAACTCTTCACTCCACTTGCCTGTCGGCATCATGTTTTTGAAAGCACCTGCGCTTCGGCTTCTGCGGCCGTTGCATACATACCATGTGAGAGGGGCCGGCGCAGTTTCGAGCTTCAGGTAAGTGTCATTTCCCTAATCTACGTCAGTCACTATCGACACCATCTTCATCGATATTTCAGAGTGCCACTGGGTCTAGGACTGATTCCCGCGGTCACAATTGTGCTGGATGCCTCAGCCTTGAACCCGATTGATTTTGAGGCCTCTGTCCTATTGATTAGGATATTTTTTATTTTATCTTGCTGTCCATCCACTCCCTTCCCTAATATCTGTTACATTGCTGCCTACATGGCCCGTGCAATTCAGTAGCCTGTATCACAGGTCCAAATCGATCGCCTTCAAAGGCTAGGCATCACACAACATTTATACATCTCATCCCAGTCATATCATCGGACATCAGTATTACTACTACCTAGTATTACGGGTACCTGAACCGACCACTAATCAATGTTATCGTTCTGTCCCGCTCGTCCTCAACTCCAAGGCCCTTTACTTTTCAACCATACCCGACAAACGACCAAAAAAGGGGGAAACATGGTCCATATGCCCGGAATTGCACGAGGTCGTAGCAGATCTGCTCAAGGATAATAAGCTTAAATTTTCTTTTCACCCAGCAGACGATGAGCCCAACATGATTAACAGCTATGACACGAACATCATGGGTCGTTTCACCTGCTACAATACGAAGTGCAGTTCAAGCGGCTGGCCAAGCAAACAAATTGCCATCACCATTCGGCTGTACCGAAACAATGAATACAATGCGAGGGTCTGGCATCAACGATGTAAGAGGTGCAATCAACTCTCCAAGCCGATTTTGGATGGAACATACGCGGAAAGAGTTGCTTACCGCCTCAAAAAATGGTCCGGCGTACCTCTCAAACCGCCCGAATATTCTAAAAAGGCCGTTAACCGCCCACACTACAAAGAGTTATGTGAGGGATGTAAGAATGGCCATTGTAACTACTCTCAGGGTTTGCCTGAGGAATATTAAAGTAAGCGATATAAGTAATGCCGCCTTGTTGTTTAGGACCTTGATGGCTGACCTCAACAAGTTTCTAACACATGGCGCCGGTAAAGCCGACTTTACTATCACGAAACCGAGGGGCTACTCGACTCGGGTTAAAACGAAGTGGTTTGAGCATTCTGGTATGGAGGGATTGATTGGCTTAAAAGTTTGTGCCATAATTGTACTCTTAGTATCCTCCTGTACAGCTGTTTGGGGCACATGGTTAATCCACTAGATGTTGTCAACGAGGTCACCCCAACGAAGGTGGCTTAGGAGGGACCATATTAGTGAAATCTGGCGCGCTCAATGAGTCGTTGAGAGACGGTCGCCAAAATTTTCAACAATGAACAACTTCAAAAAGGCAAAAGAAGTGTAATAATTAAATACGCGCGAGCTCATTGTGATTTTATCAATCGTGTGTCAAGGGCGTAGCTTCACTTCCCTCGGTATTCGAGCACTGCACCCTGTCGCCTCGTAGACGGATCCCACAAAGTTGCGCAGCATGTCGTCGTTGCAAACAAACCTAGATCGGCCGGCCTCTTGGAGAATTGCTTTCGCGCCCTGAGCTGTAGATAGATCCCTGTCACTCTACGGCTCTAGAGCTCAAGCATAGGGAGAACGAAGCGCTGCTATCCTGACAAGGAGATCTCTCGTTTGGGTCCTAGGTCACGTGCCCACGTGCAGCAGGGTAATTGAATAATGTACATCTCCACGTGCAGTTAGATAGGAAAAAGTGCTTCTCGAATACCTGCTTGTCCAGCTTAGGTGAAGCGTGGCGAAAAAAGGCTAGTACTTCTTTGTAGTTATCGATAACAGGGTCTAGTATCCAGTAGGTGGGCTTATTTTCCAAGTGACTCAGAAAGGTCCTGTTCACGACGCCATAAGGCCTTCAAGTCCACAGCAAACAGATTGGGCAACCAAACCTTGCTCTATAACATTCATCTCCGTCAAAATGTCTACCTTTGGGCAATTCCTGCGGGTGACGACATACGGTGAGAGGTAAATACCTATTTTGACCTTGAATAGCGCTCGCCGCTGAATTTCCGTAGCCATTGTCCCAGCGTCGGATGTATTGTCGACAATTTTCCGCCTGGAGTGCCGGTCTCGGAAGAGATACTCCAACCTCAGGTTAGTATATAGAACAAAACACCACACACTTCTTGAACGTTTTAACTCAAAAATACCAGATATCTCGCCGCCGTCCTGGCCAAAGCTCTATTACAACACCTCGAAATGAGGCCGACCTTGTGTCAATCCAGTCAGGGGTGGAAGGGGGTGTCACCCTAGGTACCCCGATAGCCATGGTCGTCAAGAACCAGGACTTCCGCCCCTCGGACTACAAGGGCAGTACCATGAAGCAGTACCCTCGCCCCAGCCATGCCGACTTCACTTATCTTGAGAAGTACGGCGTTCGTGCATCGTCAGGTGGGGGTCGTTCCAGTGCGCGAGAAACAATCGGCCGTGTAGCCGCCGGCGCTCTTTGCGAGCACTACCTCAAACTCGCCCATGGGATTGAGATTGTCGCCTGGGTCTCATCGGTCGGGAATATCCATCACATCCCACCAACGCCTGAGTACCCTTGCCATTCCCACAACCCCAAGTTCCTCCAACTACTCCAAGAGGTGACACGGGAAACCGTTGACAAGACGGTAGTCCGGTGTCCCGACCCGGAAGTCGCTGCCAAAATGGAGCAATGCATTTCCGACTTCCGCGACCGCCAGGACAGCATCGGCGGCACAGTGACGTGCGTCATCCGAAACGTCCCAACTGGACTTGGCGAGCCGGTGTTCTCGAAGCTGGAGGCGACGCTCGCCCACGGAATGCTCAGCATTCCAGCGACAAAGGGCTTTGAAATCGGCTCTGGGTTCGAAGGGACGGAAATCCCCGGGTCCACCCACAATGACATGTTTATCCGCAACCCCGTTACCGATTCGGATCCCAAGAACGGATTTGCGAAGCCAAAGCTCACAACCTCGACGAACAACAGCGGAGGTATCCAGGGAGGAATCACCAACGGCGCGCCCATCTTTTTCCGCGTCGCCTTCAAGTCGCCTGCCACGATTGGACTGCCTCAAGAGACAGTCACATTTGAAGGAGAAAGCGACGGCCTTCTAGAGGCCAAAGGGCGTCATGACCCCTGCGTTGTCCCACGTAGGTCACTCAACCCAACGAGCAAACTGATTCCGCTAACAATATGTAGGCGCGGTTCCAATCGTGGAGTCCATGGCTTCGATTTGCATTCTGGACGCTCTTTTGATGCAAGGGGGGAGAAGGATGGCCGGGCTCGCGCGGTGAAGGACAAAAAGTATATTCCTGTTATATTGAAAAAAAGTTAAATAGGTGGTCTCGGCCCCAGCTATAGACTAGAGAATGAAACCATGCCCTCAATCAATTGAATAGGCTGGTATGTGATGCGCGCAATGTCAACAAGGGCTGGTACCTCCACGGTAGCATTAGCCAAAGCGGCGCCGCTTGCTGCCAGATTTGACAGCCCATGGTATACATAGCAAGTAAAGTGTACAAGGTTTTAGTAAGAAGCTTAGAGTCTGGCTGTTTCACCAAGGAGGCGTGTCTTGACACGAGGTTACGCGTGAGATTGTTAATCTTTTCCATTCAGTTGATTGATCACGAGGCATGTATCCGGAATAACATTCTATCGCGGCCCTCTTACACGGCTGGTGGCATTACGACTAGAGAAAATCACTTAAGTCTATTCATCACATAACGATGCTTTCGTTGGTCTTCCAGCAATCTTCAATCTTCCTCAACGATTCCTCACTCAAATGCGTGCTCTAGAAAAGACAGAGTCTCCATGTATCTGTACTCGCATGGCTTATTGTCGGCGTCGCGAGCCTTTTTCATCACCTGCGCGACCTCCCCTCGCCTACCACTTAGCCATTCCTAATTGGCATGCATTTGTTTTTCGCACATATTCAACATTACTTCATCGACCTGCCTATGAAACTCGTCACAGTCCACTTCACCAGATCCAGAAACCTCGAGCAGCTCATCACGCCACGTGGAACAGAGGCCAGCAATTTTGAGGAGTGCGTTCTAAGCCTTCTCGGGTCCTCCGGCAAGTGGTGAAAAATCATTCAAGTTTCTAATGCGATCTAGAAAGGGGAGCAAAGTCGTAGGCCAATCCTTGCAGTTGGCCTTGCTATCGTTATTCTCGATAGCCGTATGCACTAAATGATCCACCTTGCGGCGGGCCGCAGAGATAATCATAGTCTTTTCTCTGTTTAAGTCAGATTGAGAATGAACGCGTATGTTCTCGGTCTCGCCTATAATCAGTTCTCGAAGTATTGAGTCTGGGCGGCTGTTCTCCAGGGCCTTGGTGCAAATCATCTTCAACGTTTCGATATCTGCCAATTCCACCATGAATTTGGCAAAACCAACTATGAAACGTATGGGTGTGTGGAATCCACTAATAGGAACGTCGGCGTACTTACTGTGAAAAGGAATTTCCTCCAATTCCTTGAGACATTTGGGCCTTTTCATTAGCGTATCTGTTAATCAATCAGTCCCCCTTTCAAGCAAATACTCGCAGTCTTTCTAAGCCCTTGCCAATTGGTCCCACACTACCAGTGTCGGAAGGTACCCTCTTGTTTTTGGGTTTCGCTTGTGTAATTGCTCGTGTTGCTTCTTGATCTAGGTACTGAGGCTCTGGTACCTGCTGTGGCTCCTTCGGGGCAGGGCGTTCGCACAAAACCATCGAAAGAATGCCATTCACCATACCTCGCGGGCATTTCTCACCATCGTGCACGCTAGTCGGAGTTTGTGACCTCGAAGTTGGTGGCCGCGAAGAACGGCGAGTGTAAAGCATGCCGGGGTCGGGCTCAGGGTCTGATTGTTGTGAGCACTCTGAAACAGGTTGTTCGGAACGCATGATGGCAGTAGTTGGATGGAAAGCAAACGTTGAATCGAAGTGTATCTTGAAAGATGCACGTACTTCTGTTGCATCTTATGTCTGGCTAAATGTCTGGCTTGTCGGATGTTTGACCGGGCAAATCAAGCAAAGCAAAGCGGATACGAAAATTTGTGAGTATGGAGAGAAGTCAGAGTGAAAGGAATGGGAGCAAGACAATGTAGCCACGAGGAGGATTTCGAAACTTGCTATGACTAAAACATGGTAGACATGCAACTTCCCTGGTGTTATTCGTTCGCAACTTCATCCTATGAAGTATGAGCGGCGTTAATACTACGTTGGGAGGATCTAGATACATAAATACCGGGTATGTATTATGTTTGTATCTTGCCCCTTTTCGGTGAGTCAGCAAGGTAGGTAGGTATACCGCTACACCGTGTGGAAGTTACGATATTTACATAGGAAGATACATACGCTCCAACCAAGCCTCGAATGGAGTAGTAGTGCTCCTAGAATGAGTACCAGCCCAGAAACGACGACATCACGTTACTATTTTACCAGAGGGCATAGAAGGAGGTATGAACCTATGTTCCAGTCCTCCAGCTCCAGCTCCTGGCCCTGTTGCTGTTGCTGTCACCGGTGCTTTGAGCAGTCACAGCTTCATGGTTTGCGTTATGTGTGTTGCGGGAAGGTCAGAACAGTAGCCGAGATTGCGGCTTTTGCAAGGTTTGAATGGACAAGCACCAATCCATGACCTAGCTATCTTGAGTCCATGCTCCTCCCGGATTTTCAGGACATGGACGAGATATGTGCTAAATAATTAGTATCATGAACCTAAATTAAAATGGATATACATACATCGTAAATACCCAGCGGCCCCATAGAGTTGCGGTTCAAACTCGGCAAGTGTGTTAGATACTTAGGTGGTAGCTTAAGATGCAAGCGACAAAGTAAAAAGTGTCAATGGGTGAGCAGGCCCCCCACGACCCTTCCACTATTTCCCATACATAACGTCCAAAAACTCATGGTGTCGCTTCTCGTCGTCGAATTCTCGGAGGACGCCAGCGACAGACAGAGAGGCGCGATCAGCTTGTCCCGCAAATACCTGCGACTGCCATCTCCCTTTCCTGCATTTGCATGAGTAGATATGCTGTTTACAACAGCCAATTGCTGACGCCCGCAAGTCTCAGGCAACCGTAAGCTAATGATGTTACTTCCATGATAGAAGAAGTAAGCGGTGGGAGAATTACATCACATCAATGGACCTCGGCGCCCACCCAATCGAACAGATGGCAGGCACAATTCTGCCCGCTCAGCCAGTAAGAGATGCGGTGATCACCAGATCTCTCGCCAGGGACCATCCCCTGGGTGCAAGACGAAGTTCTTACAAGCGAAACTGGAAAATTGCGTAGAGGCTCAAGCATATTCATTCTCATTGCCTCCCTCTAGAGAAACAAATTGGTACCAACCTAGACATATCAAGGTATCATTGACACTCGAATCTACGTCAACACGCAATCGAATAGTATACGTAACATACAAAGTATTTGTGACGTGTGTATATCATTTCTTCTCCTTTCTTTCCCTTTTCCTTTCCCTATCTTGGCTACAATTATGTGTAGGCAAGCAAGTAAACAAGCCATGAACGCCGTCGCAATGCAATATAGCCAAATAAAGCAATTAGCTATACAAGTGGCAGCTTGCGTCTCTGCAAAACAAGTCGCACTTTTATCCATGCGTCTATATTAGATCTTGACGCCTTCCCAGCGCCAATGGTGCTTCTATTGCCTCGTCGTCGGACGATTAGGACTCAGTAGAGCAATAATAAGACTCTTTAAGAGAAGGCTTTATGATTTGCTGGGAGCATCAATCGAAGCCGACTAGAAGACTGTCTAGCATGCCACTGGTCTGGATCGCCTTTTGGGCTCTCTCAACCTCAAGCTTGACGCGACGGTAAAGTAGCCTAAAAGCTGCGGCAAGTTCCGCGCTCTCATCCGCAAATTCCACGTATAAATCTAGTAAGTGCGTCGCAACATCTGTGCATATAGACACGTACCGTGGGTCGACGATGTGTAGCTGCACCCACTTGAGAATCGGCTGTACGGAGATCTCGTCGCGACCCTCGAGAGCGTCACGTAGAGCACTGCGGTGACGTAGCGCCACAAGCAACGTCAGAACTGTCAATGGACCATGATCCTTCGACATCGGATCAAGCACGCGGTCCAATGCGCTTCTGAAATTGCCATGCCGTAAGTCTTTTTGCCAGGGCTGTTCCCGTTTGGGGCGTGCGAGATCGTTTGCTATTACTACATCCGCACCTTCGCCTACCATCTCTAAACGCTTGGTGGCCGAGGCTTGCTTCTTCCGCTTGTTTTTGGCATTGTCATGTTTGGTGATGGTGCCTGCAAGAAGCGCCTCCATCTCCTTTTCTCGTTGACGCTCGCGTGCTGCTTCGGGGCCTGTTAGACGTGTACGCAATGACAGCACACCGGACTGCATGCCCACGGCCAAATGTCTATCATCATCATTGGCGCCAGCGGTTACAATGCGCACAGCGAGAATGGGAGATGGATATTTGGCACCGGCAACTACATTCCAACCCGTGGTCTCGTAAATCTTGATATGGCCATCGAGGGAACCTGATACGACACGACGGCCATTGGAGGCAACACTCAGAGAAGTGACAGTCTTCTGGTGGTTTGTAATAAGATGGCGAGGCTTAGCCGCGACTAAGTCCAAAACGGATATCTGGTTTCCTGAAGAGGCGAGAACGGTCGTGCCAGATGCAAGAGGTAGGACGTCTTCAATAGGCGCCTGGTGCTTGAACACCATCACAGAAGATGAAGAGCTCGGGGTTCGTGGATCCCAGACGCGCACCGTGTTATCGTAACTACCACTGACCAATAAGTTACTCATGGTGCCAGGTATGAAGGCACCTGAGCGAACGTAGTCTGAATGGCCATTAAAGACTGTGGTGCTTTCGGAGCTAGGCAGATCCCACAACCGAACAGTGCGATCATCGCTAGCGCTCATGAGGGTAGTGAGATCGGTGGGCGAGAACTTTGTTGTCCACACGGGCTGTTTGTGTTGTGTCCATGTCTTGAGGATTGCTCTGGACTTGATATCGAAGACTTGAATTCTCCCCGAGTCTTCTCCAGCGACCAGGATGCGACCATCGCGTCGGATCTCGCCACTCCGTGCATTGTCTCCGAAGCGCGTGAATGTCTTGACCAGCTTCCTCGTCCTGACCGAGTAGATCTGCACCCGCGGGCCGGCAGTGACGGCGAACAGGTCGGTGCTGTCTCCCTTTTCGTTCGCGACGGGCGCCGTAATGTGGGTGACAGGGACTTCGGTCGGCGTCGGAATAACGAGTTGGTTCTTGAAGGTTCGCCAGTACTTTTGCTCCGCAGTGACTACTGAAGGGCCCGCGGGCAGCTTCAGTCGTTGCAGAGGTGCCACCTCGGCCGCCATCTTGTCAATTGATGTGCCTCGTGTCAACGAACGAAGCAAGCTGCAAGATGCCTACAACCTTCACTTAATTTTTTCTGCTTTGACACTCGCGCCTAGGGAGAGGCCCCACCATAACTTTTGAGCTAAGCATGGCTAGTGGCCGTTGTGATAAGCTGATAAACAGATATCGATAAGAGCTGTAAAAGACCGGTACCTAGGTACCAGTGTACCATTGTCTGTTTCATCGTCGTCTAGACAAGACAGGGAAGTGATTGGAGTTCTTGGGGTCCCGCAGCATACCTCGGCTTGTTCCCTTATTCAAGAAGTAGCTTACCAGGATGTAAATGGAGATAGGTTGTCATCATGTAAATCAGAATCTCGCATGCTGTCTCTCGTTCTCTTTTACTCATCCATTAGTACCATCTCCTCCAGAAGACCGTATGATCATTAGTCCAAGCGTTCATAATACAAGTACATCTCTAAGTCCCCAAAATGGCGCCATCACTAGAAGGATATGATAGCTTCAAGCATTTCCTGATCTCTTCACCATCTGAATATGTAGCCCATGTGGAGACAAATCGGCCAGAAAAGCTCAATGCATTCATCGAAGATATGTGGCTTGAGCTGGGCCAAATTTTCAGGAAACTATCACACGATCCCAGCGTGCGGGTGGTCATATTCTCCGCCGTTGGAGAAAGAGCATTTACAGCAGGTCTCGACGTGCAGGCGGCGCAGCAGTCGGGCATGCTTATACCAGATGGAAAGTCGGATGGAGCGAGAGCCGCTACCCGCCTCAGGCGGCACATTCAGGAATTTCAAGACAGCGTTAGTGCCATTGAGCATTGCGAAAAGCGTATGTTTACTATCTCTGTGTTTGGTCTTTGTTATGGCACATCTAATACACTGCAGCTGTTATTTGCGTTATGCATGGTATATCCATCGGTCTTGCGATTGACTTGTCCTGCTGTGCCGACATCAGAATTTGCGCAAAGGATGCCAAGTTCTGTGTGAAAGAAGTCGATATCGGTCTAGCATCGGATATTGGGACCTTGAGTCGACTACCCAAGATCGTCGGCAATAATACGTGGGTCAAAGAGGTGTGTCTGTCTGCCAGGTTGTTTGGCGCTGAAGAAGCTCTCGCTGTGGGGTTTGTCAGTCGAGTGCTAGAAAGTAAGGCCAAGGCTATTGAGAGTGCAACGGAAATGGCGACCCTTATTGCTTCTAAAAGCCCTGTAGCTGTTCAGGGAACTAAGAATATCTTGAACCACTCCCGGGATAACTCGGTAGCAGAAAGTGAGTTATGACCCCGGAAAGAATGGTGCGTGCATCAGCTGACTGAACTCCCTCGCGAAGATCTCCGATACACCGGCGTTTGGAATGCAGCAATGCTTCAGTCAAATGATGTATCAACTGCCATGCTCTCAGGAATCAAGAAGACAAAACCAAGGTTTGAGAAGCTGTGAAATTAAGAGGCTGTATGTCATATGGGTATTATGAAATATCTATTAGTCTAGTTTGGGGTCTCCTGATGCGTTCCTTAGTAGTACAACATAGAATGCCTTACAGGTTAACGAGGATCCTTGCGCGGTCACGTCGACCAAGCTTTAGACAGTAGCCCGTGTACTGAGTACTCGCGACCGGTTCCGCGATAGACGGTTGCTGAAATCAAAAAAGGGGATGTTGCCAAGTGGCACAGTTCAATTGCATGACTTTATTTCTTAACATCTCGATCAGAGCCCGAGTCATCGTTGTCTATAATAGGGACCGTCTCCTTGAGTCTCTATCAATCAAGTTAGCTATAGTTACAATAAAGTAGATCAGTTGAGCGATCAGCTACGTACGTCCTCTAGTTTGGACTTGAGCTGAGCAAGCATGACATCCTTTATTAAGAGATGGGAATCATCGAGGTCCTCGATTATGTAGTCATTCTTGTCGCTATCGATATTAATGATAATCGATTTGATAGAAGGGTCGCATTCTACCAAGGTTCCTATGAAGCTATCAGAAAGTGCTAGATGATCATCAAAGGGTCTAGGCCCACAATGAGAGATGTCTACATATGTAGGGGAGTAGGTTAAGGTACCTTTGATTGCTCGAACCATTGTAGCTAAAATGAGCTGTCGCCGCCGCCGCCGTTGCTGCCGTTCGCTTGGGGTCTCCGATAATTCTTTGATGATATATCTTTCGCCTATACCTAGCTTTGGGGGGATTTGTATTGTGATACTCTGGAGATGTCAAGGTGTAAAAGGGTAACTGGGTTTAGAAGCGCCATGCCAAGACATTGGAGCGGAATAGCTAAGATGTGGCTTGCAGGCGTTCCTGACGTGGCTGTAAGGTGTGGCTTATAATGTATCTAAGTAGGTACCTAGATAGGTGCCTCCCTGAAGTTACGGTAGCAGCCACCCCCAATGATCTCCTGATAGCAATAGCTACATACAAACTACTGTAGTGAAATTCTAACTCTAGGGGTATGCTACTAGTGCGATAGAGTTATGAGCTATGTATGTCGGTATTGGGTTCAAAATACATACATAGATACCTGTATTCTTCTATGTGTATACATGTACACTACAACTAAGTACAGTAAGTGCAAAGGATTGAGGAAAAAAGTGGCTATGCAAATGCCGTGCTTTCCGAGAGATTCTAGGCCGGTACAGGAACTTGAGCGACCTACCGTACCATACAACTTTGCTAGAGGGTCGCCGGTCATGGATGACATGACATCAGATACACTACAGTGTCAACGTGTTGGGTGGTGGAGAATAGACAGCATGTTGCAATGCAGACCACTCAGCGTGGTGTACAAGAGCACATATTCTGATACCCCAGAGTACAGAAAACACATTGGGTGAAACTCTGGGTGTGAAGATGGGAATTGATATACTTATATGAGCAAGCAGTTCAAGCTCCCTGTACTAAGAAAATAAAAGAATGGTCGCTCCCTCGTGATTTGGAATTACCCCTCCAAAGGAGCCATCTTCATCCTACATTACACTATCGCCAACTACTGATCCTAACACGCCACCTAATTAGCACTCAACCAGCCCTGCCACTGTCAAGGGCGTGTTCCCTTTTGATTACATATGCGTCGTTCATTTGGCAGGGAAAGCTGACGAGGATACCGGTAGCCTTTTTCGTCATTACATATGATACCCAGTCTGGAAATTATTGCATTGTCATCAATTAGCACAGCCTCTTTCATACTCATCGCCAGCAGCGTCTTTCGTGTCTCGTCTTCTCTATCTCGTCGTTTGATTTCCCATAAGCGAACCTTCTTGATCTTACTTTGGTCATATTTCGTGCGATACTTTGTAATTCAACGCCGCGGGGTCAGTTGCGCCGACAGCTATATTGGACGAGGAATCCTTCAAAGTCAAGTTAGCTGTTCACCTGTCTGTCTCAGCTATAACTGGTCCGCTACATGGTGAGCGAATGTAGTTTTCTCGGCGAGCGAAGACCCCGAAGACGGTCTGCACCCTATTAACCGCGAACATCATACGTCTGATCGATCCTGTGTTGCCAGAGGAAAGAAATTTCGGGTGCATCATAACAAGCAGAGCGGATTTACACGCTGAGATTTGAATCTCTCATTCAAATCAATTGAACCTCGAATCCTCAGGCACCAGCCCATCCGGAAACAAGTGAGCGGCATCTCACATAATCCATCCGCTCCTTCCCAGGAAACCAAAAAGCGAAGGAGATCACCTCGACACGGCACTTCTAAATAACAAATGCATCAAAACAAAAGTGAAATCAACAAGTAAAAAGCAGACAGACACCATGGCCTTGGGATCCGAGGACGGGTCGTCAAACGGGCCCCAGCAACCCTTCGCCTACGTGCTGATCCCCATTCTCGGCTTCGGCGTGATAGTCACTGTATTGACCTGCTACAAATACAAGCGGAGGAAGCGACGTCTAGCGCGAATGGTAGCCGAAGACCCGACGCTTGGGCGCGATCCCGAGACGGGGCGCACGCGACTGGACAGGCGTGAACCAAACGGAACCGTGACAGGGAGGAGAAGGGCAGGCCGACGTCTAGGCTTAGGTGTCGGCAGCAGGGAGGAAGGGCTGAACGAGCTAGGGGAAGCACCGCCCGCGTACACGCCAAATGCGCCCAAGCCGCCGTCTGAGACGGGAGGTATTGAGTTGATGACGTACTCACAGGCTACGGCTGAAATTGGTACGAGCCGGAGCCCGCCTGGCTATGCCGACGAGTCGCGCACCGGGCCAGCAATAGGGTCAACGAGTGCTAGTGCTGGTGGTCCAAGCGATTCTGCTAGGATAAGCCAGGAAATGCGAAGAGACGTCCCGACAGGGACAACGGCCAGTGGTGCTGGTGAAACCATGAGATTAAGTGAGGAAATGAGGAGAGGCAACCTAGGAAATACGCCAGCAAGTGGCGCGGGTGACACTGCAAGAGTCAACGAAGAGACGAGGACGGATACTCCAGAAAATGCAACTGCAGTCGGCAGCGCAAGCGAAACTGTAGGATTCAGAGAAGATGCGAGGAGAAATCCTCCTCTAACGACAAGTGGTGCAAGCGAGCCTACAAGGTCGAGCGAAGGGATAGACGGAGGCGCCACAGCTCGGTCAACGGGGACGAGCAACGATAATGTTAATGAAATGACAACAGCAAGCGAGGGGGGTATTACAGAAAATACAACGGGAACGACAACAACAGCGATGAACGCAACAACCACCACGCCATCAACAACGGATGAACCCGCACCACCTCCCAAGGCGGTATTACCACCATCTTCGGGTTGAAAAATTGCAGAAAGCCTTGATCACGACTTACATAACGATTAATTCAGATGGGAATGATAAAATACTAAGTTTATTCAGACGAGCATACACATGCGTAGTGTATGACGCGGTAAGAACGCCGTTGGTGGGCATGAGCTATCATAGCGTGACGTTTCAGGATGAACCCGTTACCGTGCCGCAGGGTTGATGTACATACATGTCTTATATATAGGTATATACCCATCTGGTCGTTGCTTTATATATAAGGCAGTGTGACAATGCGTGTGTTTGAGCAGATACATCCTTACGCGACTGAATAAATAATTGTCTACCATGCGCGCCCATATCTCATGCTCCTCCAGTTGACTACGTAATGGTAGAAACAGGGCATGTGTTGCACAGCATATTGCAAGATTCACCTTAACCTTTATTCGCTAAGGCTACAACAGATAAAGATCGATCGCAGACTCTTATTTTGTACGAGGTGTATCTATCTACAACTTCTCGTATCTAGCCTCTTAACACACCCTGTATAAGTCCTCTCCAAAGTCGTCAAACACGCTCTTTTTCCTCATATCTAACTAAGCCCACATTTTCCCGACTCCTCGCACAATCTAGAACCGGTCAACGACCGCCGGCGGCTTATTATTCAAGATGGAATCGATCTTGTCCATGATCTCGGGCGTCAGCTTCTCCACGGCCCCGACGGCGCGCACGTTCTCGTAGACCTGGTCCGCCGAGCTCGCGCCGATGATGGCGGAGCTGACGTGCGGGTTCTTCAGGACCCACGCGAGCGCGAGCGTGCTCTGCTTGATGCCGAGGTCGTTGGCTATGGGCTCGAGCTCGTTGATTTGCTTGATGATGCCGTCGAACTTCTCCTTGCCCGTCCGCTGCCACCAGCCCTTGACGAACTCGACCTGGCTCTGCGCGAAGCGCGAGTCCTCGGGGATCCCGTCCTTGTACTTGCCTGAGAGCAGGCCCTGGCGCAGGGGCGAGAAGACGGTCAGGCCCGTGCCGACCTCGCGGTACAGGTGCGCGTATTCGAGCTCAACCTTCTCGCGGCTGAGCATGTTGTATTCGGGCTGTTCCATCACGGGGCCGATGAGGCCTAGCTTGTCGGCGTACCGCCAGGCCTGGGCGATCTCATCGGCGCTCCACATCGATGTGCCCCAGTACAGCGCCTTGCCGGTGTTGATCAGGTGGTTGAAAGCGCGCACCGTCTCCTCCATCGGTGTTTGTCTATCTGGCCTGTGCGCGTAGATCAGGTCTACGTAGTCGAGTCCTAGACGCTTCAATGATGCGTCCATGCCCTCAATGATGTGCTTCCGTGAGAGACCCTTGTTGTTCACGGGGTTGTCACCAAAAGCGCCACCCCAGTAGATCTATCATACGATGTCAGTGATTTCTCATTTTACAGTCATCACGTAAACTACAGGAAGACATGACGAAAGTAAGAGAGAAGGGATATCAAATGAACGGATAAGTGAGATTCTTTTGAGAATACATACCTTGGTTGAGATGACAAGGTCGTTACGTTTCCAGCCAAACTTCCTGATAGCCTCTCCCATTACCTCTTCCGATTTGCCTCCTATTAGTTTTCATTAGCATTATTCTATGTTAATCAAATCCAGTTAGACACGATCACTTACCAGAATAAACCTCAGCGCAGTCGAAGAAGTTAATACCGGATTCATACGCCGCCTTCATACACTCAAATGACTTTTCTATGAAAGGTCGAGTTAGCCTCCTCTATTCATTTTTCTCTCTTTCTAGCCGAGCCTTCCAATCGTGATTTCCTCGCAGGTAGCAGTGCCATGTTTGACTAATCACATGAGATTCTTCCGTCTCCCGAACCTCTTCCATCGGAAGGATCCTATTCGCAGCAGAAAAAGACACAAATACGTAGCGAAAGAAGCCGACTTACCATTTTCTGTGTACCCGCCGTATGTCAACCAGCCACCAAGAGAGATGGCTGAGACCTGCAGACCCGAGCGTCCGAGGAATCGATATGTCATCTCAGGAAGGTCTTCCGGAGGCGCCATTGTGGATGTAGTAGGCGAGGGCGAACGACGACGATGGGAAGATAGTTAGGTAGATTAGGTGAAATGGTAGATAGGATGAGAAATTATCCCTTCCGTCTCAGGTCAGGCAAGAGGTCCTTTTTATCTAGAAACGGGGTAAATATCGTCTGCAAGAGTCTTGTGGGTAGATAGATGATCTAAGTGGGAGGAAATCCGTGCGTCTACGCCTCTTATAATCTCATTAGTTAGGCAGGTACTTTATTAGCAGTCTTATTTCGTATGTGTAGGCAAGTACCGTAATGACGCAAGATGAAGAGGTCTCCTCCTCCCCACATGGACAAAGGGGTCCCGATGCATCTACTCCCAGACTATAGACAATAGGAGGCACTCTAGACAAGCATCAAGTCTCCCTTGCCCTTGGACTAGGCAGTCAAAAGTCACGTATATTTGTAAGCCTATAGAGGTTGGTTCACCTATCGCCGAGGGACATGCATGAAATTCGGGTCGAGAAAAGTGGGAAAGAGATGGCCAAGTCAGTCAGGCGGAGCGGGATGTAACACGGACGAAGACGAACAGCATTCATCAGATATCGCGGCCTGTCTGTCTATCTGTCTATCTATTTATCTATACTACATACTGCCACACTGCCCTCTACTCCCTACCTACCCTTGGACGAGTAATCAGCAGATGCGGGAATGCAGTCCAACGTCGACATTTGTACCACACCGGTAGTATTGCAAGGTAGCAGCGGGGTTACGTCTCACAAAGATATAGTAGAAGATCGATCTCGTCCCGCACCGGCGCTGTACAAACCCCCCGCTTCCCCCGCTTTTCAACCCTCCCGTTCGTCACGCCATAAACTGATAACTTACCTAAGTATGTACCTACCGTAGAACCCCTTACCTAATTATCGTCTGTACGTAAATGCGGGATTGCCTTGTTAAAGTGAAAATATTATGTATCTAGGGACCGCATTGTCCCCGTTATAGAGGATGAGCGGGAATAATGGTATTCAGGTAGCTACAAGATTTTAACGCCGGGCGATTGAGATGGCGGTGTTAGGAGTTTAGCAGTTGCGACTGAACATGTGAGGTCAACCGGTATCATCGGCTGTTCGTTGAGCGTCAGAAAAACAAGCAATCAAGTTCCCAGGGTAGTATGTGACATGCACATCAAGTCATATATAATGATAGATGTTAGGTCTACAATAAGTTGAGAGTAACTATGTGTCTCGCATGATCTCTTCTCCCGCTCAAGTCCGGGCAAAGCTAAATATATCCAATCCTCTCCCAGTCCACTATCCACCTAAACCACCATAGCCAATTTGATCATTCCCAATAAATATGTAAGACAAGATTCGACATCCTCAGCAACGGGGGTTTTGGTATCAGTACAGAGAGTGTGCGCAATATCATAACGTTCAGATGCTGCGCAAAGTGAGGTCTTCGACTTCCGCATACGAAGACACCCGACCATGATAACGTATAAATGTATAAGCCCAGAGATGAGAAAAGAAGACAGAATTATGGCTAATACAAGATACCATCGAATTCCCCCAACGCCTCGTCTAATCTTGCAATCATGACATCCGCTCCTATATCCACATGGAATGGCCGAAAATAGGACAAGAACGCTCATGTCCAAAAGTGAAGAATGCTCAAAAAGAATAATGTAATCATCCTTGAACGCCAAAAAAACCCCCCCATTGCCTGACCCGTTTTGTTAACGAGAGTCGGCGCCATCGAATCATCCCAGTCCTCTAAGTCACGCCAAGCCTAACACGGAATTCGAGAAGCAACCTGTTCATTTGTCCTCGAAGACTCTAAACTCTTGCTCCCTCCCACTCGTGACCCATGGCGGTTGAGTACTCGGATACTCGCTCGGGGCACTAGACCCTTGACTCTGCGTCTCATGTGGATCAGCATGGGCCGTGGTTAAGTCGCCATCAGCATCAGCATCCGTCATTACATCATCGTCAACGTGGATATTCACGTCTGGGTCGCAGTTCTCAACGTCTTCGCAACCCCGCCAAACCTCATCCTCTGGTGCCTGGCCATCTTGCCAAGATTCTTGGGATTGACTTTGATATGAATCGTGTCCAAGATCAGCCATAGAATTATCATCACCGTCCATCTCGCTTTCCGACTCCTCATCATCATTATCATCATCATAAATGTCTGCATCACTGCCGCTATCGGCAGCATTAATATCGAAGTCGATATCATCATCTTCAAAAACATTGACATCACCACGACCCGGTCTCCTGTCTACAAAGGGCGCATTGCTATGTGGTGTTGCGTACGCAGGAGTTGGGGCACGTGGCTCTCTAAAAATTTCAGGTATGGGGCTGGGTGACGCTGTGGTATAGCGAGGCGTGTACCGGTTCTGATGTGGTGAGCGGGTACTGCGCCGTTTGGCTGCCGCCACTAATTGAGCTGCCCGAGACGGCTGGGGTGAGCCATGTCGCTCGTTTATTTGGCTATGCGTCAGACTCAGCCTCTTTGCAATCGCAGGGGAAACTAGATTTTGGAGGGCCGGTGGCATTGAGGTAGTCCGTATTCGGGGAGGTTTAGACACTCTCCTTTCCCGGAGCACGGCTGGCGACTGTGTTCGCGAGCTAGAGCGCCTAGTTGCAAACGATGCCACTGTGGCCCTAGCATCAACGAAGACGTCTCGAGAAGAGGTGAGAGTAGACATGGCTCGCCAGTGCTGTTGCGCAGACGCTGGTCCTTGCTGGATAGTACAGATATCCAGAGCAGGTCCAGTTTGTTCATCTAGAATCTTATTCCAGACCCAACACTCCTCTTTCGCGTCTCCTTCAAGGATCTCCTGGCTACTTTGCGAGTCTGCATATACGCGGCTTAATTCGCGTAGACGTTGCCATGTCCACCCATTTTCATAGGCATCTTGATTTTGTAGATATGCCTCGGGGTGAGTGATGAACAGACGATGCGTGCCATGCGACTTCATTACGACGCTTGAGGTGAGGAATTGGACGTCCCACGTAGTAGGTGTAACCATTTCGGCGGGCGTCAGAAACCGTAGTCGGGAGTCTTTATGGATCTTTCGTAGAGGCACCCATGGCGAATGGAGGCCCAGGAATTTGGCAACACGGTGGTTGAATGTGGAGCCGTGATGCACATTGCCCTGCATGCGGGAGAAGGTCCGAAATAGTGTACCAAAGGCTTCTGACATAGCTTGGTGTGCACTACGAGCGTCAGGGCCACGAACTATTACATTCTTTATCAAGCCTCGACTCTTCAGTCGCTGTCCAATCATATTGTCAGATGAGCATGCGCGTCCGAGCAGCCATTCCGACTCAATCTCTGGCCCGGCCCATTCACCGAGGGCTGGGGACTGAGGTTCGGAGTTGCCAGACAACCGAACCCATGAATCTGCTTCGGTAAAACTGCCGCTGGAGAGACGCTGGCTATTAAAGTCACGAGACTCCAACCATACATTTTTGAGTGGAAAAGGAAGAAAGACAACTTCTAACTCCCATGGTTGTGCAAGAGAAGGAAATGAAGAAATGCCTTGTAGTTGGCTGAGTTGGGCTTTCAAGCTTTCGAGTTCGCTTTGCAGCTCTGCACGGTCCATTATGTAGCTGCCGGTGCTCGTTGAGATGGATACAACGCTGGCTGCGGTGTCATCGAGTCTATCACGGCGAGACCAGCCAGACGTATGACTTGCACTATCATTGAGTATCTTTTCGCACTCTTCAACACGTGTTTCTAATTCTGTGATTCTCAGGTCGGATTGGTCATGCTTCTCATGACATGCGTCATGCGCAGCGGCAGAGAATGAGATGTTTTCGAGATTCTCAATGCGTTGTCCATAACCCTGGACCGTGTTAGATAGCAGATGATAAGCTTCATTGTTCATCCTTGAGGTAGGTGATTGATCTGCTCCATTACTCGTGTCTCTATATCTTGTTGATCTGGGTGTGTTAATAACGGTTTGACCATCGTTCACGGATTGGTCGGTGTCATGGTCAGTGGCATTTTCATCCTCTGGCTCCGTAGATTGGCCCTTTTCCTTCTCCCTTAGTGGCTCCAGTACGGTAGATCTGACACCACTAAGCGTCTGTAATCCTTTCCCAGCAAAGGGCTTCAAATACGCTATCCGCGTGGAAGAGGTAGTTGAACTTGGCTGTGATGCCATGAGACACTGGCTAGGTATTGGGGGTAGCGAGACAGCTGGATCAGGTCCCGATTGTATAAAATTAGTCCAGGCCAAAGTATCGGGCAATGAAGGCTGTGTGACTTCCGGTGGCGGCGCATTTTGATCTCCATGGGAGGTAGGGCTAGGGCTGTTGATCGCATTCAAGTCCATATGCTGTACTACAGGTCCAGGTGGGTTAAAAGACAGGTCCGCAACTACAGGCGTGAGAGGCTCACGATTGGTTCTGGGTCGTTCATTCTCCTGGCCATTCGTGTAAAGGGGAGCGACAATGGGCAATGTGACCGAAGAATTATTATCACGAGCATCATCGTGGAAACAGGCATGATGCGAACACATGCACCAAACTGTCTGGTCCTCATATCCATTGGCAAATCCTGGGGGGAAACCTGCAGGGCTGCCTCTATCCAGTCCGCCCAAAGAGGCGCGACTCCAGAAACGACGACATCCACATTTGTGTCCACCGGCGCCGGGTGTCAAGTCAATGTAATTGCATGGGCCGCCCGGAAGGCTAGGTGAATTGGTAGTCAGGGGCGCATCGGCATATATATTGAAGAAGGAATCGCTTGGTAGCTGAAATTCAGAGGCGGGTCCTGCCATTGGGCTATTCGAGCGACAGTCGCTGGCATTGGAGGTCTATGGATAGCTGAGGGATAACGGAGCGGAACGAGAACGATGGGGAGAGCGTGGTATTTATGGTCGCGCCAGGCGCAGCGCTGTGTGGTGGCCGTGAGGATGTCGGAACCCTGCGCGGGCGACCGTGCCAATACACCGCTAGGTCGCGATCTGGAGATCTCTAACCTAGTACATGACTGCGTTGTGTTAGTCCAAGCTCAGTGTCATCCGCCCGCTCGACGAGCTGTAGGTTGAGCCTGCTCCGGCAGACACTGACCAAAAGCGTATATAGGAGCTCGGTAGAAGAGAAGGCGAATTGTATGATAGAAAGAGCGCGCCGAAGAGCTTAAATAAGAGACGGTGAACACTTGGCGTGGAATTTGAAAGAGCAATGCGAACGACGAAGGCGACGAAGGGGAAGTGAGGTTGCCAAAAGTGAGGCGTCCACCTAGGATTGGCCCGATAGCTGTACCTACTTTGCACAGGCAGGAGTCGAGGTATGTATGTATGTATGTAAGTATGGATGTAGGTAGGTAGGTAGTATGTACAGGAGTAGGTGGTGGTGGTGGTGGTGGTGGTGGGGTTGGGCAGAGAGCAGATGGCAGATGGTGGAGACAGGACACGGGAGGACAGGATGCCTACAGCATCGAGAGTCGCTTCGTGAGTCTGACAGCCGACAAATACACAGGGGGTGGAGTGGATGGTAGGTTGTGCATATCTACCTACATAAGTAGGTACTGTAGGTAGTTTATCTAGGCAGAGAACAATCACCACAGAATAGGTACAAAGTAGGCAAAAATCAGATGGAGGAACACAGCAAGACACACAGAATATCAGGGGAGTGGTTACACGTTGTGTATCCACCGGTTTCTGCGTTGCGAGCCAAGCTGGAGGTGGTGGCGTAGAGGTAGACCAGTCGACGACGACAACGGTGACAACGACGACTCGCTTTTTCTTGCGATCTACCTACGCTGCCTGCAGTGCGCACCGTACTTACACACACCCATGTCCTTCCTCGCAGAACTCGGATCGCCTTACTGTAGGTAGATACCTAGGTAGTGTTCTAGATAGGTACCTAGGTAGGCAGACACGCATACAGTAACCGCCCATGGACAGTCATCGCAGTCGAGAGGTGTCCAGCTTGTCACGGCTGTCTCGCAGCGCCCATTACGGAGTAGAGCAGGCAAAGACTTAACGCGCTTCGGAAGAAACGAATAAGAGGCGTCCAAACGAGGCAGGGATCTCGCGCACCAGTGGAGCGGCAGCCCTCCCCGCCCCGCAATCCCCCTCCCTCTCCCTCCCTTTTTAGGGATCCGGGATCCCTGCACCGTGAATGGCGCCGAGCCAATGGACTGGCGCAAGAAGCACGCTCTCGAGGTATCGACGCAAGCCGCTTCTCCGAGTCCACCGCCGAAACTAGGTGCTCGACGTCGAGCTGGTGCACGGAAAGTGACTTTGTCGACATGAACGAGCAGCTCTCATGCTCGCTCACTTACGAATTGCCGCTGCCGCCGCCGCCTCGCCGGAGGAAATGAGGTGAAACATGTTTACCACCTTACATGGCAAGCACAGGTGATTGGCTACGTAATCTAGGTAGGTGGTTTCTGCAGCAATTGCTGCAGGTGACTGGAGTCATGAATGATGAAAGCAGGGCGACTCTGTACGCCTCATTTCCTTCACTACCTAATGTAGGTATACCGTGTCTACATGACAAACGCTCATGATATTTTTATCTCGGAATCACCCCGGGAACCTCGAGCCTCCCCTGAATGCCACCGAGATTGCGGCGTTATTCATAGCTAATGTAGACCGTCCCATCGTCTGGGCACCCTGATAAGGGAATGCGAGCTTGAATCGGCAGCATTTCGGACATGTCAGAGCTATCGGTGAAATAAATGCAGAAGATGGCGAGGTGCTTTGCCCATTAAAGATTGAGCAACCCAATTCTATAGTAGATCGTTAGGCTAGATCATCTAATCATAATATACATAAATCTTGTTCGTATCAGGGTATATATAATACATTTGCTTGAACGCGTCGACTTCGTTATATCTCACCCCAGCTTCCCATGGGTCCCGTCGTGGCAATCATAGACCCAGTACCGACAGATCCGCCGATATCCCAGTAATGGCGAGATGAAGAGCAGCTGCTTCGTCTGACGGACCGGCGTGTGCTCTGGCTTGCACAGCTTGACACTGGTTTATGTAATGCCGCGCTGGACATGGTTGTGGCCTTGGACTTGCGCCTCTCTGCATTGCGAGGCCGCGACACTAGAGGGTGGTGTTGGCGGACTCTTGCCGCCATTGCTGCTGCATCCTGCGTGCCCGATGTCGGTCCTGTCATATGTGAAGCACCAGAGAGTGTGCTATTGCTGCTGGAACGCGGGAAGAAACGAGTTCTTAAATACCTGAATACCAGCCGGATATCAAGGTCTTGCTCCCACTCCTCTTGCGTGAAAGCGATGTTGCTGTCTGCCTGCAATTGTGATTTGCTATGAGCAGTTTCCGGCGGATGACGTGCCTGCGGTATATCGATGGGTCTTGAGGTTGTGATGGTCGGTTGGAATTCAGGTAAAGCCATATGATTCTCACGCGCTGTCCCATCCGATACTAGATGACTAGCACTTTCAGGAATGGCGGGTAGACCTGCATAAGGGATAGGCATCTGCTGGACCTTACTAAAAGTTGTGAATGCACCAGGATGGTCTGAAAGGTGATGAACTAATAGCCCCAATTCTTTGGCAACCCTTTCAAGCATCTTGCTCTGCCAGCTGGAATCCGGTGCTGCATCAAGGGACATTTTATCATCGCGATTTGATGACGGCAAAGCCGATGCCCTAGGCGTTGTAGAGAGCTCCTCCTCGTCTGGAAGTTCTTCACCGAAGAGGACACTTAACATCTTATCATCAATACCTAGAAGATCCTGTACCACCTTACGAGTAACATGGGTCCATATGCTCTCACGCTTCTCATGGCAATCGTTCATATTCTGATCGTGCCAAGACTCGTCCGCATTTTCCTCCCTCAGTCCGCCGGCTGCGGCCCCCGTCGCATTTTCGGCACTGTGATCGATATGGTGCACATTTGACGCAGTAGATACCGATCGACGTCGTCTCCGAGTTTCCTTCTGTATCTCCTCCAACAGATAGCGGCTGTGTTCGAGACGCCACGACTCTATTCGGTTTATTTTATCCCTTTCCTGGTTGCTTTCTTTTTCTAATTCCGCTTGCGCTAGATTCAGGCTTTCTCGCCGTCTCTTTATCCGCCGAGGATTATATTGCTCGAAAGCATATAACCTGTTCTGGACATCCTCGCCCATGCCCTCTTGTTCCAGCTGGAACAGTCCCAATCCATCGTGGTTAGGGAAAACGGGGTCCGTATGGGGAAGCGCTGTAGATGATACATAGAAATCGGGAGTAGACCGGAATTCAGGCAAGTGATTGTCAAGACTGTCTAACTCGGCATCGTCCTCGTCCTCAGCGAAATCGAGGAAGCTATCGGTACGATGATGTGCTGCGCTAGCCTCAGATGGGGCGATTGTATCAAGGCTTCCGAAAACATCAGATCGCGAATGACGTCGTGTTATATTAGACCTATGGGTTGATGTGAGGTACGAGGAGGTAGTGCCAGCATCAGTTGCCGGCGAGAAAAGAACCCAGGTCTGAGACTCATCGGTGGGTTGAACGGCGGGTACCTGAACATGCTGGGCAATATCGCTTTCTGGTGCAGGCCTGAAGACGCGTTGCGCAGCCTGGCGGGTGGGTTGGTGAAAGGCCATGGTGCTTGGTATCAAAAGGTGCCAGGATCAGATAAGAGTCACCCAACTAGGGGACAAACCCTGGCCCAGCAGATAGATACTTCCTCGCCCAGGTTGAACGACGAGACATACAATGGTTTGTTATATACAGATACGGATCGTCGACAGCGTATGCTGTTATCGTTGTTGAAGTTGGCGGCGACGGACTGAGGGGTGGCTGGTCTGATAAGCTGTCATATACAATAAATACATGGGCCGTTGGAAGGAGTCGAGGATAGCAGTGGAGTGGAAGGTCGCGGTTACCGGTATTTGTGATGGAGTGCTGGACGATGCCGGCACTAGGGAAATTAGAGTAGATTGGTAGGTTGGCAGGTATAATAAAAGTTCGAAAAGGCAGGCAACCCAACCCAGCACATCCAGATCTGAGAAAGGGCCAGGGCAGGGCGACTCTTGTGTCATCAGTCGATGACCTATTTAAAGTCGCGTGGGCTGTTCAGCAACAAGTTGCGAGTCGATACCACCTGGGCACCTGTTGGCGAGGTACTTACAGTAGGTACATATGCAGGTAGCCTGTAGGGGAGGGATCAGTGTCTTAGTGTGACAGCCCGGGTAAGGCGCCAACTGTCTTAGCTGTAGACTTAGCTGTCTTAGTGCGCCCAGACGGTGGAGTGGAGGTACCTAACCTCCCTATTCTCCCTATTGCATGCACTGCCAGACGCTGCGATCCGCTCTTTATCTAAAGTACCTCCCAATAAAGGAACCGGCTGTCCATCGGCAGGGTGTTGGGTCCGATACTGGCTCCGACTGGCCTCCCATTATCCAGCTGTCCAGTGTACCGCGCATTACCTACCGAGCCTATTATCTACCTAACCTAGGCGAGCTAGGGACTTATCTTTGAGAGGGCCACGGGACTCGTGCGTCGTGGTCGTGGCCCGCCAGCTAACAAACAAACGGTGACCCGCCACCGACCACCGGTATATCGACGTAAGACAATGGTTGTATGATGCGATGAGCCGCCAGCACGAACCATGCTTTCTCAGTGGTGAATGTCGGTCAATCTGATCAGCGTCTACCCATCACTCTGTCTGTTTCTGTACCCGTGGGCTGTCTGTCGTGCCATGCTGGTGTTGTATTTGCTCGAGCGGCCTCTCCCGTCCTTGACCTCGTCACCAGTATTTCGGGGTAGTATTTAATACCCATCCATGCCCGATCCTGACCTGGCTAGAATACTACTCCTGACGCCTCTGTCATGCAAAGATTAGATGAGAGAGTAAAAGGTACACGTATATTGGTACCCGAAACAAGGGAACACATCGCTTCTCATCGCGGATTTATTTCATCCCTGCATACAGTCATAGGTAGGCATATTACATATCTTCATTCTCCATAGCTAGGTAGTATTCTCAGGCTTATTTCGTAAACTCACTCAACCCTACGAGAATAAACGTCAGCAGGCTTGTCAAAGCGCTCTGCGCTGGGTCAAAATTGTTCGTTTGAAACAAGGGGAATCATGGCCTTAACAGTTGACTCTGATATCTGCTCCGGTCATTCAGCTGACCTTCCAAGCTGTATGACACACCCTTGAATACTACTAGATAACTACTAGATACCTACTGTGGTACCATACCTACTGCAATAGCTGCGGCAGAAAATACACCCGGAGTGATCGTTTCATCGCCTCCCCACTCGAGTAAGGCCAACTCAGTACCTAGGTATGATAAGAAATCGGCGTTTACTGTACAATAGCAAACTAATCGGATAGGGTGCTCTCACAGTCAGGTATCATTGCCTTTGCTGAATAGCCCTCAAGCTGAGTAATCAAGGTAAATGAGGTGACCAACTAGGTGCGAATAATGATACCCACCCATCTCGGAGATGCCTTGTAGGCTGTTTAGAGTTACCATAGTGAATGGGAGGTTATTTCCTCAGCGTGAAGATTATATAGTATACGATGTAAGAAGGGATGGTAAAATAATCACAGGCTTCGTAACCATGACAGTACCACATTAACTACCAGCTTAATCAGACATTTCACGTTAGTTAGCAGAAACTGAGAGTAGATATGGTGTAAATGCAAGATCCCTGTTGACTGCTATGGCACAGTACTATGGTAACCGAATGACGCCAGCCCTCTCATCCCAAGTTTGCTTGACAACAACATAACAAAGTGAATCCTCTAAGCCTCAGCAGAGAAAGCGTCGGGGAACCGTTTAATGTTGTTCGCTAGCTTGCCCTTGTTGCTCAGGAACTGAACGTAGGCACCGTCAGGCAAGAGGTGGCCAGCAGCCTTCTTCTCAAGGTACTCCTCACGACGGAGAGAAGTGAAACCCCAGTTCTTGGAGATGATGATCTTTTGTCGGCCAGGGAACTTGTACATAGATCGGCGGAGAGCCTCGAGAGCGATAGCACGGTCTACATTATGTTAAAAATTACATCCTGCAAAGATTGGATGGGTACACTCACTAGAGTCACGAGTGCGGACGCTGAGGAGAATCTGGCCAATGTTGACACGGGCAACGGAGCCGTTGGGCTTGCCCCAAGCACCACGCATACCGGTTTGCAGTCTATCGGCACCAGCGCATGACAACATCTTGTTGATACGGACGACGTGGAAGGGGTGAGCGCGGACACGTAGATGGAAACCTTCCTTTCCGGCTTGCTTGACGAGGTACTTGTTGGCGCAGATACGGGCGGCTTCGAGAGCCTCTGAGCTCAGCTGTTCGTATTCATTGGAGACCATGTGGATGCAGAGAGGGAAGTCATCGACGTTCGCCTTCTTTCGGCCGAGATCGAAGATGCGGATCTTGGGGTCCGGTACACCACGGTTGAATCGGGATTTGGGATACGGCTATTCAAGATGTATTAGCTTGTGCCAAAGAAAAAACGCTATAGAGTTTGCGCTTCGTATTGGAAAAGGATTTGTGATCATGTGTTTCTCTCTTAGCGCAGGGTAAATGCAGAGGAATCCGACGAAGTCATCTAAAGGCTATAGTCGAAACCAGTCCACGATGACCGGTTGGAACGTAGATGACGCAAGTTCCATCCTCATTTATCCTCATCTCTTCAAAACTCCAAAATGTGTTCCTTACCTTGTTCTTGCAGTATCGGTAGCAACGAGCGGGACGACGCGCCATCTTGTCTGATTTTTCGTGATGTGACGTAGGTACTGTTGATGGGAGTTGTGAGGTCGACAAACTGAAGGAGGCCAAACCGTCCTCTTGAAGTTCCAGCGGATGGCAAAATTGCTTTGAAATCAAAACGAGGCACAGTCAGTGGGGCAGTCATGAGAGCTCCCATTGGCTCAATGGCCAAGAAGAGAAAATGTGGGGTTAGGGCTACAGCACGCACTGCAAATAATCAAATAATTAGTGCAGGGGCCCGCCAGGCCAGCCGAATCCATTGGCAGCCCCAAAAAGTTTGGACTTCGCTACATTCGACGATTTCGACCTTCTCGTTGTTCACCACCAACACCGAAGTCCAATCCTCAAACCGTTCCGCACGAGGCATCAATTCGCACAATGGCCAAGAAATCCAGGAAAGACGCCAACTCTATCAACAGCAAGCTTGCGCTTGTTGTTAAGAGTGGTAAAATCACCCTTGGTTACAAGTCCTGTACGAAGTTTCCATCCCGATTTTCCAGCTGATACTGGAAGCTTACAAATACAATAGCCCTCAAGAGTCTGCGATCCGGCAAGGCGAAGCTTGTCATCATTGCCGGCAACACGCCTCCTCTCCGCAAGTCCGAGCTCGAATACTACTCGATGTTGTCTAAGACTCCAGTCCACCACTTTGAGGGCACCAGCGTATGTACTTTCCATTCTCTATTTGCTTAATCTCTGCAGAATCGTAGGGGTTGGTGGTCCTATCGACTACCATCCTAGCCCAGAGAAAAAGCCTAGTTCGGCTTTGGAGGGTACAAATCCAGCTAACTTTGTGCCGGTATAGATCGAACTCGGAACTTCTCGTAAGTCGCCAACCAAGAGGCATTCGTGTCTCATATGTCGCCCGTCATGACGGAGCAATCACTAACATTAGAAACCACAGTCGGAAAACTGTACTCTTGCTCTACCATGGCCATCCTCGATGCCGGTGACTCCGATATCTTGAGCGACCAGCAGGCTTAAGTGTAACTTGCATTGATAAAACGGCGTTTGGGTTAACGGTCTCAACAAAACGGACAAGGGATTATCCTTCGGGGATTAGGGTCGCTGCATATACTCATCTTAATGAGAAATGATAGCCTTGAAATCGGGTTCTCGTAGTCCAAGTAGCGACATCCCAGATTTGGTTCTGGATGCGCCATAGCTAGCACTCGGCTTATCGAGTATGATCACGAGTGATACCCAATACACTTTTTTTTCTAAGCAAGAGATATTCTGTTCCCGCTCGATTGACACAAGCAGGCTCGTCCATTTTGGTATATACCCTGCCAGATTCTGCTCAGACTTATTGGATTCAGGTGTTTGAGTATTGTAGTATTGCCAACATCAGCTTCGCCATAAACGAGCTACTTGCGATTGATTCGTTCAAACCCCATGATACTTTCCAGCAGTCTAAGAGGTAAACAGGCAGGAGAGGTGCTACATCCTCGAGGGGCCTTTACTTATGTAATCATCACACTATGAGTCTGGTATCAAACCTGACGGCTATGTACAACGCACCAGTCGTACTTGGTAAGACCGTCAGATGAGCTAGATAGATCTATTTGCTCCTAGATCCTCGTGATAGCCCAAGCATACCGAGAAAGCAACCTTGCTTGTGCTAAATTCTTCATGAGGCATTCGTACCAGGTAGGCATCAGGAGACCGAGTATTTTTTACTATGAAGGACTAAAAACATACTCCTTATATCATCAGGCCAGAATCAGGCTAAATTGTTTAGGAATACCTACTCTCTTAAGATACTTCCATTTATACAAAAGACCTCGTCCACAACCATAACGTTCACAAGCATGAATGGCAGTAGGAACCTAGTAGTTGCATAAACTGACAGGGTAGTGTGTGTCATATAGCTTATACAGCTCAGCTATCACGTTGTCTCCAGCAGTACATCAGTAGTCAGCGTTCAGTGTGAACTGTCCTTAACAGGACCCTGACTTCACGCTGAGCTTTGAAGCAGATCTGCGTGAAGAACTTCAAATCCCTTGGTATCTAGACCTAATTATCGGAAAGCCACCTACCTCAAATCATAGGCTGTGGGTATATGATTCATTGATCGATGAACTCCACTGCTAATGACCTTGCTGACTCAAGCATCAAAGTATATCTGGTTGGCATAACTCGGAGATATTATCCTTAAAGCACTTGATTTGATGCACTTGACACATATGGATGTTTCAACTCGGATAATATTTTCTCCCAACATGCTCTTGACTCATATACTGCTCATACTTGGTTGTAATGCATGAAAGTACCTACGTAGCATACAGAGTAGCTAGGATGTCAGCATGACGGTAATCAAAGGGGGTATCCGGGCAAAGTTGACCTATTTTGAGCATATTTCAGCGCCTACACTAGTCTACGAATATGACAATACGCAAGCCCTCGGTACTATTAGCAGACTCTGTATTTTACACATCCATCCAACCTTGGATTCTACCACGCCTACTTTTCTTTACATGGCGAGCATGGGTACGAGCACGAAGTTTGGCTCGATCTCCTGAATACCAACTGATACAAGACAATCTTTTTGTGACAGACGGACCTTACATCTATTGAACCTTGACAAATCTCCAAAGCTTAAATAACTAGACAGAGGGAGTTGCATGGCAGATACCTACTATGTAAATGTACATGAGTACTAAGTAGACAATTCAACGAGCCTAACCAGCTCAATCCTGATTAGACCGGTGACCCAATATGGGGACATTGCCGGCGGGTACTTTGCCTCCCTTTTTAGGTATAGCACCGCTCGCTACACTATTGAGGGGTTACCTTCCCGCCGATGATCGATACTTCTCGGAAAGTAGATGGAAATGATCCCCCCCTAAAAAACAGACCCTTGAGCACTAAGCACACTACTGAGCACTTCAAGCGCTTTGGCGGTCGAACAAAGTGTGTTAGGACGTTAGAAGACTGTTAGGAGAGAGAGGGGGCTCGGCCTTTTCCCTTTTTTCTAATTTAGGGAGCGCCTTGTACCGCATTTTGCGCCACGAGACCCTATCAGACCCTGCCCAATCCGCCCTAGTGCTGTGTGAGCTGTTGAGCGTTACCGCCCCGGATCGATCAGATCACATCTGCATGCCGGGACGTCGTGGCCAGCCAGCTCAGTGCGACACAATAGGAGAATAACAATAACAACAAATTGCATACATAGCATTCTGATTCACCCCCAAGCATTCAAGCGTCCGACAGTCCAGCATTCCATTCATCCTTATCGACTCAGCAACGAGGCGTCGGTCTGTCGCAGCCTATCGCTTCCCGCATACCACAACCAGTCGTCAGGTATATGTAGTTTTGGGTACACCGTCTCGAGTCCAACCATGTCCGCTGCGACTAAGAAGCCGAGTCCCTCGGCATCTGGCCGAGTATCCTCGTCAGACGGCAATCACGCGCCCGCAGCCTCGAGAACACCTCGGGCATCTACGCCCACGTCCTCCGCGTCTTCGGCCACCCCTGCGAATGCGACCACCAACGGTACCCCAACACGGACCCGATCCATTCGCACTGGAACTCCTGTATCGGCACGGGCTGCCGCACACAGGACGAGCTCATCCCTTAGCATATCCCGCAGCGCCGACTCTGATGCTCGTGCTGAGACCATTGCGCTCATCGAAGATCTCAAAGAACGGCTGCACAAAGCCGATGTGGCGTCGGAGCAGTACAGGAAACAAGCAGAGGTCTTGCAATCACGGCTAGATGACGCCCTCAAGGAGCAGGCCAAACTAGAAGAAAAAGCTCACGAGAACGACGAACAGATCGAAGCCCTCAGGAATGACAAGAGAGAGACCGCAAGGCAAATGCGTGAAATGGAGGCCATCTATGAGGCTGAGAGGAGCTCTATGATGAAAGAGAAGGAGGAGATGTCCAACCGAGAAGAGGAAATGCAGGGCATAATTAACCGATTGAAAGACACTTTAAATCAACGTAATGCTGAGGATGAATACCGATTAACCAGGCAATGTGAGTTCGGCGAACGCCATGGCTTTCGAACGTAGTGGTATGCTAACCATATGCCCCGTAGCAAATAACAACTCGCCCAGCGTCGACAGCAGCAACTTTGCACCGCCTTCCTCTATCCAGAGGAGCGATTCTCGGAACAACTCAAAGTTACTGCTTCAGAAAGACAAACTCATAGAATCGTTGCGTCTTGAGTTGGCAGAAGCTCAAATCAAACTAGTCGAGACTGAGAACCAAGGAGGCGGGCGCCTTCACGAAGTTGAACGGCTTCTTATGGAAGCCCGGATGGCGAATGCACGTTTGATGGAAGATAACGAATCATATCAGCTCCTGCTCCAGGAGAAAACGCTCCATGGGGACTTCGGCAAAGGTGACTTCAATTACATGGGCGTATCAGCTAACCAGGATGCTCTTAACGCGCTGGAGGGCAGGAGCAGCACTGGCGGTGCCCTAACGCCTGGAACGAGTCTAGCTGATGAGCTTGGTTCCATTGCCGACGAATCTGAGATGGGCGAGAACCCCATGCGCCAGATGGAATCAGAGCTCCGTGCCCTGAAAGATCAGAACAAAGCTTTGACGCTGTACATCAACAAGATCATTGAACGACTGCTTCAGCACCAAGAATTTGAGCATATTCTTGACCAGTCTGACTCAAAGTCTTCTGCTAATGTACATAAGGAGCTTCCCCCACCGCCCGCATCTGAAATGCCAGGTGTAGGGGTGTCGCTGCTGCAGCGTGCCAAATCCATCGCTACGGGTGGTAATGCGGCGCGGCCAAAGCCGCGTCCCATGACTATGATGCCGGCGCAGAACTCGGCGCATAACAACCCTGAGACAGCGCCGAGCATTCCCATCAGCTTGGGACGCGCACAAAGTACACGCCGTGGAGGGCGTCCTATGAGCGAACAATTCACGGGTGCAGCCGGAATTGTGAATGCCATGTACAAGGGTCCTGATGGCCCCTTATCCCCGACACTTAGCAACCCCCGCAACTCAGCATCTTTCTTCTCGGGCGTATCAACGCCACGAGTTCCCTCGTCTCAAGGTGCTCCTAGTGCTGGCAACTTCCCTGGTATGCGGAGCGAGACCAGCAGCGTCAGCGGAGATTCTGCCTCAGCTGAAGGTACTAACTCAAGCCCACCGCGCGCAAGCAGCGGGCACGCAAGCACCGCTGGATCTGAAAAGGCCACAACCTTTGCAGGTAACAAGCCACGTCCGCTGCGGCTCGTTCAGGAGAATGCACCCGAAAAAGTTGAGAACAAACGTGCCAGTTGGATGGGTTGGGCATCTGGATGGGGGAAGAAGGACGAGCCCGTAGTAGGAGAGTCCATCAAAGAGTAGTAGGGTTCAGACTTTTTTTTTTTTTCAATCTTCTTGCAAATTTGCCCTCGTTTGCATTATTGCGAACGAAACCTTAGGTTTCACTTGCATCATTGGGAGCGATTACTTCGATTCAGATTTTTTCCCCACATATATATTCCCCTTTCTTCCTCTTCTTGTATGGTGCGGATTGGCCATGTTGGCACTGGGTAACTTATATATCCTGCGTTGAATTTGGGAGTCTTTTGAGAGACGTAAACGATTGCATGTTCATGTAACGCCGGAAGGGAGTTTTTGTTGAAACGTCAACTAAGTGAGGGATTCCGGCTGGGTTCAGGTAGCGATGAGATGATTTATGGAAATAGAAATGAGAAAAGATATCCAGGATGATTTTATTTATGCTCCTATGAAGACAGGTATAGTGAGTTCTATGTTCTGTGGTAACAATCGAAAGAGGCAAACGATGAATTTAGAATGAGAGACGTTTGTGAGTAGATACATGGCAAACTGATTGATAGATTCATTCATTTTCGAAAGTCGAACTGCCGTTCGTTTGTCTCAGACACATAGGTTACTTGTTTGGGCATGCCGAAGCTCGAGTGGTTTGGCCCGGCCCCCTTTAATGTCTCGGTTGGCTGCTTGTGCTACATGATTTAGGTATGCATACATATACGGCGCTGTTAGGCAAGTCTAAATGACGTCGACTTATCGTCAATATCTAGTGAGTGTTTATCGAATTGCAGGACAAGTTCTCGAGTGACAGGCCGTGTGGTCTGTTGATTTTCCAAGTATCGTCATAGATATCTACCCCTGACTTAAGTTATGCTTTATATATACTTACTCAAGTAGAAGCTCTTCATTCTACACTTGCAACACAATAGGAGACTGGACGTAGATGGCCACAGATAGTCCTCGAAGATTAGGGAACTTGGCGTTTAGTACCTCCCCAGCGCCTCTGAAAGCTTGTTTAGGCCTATTTTGATGCCCTGGCGCCGCAACTCCTGAGACAAGACATATCGACGTAGTCCGATATGCATTAGTCATTACAGGCTATATTAAGCCCTTGATTTGGTCACTTGATCAAGGGACTGATAGATACTTCTCGGTGACGTCGTTATATACGCCACTTCTAGCCTTCTGGCTTCCAGCGTTGAAATGTACGTTTCTTCATTTCAGTTACTGCAAGCTCTCCTTTTCTTCTAGGAGCTGCTTTCCCACACACGGCCATGGCTGCTGTCTCAGCTTTCATGACGCATTTGTTTGGGAATTAGGGGATCCTGTCTGAGCTCGTGACTGCTAAAGGCTGGATATTATCGCTCTTGATGGTTTAGCGCAGGAGATGAAATTTTGGCTTTATTTGTTCATATACATGAGAAGCTGTAAGTTTATCTAACGTAAACAGCACTTTACAGCAAACAGTGCAGTAGCAACCGTATCGTGTGAGTTCAGTTCCTCGCTCTTACACCTTGAATTACAAGCGACTCGAACATGCGAATATACACATATATACACCAACACAACGCCAAGTGACAAACGGTCTGTCGTAAGCAGATACATCGAGCATCCGAGACTACCAGGAACACTAGCGGTGAAGTGGTTGTATTCGATGATGCCCGGAGCAGAAGATCTATGTCAAGGCTCACTTTCCTCCTTTAGTGTACTACCTACTAATCAAGCAGTTTGAAGGGATAAACTGTAAGGCAAAATCTGGGGAGTTTGCCTTTGTAGTTACACAACGTGTCACTTTTTTCACTGCATTTTTAGCCTCAGTCGGTCGCTTGAAACGCCATTCAAAGCTACGCACTGTTAGCGAGCCTGTCATATACTAACAGCTGGATCTTCACTGCATTCTTAGCCAACTGCGGCTTCCACTGCAGATATTTGACAGATGTGTGAGATGAAAAAAATATCTTGCTGACATATTATTATACTATCACAGGTCCCGAACAGCAGATCTACTTACCTAGGTAGCTGCTGAACTGTTAGCGTGTTGCCAGAAAATATCAAATTCGCCATTCATCTCTACTGGTGACCAGATATGAGAAGGACTTCCGTAGATTACTTCAAGATTATTAGTTCATGATTTATCCTCGTTTCTTTGCACCATGTTCTGCCATCAACTCCCTTGATGCCTTTCGTTCAATTTCTAACATAGTATTTCCACATGCGCCGTTACACTGCATGCCAAGTCGGCGTGAGGAATCGGTAACACACTACATTTTTACTGTAGACCATGCCGCGCGGTCGAATGTGTTCATCTGTTTCCATACCTAATTATTACGTCTTGCTCTTGTCGGTAGATTGATATCGATGCTCTCTCCAGGCCACCATCATAAGGATGGAAAAACCTGTTTGTTTCGTACCCTGACCCAATTCTCATTTGAGCTGCATAAGGATACTGCGCCCCTTAATGAATACGATGACTATATCACACGTGCTGAATAGCGAATGGAAAGTGCACCGTGAGTGGGTTCCGAGCAACCTGCTCCGCGCGGCCTAAAAATGCAGTGCAAGCATTCTGTCTATAAAGTAAAGGACCGTTCCCACGTCGAGGATGAACATCATTCCCCAAGAACTTTACTCTTCATGGCACACTCTCCCGGTCCTATGGCAATGTAAACGAGTAGCACTATGGTACTTCGCAATGTATAAGAGGAGCTCAAGGTTCCCTAGAGTCTTCTGCATTGGTTGCTCTCTTGTCTGAATTTCCTTTCCTTTAACTTGCAGGAGGGTAATCGTCAACTTATCTGAAAGCGATATCACTTGATTGTCTATAACGAACATAACTAGAGGGGAATAAGCTGAAAAGCAGGGAAGGGGTTGATAAAACCATTTGGTACTGTGAAAGTGCAAAAATGCTGCAAAATGGGGCGCAGCACTCCTCTCCTCGTGGGGTCTAAAAATGCAGTGGAAATGCAAAGCCCTTTGACAGAGCATGCACGAGACTTTCTGCGCTACTTTACTAAAGCTCTAATAAAGTTATTTCAAAAGTAGGTATATAACCACCCCCCAACCATCATGCCTGTTACATATATTCGAGGCGCTGGCTTCTTGCTATTTCTCATCGTATCCTACCTTGTGGATCTGGTCGTATGTTAGTTAGTAAGATGTCTAAATAATCAATGACCTCGCTCGTTTCAATATGTATTATATTTGAAGGCACATATCTGAGCCACGTTTGGTTTTATTATATTAGACGACGAGTATGGAAGACTATTTCAGGTAAGTATGCAAGATTGTTCCACTTGAAAGATCAAAGACTGGCTGGTATTTGAACTTAGCAGCTTTGACGCCTAGTTGGGGAGGGGGAGGTCGCGGGATAGGAGATATACTAGAATTGCGAAGCATCTCCGCGGATCCTATGGCAACTGTCTATACACGGTGAATGACACAAAAGCTATCACCTAGATACTTCTCCGAATCTCAGGCAATCCATGATATTAATCTCACATCGACAACCTATTCATTCATAAGATGCGTAATGAATGTGGTAAACCCCCGAGAGGAGAACAGAGCAATGCGTTTGGATAACGGTAACATGCGCTGTGCGACTTGACTTTTATAAGCTATAAATAAGACCCGTGGTGATGCGGCGCGCGTCGTGTGCTTAGTAGCATGCCATGCCTAAGAGCACGTATGGACTTTGTCTCGGGTGATGAGGATAAGGAGAGGCCACCGTTGGGCTCCTCATGGCTACTAGGCTGGACACACAGGTTCGAAGCAGCCGGGTGATCTGTCCTCGTCTAAAAAGGTTTCAAATATAATCTGAGCAGGCTGTTGCGTTAAGAGAAGTAGCTTGTCGAATAGAGCAGGATGGCTCGGGCTGTTCCTTTAGCATGATATCCCTTGACAAGTACTTCACATAGGGTATCCCTTTATTAGAGAATGTCTTCGTTTATTTAGCCTCGGTATGTCATCTTGAAAAATTTTTGCATCATTCCTCATGAAAAAAGGGGATAAACGCGGTATCCCATGTGGTTGGTTGATTGGTAATAACAGGTTCCTCCCGTCTTACTATTTACACAAACGGGCGTGGGATTTGATGTCACGTTTAGCTACACAAGCACAATGATATAGCTGTGGTACTAGGCCACCCGCAAGGCATATTTTGATTACGACTTTGCCTTCAATATGGAAAGTTGTGCGCGTTAACAACTCCCTTGCGAATTTCCCATTTCACAAAACCCTACTCTTTCTTGTGCGCGCGCGAACGAGTCAAGCTCAAAGGTGGCATTCTATTCCTTCCCCTGACTGACGGAGGAGAGGGAGGGTGTAGACATGCGCCATTGCGTCACCATCTCAGCCTTCTTGGCCGGATATTCTAAATAGGGTGCCTGGGAATGTCTAAGGCGTTACCTGTGGCTTGACCATGGCGCGAAAGAAAGAGGACAGGACACAAAAGACCATTCTGGGCTCTCAGAGACCTTGGCTGTGCCCGTTATCGTAGGGAAGCATCCTTCTCCCTCCTTCACCCCACATCGAGCAAAGGATTCCTGGGCTGCATTAGACTTGGCAACCGAGCCTATTAGGGTGACGGGTTCCTGCGCAGATGACCACCCACCCCAGGCCAGGTTTCCCAATCGATCGATGCCATGTCAACGGACCGCGACGCTGACAGGAGTGGGAGAGACCAGAAAGAGGAACTTTGGGGGCGGAATTGGCACCTCCCGCGGGCTTGAGTGACTGACGAGGTACCGTCCGAACGGGCCGCCGGCGTATTATGTCAGATCTGACGTGAATCGGACACGTTTCATGGAAGCATTCTCGAACACTCGTGACAAATCCGGGTAAGTAATACCTCCTGAGTTACTTACCATATACGCCCATAGCCGTACGAGAATAAAAAATAAAAATAAAAAATAAAGACCTTACTATGGGAAACCCATTAGACGAGTGGGCAATGGGCGGATCATCCCGTCGAATTCATCCCGTAGCTGTAATAGCGTAACACCAATACGGACGATGTCCAGTGACTCGGATGATATGTATGCCACCAAGCTGTGCGAGCGTCAATCATCTTGTTTTCATATATGAAGTGAGAAAGCCGAGATTAAATCAGGGATGTGGTCCGAGATGGGACGACAGAAGGCTCTCTTTTGAGGTAAGGCCTAGTCTAGCAAAAGCGAGGGCTCCCGTTTTGGGACGACCACGTAGTCGATGTGTGATAACGACAGCAAGGTACCTATTATAGTGTGATAACGATGATGATGATGATGGGTAACATTCGTGATTATTAGGTAGTTGTGAGGGCAGAACAGCAGGTAGAGAGACGACATTTAATCGCGCGCGCGTGGGTTGCCGTCCACATGTCGATCGCTGAGAGGTCCAAGATCTGCCGGGGTACAGGTTCCCTGCTTGTACACCACCACTTCGCTTCCCCAAGATCTTCCATACCTAGGTAGAGTACATGTAAGTGTGTGCATAGATAGGTACATATACTTATATATAGGCATAGTTATCCTGCCACCACCCTCTGGAGACATGTAGGGTGACATGATGGAGGGTGGTGGCGTGGATGTACAGCACCAGGCTGGGAGATGGTTTTTTGGGTAAGGCTGTTGGCGAAGGCTATGGTTGTCTCGCTTATTATAGGATAAAATACTATGTACCTATTCTAATTTTGAATTGTAGTGTAATTGTGCTCGTGCTCGCGCTCGCGCTCGCGCTGATGGTGACGCTGACATATGTATGGCACCTACCTACCTGGCCTCTCTAGTAGGTAGTTTAGTGTAGTATTCATATTGTACACGTAAGGGCTAGGGCAGCATGGAGTACCTATCGTCTATCTACTATGTATCCCTGAGCGCGATGACTCGAAATTAATTACTTGGTCGGACCTGTATGTCCACGCGCGTGTGTGTATGGCGCGGAGAGAGCGCCGAGCCTGGCTTGCGGTGTCGCTTAGGATTTGCACCGGACCCTACCGGACGAAAATACACCTTCAACCCATGGCGGGCCGGATATCCATATGTATTTTTGATGGGATTTCTCCGCCTCGACTGAAATATACATACACAAACCCGTCAATATGTTATTAAGCCTCTGACGCAAAATACAATAGGCGACAATAGACAATAGAGGGCTGGGCTGTGAAAGGAACCTGTACAATGTCATCTATCTATAATAGTCCGGGTCGACCGGGAGCTACTGTATAATCAATCATTCCGGAGAACTTAAAGCTGCAGTATTGACACGACGGTGCTATTTCTCTGTGATGGGCATTGTATACCTACACTCTATCATGTGTACCAGACATACGGTAGGGCTATCCCTTCGACCCATCTCTGACCAATCCTCGACTCAGCACAGTAGACCTTATTACAGTGGTCTTGTAGTCAATCTCACTACCGGATGATTAGTTGGATTCATCGATATGTTTCCTCAGACTTCGCTCTACCTTAGCTTGATAAGCTAGCGATATTGGTCTGTTCTAGGGTTTCCATGAGAATAAAATCTAAGGCTGCAGTGGATACTTGTATATCTGCGACAATAAGTACGGAGTAGTGTAGTACCAGAGACTGACTACCTAGGTATGTGTAGGGACACTATCGTGTTGAGGGTTAAAACAAACACACAGGGAAATGAGGTCTCGTCATGATGGATGCTCAGCTGATTTCTGCTCAGCACGGTACATCTCTAGGGATATTTCCAGCTTTTACCCTTCCTTTTCATCTTGATATCATATATGACATAGCACACACTCCAGTACTCATCGTCAGTTCACACACTCTCGGTAGGTAGTGTGTACAGATGTGTAATAGGTAGACTACCTAGTAGGTACTGAAAACGATACGCTACTAACGGTGCAGTAGGTGGGACCACGACACCTGTTCAGCAAGGCAATGATCACCCTAGAAATCGTCAAGTCTGGAGCATAGAAAAAAGGTCTCATTACATCTGGGGGTGCTCTAGCCTTGTACTGTAGACTGACAGCTGCCAGCCATCGTGCATTGAAGATCTCGAGTCAAAAGAGGGATGAAACGGTGCCGTCATCACCACCATAAGTCGATGAGCTGTATCTATTCTTTTGCGCACACCCTGTAAAAATAGTTATCTTTGTCGCTACTCGGACCGAGGGTTTATCTTAGGCGTCAGATCCGCACAGAATATCAACGGGAAAATCTATCATGACGGTCCCTTTTTTCAACAGCTGGAACCCCATTGAAAAAGCGTTGAGCCAAGTGTGTCATGACAATGTGTGGAGAGAAAAGAGGATACAGCGCACTGAGATTCAATCATCGTGCTCAGAACAAAGTACTTTCCTATGACCTGACCTAAGTACATGTACATACTACGTACCTTACTATCACGAGATGAGACACCCTAGGCTAATCAAATACGTCACTTGAAATGGGATTCAGCACCAGGCACCTGGTCACTAGGTAGGCTAAGTACATCGTATATGCGAAAAAGCCACCTCAGTCATGATGAAATTGACGGAAAATTTGCTCCCCAGCATGACCTGCCATCAAACAAACAAACGACTAAGTAGGGGGAACTTATACCTAGGTAATCTTTCGTGCGGTCACAACATCTCATCTCATAGGTAGCACGCTTTTACCATACCTTGCTATGCAAGCCCTACTATAAAAGTACCTGGTAGGTACCTAGATAGATGGTGCTACCCAAGTGCTGTATGTAGTGCTTGTTTTACCTCTTATAGCGTACCACTCTGGTGGGCTTCACCCACATGAGTGGCTGGCAGCGTGCCTTTTTATCTGCCTGGTGTTCTTACTCCGTACCTACTCTGTGGCCGCCTAACAATAATGTACTATGTATAACCAACTTGTGGGATTGATAGTAGGGGATAGAATACAATCCTTCTATAACCACCTGGACCTATTATATGGTATAGGAAATATTTAACAGTATGAAGTATTATATATTGATTGATAATATAAGTTAATCCGGAATGGGGTATTTTTTATAAGATGAATGGGCCTGGTATACTTAATTAAAAAAAAAAAAAAAGACTGCCGAAACTGAATGTTAAATGCTGCTGTTTGTGTGCTGGCACACATGTAGTGTACAGGTTTGTGTGATGGACGACGGTACACAGGCTCGCTTATGCGCAATTTTGGATGGTACCTATATGTAGGTACTCCGGAGTACTGCCTCTGAATCATTGTACACGTAGGTAGGTCCATTACATCTTACACTAGGTAGGTAGGTACATGCTCAGTAGGTACTTAATTCAAATCTCTAGCACACTATGTCTACCTCACCGGGAGCTATCATTCCTCCCCGGGGTAGGTGCTATGTCCTAATATGTACTAAGAAGACTCCTGGTTTGCACTTGTTTTTGTTTTACCCCTTCTTTTGGTACCTAGTGAAGATGGCATTGCGTAACATGTACCTACCTATGTATATAGCCTACAAAGCTGTCGCTAAGAATAATACATACTCAGTAGGTACATACCTGGCCTTGTAAGTAGCCATCCCTGTTTTCCCGAAATAGATACCTCCGTTACCACCTCACTACCACCTACACGTAAGTACATGCTACCTTTTCTGGCTTGGCTGGGCTGAGACGTGCGGTAGTGCGGTCAGTACCTAGGTACCTACGTAGGTACTTAGCCAGGTACTTACCTACTGTAAGTACCTAATACCTACCTGTAGGTAGGTAGGTCATCATCGCCCACGCCATCCCGTTGTCCTGGACCTTTTCCCGACCCGACCGAACCCTCGAGTAAACACTCCCCATGCATAACGCCTGCACCAGTCGCACATCTCACCTGCACTTTTTTTTGGACCTGAACCTGGGCTTGGATTTGGTCCTTGACCTACGGACCTCGACATCTATCCAGCCTCCATCCTCCATCCCGCCTAGACAGCGATTCACGGCGATCCTCTCCGTCACAGACGACATAGACGACATAGACGACATAGACGGCACAGACGGTCCAGACGACCCTCGGCTGGCCCTACCGTTATTGACCATTCAACGGACTGCTTTTGTCAGCCTGTGCCACGCTGCATCGCTGCAGTGCATTCTCTCCCACAGCACAGGCACGACCTACGACGCCGACGCATTGTGTCATCCCAGCAGTGCTCACTGTGCTTCTGGCCAACCAATCCTGCCTCCCCCAGACTTCCTCCCTCGGCATACCAGCAACCAAACAGAGCGAACCACAACGAACCACCCTCCGAGCAACACCTGGCCTGGTGATTCCTCTTTGCCCCTTCGTGCAGATTCCCAACCAGTGCTGTCCATTGTTCGGAACTATCCTCGGACGTACATAGCTACCACGAAAGGGTTAGCGACAACAGACCCGGCGGACAAGTGCACCGGCAAGCAGTGGCAATAACGCCAGTGCTCGCTTGCTCATCTCTTGCAGCCAAGACATTTACGATACCTTGTTGTCGACGTACTTCGATCAGCATACCTTGAATCGGTCAACCCGCATGTCAGCGCCCCTTTACGGTGCCCGTACTACGATGGTCGTTGCTGACGAGAAGACACTGGCCATTTGTTCGAGCTAGACCCAATATCTAGATGGGTGGCATGAAACTACATTGAAGACGTGGTCCCATTCCTCGCACAACCCCCCACGAGCAGCGAGCAGCTTGCAGAGCATCCACCTGACAGGTCAGGCATCATGGCGAATACTAATACAACCGCTGGACTGGAAGCCAGCATTTCGAGCTTGAACTCTTTAGATAATGACACGTCCGTGCCATCAAGCGCAAATCTCGACACACAACCCTCCAAGTGGACATCGGCTTCTACGTCCTTGACAGCCTCGCCTGCTCAGTCAAGAGATCCATCACCTACGAGACTATCCAAAACATCTGGAAGATCAAGCCGTGCATCTACTTCACCAGCCCAGTCGCGCAAGAACAGTGCCCAGGACTTGAGTCCCTTAAGAACTCGGTCAAACCTCCTTGCGTCTTCCGCAACTCCTAGACAGCATATCTCATCGACTACAATCCCCAATTTGCCTCCACCATCCGGCACTGACACTGTGCTACGAGCACCTGTCCCGCAGAAATCTACGTCCGCAATCCAGGAGATCTCTAAGGACGCGCCTCGGTGGCCCATCTCGCCACGACTCAAATCACCTCCGCCCACCTTTGGCAAGCCGACAGCTGCCTCATCCGCTCGCAGAAACGATTCAGAGCCCCCCGCCATCAATGTGCAACGAGCTACGCCGTCGCCACATGTGGAACCAAACTCCCAGTCTGCATCGGATGTCGAGGCTGAAGATTCCTATCTGTCATCCGGTATGAGGACACCGAATCGTGGACCGAGCAACGGCTCAACAACTCTCGAAACGGTTCAGGAAGTTAGCCAGCCGAACACACCGCGGCCAGGCCTGGATGCTGCGATCAAGAAGCTTGAAGAGACTGCCACCTCGCAAAATACTGCACAAGCTAGGAGCTATGACACTCTATCTACTAGCGTCAAGTCAAGTCAAAATGGGGCGAACAGTGAGAGTGGAAGTGATAGCGGCAGTGTGAAGACGAACACACGGCGATCTAGTAGCACTGCTCCACCACCTCGCCTAACAAGCAGGCAATCTAGCTCGGCGCTGAAGTTCCACGGTAGGGGACAGACGGGCGAAAGTTCGTCTAAAAATATGACTGTTGAGACCGAAGAAGTCAATGATATGCCTAAACTATCACTGATCCCTAGCGTTGGTGGGCAACGAACTAATGGAAGCCTGAGAACTCGTCCCAGCAACGAGACAATCAAACCCAAGAAAGAGAAGAAGCGGCATCCCAGGAAAGCCACTTCTGTTTCTGCTAATAATGGTGAGCCACTACATTTCATTCCGACACTAAAACTTCGGCATAGCTTTTCGGCACGATCGATCTCCTCAACTTCTGGTCGTTCTGGTCGTTCGCCACCGAAACTTCGCGGTCAAGGATCGTGGAGTGATGAAGCAGTGAAGAGTCCTGGGCAGCGGGTCAAGCGACAAGCAGTGACACGGACTCCTAGTATAACCTCGCATATGACGAATTTACTAACACGAGGTCCTCGCCCAGCATCCTCAAAAGCAGATATCTTTGAGGCGAAGGTGGCCAGCGCGGTAGAAGAGGCCAACTCATCCGATTCTGATGAGACTTTTGTATATGACTCTAACCCACCAGACGCTGAACGTCCTCGCCGCTATCACTCCCGCACACCGAGTGCAACGTCGATGGCTAGCCAGGTGGATCGCAACGGAATGCGGTCCATACACGCGGTCCTTGATGCTGCTCCTCACAACGTCCATGTCAAGAAGAATATGAAGTTTGTCAATACATATACTGGAAATGGAAACGAGAGTGGCCAGGGTGACGATGATGGACGTGGCACTGCTCGGAGTAATGCTGGCTCAGCTAGAGGCACAGGGCGCCATCACCATCACCCTGGCCGTTGGGGCAGGAACAACGGCAACAACCATCTTTCGCTATTTGATAACGAATCTCCTTTTCCTAATGCAGCCCGATCCAAATTCTCTGGTAACACTGCTAGGCAGCCGTCTAATCCTCCTAGCCCTCGATTCAATTCCAATCGAAATTGGTTGATGAGCAGCAAGCGACAAGCCGCTTTGTCTAATGGTTACGACATGGACGACACGACGCCAGGCGCAGACGATGAGCAAACGCCCCTTCTGCAATCTGGCACAGTACGTACCATTCGATCTCACCGAAACAGACGAAATATGCCACTACGGAACTTGGAATCACAGACGTACCATCGGAACCCCTCGTTTCTGAATCGTTTTGCTAGCTGCCTGGTCCTTACGGTGATGCTGCTTCTTGTCATCACGGGCGGTATTGGCTTCATGTTTGCAACATCACAGCCTCTTACAGACGTTGATCTATTGAAGATCGGCAATGTCCTTGCTAGCGAGCAAGAACTTATGTTTGACATCACTGTTCGAGCACATAACCCGAACGTCGTCGTTGTGATGATTGATTCGGCGGATATAGAGGTCTTTGCGAAGTCGCGACATGCTGGGAATGACTCTGAATGGTGGCGTCATCCTCAAGACAACGATTTTACTATACTTGATGACCCTAAAGATGACCAACCCGACGTCAGTGATCCCCAAGATGGCATATCTCCGAATATGAGGCTTGGGAACGTTCATACGTTTAATAGCCCTTTGACCTATGAAGGCTCATTCTTTCAACGTGGCTATACAACTTCATCAGGGGAGCTGCGGCTTCCCCATCCCGGCAACACCACCGAAAGTGGTACAGAGCGGTGGGAACGCATTCTTTCGGATGAGTTTACTTTGGTCATTAAGGGTGTGCTCAAGTACACACTGCCTCTTAGCCAAAAGGTTCGAAAAGTGTCTATATCTGGCAAAACACTTGTTAAGCCAAATGCCGCCAACGATCCGACGCTGAAACCAACCGAACCAGACGTATCGATTTCAGATACGTCAGCCGCTGGGGCAGCCTAGCCCCAACCATTTCCTTTGTATATTTGATGTGATTCTGTATATTAGCGAGTACGATGTTGCATCCTCGGAGCTTCTGGCGTTGGATTCAATTATTTGCCCAGCTAGGCTTTCACTAGCCCGCAGCGGACATGTTCAGCTGCGGGCTTATTTGCTTTAATTTTGTTACATTTATTTTTCTCGCGGGCGGTCAAGAAATCGGTATTAATGACTCAAGACACGTACATAGCCACGGCGTTTTGCACCATGCGGGCTTCATTGCTACAGCATAGGACGGATATAAAAGATACATGGGCTCGCCTTCAAGCGACCTGCGTGTCACTTGCTTTTTTCGTACTGCTTTGGTTTTCTTTTCCTTCCCTTTCGACCTCCCCCTCCCTTTTTCCATGCACGATTGGGCAGGCGGAATTCTGGGACCAGGACTGCTTTTTGTTGTCTTACGGGTTGCGAATTTTATCATCTAGACGGAAGAGTTGGCGACTACCACCAATGAGACCAGATACCCAAAGACAGAAACGGGAAATTAAAGTTTCCGCAAATTCTGTATTGTAATGAATACAAACGCCTTTACGAGAACAAGACAAAGAGATTCAACACAAAATGGACACTTGGGGAAAATTCTGAAGGGAATTACAAGATGTTCTGCTTTTAATGGGGGGGCCTTTACGACTATACATTACCGTTACTACTGCCGTATTCGGCTTTTGGAAGTTTCTGATGTTGTGGCACGACAGTTCAGACGGACAGGAGTGGAGTGTCTTTGCGTTGATTGCTCGTAATATGAGCAGGCAGTGTGGTGTGGATGATGAAGAAAAAAGAACGGAACGAAGTGGAACGGCTGATATCCTGCTTCCCTGACTATTTACATACTCATTTATCATAGAATCAATCTATTCTAGTCTAATGATGAAACCACTAGTACTTTATCTACTCTCTTTCTAGCGTGCTTTGCCATTGTGGGTTTGTCTCGTGCGTAAGTAAGTACGTGGCGTGAGGAGATACCTATACTTCGCTTCTGTTGCTGGCATAGTAGTACTTTGAGCGAATACGGCCTCAATGCCTTAATGGGGTGGGTAGATTGATGTGAGACGATGTGCGTGTGCTTCTTTCCGCATGTGAGAGAGAAGAGGGGAGGAAGTACAGAGAGAGACGAGTATGTATGTATGCTATTCGATGCTGAAATACGCGCGTACGGACGTAAACTAGATGTGTACCACCGACACAGAGCTTTGGTGCGACTGCTGTACTCCTTCTGACACGCGAGAAGGCCAATGAGTAACCTGCCTTGACGATTAACCGGTGTACAATGGCTATAGCTGTAGGAGTAGATGAGAAGTCTTTGTATATAATGTACACCTAACACAAGACTTTCAAGATAGCAAGCCGAAGGAAGTACAATACCTCTACATTGCAGAACAAGACCGAAGGCGGACGGACTAGTGATATGTTTGATTGAATCTTGCGAGCCAGGACATATAATATATATATTCGTCCTTTTCCATCCCTGCCTACCCTAGGTAAGTAAGCTAAGCTGAGCTAATTCTTGGCAATCGTAATCATTCAGAACGGATACAGGTATGGCACAGGACCAATTTGATACAAGTACATATTTCGTAGACGAATTAACCCCCCCCATAATGCCGCGCGGTAACTTCGCGCAGCGCAAGGTATGGTATAAAGAAGCAGGCGGAGTAGGTAGGTCCTCGAGTTGAAAATAGATAGCGGGATGGTAAGGCTAGGCTGTAGTCTGAACCTGTCTGCCTCACCGTACTTCGGCAGCGACCATCTTGAGGATCTCCTCGGTGTTCTTCCGGGCATTCTTGGGCTCCTTGGCCACGCGCTGCCAGACTTCGCCGTGTCTGGGCTCGACGCTAACGCACTTCTTGATGACTTCCTCCCTCTTCTCCGGGGTGCCGTGCTCGACCAGGAACTTGTAGTACCACGCCCAGCTGTCTCCGAGATCCGAGTCCCGCACGAGGGCCCGCTCGAACCAGTTCTGGGCCTTGTCGAGCCGGCGCTCGCCCCAGAAGATGCGCGCCACAGCCACGAGGAGCACCGGGTCATTCTCTGCTTCCTTGACGGCCTCGACGGCTCGCGGCTTGCGCTGCTTCGGCTCCGTGAGGTGCCAGATCTTTTCTGCCCAGAGTAGGCCTTGCTTGTTCTTGGGTACGTCACGGCGCGCGCGCTCCATTAATGACTCGGCCTGTTTCATGTCGCCTGCGCGGAGCTCCAGGCGCACAGATTCGCACCACAGCTCGGGTGATTTGGGGATGGCGAGACGTGCCCTGTCAAGCACCGAGCGCGCTTTGGGGAGAAGACCCATCGACTCCTCAAGACGTGTGTAGAGGAGCCAGAGGGGAACGGAGCTGGGCACGGCCTTGGCGCCCGTCGCGTACGCTTCGCGGGCCTGCGGTTTCTTGCCCAGGGCGTCGTAGATTTGCCCTTTCATCATCCAGAGCTTTGGGTAGGCGGGGAAGAGATTTAGGGCCTCCTGGACAAGATCGAGGGCTTCGTCGAGGTTACCAAGCTGCCGCTCAAAGGCAACACTCTTCATCCACACACGATCCGTGGGTGCTTCCTGTCGAGCTTGCTTCAGCAAACCACGGGCTTGTTCTATCTGGTCGTTTTCGGCTTCAAGCTTGACGGCGGCGAGCCAAATATCTTCGTTGTTCGGGTTCTGCTGGAAGGCTCTGGCAAGGACACGGCGTGCATTGTCAACTTCTCCAGCTTGCCATTTCTCCTTTGCAAGCATCATCCACAGGACCTCGCTGTGAGGAACTGCGTTGACTGCCTTCTCCAGGACTTGCCAGAGATCCTCTCTCTTGCCAAAATTCCTCTCGAGATCTGCGGCTGCCAGCCATATGGTTTTGCTCGTGGGGAAGACACGTAAGGCATATGCATAAATAGCTCGAGCCGTTTCGTACATGCCCCTATTGATACTCCCACGCGCATCTTCTAACCACGTCTCTTTGCGATCATCGTCCTCGTCTAGGCCATAGCCTAAAGTCTCTCGAATAATCGCACCACATGATATGATAGCTCCCTCTTCTTCACATTTCTCAGCTTCCGTGATCCAATCTTCCCGCTTAGGCATAGCAGATTCTTTTGCTAAAACCTGGACTGCACGTTTCATAACATTAACCTTTTCACCTTCGCCGAGCTGCTCTTGTAATCTTGTAGCGGCTATCCAAATCTCATGAGACGTCCGGCAGTGTTTACGAGCTCTGTTCAACACCTTTTGGGCGTTCTCCGGAGTTTCTAAGCGAGCTAGTGCTAGCCATAGATCAACTGATAGTGGAATAAGTTCGGTGGCCTTTGCGAGGAGCAATTTCGCATCTTCGGGGTCTTCTTCAAGGTTGACAGCTTCCTTCCACAGGGCTTCAGATTCAGGGATATGATCTAGAGCATGGCGAATCACTCGTTTCTTGGATCGTGCATCATCTTCGAGCTTCATCGCCTCTACCCATAATCTGACTGAGCGGTTGTTTTTCTTGATGGCATTTGCAGCGATGATCCTGGCGTTACGCTGATCGTTTAAGCGGATGTTTTCCAGCCACACATCTTCGCTCTTGGGACAATGTTCACAACCACGAGCTATGACGTTGCGCGCTGCTACTATTTTACCAGCCAACTCTTCAAGACGTGCCGCTGCAATCCAGCCGGGACCATTGTTCGGATTTGTCTTGATGACCGACTCAAGTAATTCTCTAACTCGGTTGATATCACCAACCTGGGCAGCACTTTCGGGTAATTGTGATTTTGCAAGGCTCGTGAGATAGCCCTTAGGATCCACACTGGTCGCACTTCCGGAGGTGGTACTGGTTCCATTCTGAGAGGCCTGGTCAAGTCGGACTTGTAGCACCTTGTCTCTTGCCTGTCCGATCTTCGCGAAATCCGTCACCGTTCCATCGGTTGCATTCGCAGAAGAGCTGGCGGTAGAGGCAGAGCCATCGTCAGCGACAGTCGTTCCAAGCTCTCCCGTGCTACTCGCCGCGGCAAGAACACTGTCAGGTACGGCATAAAAGCGTTGATGCCGTGCCTGCCTAGCCCGTTTGTTCCTACCAGTAAGGTCTCCTACCTCAGGTAATGAGGCCCACTCGTCTTCGGTAATGCTCTCAAGGCCTCGTTTCAGGTCGGCGAACTGCTGGGAAATCTTGGGGTTCTTGCGTTCGTATTCTTCCCTTTCTGCTTTCTCGCGCGCTTCCCTAGTCGAGTAACAATCGTCGGTAATCTGCTCAACTACTTTCGAGATGAACTGTGAACTAACTGGAAAAGAAAGGGGGGATGCGGCTCTGGGAGAAGGTGATAGTACTAACCTCCTGACTCTTCGGCGTTTATCCATCTTCTCATCTATCTCGCGATATATCCGATCCGCTTCGTCATCGTCCTTGTCATATATACCGCCGGCAAATAGGCCAACCTCATTGTCCGGGTCCTGGAATCGTTCATCGTTGTTGTCCTCCTCCTCAGCAGCCTGATCTTTCTTCTTTCCAGAGACCGCATCGCTAAAGCCGAGTTGGGCTGCACGCTTCGCAAGGGCTTCCTTGATCTGATCTTCTGAGGGGCCCTCCCGTGCCGGCCCTAAGTCTGAACGCGTGGTAAACCCAGTAGCACCACGTCCCAGACCAGCAACATAGTTTTCGGGCGCGGGCTGAGACAGGAAATCGCGTCGGCCCGTCATGATGGCGACGCGAGATGTGGTAGATTGCCGTCACAGCGTTATCGGGTAATTGCAACGTGATAACGTGTTTAAGAGTGATATTGAATGATATGGAGTTTTGCGCAATAGACGCTGGCAGGCTGTAGAAATTGAGACCAAGAGTTGATGTTGGGAACTTGAAGCTTAACCTGGGAAAATGCGACTGGCTGCGTACCTCTCTGGCTGCTGGTTGCGCAGCGCTCGTAGGCACTAAGGTGAGCTGCCTGGGCTCGCCTGGGGTCGTCTGAGGCCCACCTAAACGATAAGATAACGCTATTCAGTGGGGATAACTGCAGCCCACTTTGAAGATCCATCAAAAAAGATGCTGTATCGATTGACTGACTGCCCCTCGAACCTCGAACTCACTGAAGGTAATAAGGACGTTGCTCACTTTCGCACTTCTTATATACTAGACAGTCTATACTTGTGATCCTACATTCAACCGAGAGAAAAATCTGCCCCGAGAGCGCGACTTTCGTATTGCCCAGGATGGGGAAAGCTAAGACATCGAAGCGTGGGAATGCGACAGGGCCATATGAGCGCCCGTCCAAATCCAAGAACAATGCTGCCGTCAACAATGTGTTCAAATTCACGTGAGTATTGCTACAAGATGAGAGTCTTTCTCATTAGTCATTTCACCTTATCATTTTGCCAATAATCGTTGATTGTTTGGATTACCAAAATAATAATTAAGAAGTCAACGACTAATACTATATCTCTTATAGCAAGGACTTGGGCCAACACATTTTGAAGAACCCTGGTATCGCGCAGGCTAGTACGCATCCCATACTTTCATTTCCATTTCCTAGGAGATCCTTTAACTCACCCTCTGGTACAGTTGTGGATAAAGCTTATTTGAAGCCAACTGATGTCGTTTTGGAGGTAAGATGACCACTCGTCCTGACCATCTTTCATCTTGCTCGGCATCTCCTAACGGAGTTTGTAGGTCGGTCCCGGAACCGGAAATTTAACAGGTAATTGCAACCCTTGGATCCATTTGCTTGCTGTTATAGCCGACCGTCGAGGGCATACTTGCCTCACGGGGCGACAAGCATGTCCCAGATATATGTGACACTCTTTGAACAACCTGATTTATTTCAGTGGAAAGAGCAGTGACTGACTCTAGCGTACTACAGTTCAAATTTTGAATCAAGCGAGAAAAGTCATCGCCTGTGAAATGGACCCCAGAAGTGAGTCTACCCCTATTTTGCATCTCGCCATTATGCTCTAGTACTGACTCGAAATTTTATAGTGGCTGCTGAGGTTACAAAACGTGTTCAAGGCAAACCTGAACAAAAACGGCTAGAGGTCATATGTAAGTATCTTGCTATTTCGTCTTCCTTTTGGGTGGGGGGGGGGGGGGGAGATTCGCTATGTTTGTGCAATCATGAGGCATCGAAATCTCCTCTTTGAGGGGTGAGGGCTAATCCTTCCGTCCAACAGTGGGCGATGTGATCAAGACGGATTTGACAGATATGAACTTTGATGTAAGTTGAAAAAATTCATCTGTCTTAGGAGACCACTGACAAAGGAGGAAGGTGTGCATCAGCAACACACCCTATCAGATCTCATCACCACTTATATTCAAGTTGCTGAGATTACCAAGTGAGTCTATTCTAGCATCCTGGTTGTTTGAAGCTTTGAGTTATCTATGGTTTTCTAATCACTAACTGTTGAGCATCTAGAGCCGCCACGCACATGTATCTTGATGTTCCGTAAGTACTGTCGTCAAACCAGTGGGCTTCCTATAGCTAATGAAATCTATGTGTAGAGAGAGAATTTGCAATGCGTTTGTCAGTTTGAGCTTACTTTCTATGCATTGAAGATTGGTAACTAACAGAAGCCAGAACTGCGCGGCCAGGAGATCCTCTCTATGTGAGCAATTCCATATTGATCGACGCTATATGCGTTAGATGCTCATGCTCGAGGCATCTATTATTAATCCTAAGTTATATGTGCTAACTTCCGTAAAGGGCAGACTGGCGGTTAACGCGCAGCTTTATGTAAGATTCTCAATTCCCATCTCAATTCAGTGACATGCTAACAAGTTTACCAGGCCAAGATATCACATGTTTTAGTTAGTAACCTTTCTACCCTTAATCTATCTACTTGATATCTAGAGAGGACTAGTCAAAGTTAACAAAAATTCAACTTGAAGAAAGTTGGCAGGGCAAATTGTGAGTGCTGAACTCAGTTTTCGGATTCTATTCAAGTCGGCGACTGCATATCATTATGCCAGCACTCACCCAAGCCCCACACAACCGTCGAGAAAGTACTGCTGACTATATCAAATATTCTAGTCCGCCCTCCCCCTCAGGTAGACTCTAGTGTGGTTAGGCTAGAGATCAAAACATCAGACCGGCCAAATATCAGTTTCGAAGAGGTAGGATCTTGAACATGTTATCTACCTTAGAACCAAGTCTATACTAATCCCATTGAAGTTTGACGGAATGTTGAGGATTTGTTTCAACCGACCGCGCAAGATTCTACGATCCGCGTTTCTCGGTAGTAAAGAAGTGCTCAAGCGTAGGTCCATCCTGATTTTACTCATACCTAGGCAACGGCCTGCTCAGGGGCAGTTACTAATGCCTAGTATAGTCATAGAAACGAACTATCGCCTTTGGTGCGCGCAGAACGATATTCCTATCGACGAAAGCCTCGTTGACGATGCTGGAGAGGACGAAGATATGGAGGTTGACGATAACGACAATGATCCTTCTAATATGGACGTCGACGGAGATGATAATGAATTGCCCTCATTCTTTGGCGCAACGAAAACTACAGATGAAGGTACTGTAGCCAAAACAAAATCATCTGGCAAAAAGACCCGTCTTGCTGTCTTGGTCAAGGAGAAAGTGCGCAAAGTGCTTGAGGAGACCGAGCTCGCCGAGAGCAGAAGCGCAAAGATGGATGAAAACTCTTTCTTGAGACTTCTCGCGGCGTTCCATGCTGAGGGTATACACTTCTCGTAAAAGGGCGTGATCGACGAGATTGCTTAGGGATGAAGAACCTCAAAGAGCGATCTTGTATGTCCTATGTACGAATCGCGCAGAGCTGGAGTTTGGCGTTGAGGTAGAGTGACGACACTGAATGACAATACCCTACTTTGTATTCAGCCAGTGTCATTTGTCTAAGAATAGAATGAAGCTTTTGTTACCAATTAACCAAAACGCAATAGGAACATGTGAAATGCCGAAGCACATGGTGTTGATCTGATGCAAGGTCTTGTGTGAATATCTTGGATCCTTGTGAATTGCGCCTCAGATTTCACTGATAGACACAGCACAATCGGTAAGGGGAAAAAAAAAGGGGGGGGGGGTGTGGGGGGGGGCGGTGGGCAAACTAGACAAGCACGGATGTTGGCGCAACTATTTCAGGAATATCGGATGACGATTATGATTTGAAGTTAGAATAATTTGATACAGGAGACGTAATTAACTAAGCGTATAACATAACCAGCCTTTCGTTTCGCCTGTGCACAGCGTACGAATTTCCACCATACGCATCCCTCACGGAACAATTATATCGGAGCGGAATGCGGAATAGGGAACCATGCTCTCGAGAAACTGATGTTCTCGTACTCGTCGGCAATTTTACTTGCCACCGAACCAACTCGAAATGCCGCTCTTCGCCTTGGAAGCTTCGTTCTCGACCTTCTTGTCGAACTCGTCGATCTTCTTCAAGGTGGCGTCTCTGGCATCCTTTGTGTAGGCCTGGGCCTCGGCCTTGGCCCTGGCTAGCTCGGCCTCCGTCTTGCTTAACTATTATCGCAACAAGTTAACCTCCGAGTCAAGTTCACCGATGAAGAGGGAAGGAAGGTATGTCGATTCAAGGCTGATAAAGGAAAAAGCGTGAGATAAAAAAAGAAAGGAACGTACAGCGCTGTCAATCTTGGCACCGGCCTGTCTGCCGAGTACCTCGGCGTCCTTCTGAGCCTCCTGGCCGCGACCAGGTAGCTCGCCCTTGACCTTGGAAGATAGCTTGTGTGCGTCGGCTGCAATTGTTCGCGTGTTAGCACTCGCATTGGCAGAAACGTCCATAGATAGATAGGGTGATTGATGTCTTTGTCGTGCGTACCTTCGGCTTGTTTCTGGGCCACCTTTCCATCACCGCCTGCGGTGTAGAGGTAGTATCCGATACCAGCAGCGGCAGTGCCGCCGATGAGAAGAGGTACCCTGGATCGAGACATTGTAGTTGTTTTTTTTTAAAGAGGTGTTTGATTAGATTAAATGTTTAGTTTGAAATGATACAAGACAGCGGGCGTAGTAGTACAGTGTTGAGGAGGAGGATGATGATGATGGTGTGTGATGTCGGATTGGGATTGGATGGCGGGAGAAGAAAGGAAAAAGGAGGGGTTTCTCTTTTTTAAATATCAAGTGGCATGACGCTCAGTCGGTTCTGCTACGACAGGCTTTCTCCTCATGGTGTCGTCCTCGATCGAGCATTGCTGGTGGTGGTTAAGCTCGCCCGCTGTTTTGGAGCTCTTTCGGGGGGCAGACATGACGTAACATAGCTAATTTCTACAGCGAGGTTGCTCCGGAATGCGGGGGCAGTACCGGGCCTGCAAGTATGGGGAGACAGGTTAGTGCACTCTATGTACTGGGTACCCCCGCTACCCTTCTATCATACGCCGCTATGGCCCCTAGTCCTTGTCCACTGTACTCTAAGCCTCAGTGGATATCTTGGTGGGTCTGTGGCCCGTCCATGCTTTACTATTATTTCCCAGACTTTCGACGGGAGCCTCTCAGCGAGACAATGCATTCATCCATCCATTTCGACTCGAAATTTTTCAAAAAGCCATGTGTATGCTGACAAAGAAGTCAAGTCATTACATCATTGAAGCTACTCTAGGCCCCTCTACAAGGCTTTTACGTTCCATCAACACCAACACCCTATCCAGACAACATCTGCTGATTTGACCTCTCTGAAGGACCCTGTAGGTATAGCATGAGCGGACTTGTTCTTTTTTCTTTTTTTTTTTTTTCCTCTGGTCTTCACGATGCTTGTAGAACCTACGTATTGAGAGTCAGCCATGTTCACCTCTACTCCCTCCCAGCATGTGCTTGCCTAGGTAGACGCTATAATACCCACAACACCAATCTTTGAACAGATTCAAAAGGCCTCCCATCACAAATAGTTGTATTACGACAGGCAGTCCCCTTCGCGTTATGGCCTAGTGTCTCGTCGGCAGACAGACTCGCCAAGGGGTTACTCTACCGCTAGACACTGCAGCAGCGAGCTAAACCTGCCCCATTGCAGCCGCCATCGTCATCACCGATGCCACTAGCTCTAGCCTCGATATCTAGCCTCTTGCTTCGTTCCTCTAGTGCCGTCTCCAGTTCAACTCGTCGTCTCCTTGCCGACTACCCGCTTGCTTGCTTCACTTCTGGTCTCCCGCCCATGTAGCCCTTTCTTTTCTGTTCTTCTTCTTGTACCAGGGGTGAGACGACGGCACAGGACACCGAGTCGCGATTCATTGTTCTATAACACCTGTTAATAATTCCTAATTCCCTTTAGCCAAGTCCCACGAGCCCGTCAGGTGCTGTGCATCTGCGTCGCCGCCGCCCGCTCGCTACTATGTGGAAACGTGACAAGCTCTAGTCATGCCCAATCATCGAGCGTCCCTGCGCAGCTCTCGTCGCGTGCCTCCGCTCGCCGACAAAGACATTGACCACGAGATCAGCCTCGTTGACCGCGACGAACCCGTTACTTCCCCCGTAGCCAAGCGCTTGAGTGTCCGGACAAGCTATTCGAGCCAATTGAGTCAGATCGCGAGCCCGTCCACTCCCAACCAACCCCTCGCTCGCTCTGATTCTCGAGCTCCGCTGGCCCAGAATGCTAGTGAACAGGGAAAGCTACCTAACAATGGAGAATTAGACCCCGGTCTATCTCAGACTCCTTGTATAAGCGAACATCCTGAACAAGGCGAGGTCGACGAGGTCGAGTCTTCGAGCCCAGAAGGAAGTTCGGGTGCGGATCAGAATACAAGTCTTCAGGCGCCGCCAACCCGACTTAGTACGGATAATACAGAACCCGGCGGCCGTCGACGCCCGACAAATGAAATTGAATCGGAAATTGACGTACTTTACGAGAACCAGCGTGGCGGGTTTCTATGCGGCATCCCTCTTTTCTCTTCTGCGGCATTGGGGAACCTGGACCCCCCAGCCTGGACCAATTTTGCCCACAAGCCCAGCCCCACTGATATCTACACAGCTCAGGTTCCTGATCCGAGCTGGCAATGGGCTTGGCCCGAGTGGCGTATAAACCGTGACGAGGAAATCCAGACCGATAGCGACGGCTGGGAATATTCGTTCATGTTTTCTAAAAAATTCTCCTGGCACGCTCCTAAGTGGTATAGCTCATTTGTTCGAAGAAGGGCATGGATTAGGAGACGAATAAAAATAGGCACGGGGTATCAAGGTATGGATGATCAGGCCATGAACCCAACCTACTTTTCCGTGTTATCCAAGAAACAGACCTTGAGCCCCTTCGCGACTATAGACGAGGTCGGGAGAATCAGTACAGAAAGGCAGTCTGGAATGTCGCGGGATAGGTCAGGGGCAGATGCGGAGGAAAGCTCTCCGGACTCGCTGGAGATCAAAACCACTGAAGATTTGATGGCTATTCTTGGACAATTACGGATTGACCGCGAGAGACTCGAGGCAGTCGAAAACTACATTGAGAATTGTACAGACGACCTGCTGCACCTACAGGATTACATGCACGAGATCATGTCCATGTTTGTCTTTCAGGCATCTCGGAAAACACTGTTGACGCAACTCACACAATTGCATGATGATGGAACAAGTAAAACGAAGAAAGGAAAATCGGCAAAAACGCCCAAAGCGGAAAATCTCGCGGCGGCTATCAAGCATGCCGACGAGGAAGTGCGCAAGTTGGAATATTGGAGCGATATCAAAGGGATGGCTGAGAATGGCGAAGCAGCTGGCGCTGTGGATCATCAGAAGGGGTGGGACTCTGGCTGGCAGGGCATCGACAAGAGTGGTGCGAAGGGTATCGACAATGACGAACTTCCGCAATAATGGCATCCACAGACATGAGTTATGCAAAAGATGTAGCATGCATACATACACTACAAAAAGGCAAGGGCTCATTTTACCATTTTGTCAATTTTTTTTTGGTTTCGTTTTTGTTTTTGGTATACCCCTTACGAAGGAATTATAGATGCATATAGTATTGGTATGTGGCATCCCAGATTCTCAGCGCAAAACAAGATGGGCAGTAGTACTTTGAGGTACGAAACCACCTTCATCTCACATTATCTATCGATAAATCTTGGTCAACCCACCCTTGCCCGTTGAGGTGTAACGCATGCGACGAAGTTATTGGGTGGGTTATTCTATTTACGGCCCTCGCATAATCAATTATTCGACGCCCAGGAACCGTTACCCGTCAAGTTCTGCCGTAGACTGGGTCGAGAACGTTTTTGTATCACCGCGTGTGTGTGGCACATGTTCGGCCCAGCCGCAGCCGTTGAATGCCTGGCGAAAGAACCGGGTAATATATAAGCCAAGAGGAACCACTCGAATGCGGCTCTAATGAATAAAAGGGCTAGATCGCGTCTATCTATACGATAGTGTATTCTAGAAGGGGCAGCTGAGTGCAAAATGGATGTTATGGGAACTGCTACTGTGCAGGTAGACGCTTGGATGGATGGTTGGTTGGTTGATGGCTTTTCGCTTTCCGTGGGGGTGGGAATGAAGAACCCCCCTGGCATCTTTTGCGAGATGTAACCCTACGCCACACCCGTGGGTGATACTGCATCCGAGAAGCGACGTCTTGCGAGGAATGCTGCCTATTCGTTATCTACAGTACATACCTACCTAGGTACTCGACATGTTGTCTGCTCTTCATTATTTTTTTTTTATCTATTCCCAAAGCTATTTAGTTTACCACCTACCTATCTACCGCGCACAGTATATATCTGTATATCCCGCAATGGGTCGCGTCATATCGTTAGCGAGCTTACCTTACCTTACATCCATCCCGCTCGCTTACATTGCTTGAAGTGTACTTATGTATGAGATCCGAGACCCCATCCCGCGTCGAAGACGAGGAAGAGTTCAGCTCTTTGCGATCAGTGAGGGCGCTTCGTATGGGGTATATATCGTACCATATCCCGTCCCATACCGGCTTGGTGAGATCCCTATCGGGATATTTTATCTATCTACATTATCTAGCGATTTCCCGTTCCTTGCATGAGGAGATAGGCGATATCTTTTATGTAGGACTTTTTTTTTTTTCTTTTACTGTTCTGTCCGGTTCAGACGGGACCCGAAGTAGGGGCCAAAGCTGCTTTGCCCGTTGTCTTCGCGCTATCTAGGAGGGTTTTATCCGCGAATTGAATGCTGAAGATATCGTCGCAGCGGGGAAAATGTCCGTGATATTGGCACTAGTTCTCTGCAGCGAGGTGAGAGGGTTCTTGGTTTTGCCTATTCTAGAGGAATACTCCTGCACTGTCCTGTCCTGTCCCACGTTGCTGCATGATGTACAGTATGGATGTATGGTGAGGTAACCTCTTAGGGTGCCATGGGAATAAACCAATTGGTTATGTGTGCAATCTATGTATGCTTCCGAGTCTTCCAGAGTAGTTTTAGCATTGGGGCCTCGTAAATAGAGACCATGGATTTCCGATTTGGTTCCTTACCCGGGGGCTAGATGGGCTGCTATTATAACTCTTCATCCCTTTCCCGGTTTCCTGGAACAAGAAGAAGGCGGCACTCAGATCATTTCCACTCTTCTATAGTTGATTGTCCCGTTACTTTATTTCCTAGGGATATATGTCGATCTCTTATTACTTGCTATATTGACTGTCACCATGGTCTCGCTGATCAAGTCGAGACCGGGAGGAGAGCGTGGATTGTTCGCTTTGAGATCGTCTTCTTCTCGTACTACGTCGTCTAGTGGATCTAGACAGGCGAGTGGGAGCGGAAGTGGACAGAAGCCACGAGGTCAGGATGGAAGGACGAAGGAGGAGGCTACTGTGGTGAAGCCTTGGGCGAACCAGCCCTGGCCGTTGATTGAGACACTGTCGGTGATGCAAAATGTGAGTATATTGTGGACGCTTTGCTCTACCCCAACTTTGAGATATTATTCTGTCACCCATAATGAACGACAGCAATTGGTCCTCGGCCTTGTCTCTTCGTCTAAAGGGGATGCTTCACTTATATTCCAAAACCCGAAGCTGGCATCGAACCATCGAACATGCTCAAAAAAAGGAGTTGGCAAGACAGATAACTAACGAAGAGCCCTACAGATTACACACCCAGCCCTGCATATCGCGAATGAGATTACACTTATTCACAACGCTATGATACGAGGCTTGAACTCGATATTCCTTCAACATCATCACGTGCGGCAAACCCAGGATATAGCCGACCTGTTATTCCTCACGCAGAGCTGGAGCACATGGTTATTAGATCACCACCAGCTCAAAGAGAACATCATGCTTCCGGGGTTCGAAGCCGCTTTGGGCGTACCAGCGGGCACCTTGACGATGTCTACTACTCCAAGCCCATCAGTCGTATCTATGAGGTCAGATGTGGCCACGTCAGTGAAGGGCAAAGACAAAGTCAGCTATGGAGAAGAAGAGGAGGACACGATATCCTTTCTCTTACACCGCATCTACGCATACGCGTCCGCCACACACAAGGATCCGCAGGTATACAACGCGACAACGCTAGAGAACCTCCTTGTTGCCCTTGGTCAGGTACTCGTGCCTCATCTCACGAGACAGGTCGGGTTGCTGGCCTCGATGCGGGAGATGTGTCTCAGTCCGTCTATTAAGAAAAAGGAGGATGATATCCCCGGGCCATTGCCCCTTCCTGTCGCGAAAATTCCGAAGACGATGAATATGCCGCTGCCGCTTGCTTCCAACGTAATGCCCTTATCTCCTCCGTCTACATCTCCGCCTACATCACCCTCGTCATCCACGTTCTCGACAGCATCAGCGCCAACAAGTACATCGTCATCTTCATCCCCTGCGTCGTCCCCTCCGACTGCATCGCTATCTTTATTTCCGTCTGCAGCCATCTCGCGACCGCCACCACCTTCAGCATTACACCATCGGAAGACAAGCAGCAATCTCACTACCGGTAGTACGCACAAGAAGACCAATAGTAACGGAAACGAAAACGATGATGATATCAAGCACGCCAGTAATGATCACCCTGGAGCCAAGAGCCTAGACACAATTGACAGAGAAGCAAAAAATCGTTTAGCCCGCGCCCGCGCTCTCCTCGCAGCCGACGATCGCGCCAACAAGCTGACGAAAGTCTACGCCGCAGCCGATGCGCAAGCCGCGACCACGATAGACCACTACGTGATCCCGCCCATGATCGTGCGGTTGCGAGATTCCACTATCACGACTTCGTACTCGGCAGGTCATTCTCGCACAGGGAGCAGAAGCATGGGTCTAGGCATAGGAACAGGTCCGGGCACAGGAGGGGGGGTAGGAGGTGGGAATAAAGGCGACTGGCCTAGGTTGTCGGTCCCGGCTGTTCACGCCATTGCCGATAAGCTCTCGCCGAGACACGAGGGTGCGTGGAGATTCCTGCCGTGCGATGTCTGGGGACGGCCGAGGGAGTTGCCGTTTCTAGAGGACTGAGCGAGTTATGGGAGAGAGAGAGGAGGAGTCTGTATAGGTGTGCGTACGACAAAACTGAGGAGTGGAAATGTAGATTATGAATGAGCAGATATACGGAAATTACAGTTGCTTGGATAGAGGAATGAGAATATTGGGTGAGAAATGTATTTTGACGACTGAACCCTGACGATATGGGATAAGGATACAAGCGCTGGACGATGAGCGTCCAGGTTAAGTAGTATCTACTTACTAAAGTGTCGACTATTCCAAACAGCTCAGCGCTCAATCCAACTGTATAACATGCGATGAGAGCTCGATGGTTGTTGATACCAACGCTGTCTCTTTATTATAACTAATTGGTAGGAGAGGCTTCGCTACGCTAGTACCAACGCGGCCGTTGATGTTTGAGTTTTGGAAGTGCGGGAGGAGGAATGCTGTGATAAAGTATACCTGCTGTTGTTGCTACTTTTATGGATTCGATGTTCTTGCGTTGATGCTGTGTAATTGGTCTGCCAGTCATTAGCAGCTAAGTCAGAAAAGGAGAATAGAGAAGATTATTTACGAGGTCTGACCGAATGCAATACTAAAGACGGACGAACATGTAGAGTTGCTGGCCGGAAAATCCTTCTGGCGTAGGGGTGTTATGGACCGATTACAAAAATCCATATGAAGAGTTGAAAAGAGCGAGTATCGAGTTGCTTATTTAAGACATGGCCGACATGGGAAATTGGAAACAACCATGTGCGAGCACATGGAGAGTGGTTGTGGCTGAGGATACTCAATTCATACTTGGTTTCGTAGACAGAAAACTTCATCCAGTCTGGGAAAACATGAAAATATATACATCGTCTTTTCAAGCATGCTGCTCAATAAGGTGATATTCAAACCACATACATACACTATATGTTGTAAATGAGTGTACGACCAGATCATTTAAAGCCAAAAGTTAGCATGCCGTTGAAGGATTCTAATCATTTCGTCTAATCCCTGTCTTTCCAAAGCATAACCTCTAACGGGATGGCGATGTAATCCTAATACTACCTAATATCACATAGCACCCTGCAATACCACTGCTCATCGCTGTGTACACAGCTTCACCATCATCATCTCCTAGGTTTTCCCTTATTTTATTCTTCTTTCTTTGCAAATTTCTTTATTGCGAATGTGAGCGCTCCACGGACGTCAATTATTCTCTCAGACATTACTTGAAGCTTGCTTCTTACCTGAATAGCCATGGCGTCTCCACTGGGAGCCGGCAATATTGTGGTTTCTGTCATCTTTCCCCTTGCCGCCATTGTTTTCCTAGCGCTTAGACTTCGATCTCGGCATACTAACGTTCGGAGCTGGTTCATTGATGACTATATGATCGTTATAGCACTAGTACGTATCGAAATTGGTAAAACCTCATGTTTTCATTTCTGAGCTGACATTCCCAGTTGTCTTTGGTTAGCTATGCGGTTATCACTATATTAGGTAACTGCATGTGTATAATCTATGTCCGACTCCAGGCTAATCCAGAGCTACCAGCTGTGGCGATATACTCATTAGGCACCTCTTCCCTATTTATCTCGTTCGATGATCTCGTGGGCATATTAAAGGTACGTAGCATCATCATTGTCAGTCTGCTGCATAACTAATAAGTTTCTACTGTATTAGCTTGAGTATGCCGATGAACTAGTTATGATAGTATTATCTACATTCACAATGCTATCTATTGTGTATCTTTATCGCCGCGTACTGCCTCCGTACAGGAAGAGCGTACCCACGACAACCCTTCTGGTCCTCGTGTACGCATGGGGTGTAGCTTATTTGGCAACAAGTCTGTTCAGTTGCATCCCCATCAGCAAGCGTTGGAATCCCCTCAACGGAGGCTATTGCTATTCTACCAACCAAGTGAATGAGGCCTTCGATATCTCAGATCTCGTCATAAACATCATTATACTTGTCCGACCAATAACGCGAATGAGAGAGTTTCGAAGCTTTACTGCACGGATGAAAGGATTGATTGGAGGCATTATATCACTGGGTATCATGTACGTGCCTCAGTGCTGATTGACTATGCTCACTAAATAACTGACATCTACTGGTCATAGAATTATCATCATTATAATTATTCGGATAGCTATGAGTAGCTATTCCAGTGGTAGCGTAGATATATCATGTAAGTTTGTCTGGCCTAAACGCATCATCCCACCGAACCAGGAAGATTAATGAATCTTAGATGACCTAGCAAAGCTCAGTCTCCTAGCCCAGTTAGAAGCTAGCCTTTTCGTCATTTACGCCTGCCTCCTAAGCCTGTAAGCTCGTTATTTCAACTATTGTGTCTTTTAGGATGTCTCTGACTTGGCGCGAATAGGGTCTCTTCGCATCCCGTCAACTCTGTCGAGGAAATACAAGAGGCGGGACCATATGAGAAACCCGAGTTGGCTGCAGAAGATATTCCACGGCAGATTCGAGAGCTCGATAGTACAAATATTGTAGAACTGCCGGTTCCGACTCCGGAATTAATGGGAACTATACAGTACCATCAACTTCAGGATACGAGCGCGACTGGCTCACGAGAACGGGTTTAATCTAACAATCGGATCGTATTATGGCCGAACAGAGCTAGAATATATGTTTTTCTTAATTCTCTGACATTATTCAGTGTGGTACCTCGACTCTGCCTTCGCAAGCATATGAAAACAGTACCTATAAAAAATGACTCGATCTTCGAGAGGTCCTCTGCCGGCGCTGCTTTGGAAGCATTAGGATCTACCAATAATAATTTCCTGTCCCTGGGAAATCAGTAGAACAACTTGCTCGAAAAGCTTGCAGATTTCCCTGAGCACATTGATATAAGGATGCACTGATAGACAAGTTTACACTACATATTATAATAATCCTCAACTATCTACTCCTTTAAGGATATTGTTTGGCAGGTGGCACATTTCCACTAGCGTATTTCTGGATGAGGCAGCCAGGTGGCCGTCACCCGCCCCTCCAGACCTCCCCTGTTGACTTACACGATCATGATAACTTAACATTTTCTTGATGAAAAAATTCATAAAAAATCAGAAAAATATAGTCGCAATTCCTAGTTAGCTAGGAAGCACCGGGGATTGAGCCCGATGCGGGGGTCGAACCCGCAACCTTGAGATTAAGAGTCTCACGCTCTACCGATTGAGCTAACCGGGCAGCCGAAGCTGCTTGTTGTTGGAGAATCAGGTCCGATAGACAAGCTATATAGCTAGTTTTTTAGGAAAACGTGCTAGATTGTGCACGGTTCAATTCTACTACGCCTCGGTTTGTTGTAGAAATTTTTTCAATTTTTTTGGAATTCCCCTCAGTCGAATCCCCGAAAACGTTTGCTTGGCTTAGTTCGCATATGACTCAAGTCAAACTCAGCTACCGGTAGTCTTAGTACGATGAAATTTCTCTTTTCTTCCCCTCTATCTCTAGATTCAGCACAATACTGATAGGCCAAGAAAGAGACGGAATTGTGGTGGCCATTCAGAAAGCTTGATGATGATCTCCCTACAGTAAATATAAGGCAAACTCATTCAAAGGGACAAGGATATATACTTCAAAAAAAGCCCTACCCCGCCTACATTCTTCCTCCAGTTTAATTGATACCCCTCCTTAAGTGATGGTGGTGTAATAATGTGTGTAGAGTAAGGGGGCCCCCAAAGTGAGGTTTGCACAAGATGGTCACATAGCAACGCGTCGCTTTAATTAGAGAAATTTACGCAATTTCTTCCCCCACAACGCTGACGATAGAGTAGTTTATCAATCAGCTTCAATGTGTAGTAGAAAGAGAATCGTTCCCGAATATTTGGGATGTTGCTGTCTATCCATCCCTCCGTAGCCCGGAATGCGAACATCAATGACACGCGTGTAAGACACTTTAACGCCATCAATTACCAGGTCTGAATTCCAGCACTGAGGCCCGCCCACATGCTCGCGTGTTCTACTATAGACCTGCTAGCACTGTTCCTGGACTAAAGTGGAAAATGTGAGACCTCTCTACAGTAATTGCGTTCCAGTCGCGTTAGAGTAGAGATGAGAGACAAGACAACTCGAAAACGGGTAAAGTGGAGGATTGATTACCTTATCTGCAATGACCTTTACCTGTATTGCATTGCTGCGTTGCTATGCACTGCCTCTAGTAGCAACGGATAGGCGCGCGGTGTAGGTAGATCCTCGTTCATGATTGTGCGGAAAGACAGATCGAAGGGAAGGGATGGAAGGCAGCCGGGCTAGTCTACTCGAGGATGTCGCGTCCTGGCGATGCGATGTCGAGACTCGTGCTCTCCATTGTGCGTTTGAAGCTTTCCATTCGAGATACTCTTCCTTGGTCTGCAGAAGCGAGCAAGCACGATACGCATGCGGAAAACAGCACTTAGTTGGTATGTGCGGATGAACAACCAGCGCGTAGAACAGTATCACGGTTTCAGAGACTCTTTCACGAAAGCGACTGGGGTTTTCGATATCCTCACGACAAAATATATTTGCTACTTCTGCTGTGGTTGTCGAAAGTCTCCTTTACGATGATGGTGACGCGGCGACGGGCGAGTCCCCGTCGCGGCAGCATGGTCGACTCGCGCACGCACTTACATTCGTTTTTTCCCGGTCACCTCGTGATCCTACTGTTCAGCATCATTATACCGGTTCTAGGCACGCCAATATCGTACTTCCCCCTAAATTCACAGCTACCACCCGTGGCGCGCGTCTCGGAACCGTTCTCATTCGTCTTCTCGCCCCTGACATTCTCGTCTGACGCGGACGAGATGAGCTATGCACTGGGAGACGGTTCACCTTCATGGCTCTCGCTTGATAGCGCATCGCGAACACTCTCCGGCACCCCGGATGAAGCCACAATACCCTCAGACGAGACGCTAGTCGGTATTGTCATCACGCTCATAGCGAGCGACGACACAGGCTCTATGGACGTAAATGCCACGCTCGTTGTGTCACGTAGTCCAAAGCCTGTCGTGCGAATACCGCTCGTAGATCAGATCAAAAAATTTGGGGTTTACTCCGCACCATCATCCATATTGCTTCACCCGTCGAGTGAGTTCGAATTCGAATTCGATCCCAATACTTTCGGACCCGGCGTCGCAAAACTTCGGGACGGACAGGGCGGGGCCAACGGCGACAAGGGCAACAGTAAAGCTGTAAAAAGAGATGTAGATGGAACTATGAGCGGAACAGAGCTACCGCAACTGAGTTACTATGCAGTGTCAGGCAATAATGCGCCGCTCCCTTCCTGGGTAGCATTTGACCCTAAAAGGCTCGCCTTCTCAGGCAAGACACCACTATCAGCAGCTATCGCGCAGCCACCTCAGAAGTTTGATTTCCAGCTGGTAGCTTCAGATGTCGTTGGGTTTTCATCGGCCGCCATCGAATTCTCTATCATTTTGGGTAACCACGAGCTTATGAGCAAGGAGCCCATCATACTATTAAACGCCACGAAGGGGAAACAGTTTGAATACACAGACCTACCCAGCATTTTACAGCTAGATGAGAAACCTCTTAAGGCTGAAGATGTTTCGTCTATTAAGGCGGATGGGCTGCCGCCGTGGCTCTCTTTTAACGAAGAATCGTGGAAGATCAGCGGGACACCGGATATGGAAGCACAGCCAACTAACGTCACGATTGTGGTGGTGGATAGCTTTTTGGATGCTCTGAATATTACCCTGGCTATCGAGTTCAACGAGACAATCTTCATGTCCAATCTTCCCAGTCTAAATGTATCAGCCGGGGAAGACTTTTCCTTGGATCTTCAGAAGTTCCTCTCCACCCCGAACGATACACAACTGGTGGCCAAGATACAGCCCGATAACTCTTGGATTCAGTTCGACGAATCATCTATGATACTCTCGGGAACAGTACCCAAGCCTCCAGATGCAAAACTTGCCGACGACGTCCAGATTAGCTTCGATGCGACCCAAATACACACAAATATAAAAGAGACCAAGGACATGATCATCCACGTCAACAAGTCCGCTGTTGATCTTTCGCCCACACCTGAGCCTCCTCCAACAAAGGCCCCCACCAAGGAATATGATTCACGGAGAGACTTATACTGGCTCCTTGTCATTCCTGCCTTGGTCATTGCGGTAGCTATAATCCTGTGGATCTTCATGGTACGGAGGCGACGGAACCAACCGAAAAAGCTTGACTTTTCAGAGGTCTCAGGACCTGTGCCGGGTACCTTCGTGGCTAATGGATACATGGATCCATCGTTAGACGAGGTACGTAGGATGGTGGACACGGGACCGCAGGCGCCGTACGTAGGACCCTACTCGCCACCGGGTGCTTCCAATCTCAAAAAATCGCTATCAAAAATGAAACCGAAAATCCAAGTGGACCAGATTACGCCACCCGGTATGGCCAAGAAATCGAGAACAATTAAGCCAGTACATCAAGGTAAAGGCAACGGAGAGTCGTGGCTCGGCGGTCGGCCTTCTCGACCGTCTCCCGTAGGCACTGATGAAGTCAGTTTGCTATCATCCAATTCAAGTTGTAGTCGAGTCATACACGACGCCAAAAATCTCTTTGTCAAAAAGTTAAGACCAGGGGACAAGGTGCCAAAGAAGAAAATCGGTCTAGAAGTCCCAGAAGTCCCTGAACCGTTCAGTATACAACCCACTCCGGATCTAGCTTACAGGGTAGCGGGAAAGTATGACTATGTCTCTGACGAAGACACACAGCCTTCTGTCGGTTCCTCAGAGCGACAGAGACCGGCCCACCCACAGAACACAAGTCTCGCCCATCAAGGGGCGGGAAATAGGCTCTCCCAAGCCTGGAAGCGAATGAGCATCTCTAAAGCGGAGGATACAAAGCGCAATAGCCAACATAGTGCGTCGACAGATGCAACGACTTGTACAAGCATTCTCACTTCTGGAGTCACTGAAGAGGCAACAACGGCGAGCGCAAACGTTGTCGCTAAGCCGACGATAATTCACATAGGCGGTCGGCCAGGAGAGGCGCGACAGTTAAGTAGAAGAACCGGGGGCTCTACAACGTTCTTTGCTGGTGGTTCTATCACAAAGTCTCAGCGAAATTTCGGACTAGATAAAGACACGATGTCAGGGTCAGTTTATTCGTCCGCTACACCCAAAGAGCAGGGTGTAGCTCGTGATACCAAAACAACATGGGATCACCAGACAACTAGTCCTCTGGGCATATCATATCGAAATCTTATTCCTCAGAAGCGAGGGGATACTTGGAATACCGATATCACAGATGAAGAATTACTGTCTCCGTCCCGGTGGCCCAAGCCGGCTGTGACGCCAGGTCAGGCCATCACAAGTGATGTACTCCTGGGTCCGAGCAAGCCAGCTCAGCCACCTCCGTTCAAGCTACCCAACAAGGCCGAGTCACCAGGAACGCCTATGGGTAAAGGGAAGAAGAGATCAAGTCCTATGCGCAGGTTGAGCCGGATTCGCGGCTCCATCTCATCCCTTTCGCAGACGCCACCAACGCATACGCGAAGCAAGGGACGCTCTTCTCGAGAGGAACGGCTACGTCTAAGTCGCATCCGAGAGCAGAAAGCGCTCGACGAATTCCGAGTTATGATGTCACATACGCCATCACCTCACAATGAATGGGCACCCTCGCGAGTCAGACCACTGCCAGAGACGCCATCTAGGATAAGTAAACCGCCAGTAGCGGTTGATCACGCGAACGAGCCGAGAGGCCTTAAGAGCACGGCCTCGAAGCGGAGTGTGAAGACGTTGCGAAGTAACAAGAGTGTGAGAAGTACGCGGGCGTATGATGACGATGATGACGATGCCTGGGAGGACATACCACCACCTGAGTCGGTGATATTGGGATGGGAAGGGGGTGGTAGCGATGGTAGTTTTCCCGTTTATATCTGAGGTGCACGATCATGAGCCGTGAGACCGGTCTGTGTTTGTAATACCCGATCTTATTTTTCCCTGGTTAGCAAAAGTTCCAAGTTTGAACTCAATCCCATTCCGGAAGTAACATGCATCTTGCTCGACTGTGACCTCCAGGTGATACTAATGTCAGATCCCTGGCTATGAGCGGTGTTTAGTGATAATAAATTCACGATATATTCTGGTTGTACAAAGGGATGTTAAAATGAGCTGTCTCATTTAACATGGTAGGTGTTGCGTGGTAGTCTGTGTTGGAATAGGTTCGTGATTCTCCCTGTGAAACCCCGGCTACGGCGATGGTGGTGCAGGTCACGGGATGACACAAGGCCGCAGCAATCCCAGAGTCTGGGCAGGAATATTCCCGTCTAGGCAATCTTTTTGGACCTACGAAGACTCGACCGCGTCAGCAGGATTGACCGGGTTCGGCCGGCCGCACCGAACTACCACGTAGCTCACGTTTTGCATCCGCGTTCACCGCCTCAAGTCCTGCGAATGCTTTCAAGCGAGCAAGCAGGCAAGATGGGATGAACCACATGTAGATAGAGCAGAGGGATCTCTTTACCTAGGCTAAGCTGCTTCTTGGCGAAGATAGATAATTTGTGCAGCAAACCAATGCAGGGCTAACGGCAAACACTCTTCTCCTGCAGGGATCGCCTGGTTCCTTGATAGGATTCTGCGTTGAGCCAAGGTATTGTAGCCACTTTTGGATAGAGTTTGGTGCCGTAAAGTGGGATCTTGAAGCGTGAATACTGTACAAGGGTCGTGCTGAACTTTCTGAACCTTGGGTTCGCAGTTGAGTATTGAACTTGTTTAGTTGGAGCAAACAGATTTGACCTCGAAAGTGGTATTGGTCACCTGACACGCCTTCTTAGAAAACCTTGTCTCCTTGTCTCCCTGTTATGCCGTACTGAATAATTCAGGAAATGAGGAGCGAGTGTATTCTAAGTTGACTCGTTGCTTTATTTCGCACACCAGGATATCAAAGTATACTATGTAGATACATAGTGAACCTGATCTAGCATATCGCAGAACTTGGAACGAGGACCGATGCATCATGGCAGTTTTGCCGGATAAACATCGCCTAGGCAAATTACTTAGTCATAGATAATGAGGCTGTGTCTTGGTGAAGTCTCTGCGCCATGCCTAGTTATACGCTATGCAGCAGCAGATTCTAATGACGAGGAGAAACATGCTTTCCGGTATACCATTTTGCAACCTACCTATCTATCAGGCCTAGCCTTGATACCTACCATATACCTAATCCAATATATCTTTGCCTGTATATGACTTCCCATTAGATTCTACGCGGATAAAGAAAGAATTATGAGGCTCATATTCTTGAAGCTAGGTAACTAACTACCTGTCTGCCATATGTCCTTCCCCCATGTCCTTGTTACCTCTATATTGGCGTAAAGGGGTTTTGGAATACACATACTGACTAGTAATCATGGTATAGGAGAATAATTCTGCTTCTTTTTTCAAGAGGTAGGAAAATAGATTAAAATATCAAGTAGCCAATCATCCTACTAATAATCAATTCTTCTTTTTTTCTTCTAACCACATGCACTTTATCCCTTTTAAAAGTGATATGTATATATCAATTGCATTGGTTGGATACTTGATATTTGCTTAGGTATGTTTGTGCCTTGGTAAGTAGGTAGGTAGGTTATGTAGGAAGGTACATAAGCAGGTATCTACCTAAGTAGAAGTTACTTAGGCTTTGTTACTGCAGTAATTGCCTTTCCCTTCATTGTGCGGGAAAGCCATCTTTTTTTCCTACGGCAGCTCACATGACCAAGGAACTGAAGGTTTTTCTGTGAATTTGGAATAACAAGGCCAGAACTGTTTCATGCCGCCTACCATAGGTAACTCCCTAGGTACCTTGGTAAGCATTCTACATGTAGATCCTACAGAGCATGTTCACAATACGTGCACGGTAGGTACGCTTCTTACCCTTTTGCTGCCTGCTTTTTTCTTATAGTAGCGAGCTACAGCTAGAAGCAGACCTGTAGTAAATGCATATATACCTTGGTATACTTACCGCCTACATAGGGTCTTTGGAATCAACACCTGCACAATATACCTATGTGCACAAGAACCTACTGGCGTCTAACGATAACTACATAAAGCCGGACAGGTAGGTACCTTTCCTAGACCAAACAGGTACATGGCTGGAGGGGTGAGTGACACTCTCCAGACAGCTTATCGCTCAGCCCCGTCCTATGGTCTCGAGACCCTGTTAGGTAATTCACTTAGGTATCTGCCCCGCGGCACTCCCTCCCAAAGATACCTACGTCTAGCAGAGTCTAGGCATGCGTACTTCAGCGCTGCCTCTGGCCTGTTCGTCAGCCCCAGGTCCCTCCCTGTCCCAACAGTGCCCTCCGTGCAGACTCAGTGCAGACTCAATGCCTTTGATGCCTTGTACCCTGCATGTACCGCCACCTGCCCGGGCGTGTACTATGTAGGTAGAAGGTCTATTTTTTTTTCGTTCAAGTCATTTGGCATTTGCAGCTGCCCACATCTTTTTGCCCTGTACCCTTCCTTCGCAACCCCGCCTTCGTCCCCTTCGCCGTTCTCACCAGGTCCTCGCTCAACTGGCCGCAGCCCACCCGCCCCGGCCATATCACCACCATCCCATCAGTCAAGTGAACGCAGTTTCGTTCCTGTCCTTGTCCTGTCTGTTCTGTTCTGTTCTGTCCTGTCCGTCCGTCTGTCTGTCTTGCCCTGTCTCGCCTGTCTACCTACCCGAATCAACCTACCACTGCCTCTCACCTGGTCCGTTACCTGTGACTCCTTTGCTTTCGTTCTTCTCCCAGTAGTAAACAACACCGACACCAAATTGCTATTCTTTTAGTCGAGTCCTATTCTTTTCCAGTGCTGACCATCTTAACCCCAGTGTGGCCCTACTAGTTTCGTATAGTGGGCGCTTGACTGTCTGAGTCGATTACTGGCGCGATACGAACCGTCTCCTGTGCCTCTACCTTTCTTCACCATAACTTTCCTCTCCATCCATCACTCGCGCAATTCCCCAGTCTCCCAAATCACGCGCATAGGACCTGCTCAGGTAATTCCCGTCGGATCCTATAGTGCTTCACGAGTTATTCAGTGACGTCCACACCACCGACCACGACGATCACCCAACAACCATCAATCTACCCCTCCTTGAGCCATCGACGCCCATCTCGACTTACGACCATCTCGACCTCCATACTCGTTTGCAGCGTCTTCTATCGTCATGGGTCAAACCCTTTCAGAGCCCGTTGTCGAAAAGGTATAGACTCAACTTTTTAAGCTGTCCTGTATCAATTGCGTCGCTTTCATGTCTTGTTGCCGAATCTGGCCCCTGAGCGCGTGCCCAATGACCTCATGATATCCCTTATATAATTCCTGCTTTCCTACATTCCCTAGTACTGGATCGCCGACCTCCGCTCAGGCCGTTGCTAACCTACTTCTCATATAACTAGACTTCGGAGAAGGGTGAGGATGACAGGCTACTATACGGTGTCTCGGCCATGCAGGGGTGGCGTATCAGCATGGAGGATGCTCATTGCACTGTCCTCGATCTCCTGACTCCTGAAGGTGATGAGAAGAAAACACATGAGTCCCGATTATCGTTCTTTGGTGTCTTCGACGGCCATGGCGGAGACAAGGTTGCCCAGTTCGCTGGCAAGCGCATACCCGAAATTCTCCTCAAGCAGGATACCTTCAAGCAGGGTAACTATGAACAGTCACTCAAAGACTGCTTTCTTGCTACAGACCGGGCGATATTGAGCGGTATGAGCGCCCTAACCACCGTCCGCACTGTGCTGCATTAGTGACGTTGCTAACATGAATCCAGACCCTGCATACGAGGACGAAGTGTCTGGGTGCACTGCCTGCTGTGGATTAATTAGTGCTGACAAGATTTTTATTGTTCGTCACGACCCCCGGGTTTTAATCAGTAACCCAGTCCTGTGAATTTCTAACCAAGCTCTGATAGGCAAATGCTGGAGACTCGAGAAGTGTCTTGGGAGTTAAGGGCCGAGCCAAGCCGCTCTCCTTCGATCATAAGCCACAGAATGAAGGTTGGTCTTGCCTCTGCCTGTTGTGCAATAGTATGCTTATGCGACTGATTTCATCACTATAGGCGAAAAAGCTCGGATCACTGCTGCTGGCGGTTTTGTCGACTTCGGCCGAGTTAACGGCAACCTTGCCCTATCTCGTGCCATTGGAGATTTCGAGTTCAAAAAGGGCGCCGAGCTTGCGCCAGAGCAGCAGATAGTGACAGCCTACCCAGATGTGGTCATGCACGAGCTTGGCGACGATGACGAATTTTTGGTTATTGCATGTGACGGTGTGTGAAACCACCTTGCTCCGATGCAATACTATTTCATTGAGACTAACGCCTTGCAGGCATTTGGGATTGTCAGTCATCACAAGCCGTCATCGAGTTTGTGCGCAGAGGCATTGCCGCGAAGCAAGACTTAGACAAGATTTGTGAGAATATGATGGATAACTGTCTAGCCTCTAACTCCGAGACTGGTGGTGTGGGATGCGACAACATGACCATGGTCATCGTGGGTTTCTTAAGAGGCAAGACGAAGGAGGAATGGTATGAAGAGGTTGCTAGCCGAGTAGCTAAAGGCGACGGCCCCTGCGCCCCTCCCGAATACGGTATGCCATCTTAGAGCCCGGGTCTCCTGGAACGAACTGACTTGCGGTGCCTCAGCGGAATTCCGGGGACCTGGTGTTCATCACAATTATGATGATAGCGACAGTGGCTATGATGTCGACGTGGAAAATAAGACTAGGAATTTCGGTCTTGGTGGGTATAAGGGGCGCATCATATTCCTTGGGGACGGTACGGAGGTTCTCACAGACTCCGACGACGCCGAAATGTTCGACAACTCCGAAGAAGACAGAGACCTAGCCAGCCAGGTGTCTAAGAATAGCGCTGATGACAACGAGCCTCCTCCTAGGGCCCCTTCACCACCCCCTCGCGGAACGAAGAAGCAGCAGGAGTCACCCAAGACAGAAAATGAAGAATCGACAAACAAGGAAGCTGCGGGCACCGAAGCTGCCAAAGGCGGCTCGGAAGATACGAAGCAGCCTGAGATCTCGTCTGGGTCAAAAGACTGATCGAGCTATTGTGATAGCTCCTTGAGTGGGAGTTATAACTAGATTCGTTATAGCATGTCTTCAGCGCTTGGGGAGAGTTTCACCGAAAAAAAAGAACACATGCAGCCCTAAATCTTTAGACGTGTCAACACCAGTGCCAATGATGTGGTCTTAGTGGAATGCCAACGGAAGGGTATATGTGCGAAAAATGCCCAGGCGAAGGCGATAGTCTCCTTGGTTGACAATAAGTAGGGCCATGAGCATACAGTATCGGAGTGGGTTGGGCAAGCACGAATTTGGGAGCGAAGATACCCTGTTGTACCGTAGGGGCCTTTCTCCGGGCGAGCGGCGTAGATAGCTCGAGTCAAGCTCCCATAGCCCCTGATTTTGGGTCTTCACTTTCACTCACGAAGAACAATAGCTCGAGCTTCTTTTTATCAGTTTTTCTTAAGTCTGTGGGGGGTGTTTTGCATCAGCTGGAATAAATGCATACCAGTTTAACTGATGTGAAATGCACAGCCTATATATACATGGATATTGAACATTACCTGGGCCCGAGTTTCGCTTGTGTTACCATGATGAATCGGCTGTAGTTTGACTTGGTTGTTTCCATTCTTCGTGAAACAGGCAGAGCTTTCCTCAATGTTACGGACATTTGTGCGAGTAACAGCTCTAACCGTAAGCGGTTAAGCTCATAATTGACCCTCTCCCCAGATAAGGCTCTTATCGAGAACATGCAGATCCAAAGCACTCGGCAGTTAATCGAGCCTTGTCCTCTATTCAATCCAACTGGCGCTGTACAAACCCTCGATTGGCATGACGAAGTTATAGCCGATGTCCCTGGGAGTCAAATCACTATGGAGAGCCCAGTCTCGCCTTGGTGTCCAGGCGCTCTCCTTGGTTCCCAGGGTGTCTCGAAATTTGCGTCCCGGCAGCCTAATCCAACCTCGATGCCGGCTCTCATACTCTACCGACTCTCCTTCTCCAATGGCAGAGCTCGGAACGCCGATGGTTCGGAAAGTTGAGACTGGCAAGAAAATGGAGAAAGGTCCTCTGCAAGGGGAGGTGGGTAAGGGGCGATCAACTTCGAACCCCACGGCAGCAAGTCCCGGACGACTCTTCTTGCGGCGCAAGATAAAGACGCAACCCCTCAGTTCCCGTGTCAAGCCTATGATCACACCGATAATTCAATATCCGACCAAACATGCCATGAAGCGAAGCCTGGGTAAGCATGTTCTCAGCAAGAAAAGACAAGCTTTGCACGAATACTACCTCGAGGTCCTCGACAAGCCCCCTAATAACTGGCGCTCGACGCTAGATTTCATGATTCGGCATACACCAAAGGTCGGTGAGATATTAGATTTCAAGATAAAGATCGGGAAATCAGCCGCAGCACAAGCACGTGCGACTCTTTCCGACCTGGACACAAACCTTTGGCAAATGCAGCAGAGGCACAACTGCAATGTTCACATAGAATCGGGATTTTTCGAGGATGAGCCTCTTGTTCTCAACCTGTCAGGAAGTAGTGTCTCTATCCGAGGATTCTTGCTAGAGCTTGTTAGGAACACTGGTAAAATCTCGGTGGTCAAAGTTCTAGACCCGACGTTGGATATTTCATCGCTCACGTTTTGGGGTGACAACAGCGCTGAGGGCCAAGAGCGCATCAAACTAATTGGTCAAGGGGAAACTACAGCCGAAGATGAGCTCATGACAGTTTATGGCACTAAGAATGGTTTTATCGAGATGGCTAAACAACCAAAATATAAGTTATACGATTTAACCACACGTGCTGATGAGATTCCCCGGCCGGCTGCCTGGACCAGATTTTCTTTCGAGCAATACGTTGCCAAGCTGGTTCTAGGCCGGGTGCCCGCTCACTTACACCGATCCCTCTATCCGCTGGGCTCAGATCACCAGTCGACGGTAGTTCATCTCTTGACCAAGGTTTTCAGCTCGGAGGATTCGCGAGCCGCCATGTCAGTTACGGCGTTGAAGATGGCGCTCCAATTCATACATTCGCGGGGGCCAGTTTTCCGACCCGCGGCTCGCACTATTTCTATCCAGGCTGAGCAGCAGCATTTATCCCTAGATGCTGAGGTTTATCACACTTTTTTGGTGAGCGCGTCAAGGCGGGGTGACCTCCAAGGATTTAACAGTGTTATGAGAGCAATGCATAGGAAAGGGCACTACGTGCGCGCTCAAACCTGGATTGCGTTTCTACAAATGATCAAAGAGCCTCAGATCAAGCGTTATATTATGAAGAAAATGACAGGGCGAGGCCTGGGCAGCCTGCAGCCCGTTCTGGCAGAAATGGGCAGGCAAGAGGTGGTGCTCGAACTCGAATATTCGGCCAATACAGAGCTCAGCATCCAGCGTATGGTGGATGCGCAGGACTCGAAGTATGGACCATCTTGGTTGAATGCTATCACACTCAACAGGATCATCGATATACTTGGAGGTCGTGAAAATCTCGAGGCTTGCCACGAATTATTAGCCTTAATCAGTCGCGACCGACGAGTCCAAGCAGACCAGTGCACACTCAATACCATGATGGCGCACACTTTATCGATCCCGGGCAAGATTGCGCTCCTGTCGCGGTTGCCGGGGGTGCGCCCAGATGACACGACTTATCATAAGCTGTTCCAACCAGCCTGGAAGCAGCGACTTCCCAACATGCTCCGCGTAATTTGGCGATACGCCGTCTTCTCTGGCCGGGCGAATTCAAAAATGCGCCATAGACTTTCGGTGCTTATGCAGCACCAGCTAGAATGGAGCAAGCAACGTGCGTTCCTCAAGGAGTGTGAAGGTATCATCTTCGGCCGGAGAGAACTTGCCGCTTGCGGGATCGAAACTGGCGACGACGCCGGTGGGAAGGGTATAAGGCGCCTGGTGGATTTATACATAGAAGATGCAGGCGGACAGCTGCCACTCGTTCCACTGGGAACCAAACTCCAGGAGGCGTACGAGATGGACATGAAAATTCACAAACTGAAAAGGGAGGGTACCGACTTATCCGCCTCAGTTCAAGATAGCCTCACGGTGGAAATTCCTTTGGGCATGAAGGAGGTGTTAGGGCATACGGATAGTGGTAAGGCGTCTACGATGCGCCGCCAGTTGACGTGAAGTTGATTGTCACGTCCTTTGACGATATATATGTATATATGTTTAGACAAAAGAGCGCGAGGGCACACTTTGTATATTATGTAGCCATATGTATTAGGGGGTATGAAATGTTTGTATTGTAACTCTCCATCATGAAGACTAGATTGTACGTAGAATGGTCAATGATACTATACTGTGTTGTTCTGTTAAATACCCCCTTCACCCCCTCTACTCATGTTCCTTCTATGTCTCCTTTTATTACTAGAACTCCTGATATACCTTAGTAACTTGGCGTAGCAAACCCCGTCAAATATTATTCCGCGTACATGATAGAGATTAGGAAAACCGGCAATCCTCAACATACTTAATTTAGTAGATAGGCGGATGGAGATAGGTGACGAGTAGTACGAGCCTGTACTATCTGGCTACCTTCCGCAAAGGGCAGGCGTCGTCAGATGAGCTGTCGCCATAAGCCATCACTAGCCGTCCTGTAACTAGGCGCAATGGTGGAGCCTGTAGTGTATTTTTTTCGCCATGTGAACAGCAACCAAGCTCCTATCTCAGTGTTACTTCGCAACCTATTATCCAATAAGCTGTCAACCTCCATCGTCGCCGTAAGGTATCATATCCCGTATAGCACCATACCTCCTCCATCTCACCTCTACTACTATTACTATTACTACCTACAGTATTATCTCTAGGCTCAAGTGGGTAGGCAGGTCAGTACATGTAGGTCGGTAGGTGGCCGTATGTAGCTCAAGGACAGGTACCTCTTATCCGTTGCCCCTCACTTTACGCTGTACCTTCCCTTGCATATAATGCCCAAATGCCCCGCACTCTACTCACACGACTGCCTCACCACCAGCATCTTGCAACCTTAACATCATTCCCATCATTCCCATCATCATCATTACATCTAAGGGGAATCTCCAATCGGCATTTAAATCGAGTGTCTAATCGGTGTCTCGGTTCCTATTCTATCGTAGCCCGCCCTTCTCTAGTTTGTGGATATTCACAGCCAACTACTGGTAGACTTCCTCCTACGCTTTGCGCCGTTGGCTCGACCAGGAGAACTTATTTAACACCCGCCATCCAAGCCCACCAAGCACGCAAAATGGCCCCTCAACTCGACGGCTACTTCGCCGAGGTCGACAAGTTGTCCAACCACTTCATCGACCGTCTTGCGAAGGCTGTTGCCATCCCCTCCATCTCCTCCGATGCTAGCCGTCGTCCTGATGTCGTCCGCATGGGCGAGTTTCTGGCTGACGAACTAAAGAAGCTCGGAGCCAGCGTCGAGCTGCGACCCCTGGGCAAGCAGCCCGATAAGCCTGAACTCGACCTCCCGCCCGTCATTCTGGCTCGTTACGGTAGTGATAAGAACAAGCGGACAATCCTGGTATATGGTCACTACGATGTACAGCCCGCCGAGAAGAGCGATGGCTGGGCCACCGAACCCTTCGAATTGACCGTCGGCGAGGACGGCCGCATGTTTGGCCGTGGTAGTACCGATGACAAGGGCCCCGTCCTCGGCTGGTTGAACGCCATCGAGGCCCACCAGAAGGCTGGCGTCGACTTCCCCGTCAACTTGTTGATGTGCTTTGAGGGTATGGAGGAGTATGGATCTGAGGGTCTCGACGAGCTGATTGAGAAAGAAGGCAAGGGCTACTTTGCCGACGCTGATGCCGTCTGTATCAGCGACAATTACTGGCTTGGCACCGAGAAGCCATGCCTGACATATGGTCTCCGCGGCTGCAATTATTACAGTGTCGAGATCTCTGGTCCCGGTGCCGACTTGCATAGCGGTGTCTTCGGTGGCACCGCACAGGAGCCTATGACAGATTTGGTCCGTGTGCTGGGTAGCCTGGTCGATACTGATGGCAAGATCCAGATCCCCGGCATCTACGAGCAAGTAGCACCCGTGACAGAAGACGAGGAGAAGCTATACGACCCAATCGCATTCACAATGGAGACATTGCATGAATCGCTAGGTTCTACGACTACCATATATGATGATAAGAAGCGCACATTGATGGGCCGCTGGCGGTTCCCGTCACTAAGTGTCCATGGTGTGGAGGGCGCCTTCTCTGCTCCTGGTGCTAAGACTGTGATCCCTGCCAAGGTCATTGGCAAGTTCTCCATCCGCACTGTTCCCGACATGGAGATTGAGCAGACCAACGAGGCAGTCTACAGCTATGTCAAGGAGGTATTTGCGAAGCTCAAGTCCAAGAACACTCTAAAGGTATACGCCCAGCACACCGGCAAGTGGTGGAAAGCAAGCCCGCACCATTGGAACTTCCGCGCCGCTGGCAAGGCTACGGAACGTGTATGGGGCGTCCAGCCTGACTTCACCCGCGAAGGTGGAAGGTAAGCTATTAATACTTTTTTCCCCACTGAGGTAAAGGAGAATAAATACTAACTTGCTCTATCTAGTATCCCTGTCACCTTGACCTTCGAGCAGGCCACGGGCAAGAATGTTCTGTTGCTACCCATGGGTAGCTCAACAGACGGCGCGCATTCCATTAACGAGAAACTAGACAAGCGCAACTACATTGAAGGTATCAAGCTGCTAGGTGCTTACTTGCACTACGTCGCTGAGGAACCTCAAAATTAAGGGGTCTTTTTTTTGATACGATGGCGGGCTCTAAAAGGCTCTTCATATTTATCGCAAGATCTTTGTGTGAGGAGATCAAAAACATGTATGCATTTTGTGACAGACTCTTTGATGAAGTCTGCTGAATCTTGTTGGGCATGCTAAAATGATCTAAAAACAACACACACCTTCCTTTCCAAGTAGATTAGTTGTAATGCTGCTGAGTTAGGGCCTTGATATACCCAATACAAAAATTTCAAATCAGAGTTCGCAGCTGAAGATAAGCCTTTGGAAGTTGTGGGTAGACGTACTGAATTTACATGTTCGAGCTTCTGGGGCTGATTTTCTCAGCTCTCGCTCGGTGTATTATGTTAGAAGCATTGATATTTACTAACTCACAAAGATTTGGATGCATTATGTCCATAGTGACCAAGTGCTATTATCGGTACTATAGCTCTGATCCCGGATGGCACGGCAGAATGCGGTGGTTTTCCACTTAGCTAATACCAAACGCTCATGACCAAGGAATCGAGCCAGTCGCGCAGACAGCCAGCCAATGAGAGCACACGCTTTGACTACTACCATTCGCATTTGGAAAAGGGTTGGGCGGAATGGCCCTTGGCGAGTCCACTATTCCTGTTGCATGGAATATGTTGTGAGTAACTTATATAATAATACACATATGTCTCTATTTTCCCTCCCTTTTATAAACTGTTGGATGTTGATACAGCTGGATTGAATGAATGTGGATTCGTCTGACGAGTTACGATAAGGCACGGGGGAGAGGTAGATAAGAAGGGAGGGGCAGAGATGGCGGAAGGGGGGTTCTAGATTGCGAGGAAAGTGGGCTTTCCGGGACCCGGAGGAGATAGACTCCCAATGTTCTGTCTACCTACCCAACGACGACAGGTAGGAGATCTAGCAAATATAATTACATCTTGTAGATACACTCTATCTTAAAGACTTATAAGACCCGAGTTCAAAAAGAGAGTGGAAAGAAAGCATAGAAAGCAAAAAGATATACTGTTCGAGTCTTCTGGCGTTCGTGACGATATCATATCCACCTTACATCACATCACCATCGCCACCAACAATCACACCAACACTGATCACGAGTGAAGGACAACCCAAATATAAACACTCATAACTATAGCCAATCTTACCACATTCGTCAACCATAGAACTAAATGTCAAAGACTCTAGATATCAAAGAGCCGCTCGTCACAGAGATGGCAGTACCAGCCTCGGACTCCTCCTCCTCTGACTCGGAAGAAGGAGAGTTCTCGCCCCTAGCACTCGCCAAAAACAACGGCTTCACGCCGCTGCCGACGTACAAGGCGGCAGGAACCACCGAGACCGACTTCGACGGCTTGCTGCCAAAGGACAGGGTCCTGCGGCTCCACGAGGATCTGACGAACGGGTGTGGTGGACAGCTCTGGCCTGCTGGGATGACGCTTGCGAGGTACATGTTGAGATATCATGCGAAGAGCTTGGCGGGGAAGAGGATGTAAGTCTTACCCTTTCTCTTTTTTTTCTTTTTTTTGCTTTCTCTGTTTTGGATATATGTGGTGAGGAGAGAAGAGAAGAGAAGAGAAGCTCAGTATCTAGAAACAAGTTCCTGGGGTTGAAGATTCGTATCTCATGCGTATACCAATGCATTAAATAGATCCTTGAAAAAAAAAAAAAAAGAAAAAAAGAACATATGCTAACGGAAGACTCTTGTGGGGAAATAATAGATTAGAACTTGGTGCTGGTGGTGGTCTTGTTGGCCTCGCTGTTGCCCGTGGGTGTGATCTTGGAGGAGGAGAAAACTATCCGCCGCTATGTATCACGGATCAGACGGAGATGTTTTCCCTCATGAGGCATAATATTGCGCTCAATAAGCTCGAAGGTAAAGTCGAGGCTAAGCTGTTGAATTGGTGAGTGCTCAACCTTGCGTCTTTTCCACGACTACCCACCCCCTTTATTCCTTCGACATCAATTATCCCATTTAAACCCCGAGGTCTCGAGTTCCCATTTGCACATACGGGATACTCTACATGAGACGCACAATCCTCTCATACACATACTCAATTCGACAAGACTAAGACTTTCCCCGTCTCATCTATCGACTTCCTTACTAGTAAATCACTAACGAAGGGAATAATTGCCTCGGGACAGGGGTGAACCACTCCCCGCGGAAATCGTCTCGAACCCGCCAGACGTCATCCTAGCCGCGGACTGCGTGTACTTCGAGCCGGCCTTCCCGCTGCTGCAGACGACGCTCTCCGACCTCCTATCGCTGCGTCCCGAGGCCGTGATCTACTTCTGCTTCAAGAAGCGCCGTCGGGCAGACATGCAGTTCCTCAAGCAGGCGCGCAAGCGGTACCGCGTCGCCGAGGTCGAGGACGAGGAGAAGCCTGTCTGGAGTCGGCAGGGTTTGTTCATGTTCGCTATCACGGCGAAGGGGAAGGGGATGGTGGACGGGAAGATGCAGGGCGGGGAGTAAGGAGGGGGGTTGCGGAGAGAGATCGAATGAGGTTGTTGGAGAAGGGCACTTGGAGGTGCTGGTGACGTCAAGATACATTGCCTTGCCTTGCAGGTTCATGTCTAGGCAGAGAGAGAAAGAGAAAAAGAACATGTGCGTGTTCACTTACAGACAGACGGAAGACAACACGTCTATACATGAATGAGGCGTTCCGACATGATCTGTCTCCGTTGTGCGAGCGAGGCAGTCTTTCCCGAGCCCAACGCAAGTTACCTAGACAAGGCTGTGTGGCTTTGGCTGATAATTGATTGGGGGAACAGGGCTCGGCCATTGGAGTACGGCGTTTCTTGGGGACATTATATCTAGAACACTTGTTGGCGTAGGAGAGGAGTGATTGGCAACATGACGAGCTGGCTGGGCTGGAAATCATCGTGGCGCAGTACCAAGAGATAGACAGATATACGCATAGACTTACCTACTCCGCAAAAGCCTAGACAATATACATCGCACACCGGTCATGGAGAATAGCACAGAAGAAGCCACTGGAATGAAAAGAAGTGTGACGGAAGAAGCAAAAAAAGAGGCAGAGACATCGAGAGAGAAGTCGGTTACTCGTGCGTGCGTGTTCCGCGGATCGTACCTATGGTATTCCTATTGCCTCGATCGCAGGACTTACGTACATACCTACATATGCGAAGTTCGCACTGCTGTCCTCACGATTTGCCGTACGTCTGCCTCTACCTACCTACCTACCGACTATCTATCAATGGATTAATCACAAGAAGGATAGCGTCGCGCGAAGATTGCAGTATAAAGGTTGGCAATATATACATAGGTAGGTAGGTAGGCAGGTAGAGGCAGTTGGTATGTTGTGCGGCCCCGCGGGTAGGCAGTTCATATCGCCGTTTATGCATGCCATGCGCTGCAACTTTAACTGCTCGCCGGTTCGAGATGCCGCGGGATAATCAATTAGATTAAACATGGAGATGGGAGGTAGTGTAGGTAGGTAGGCAGGTAGGTAGCATCGATTGCGACGCGATGCGGCAATGCCCATGCTTTGGTATGCCCTTGTTGCAGCGGTAGGATCACCCTTCGTATTGTACACCTTCATAGGATACCTAGGTAGGTAGCTCAGCTGAGCATCTAGCTGGCTAACTACACGTAACTGACTGCTGGGTCAGCTCAGCTACCTATGTTCGCTCAGAGGTAGCTTGCCCATTTGTCGGCCTGTAGACTAACTAGGTGCCCATGTCGGATAGCGACAGCGCGGAGAAGAAAACGTGCAACGATGCCATTAATAATTCCCACACACTTTACCATACCATACTTCATGTACTGGACAACTATTCATGCTCCTCTCGTTAATTTCCGTTGCGTGCTGCAGATTCCCGTTTCTTACACTGCATATGCGATCGAGATGCCTACCGAGGTAGTAATATACGTAGGCACTGGGCAGGGACAAGGAAACGAGATAGCAATCTCTAATTTGGCGATATTACGGCCGCAATACGGTGTCATCTACTGGGTAAGTTCGCTATGGAGAAACAGTCATTTACCAATTTAGGGTTGGTAGGAGGTATATAGAAATTAGAAATTGTTAGCAGAGCTCGGACCTTGCGTGTGCTTGCTTGCTTCGCCCTCCTACTAAAAAAGAGTAATTTCGCTCGATCCTGATTGTTAGGTAAAAGCCGTGACGGGAACCCTTGAATAACCGACACAGTTTCTCGCGCATCACCTTTTAATATTCGCGCGCCATGCTAAACCTACTATAGTAATTGTTGGGGCAGTACGTACTGATACCCCTACAATAGTCCTTGGCATACCTAATCTAGCCCTTTTCGAAGTATAACCCTTGTATCTCCTAGTAGGACCTATAATAGCCATTAGAAAAAAAAACACGTACCTAACGGGTGTTATCTTTAACTTCGAAGGTTAGTTAAATAGGTGGTAGAAGGGGTAATTTCGTATTAAGATCAATAAGCAAGTTACTTTTTTAAGGCAGGTTGAAAAATATATCATAAGGCACTTTTAAAAGGGAACATTTTTACTAGCAAATATAATAATAAGCTATTCGTTATAAAAGTTTTAAATTTAAGAGATTAAAGGGTATAGGTACTTATTGAGTGATGATATAAAAAATGACTGTTTTTATAATCGCTGTTAAGGGTATGTCTGCAACTAACCCTAACTTGTATGGGAAACCAGGGGGGTTGCAGATAGAGACCCGATAATTGCTATGGTAGGTTTAGCGTGGCGCGCGAGTATTAAAAGATGATGCGCGAGAAACTGTGTCGTTGAATAACCTGGCAAGACAATGATGATCAGCCTCTACACTTCCCAGGTAGGCTGTCCAATATGTTTGTAGTTAGGTAGGTATTACATAGTATACCTATGTAGTATTGTATTGTACTCCGATCGGTTTCCGGCGCGAACAAGTAGGTAGTGTAAAGATCAGGTTGTAGGTTGTGTACACATGGCACCGCAGCCGTGGTCAGCGACGTGGCCGGTTGTCGAGTCGTCTGAACTTCCCGACCGTGTTTTACATTCTGCGGGAGCAGAGATCATCGGACTGTCTGACGAAGCGCATGTCACAACAGGTGGTTCATGAATTGCATCCTGTATCCCGGACTTGTTATCTAATGAGAACACTAAACAAAGTTGCCTTCACTCCCTTGCTTTTTTGGTGCCTCGCTGTTTCTCCATAACAGTAGGTAATGAGTAAGCCGACCGAACGAAGCTTGTTGTTTCAGCTTAGTATTGTGGAAATCTCGGAGTGCCGCCCGTATCACGCCGATCAGCAAGACAGCAAGACAGCTCAGAGACTAATCGGTAGTTGAACCAATGAGCAAGTCATATCCGCACAGCGTGATGCGCGTTGGTCAGCTCTTAGGTCTTAGGTCTTGGGTCTTGGGGGCGGTGCTGCGCTGGCTGAGAGAGTCGAGAGTGAAAAATGAAAAGTCTTCTTCTGTTGCCCACCCCGACCCCTGCATAGGAGGGTCGGGACTGGACCAGGATCGCCAGGAACGGGAATGCGTGTTGCGTTTCCTGGGCCAAAGGCCATCCCTGCTGATGGGACGGAAATGAGCCATGATTGGCCAGGTGTGCTGACAGGCGGATCGGTGCCTTGCATTAGCTGCACAGGCTCATCCAAGGAAGGGAAAAAAACGACGACTGGACAGACACTGGAGAAAGGAGGGGGAGAAGAGGCAGCCTGTTCCGACCCCATCAATGACCCGTCTTGTAATTAGCTGAGTTCCTCTCTTTTGTCGTCTGCCTAGGGCTGGTAAAAGCTGAACATGATTTCTGATGACCGTCTCTTACTTACTGTATTGTTGGTCCCTTTGTTGTTTGATTACTTACTTGTAGGTAGACTGTAGTGTATACTTATGTCCATACCACAACGAACGAACAGTCGGTTTAGCCAGAGGTCCGGCCAAGTGGTAGGACAGTAGTGTATAGTAGAGCAGATGGCGAAATGGACTCCACGTTAGATACCACTTTGTTGTTGTGTAACTGTATGATGTGCGCCATCAATTAATGTCTGTCATTCTATTACCTAAATGGCTTACGATCCACTTCAGCACCTCTTGGGATACCTACCTACCACACTAAAGTGAAGAGGCGAAAAAAGGGAAAAGAAAAAAAAAATTGCTCGAGATGCGGAGGCTGACGACGACCTGTCCTGGTAGTGTAGGTAGCTCTGTGGTAGGACTCTCGAGACTCTCGAGGACAGTCTCAAGACCCATGGACATGCTGTAGTGTACAGTAGTAGGTCCATAGAGCTTATAGAGAATGCAGTAGTGAGAGTCCGATTGACGCTATTCCGACACGGTCTCGATAGTGCCTTGATTTTCATTCTCGCTCGTTCGATTTCTCGCGGGCCGGGGCCGTCGTTCCCTTGCGCTGTTTTCCTTCTTCCACACTTTCGTTCTCTCTTTCTTTCTTTCTTTCTTTCTCTCCTGGTGCCACTGTGGCTTGCACAGACTGGACACCATAATAGGTACCTACCTGGTACATACTAATTAGGTATGTAGGCATGTATGGAAGTAGTGTACAAGATACTTCCCACACCATGTATTGGTGTACCTGCATTTCAATGTCACTGTAGCATCTGTTGGTGTGGTGGTGTGGTGCAGAACAGGTACATTCTACCACCTTGACTGTCTTAAGATGGGTCCGTTATACATATTTGCATAGTATTTATGTAGGTACATACTCTGTATAACAGGTCCAATTCAAGGCGTGTCTACTATGTAGTAGGTATGTATCTACACAGTCGACACGACGGTGCCTTGTCTCTCCTCTTCTCCCCCCCGGTCTTCTCCTCCTTCCGATCTCCTCCCAGCCCGACCAACACGTGTATTACACACACTCCCAGCCCCAAAGCCCCAGTCCTAGGGCTTGCTAGAGACATCCTCCCCCTGTCGGTTGTTTCTCCCCGCTAGCAGGGCTACCGTAGGCTCTGGTAATAAAGCAGCCGGCGCTAGACCTTCCTTTCATTCCTCTCTCTCTTTTCTCTCTCTCACCTCACACCTTTTGGTTCTCTGTCTCCATACATTCTTTCAGCCTGAGCAGTGCTCACCCGTATACATTCATTTTCGTCGACGACAAGCTGCTCGCCACCCTCCTTCGTGAAATTCGAACAAGCCACGTGCAATTTCGAGGCCATATTGCAGTGCAATCGTAGCGCAATCCTCGTCCTCGATCTCGACAAACAACACACTTGTCTGTTATCAACCAAAGACAAAGACGACAGCGGCTCTCAGTCCTTTCTGACTCTGTTTCAAACAAGATACCCCCTGGCTGGACCTCTCGCATCTGCCCACAAGCGCAGAACAAACGTTCAAACACAATTCCACCTCCCAAGAACCAATAGAGCATTCTGATATATATCGTATTACCTCGACCATCACTCATCATGAAGTCTGTATCTGTTGCTGCTGCTGCTGCCCTTCTGGCTGGCATATCCAGTGCTCAACCTCACGGCCACCATGGGCACAACCACCTCCACGCCAAGCGCGACCTCGTCACTGAGTGGGAAACTGTCTGGGAGACTGTGACCGTTGTTGTTGACGAGAGCACCACTGAGACCCTCTACCCAGCCCATACCACTGAGTCTGGCGCACCAGGCGAGTTCTATGAGACTCCTAGCACCACCACCAGCACCCCTGAGCCTACGCCCACCGTTGAGACTTCCACATCTTCGCAGGCACCACCGCCGCCACCCCCGACCACGGAGGCGACCACTTCAACTTCCACTCCGCCACCGCCCCCTCCGGCTCCCACGACCACCTCTACCCCTGAGCCTGCACCTCAGCCGGAGCCTGAGACATCGACCTATGTGGTTCCTACCCAAGCAGAAACTACCACTGTTAATACCCCGGCCCCAGTAGACACCCCTGCGCCGGATTCTGGTTCCAGCAACAGCGGTGCTGACGGATTCGGCTCCTCTGGCTTGGACACCAAGGACTACTCGGGAGACATCACCTACTACGATCTGGGTCTAGGTGCTTGCGGCTATGATGACGGTAGCAACAGTGAGAATATTGTTGCTATTTCCCACCTTGACTGGTACGCCCGAGGCCCCGGTACCAGCCTCGGTATCGACATGCCTAACCACGTCTGGTGCAACAAGATGATCACCATCACCGCCAATGGCAAGTCGACCACCGCCAAGGTCCACGACATCTGCCCTAGCTGCGCATCTGGTTCCATTGATGTCTCTAGGGGTACCTTCATGGATCTGTTCGGAAGTCTCGAGGCTGGTCGCACGGAAGCATCTTGGACTTTCAACTAAAGCCCCTATCCGTCAGTTAACAGGTCCTAGGCTAGGTCTTTTGCCTAAGCTATGAAGCACGAAATGGCAGTTTTCAGATTTCAAAACTGCTTTGTTGCTAATGATGACGAATCTTCTTTTTATGTGCCATGGTCAATTGGCCAAGTGGAAGCAAGCGAGTGAGCGAGCCATTTGAAAGAATGCACTATATTTTGATATATTCTTGACTGGATCTGGAGATCTACGAGTGCGCACAAATAAACAGGCGTTGGGTATACGGAAAGGATTATATACAACTCCGCTGGGAATATGGAGGAAAAGTGATAAAAAGGGACCAAGACATTTGTTGCCATGTCCCTAGACTAGTCAGCACGTGGTCTCCCTACTTTTTGAGTTTCACTATTTTCCTCCAGGCCACGCAACCTGTGAGCTTGTTTGCAAGGATCCCATGTCTTGACAGTTATGATAGACTTCTTTTTTGATTCTGTGTACATACTATATCTATTCAATCCACATTGTTGGTCAAGAATTAGTACAATGCGTAGATGCGTATCTACCCATTTGTGAAAAAGAGAAAGGTTGATAGATTAGGAATGAATAGACGGGGAATATTACAAGCATGATCGTTGCTATGGCTTAGATTATCATTCGGACGCACTACATACCTAAGGTTAGATATGTAAGCCGAACAATGTATTCTATATGTGTACTAGGATAACAAACCATACCATAGATTGATTCACTTCTCGAAGTCCTTCTCGTAATGATACGATATGCTAGTCAATCTTCACTACAAACTGCTCCCCTGTTATCTTGTTGTCTATTCTACCTGCCTATTTGAAGTGCTTGGATGAAGTAATCTCGTGATCAAATTTACCTTGCCTCGACTTACTGTATATATTTTAACGCTACTTTGACCTACCTACCTCCCTCCTTGCCCGTCTGTCTTGCTCAGGTATCCAGAGTGAGTGAGAAAATGAATGGCCTTGTACTAGAATGAAATTTTTCAATTCGGATTTATATATATATATATATATTTAGGTTCTCGCCTTAAATGTTATTATTGATATTGTGTTAAAAGTTTCCTAATGACTCCAGCGATCATGGCGTCTGTGTACCTACCTATTCGATGTACGGAAACGCGTTCCATCCTCGATAGAGTCATTTCAAGTACAACTATATATATAAAGACACGAATGCATCCCGAAATATCGACGCAGATATATATAAACCCGGAAATCTACGAGTAACCCTTCCGAGATAAAGAGGCGTTTATTGTATATACCATTGTGGGAAACATTGATATAACAATGAATACCTAGTGGAACCAACTCTCTTCATTCCAAACAATTTATAACAAAATCCTACAGAGATGAGTACCATTCTCCTATTTTTACATCACGATCTTATATATCTAGCTTTTAACAAACCTAGTGCTTAGATACTTGAGTATGCAACAGCTTATAAGCATATAAGTGTGTGTGCACATACGCCTATATATCCACCTCTCTATATCCATCCATATCCCACAACTCATATCTAACTAGCGCCCCATATTGAGCAATCCCTCAATATACTTATTCGTATCGACGCCAATGCCCTGCACAAGCCGACTCGCGCCCTCGGCCCAGCCGCCATTGTTCTCCGCGTAGGAGCCGCTGAGGGCTCTGATCCCAGTGGTGTGCTCGCCCGCGCGGCGGATGAGGAAGATCTCCTTGCTGACCGTGCGCTTCGGCACCACGTTCGCCGGCTCCGGGATGTGCGAAGCTTCGCTGTCGAGGGAATCGTCTTGGCGCAGCGTGGGCACGGGAGGTGGGTTCTGAGTGGAAGAAGTGTTCTCGGATGTAGTACCACTGCTTTCTGACTCTGCGTTTGGAGTAAGTGTGGAATCACGGTCTAGGATCCGCGTCCAGACGATCCACCAGCCGCGGCTCGTCTTGCATGTCCGCTCGAGCTCTGAATAGTCGGTCCGAGTAGCTGCGTACATGTTGAGGATCTGGTTGTGGGTGTTGACGGCCTCGGCCCGTGACCACGCCACGTTCTCGTGGAGCAGCTCGGCGGGTGTGGGAATGTTGGGTATGGTCGAGTGGACCGTCATCGCCTTCGGGTCCCAGACGAGATCGAATATATGAGACGCTTTCTCTCCCGTGTCTGGCTTACCTGGTCGGTAGGCCGTGGACACTGCTAATGGTTTCCGCAACGGCGCAAGCTGATGGTGGAGGGATCGGTAAAAGCCGTCCCAAGCCAGCGAGTCTGTTCTATTGCGGAATAAGAATGTGAATATGAAAGGTTTGTTGACGTAGACGACCACGCGCATCTTCTGCGTTTTGTTGCGATCCTGGCTGTCGAATTGGGAGTTCGGATCCATGTAGTCCTTGGCGCCAGATTTCGTCAAGGTCAACTCGGTTCTTCCACTGCCCAAATCCTCAACTTTCTCGGATTCTACTTGCTCTTCGCTATCGAGCTCGACCGTAAGTGTTCGAAGTAGAATCCTGGAGTTGTGTTCCGACGTCTGGGACTCATTGCCGCTTTGATCTTCACGGTCGTCCGTATTGATACTGAGCTCTTCCAAGTCGCCCAGCAACCCAACAAGATACTGCCCACAGTCATCAGAGGATTTAGGCGGAGCGGGCTCGCTGACTTTAGCAGGCTGTGCATCGTCTTTCGCTAGGGAAGTATCTGCGTGTGCCTCGTTCTCAGAGCTACCTAAGCTCCAATGCGTCCCGTAGCCCATCTTAAGATAGCTCATGAATTTGTTCATTCCGCTTTCATCAGGTGACGTTTCCTCCTGCGCAGACCCCGCCCTACTAGATTCCTGCTGCAAGGTGTCACCTTTCGATGCGTTATGGCTAACAGAAACTGTGGTGTCATTTAGTTGCGACTGAGTTTCACTGCCACCTGTAGCATTGGTTACGGATTTCCTCCTTTTTCGTCTGGCTTGTCGTGTCGATGTTGGACTCTCCTTCACGCCGTATGCATCTTCACCCCACGAGTAGATTTCTTCCATCCAGGAAGTGATATCATAGACCGACTTCCTCGATAGCGCGCCAACGCCCAAGAAGATTGCACCATCTTCGGCACCGGGTTCTTCTCCAGTCCCCAGCCATTGCGTAGAAGATGTATCACCCTTCTCTCCTTTGGTAGGCTCTGCTTCTGGTGCACACTCGGAGGAGCCAAATTTTGATACAACCAGATCTGTTAGTCCTTCAACTCTATCAACAAACCCTTCAAGGACTTCTCTCTCGCCACTGCCGCGTTCTTCCTCGCCCACGCCCACACCAAGCTCGCCACACGCTGCAATCTTGATACCCCTGTAAACGTTGCTTGCTGGGTTACCGTGGAGCATGACATCCCACGTAGATAAGAAGAGGTCCCAAAATCGACTCAATATCTTGATGAAATTGGGTCGCCTAGACTTGACAAACAAGGCACTCAGAGACGATGCATGATGCAGCAAGAACATGGAATGTGCGCGTAGTAGATCGCGCATGAGCAAGGTGCTCGGCTTCAGTTCCCGTGACGAATACTCAACATTTTCCGGCTGCTCAGCTGTCTTACCCGCAGCAGGCTGACCGATCCTGGGAGGAAGCGGGATCTTGCTGAGGTCGATAGACTGCACGTAATTGAACAAGTGTTAGCATCATTCTGCTGCGGTTTAGGCATGGATGTGTCTACATACTGCTAATATCCACCAACCGGGCTCGACTTCCTGCAAGACAACCCGAGTCTTCTCAGTCTCTATGGTGTTCACGGGCTCACCATTAGAAAAGCCACGACTAAACTCGACCATGCCTTGAGCAAGTCCAATTTGTCTGAGACGCTCATTACGTTCTTCTTGCGAAATGTCAGCGGTGGGCTTCCCACGCGATCGGTGACGTCGCTTCTGGGATTGGGTATTGACAGAGGCATAGTAGACTATCTGGTCATCGATGGTCTCGTCCGTTGCTCCAAGAGACGGATTGAAGATGGCCAAAAAGCCCAACTGCGCGGGCACAACAGCCATCTGATTAGTCATGGTAGAAATGGTCAGTCATTGATGCCCGGAGTGTCGAAAGATTTTCGAGGTGAGAAGACAGGATGATGCCAGTATGATATACACCAGAATAATGAGAGGGCAGGACTAGGCGGTGCTGCCTTTACGGCCCAACCGAGACCAAGCATACAAAGCCTCCCGTTTCGACGCCTAGTGTATAACTTTGTGATACGACGCAAAGACAGCAAGTGATCCAGCTTCAGATGTCAGACACCAAACGGAGCCTGGTGGCTGTTCTGGCCAGGCCCAAAAGAACGACAGCGAGTCCCAAGGTGTAGATATGGAAATGCAGGTCGCATCGTAGTGGGTGGTTTACTGGGTCTAGAGCCCTCTCTGTAATATGCTGTTCGGCCCTGCGAGACCACCTAACTTTGGCGCTGAGCTAGCTGTTGTATATACCTATACTAAATCTCGCACTGCAGATGCCCCACTGACTTGCGTCAGAGTTCGTGAGCTTGTGAGCTCATCTACGCAGATCTGATCACGTTGTGACTAATGGACTCAGCTCAATTCAACCAACCTCGATATCCCGCAGACCATCTTTCATCATCACCATCATCATCAGTAGGCAGCTTATGGTTCCTGTCATGGATATTATTTATTTATGGCAATAAAGCATCCCTAACAGTACAAAATTCATCATAGCCCAAAACCCTAGCCCAGCTATTCCTATAACGCTGGTTGCATTTGCAAGCCTGTCTGGTTTACAGTGACCAGGTGGTGCATCTTATACAATAACCCGAAAAAAAAGGAAAAAAAAAAGACAGTAGGGTTTCCTACTGTTCTCATTCGACGCCGCCTGTGAATGCTGATAGACGCTTTTCGTGTCGGGGTCATGAGAAACTCTATGATTTAACATGGCGCGAATAGTAGACCAACCCGCACGCTCGTTTAGCAAGGCGCGCTTCGTCTTGCTTACTTGATACAGACGAAGCCCTCCTAGGCCGTACAATTGGAAGATGTAATTCCAACCAAATACTTCCACTGCCATTGGATACAGGTCAAGACCAACAATCCCATCCCAATAGTCATCATGATTCCAGTATGAACAACAGCTGGTAAGTGCTCCAGCTAAAAGAACCCTCTAGCTTCTGGGGGGTTGACCGCTACCTAATGGTCATAACCCGCGCCACGTTGCCATGGACTGTCATCTTGTTAGTCATTGTTGTCTAGGGAAATTCATCTGAGAAGACATACCTTGCGTTGTTCTGTGCTCTAAAACCTGTGGGAGTAGAGTTGTTCTGCGCTCGGAATGCGCTGGCCGAAGAAGGGCCATACGGGCTGACTGATCTGTTTGAGCCACCATTGGCAGGGAATAGCGGCACTGACGGGTCTACAGGAGACCGTGGCCGGGGAGGTTGATAGTTCTGGGGGGCAGAAACGGGCCCGGCGGGAACGCTCAAACGGCTATCGGCGCGGCGCCTCATTGACTCCGATGATATGGATTCAGCATCATCATCTAGATCCAATCCAGGCTTGTAGTAACCCGCCTTGTCGCCACGAGCTGTCGCGGCTAGGGCATCGAGCTCCGTCGTACCCGTCAGCTGGGACTGAGACTTCATAAACGATGTTCGATCATCGGCCATGAACTGGTATCGGGCATCAGGGTTCTTCCGGTAGAAAACCATTCCGGTCGAGACAATGAGCATGATGAGCAAGACAGTAGCGAAGATGGCATTGAGGAAGAAGAGAATAAGACCAATAACACCGTTAACAAGAGGAGGTTGATCAAAGACGTCTGAGAAGATTAGAAGGAAGATAGCGTTGATGAAGTTAACAACGCAGATGGAGATGTTGAAGGAGTTGGTACTCTTGTCCATCCAAGGTCGGAGGACGCTCACGGCAATAAGGGCACCAGCTTCGATCAGGAGGAATCCAATGGCTTGGGCAGTTCCGCTGTTTTGGGCAAAGGCGATGAAAAGTGACTTAACAAACGTGTAGCCGAGGACCGGAATGACAAAGTAATAAGCCGAAGCCCGGAATTGAACGTAGAGGAAACCCCATTTGTTAAGCGCGTGAGGATCTGAGAAAAGGATGTAGGCGGGATTGCGGTGCATGGCAACTGAGCGACGTGCAATGCGAATCACCTTGAAGGCAGCCCATCCCAGGGTAACAGTCATGCCCACCAAGAAGAAAATGGCTAACACAACCTCGGCAGGAGAGTCGACTTGCGTGAACTCCCAGAGGCACAGGATGGTCATTTGGGGGTAACCAATCAGTGTCAAACGGAACAAAATTCCCTTCAAGATGGTGAGCCACCCATTGCGAAACTCGAGAAATGTATCTGGTTTCATCCAATGCTTCTTAGCAGCGAGCTCACACCAGCCTTTGAACGCGGCAATACCAGCAATCGTGAACACGACCAGCAGAGAATAGAAGACGAGACCGGTCAGGAACAAGTTTGTTGACTCGATGTGGGCCCTGAAAGCAACACGCTGAATACCACGGACAATGTAGCTTCCTGAGCCCGTCATAATATTACCACGTTTCATCAACTCGGCAGTACCACGAGGAACCAATGATGCGGATCTTCGGTAAATACCAACTGCCGCCTCTGGCAAGACTGACAAAGCACGCTTCTCGACTTGGACAGAGAGTGTAGTAAGCGAATCAAAGATGGTGGAAGGAGTACCACCAGTTGCACGCTGATACCAAGTGAAGATATCCTGCAAGAAGTCCACATTGATAATACCCATCGACCACTGGAAATCTTGTGTCCAGGACTGAACAACTGGTGGGAGTTTGACGCTGGTCATACCAAGTATAGCCTGAGCCTGGAAAAAGCCGAAAAGAGACAAGGCACCCGAGGCAATGTGAGCAGCGGCGTTGGCATGACCAAGACCGTTCAGGACAGCAGACGAACAGAGCACGACGAAAGCGATAGCGGCGAGGGTCCATTTCACAGCTATTAGATTGACAGTCTTGCCATTGGATACGTCAGCTTCGACACAAGCTACACGCTCCTTGGTATCTCTGTTGGTGAGAACAACACGAACAGTGGCATCTAAGTCGGGAAAGGTGTATGCGATACTGGGAATTTGATCTTTGGCGGATGGATCTACGTCGAAATTAAATTTGAGTGGAATTTTGCCAGCGGTCATAGGACAAAGACCGGCTAGTCCAAGATCGCATGGATTCACACTCTGCTCGATGATTGGATAACCGTAAGCGACAACGGATACGTCGAAGTTGACGAACCCTTCCACGGACGATGTCGCAACAACGTTGACGGTGGCCACGTTGTCATTTGGAATGTAGGTCACGTTGAAGAGACTTGCGGTAAACTGAGAGTTGGTTTGGCACGAGTTGAGCGATGTCGACGAGAGCATGGGCCCAGCGGCATTGGAGCCAACCGCCGAAAGGGCGGATAGCCATAACGCCGACCGTACATTTGAGAATCTCATGGTGGAGGAATGAGGTCGTTGCGAAACGGATTTGAATATTAAGGTATACGGCGTACGAGATACCGCGCGCCGAATGAATAGATTACGCGCCTTTGTAAAGAGACGCTTCCTTGGTTCCAGGTGAAAGAGCGTGGTCAATCAATTACATCGGTAGGCTTAGCGAAAAAACCTAGATTCTAGACAAAGAAACAGATAACTCTATGCCGGTGTTCCTTGGGAGCAAGGCACCAAACACAGGAGCGGTTGGTAGTGATGCTCTGAAGGATCGAGACCAGATGCAGTTACAACCGTTCCCCAAGCCTTGTTGATGAAAAGGAGAAAAATATCGGCTTCTCTAAGTGTGCAATAAGCGAATGGGTGTGTGCGCGTGCCGCCTTTCGAAGAGTCGTAACAAAAGGGGGCGGTTTGGGTACGAAACCGAGTCGGCGAAACAACAAAAACAGCACAACGACGATTCCCCTTCGCAGAACGGGAGTGTTGAGAGTCGTTGGAACAACGGTCGACGAGAATCGGGAACGATCGAGTCGGTCGGGTCGAAATTAGTGGAGAGTGGCAGAAGAAGATAAATGGGTTTCAGAGAGTGACTTTGGTCGGCAAATGGTGATGTAGGTGGTTGATGGCGGAGTGGGCTAGAAATTCCAAGAGGAGGAGGAGGGCAGACGAAGAACAGGATAATGGACGAGACAAGAGACGTTCAAGGCCAGCCAGCGTGAGTGTACCGCTTGCTTAGTGTAAGTAGGGCCGTAATTTAGGTACAGTAGTCGGGTCTGGGAGGTGGTAGGGGAGGCTTGGAGGCTTGGACGGCTTGGGGCTTGGAGGATTTGTCTTGCCTGAGTGCCCAGATTGGACAAGAGAAGAGGGCACGACACAACAAGAAAGGGGACGGTGGGCCGGGCGGATGCCAAAAGATCCCAAAGTAGAGAGGTACATGTACATCACTTCCAGGTACTGTTACATACAAGTCGATCGGCACATCGGCTAGGTCCTGTGCCAGCTGGCAGCCACGAGTGCTTAGGCCGGTTTGCAGTGGTGACAGGCCGTTCAGCTGCGACAAGCAGGGAGATCTGAAGCGGATTGGAGGGCTGGCGGCTGGAGTGGGGCTATCTGGCCAGTTAATCGAAACAATTCCAGTTCAATTAGTACAGCTCCACCGTCGTAGTCTGGTCGTAGCAAGTACCTATCTACTAAGTATAAGGCACTAGGGGTACCCTACAGCATACTACAGGGCATTAGGTACAATAGATACAATAGATGCATAGGGTCAGTACTTGCCCATATGACGCCAACTGAGGAATGAGAGAGGTAAATTACGCGTCATGAACAGCCCAAAAACTCATGCGTACTGTACCTACTGTAGTGTACCTACCTGGGCGCTTGCCTGTCCAGTTTTCTTAATTTAACTCTTCTTTATCAATCATCGGCCGTATTGACTTCTCCCGTGGATGATTTGTCTCGTCGTTCGTGAACCGTTGTTGGTGATAAACCAAAATCCTCAAGAGCCCAGTATGCTACAGGAAGTACATGTGTGTAGTCGTATCGTATTCAGGAACCTCCGCCAAATCACTAGAGAGCTTTTGGCGTCACCAGTCATGAGGAAATAATGCATACCTAGTGAGGGCTAGATCAGCTTGGCCAGATGGTTGCCACTTGTGTTGCTGACGTCGAGCCGTAGCATGTTTGCTGTGTATCGGTCAGAGATCGGTTGTTGCCAGGGAACAAGATGGATTGTCCTGGCTTGAAATCATCACGCATCGGCTGAAGGGCCTGTCCAACACAGGATGAGCAAGAATTTATACTATCTACGGACTGGTAACGCGGCAGATCTCTCAGATCGTCGCCTCTAGTGGGTTGTATCACGACACAATTCAGCACAAGGTATCACATTGTACCATGTAGCATGGCATTACACCATATATTGAACAAAAGCTTTCGGCTGAGCACAAACTTACTTTCCTTTTTATGCCAAACAAGCTATGGTAGCAACACAACTATGTCACGATGGTAACAATTGCATCATAGGTACACCAACCACCCCACTCGATGCATGACTCCATGTCTCTGGCCCGGCCACCAATGCACACCGAACGCATGGTAGGTATACCTATGGTAGGTAGACTGACCAAATGCTATCTATAATACGAACGGGTCATCTGTGCGACCAGTCTTACAGTAGTCAGTCATTATTAGCCTTTGAAGAGAAGCGTTGAAGAAAGACACAAACGGGACGGGAACAGACGAAACGAGAACAAGAAAAGCCCCGAGGTGAAACACGAAGGACTCACGACGTGATCCAAGACTTGTCCAAGACACTGGCACTAGGTATTTCAGTCGCCAGCCCAGAGTCTGCGCAGAGTCTGCCAGAGCGTTTACGAGCCTGCGACAATGCATGTTTAGAAAAGGCCGCCCACAGCCAATAGATCGCCCCGGGAGGTCGCGCCCTTCATTTCATCTCAGGTGCACCTGCGAGCACTGCCACCCTCGGCTCCCTCGAACCGCCGGGTTCTTTGACGGGTCCTTTGAACGCTTGACGGGGGGGTTGCGGCATGGTCGGGTCGGATATTCGGCTGTCATAGTGTCCCAATACATCCCCTAATACGTCGTACTCCTACTTACTTACTCTGTCCTAGAGGCTGAAGAACTAGAGGCTACAACAGGGCACTAGATAGCCGCCAGTCATTCTAGTCTTCTTAGAAGACCAACCGATCCCTTGCCAACCAACCTTGTCGCCCACTATTGAATTACCTATTGTACAACAAATACAACATTGGCACACACTTACATATTCCTACGTACGGTATCCCTAAGTAGGAAGCCCTATGTACCTAGAAGATGAATGAGATGATGCTGTACAACCTATGTTGAATGTCGACGATATGCATGCCTACTTATAACACTTGTGCTACGCTACGGATAGTCAGGATCAGGGTAATTCCCCCATTCCCTCTCCGCCGCCCCAAACACGCTCAACGTATCCACCCGTGGCTCTAACTCGAGGATCACAACCTCATTCGCCCCCACCGGTTTCAGCACTGTCCCCGGCAAATACAACGACTGCTGCGGCCCAATGATCCAATACCGGCCCAGGTTGAACCCGTTGACCCAAACGTTGCCCTTGACGCCGTCCGGCACAGCCAGGAACGTGTCCAGCAGCGCCGGGTCCGTGTCGTCCTCCGCGTCCATGTCCATGTCGAACGTCGCGCGGTAGAAGACGGGCGGGGAACCTGCTTCTGTCCTGGGAAGACGTGTCTGGTTCCCAGCTGACGACGGCGGCGCCTCTAGGGGCAGGCAATATATCTTCCAGCCTTCGAGCGCTCGTGAGCCGACTGTGACGTCTCCCAGTATGCCCTTGTACGGATCCTCAAGCGCTACGAACGTCCCTGATTCTCGGGACCAGTAGTCAACGCGGCCTAGGTTCTCGACGAGGAGCTGTAGATTGTCGCCTGGTAGTAATGACACGGAGACTTGTGCCGGCCGGGAGTACGTGCTGTCGATGACTCCTTTCTTCACGCCGTTCACGTACACGATCACGCGATCCCTCGCTCGGTCCCCGGGCTGTAATACCCCCTTCACTGTAGTTCTGGCCGTGTGCTCGTATAGAATAAGCCCGTACGCCTGTCCCAGCTCTTCCATTGTCACAGGCGTCTTGCTCACCATCGGCTTGCCGAGGGTATCGAACAACCCAGTCCATGGCGCGAGTTCGAACGCGGGGATCTCCAGCCGAGGTAGATTCTCAGGGGGTTCGGGGACGGTCTCTGGCGGCACGTATTTCAAGATGGTATCCCGCAGCGTGAAATACAGCTCGTTCGTGCGTCCGCTCTCGTCAAGCGGCGATCCGTAGTCGTAGCTCGTCGTGAAGCTCGCCGTGAAGTTCTTCCAGATCGCCCCGTTCGAGAACCCGAAGTTCGTCCCGCCGTGGAACATGTACAGCGAGATGGAATTGTTGGCCCCGAGCACGTGGTCCAAATCCGTCACGAACTGCGCGATCTGCGATGGTCTGCCCACGGTTGTGTTGTGCACGTTGTCGGCGCCCCAGAAGTCCGGCGCGAGCGTGTAGTACTCCCCATCCATCAGGGGCCCAAGCTCACTCTCGTTTGTGATATATTTGTCGCGCGCCGCGAACCCACTCCACGGGTCGCCGTCAATCTCAGCCAGCACCTCGGGTACCTCGCCGCCCGCGAGCGTCCAGTCAACGCCGCCATCGTTCGTGTACAGCGGCACCTCGAAGTTGGCGCGCAGGATATCCCGCAGGCCCGTCGTGTACGCGTGGTCCTCGCCGTACGAGCCGTACTCGTTTTCCACCTGCACCATCAGCAACGGGCCGCCACGCGTGACTTGCAAATCCGCGAGGTCAGCCGCGAGACGCACGAGATACTTCTCCGCGGCCTCCATGAACAGCGCATTGGACGAGCGCACTCGCATCCCAGATACCTTTGCCAGCCACGCGGGGAACCCTCCCCATTCCCTCTCGCCGCAGATATACGGGCCCGGTCTTAGGATGACATTCAGCCCTTCCTCCTGCGCGATGCGGAAGAACGCTGCGACATCATTACTGATACCGCTGATATCCGCGCTCTTCCCCTTGTCGTTATTCCATTCCCCCGGACTCGGCTCCAGGAGGTTCCAGTACACGTAGCTGAATATGGTGTTCAGACCCATTGCCCGTGCTTTCGCGAGCCGGTCCCGCCAGTACGGCGCTGGGACGCGCTGGGGATCCATCTGGCCCCCGATGATGACGTACGGCGAACCATGGAGGTAGAATGTGGTCCGGTCGTACGTAAACGCCGCCGACGAGGGCGCGGAGGCGGCTACCTTGACGGATGCGATGGCCGCGGCTAGAAGGGCCGCGAAGTATTTACCCCAGCGCATGTTTGCGAGTCTTTTGCACGGCGCGGAGGAAATTAACTGCGTGAGATCGAGCGGCTAGTCTCTGGTTTTACCATATTCTGTTCCGAGATACCATCGCAAACGATAGTCTGGAATCCCCATCTCGGATTCCAAGATAAGTAAGTACCTCTAGCACTATATAATCATACATCTTCACCAAAGGACATGGAAGATCCCCCGCATCCAAAATCGTATATAGATACCGTCTTTGGCAAGCGATGTACATAACGAGGGTCGTATCAATGAACACCTCCCCCTCCTCGCGGGTCTAGACTTAATCAATTATACCATGCCACCCTCCATGGTATTCTTCTTCCATCTATAGCCGAGATCGTCGTGATTGAATTATTCCGTCTCTAGAATGTTACCTGGATGGATATATACCAGGGCACTGACCAGGCAAGGTAATACACAAGGTATCTAAGATAAAGCTCGCCATGACCCACTGTGATGCGACAATAACTCAACTTACATACATGGACGATTCCAAGCGTGCCAATCGAAGGTTGGGACAAAGTAGTTCGCTTCCTATCTCGGTAGATACACTCTAGCGCCTGTCTAATAACTCTCATCTCTTATTCTACAAACGTCATAGGTGAGGTGTTGAATTCTCTAAATATGCGAGTAAGTATCATAAGTAGTAGATAGTCCTCTATATCGGCATGTATTCCACGCATGATAGCTCTCTATAAGGTATTCCGCTTTTAAGTAAATAATACACATCTAACGCCAACTCCATGCATAGAGGAGATCTATCTCCGCTGCTATAATGTCTAAAAGATAGTATAGTCTTCACATACGCTTGACTAAAAAACGTTCTACACGCTTTATACTAGGTAGGCTCTAAAGAGAGAGCATCGTGTTCTACTCAGGCACGTCAAAGATCTTTTCAATGCCCTTCCACTCGCCCTTGCTTCTTTCCTCCCAGTAGCTGTCTTTGCCGCCCCTGAAGCGCCAGAGCTCCTCACCATCTGGCGTGTCGGCGACCTTGTAGAACCATTTCGGCTTGTGGTCTTCTCCTCTGTCTTCCAGTTCTCTTCGCCTCGCGCGCTGTGCCTCTTCAAGTCTGACCTTCCATGACTCTGCATCGTCCAGCCTCCCTTGTTCGGCGAGTTGCTGATCGGGGCGAAGTCGGGTATCTGTAGGGGGTAGCCGATTCCTCTCGATATCCGTGATCTCGTTTAAGCTCGCCGCGAAGGCCGTCATACCGTAAGTATTGGCTGGGTTGGGTACTAGTTGACCGGCTTTCCAGATTTCTTGGCCCGCATTCTTGCCACCTTCGACCACTTGTAGTGACTTCGTCCAAGTTCCTGTGAGGCTCACACCGGTAGATCCACCATCTGGTCCAAACGTATCGACGTGAACGTCTTCACAGCGCCCACCGAACATGCCTTTCGTTTTGAACTCAATGTTGGCTTTGGCTCCCGTCGACTCGTTCGATACGGTCATAGTGCCAACTGGTTCTACATACTTCTCGCCCATGACCACGTTCCGTAGAAACATGGTGCCAATGTTCCAAGAATAAAGCTCATCACTTCCATCGGGCAGACGCAATGATACACGTACACGTCCATCAGTGGTGATCTCGGCGCTTTTCCCCCAGAACTTTTGTCCTGGGGCGGGGCTTTGAGTCAAAGACCAATTCTCTGCATCAGCCTGCATAGCCAACCGCACTGGTCGATGAGTGACTTTTTCCACAAGCAAACGGAAACCACCAGGCGTTTCACTCTCTGTACGAAGGAGTTCAAATGTCTCGCCGAGGAGGGGATTGAATGGTTTTCGCATGGCTCGCTCTTTCACACGATTGATGCTGAATTGTGAGATCGCGAAGGCGGTGACAAAAAGGAGTCTATCCCTCGGAACCTTCTGCTGGGATGCTTGGTCAAGTAATTGTGCGTACTCTAACTGCTCTGCTACTCTTTGCAACATTGAAGTTGGTTCGTTTGCTGAAACAGGCATGCTGATTGTACTCAGGTCCTTGCCGACATTTTTGCGTACAAATGCGATAAGGCTCGGTGGAAGTACAGTAGCTGGAGGGATAGTTTTACGGCGATCAACGGCTATGTCAACAGGCAAAGGATGTAGTGTTTTTGGCCTCAGCGGGAAAAGAGCTGCCGCGCCGCTCTTATCCCCTATTTCCGTATCACTCTCAATAGAAGAGATCGACGACACATCGTCGATAGAAGCCTCGTCTGCCGCCGACTCAGGAGACTCGACGTCACTCTCATGACGATCAATAACCAGAACACTTCCACTGTTGTTGGGTTCACCGGCTTCAGCGTCAAAGAATTCGTCAGCAGAGAGTGTTGATTCCATGCTTTTTCTCGCTGTGGGGGTCCTTGACAATGGCATTCGGCGCCGTTTGCTGTTGGAAAGAAGGTTGGTAAAATCCACTACCACTAAATCCAAATCATTGAGAAGAGCAGCACAATGGTCCTCTGTGCTTCTTCCCGCTTGACCACCGCCCTTAGACAAGCGTTTAGAATTTACCCCGTTTAGCCTCGTAGAGGCGGCCGAGCTTGGCACCGGTACGGCCAGAGATGATGATACTGTTGGGGCTAGGACACCTGGTGTACGTAGCGAAGCACTAGATTTTCTCTTCCAGAAAGGTCGCTTCTCCGATTGTGCTGTAGGAAAATAGCCATCGCCTTCTTCAGACATATCTATACTACCAGGCGAGAGATGAGAGCTCACAGGTCGCTGTTGCTGCTTCTCCGCGGCCATGTCCTTAACGAGACGGCGAAGAGCATCCCGCGTCCCTACTATACGACTCACGAGGGCTTCCACTTTTTGCCAGTCTCGATCCTCTTCTTGTTGAGTATTGGGGACAGATGTATGCTGGGCATTTGGCACAGTTAACCTTTCGCGCTGCACTTGGCTGGGCTCTGGTGCTGGCTCAATTCCTCTCGCAACTCTACTGGATCTCTCAAGCGCCTGGGCCCATTCCTTGAACTCCTTGTCATTAGCTGCGCGAAGATGCCAAACTTCGGCGCCTGAATCGATAGTGATCTCCCGTCTTCGCTCGTCAGCGGCAATGGCCGCTAGACTAAGTGGAATGGCACCACGGAGGGCCGAACTGTTCCGGTTGTGGTAGTAGGAAAGTGTACACGACGAGAAATCCAATGAAAAATAGCGCCGAGCATAGCCTTGCCCCTTCTTCCTCCGTCTCTTATGTAGGGTGCCCGTATGATAGGGTGGCGTTGAACCCGATGCATCACTTCGTTTAGCACCCGGTGATGCCATATCTCCAGAGGGGTGACTATGGAGGCTCTCAGCAGAGTCAGCCGCAATAGCGCCGAGATGAGGACTGGGTTTGCCTAAGCTCGTCTTGCTTGTAGTCGCAGCTGGGACGGCCTGCATGTTGGGTAGATAGTTCGCGCCCTGAGGTGGCGCACCAGTAGGGTATGAGAGTATAACCAATGTCGCTGTTTTGGATGTCTGCTTGGAGAATGTGTTGTCGAATATGAGGCCAAACATGCCACCTTGGTTGGCGGTCACATCGTGGGTACCCATTGAGACCTTGTCAGCCTCACATTTGCCGTGCCATTTGACTAGTATGAAGCCTTTGCTGGCCAATTGTCCACGCGCCGTGCTCGCATCGTTCTTGGAAGAGCGGCCGTTCTTGCCACCACTCCCTTCGGCGCCATCGAGTTGTTCGACTGCGCTGTCCAAGTCGCCAGACACGGAATGGAATTTAGTAGCACCAGAGCCAGGATGCCTAACGATACCGAAGTTACTATGAACGGAAGAAGCGTCCTCGTTAGTAATTGATATGAAGGAGGAAATTAGGGAAGCGGGAGAGAAGGTAGGTGGTCATTACATGGACTTTCTATCTGGTTGGATACTCCAAGACAGCGTATGACCTTCTTCGACCTTCACCCATCGCACAATATAGGACTAAACATGGCAGGGCTGTCAGCAACAGATGCTGTGTGCTTCATTAAGGGCGGGGGTCTCTGGTCGCACCTTGCTATGGATTTCGAGGCGCTCTATGCCAGCCATGGTCGATATTAGAGTCGCGCAAGAGTGTCGAGACCAATGATGGGTTACGTAGATGAGAGGTACATATACACGTCCATGCCCTGTAGAAGATCGGCGAGGAGAGGCACAGGTCGGTCGGAAGGGTCGGTGATCGAGGTTAGATGGGTGGTTCAAGGAATCAGCAATTGTCACGCGACGAGCCGAGAGGAGGCGATAGAGAGCTGTCGGTCAGTAAGTCAGTCAGTCAGTCGATGACAGGTATTACCAGGCCAGTCTTAAGTCTTACACATACAGGCAGCAGTGAATCTGACCTCCCTCTCGAGGTAGGGACTTGGCAACGTTGAAGGCCGACTATCCGTCAAGTTGTCGAGGCTAGCTATGTCAGGTTAATCAACCGCTAAGCTGGTAAAGATAGGCTACGTAGTACACGCTATTGGCCCTAGCCTGCTGTTACCCATAGCTACCTACATGTACCTAGGTATGTAGGTAGAGCCATGACGTTACCAGGTAGGTACTCAATTTACCAGCTGCCGCAGTTCCGCTCTTACTAGGTACATACATAGTATGTAAGATGGGCAAATAGATGCGTATACCTACTATGCGTATATTCCTAAGCAATTCATTTATATGATTACACCAGTGAATAACAAGTAGGCACTTGTAACATACAGGTGCGTGCCGAGGCGGGTACTGTGGAATGTAACCTGAATTCACCAACGAGTTACAGGCGCGTGGATAGGACTCGAACTGATGTACCAACCTAGGTAGGTACTGTAATACCTATTTTTAGGCCACCACTGCAATGTCACTTCAGTTTCGCATTCTTATATCCTTCAGGCCTCTCGACAAGTAGGCCGAGTGTAAACTGTCATGTTCACGTCGAGAACGTAACGGAGAATGAATAAGGTTTGTTGCTTAGGTGAACAAAAGGTGCTCCGGTTCCTTTCTGGAAGTTCTAGAGCAGTGATCTGCCTATTATTCCCTTTCCACTTCATTCGTATCAGCTTATGCTCCCAGATCAATGATCAGTACCGCTGTTATGATGATGTGGATGGTCACCTTCAGCAGGAACAGTACGTTGTGCTGGTGTGTGTGACGCTGCAGGCATAGCCACGGAGGCGAGGCGTTACCCCTTGTATCAGTGCTGATGCTTTTCAGCCCGTAGTCTTCTTGAAAGCTTCAGATAAGCCTCTCCGTCACTGTCAGAGGCTTCGTCTTAGTTCTAATATCGTGTAATGACAACTACAACATGGCCGGTCCCCTTTCGATAGCCAGCGGCGCTCTTTCAGCTATCGCTGCGACCAAGCAAACCGTGACTGTAATTTACAAGTTTATCCGAGACTGCAAAGAAGCTCGATCAGATCTAACCCGGATCACGAGGGAGTTATCGGAGCTCACACTAATACTTGAGCTTATAAGAGATGAGAATACCTCAATCACGAAGGACTGCTTGCCCAATGCACTACAAGTGCAGGTTCAGGCTATGCTGGCCAGTTGCACTACTACCGTCCAACAGATCGAAGAGACCCTTGTGAAATGTCGCGGTAAACCCGGGCCGCTTCTCTGGACGATGTTCGAGAAAGACAAAGTGACGACATTGAAGGGCTCCCTCGAAGCGTTCAAGAGCGGCCTTAGTCTCGCGCTTGAAACTGTCAATCTGTTAGTTGAAGCCCCAAATGCTCTATCACCTCCGTCATCGTACTTAACAATACACCCTAACCATCGAGCTTTAGATCTATATCACGAGAAATCAAGAACAACACAGAGATGATTCAAGACACTACTGTTGAGATCAAACACGACACCAATCAAATACTAAATGAGATCTATAAATTACGAGGACAGCTCCCACCTGCCCCGTCGTCAGATCCAGAACACCATCGGCTTGAACAGTGGCTCGATAATTTGACTCATTATGCGGAAACTATCGTGGCTGGTGAAGAGCGTAATGAGATCTCAGATGCGGATGACCTCATTGGGCATACTGGAGCCCTATGGGAGTCAGACAACTCTGCGGCTATCTCTACACAGCCGTCTGAAGTTACGAGCAGGCAAGATCCTTTGGCAACGACTAGGCGGGCTCCTGCGGCAGCCACTGGAAAAGCACCTATATCTACCTCTAGCGACGAAGGTTGGACTGGCACTGAAGATGATAGTGTAAAGCATGCACCAAAACCGTCGAGAGCGCATTCTCCGAAGATCAAAGAGTCGGCAATCAAGAAGCAGAACCAGAGCAACCGGGAATCGAACCAGCTACCCTCCTCTATCACATTCTCCTCTGACACACTCTGCTCGCCATGCAGCTCTAAGCCTGTGGCCCAGGACTACTGCGCAGCCCTAGATCTTTGGGTTACTCTACACGAGGATCTTGTCATCAGACTCTGGTCAGCCCACGCAGGGAAACTCCGCGTGTTTTTACCAGCTCTTCAAGATGTTTATTACGAAACACGCTCAAGTGTTGTGAAATTGATGGGCTTGAATGCATCTGTGCTTTTCTGCCCTACAAGGCCTGAGCTTATCCTCGTGGAAATACACCGTTCCAAGATGGAGGTATGGGACTGGGAGAAAGGGGTCCGTATTCAGACGCCGGAGAGATTCATCATCAAAGGTACGATGTCTTGGAGTACGCTGTCTTGGACGCGTTTTGTCCCACAGTCTACCATCATTTACGTGCGCACCTCCGACAACTACCTCAAGCTTGTGGATCTTGTTGCGCCTTCGAAACTTTGGAAGATATCCCTTGCAGAGGTGTTGAGATCGGTGTACAAGTCAGTGACATCGGAATACCTAGTCGAAATGGTGAGGTTTGTTTCTGAAAGCGAGATCTTCGTTCTGGGTAAAAGGCACCCCCCAGCATTGGGATTTTGGCGTGCCAGGTCACAACGGCACGCACGGGCGGGTTGGCTTATTCAGCTCCCCGTGGTTTCAACCGATGAACTCGGGGGAAGAGCGTCCCTGAGCACAAAATATAGTATCACCGTTATGAGCGGTTCTGAAGCTACCGCGCATTACGCAATACCCCAGGGACTCATATCCGTGTCTCATTTGACTACGATTGGCGATAAGCGATGGCTGACAGTTTCCGGGACCTGGAAGTTACGTGGGAGTGAAGGGAAGACCACACTCAAAAGGACCCAAATCATCAACTTGGATACGGGCACCCCTGTGTCGAACTGGAATGTGCCCTGGTTGTGTGCAGTGCATCCATACAAGTTTGCCATCTTGGGCCCAACGAGTGAGAGCGCCAGTGTGATCAACCTGGAAGACTTAAGCGAATTAGGAACACTCCCGTCTGGGTGGCACTTTAGCCCCTCAAATACTGACAAGATCGCTCTCATAAGATACGTGAATTCGAACATTGAGTTCAGGATGGTAGACGTCGTCTTAGAGAAACCTGCAAGGCAACGGCAACTACTACCACAGAACTGACGTGCAGCACTACACCACATCACTACCATATGATAAAGCAAGCGTATCAAAAATTTCCCTTCGTCTCGCACGCCTCTCTAACTCACTTGCTCGAATAGCGAGAATCAACACTCTCAAGAGCGGGGCCATCCATCACATGAACATATTTTCTAATATTAGACGACATCCTGGGTCTACCTTGTACGAGGCCATTGTGGTAACTTATATATGATCAAATGGCTTATAAAAAGCCTCACGGGAAGAACCACCTGTTGGGATACTTAGCACCTTAAGACTAATTCCAGTCATTTCAAAACGTTGGATTCCATGCCGGGTATTACGGTGCGTATGGAGCAGCACATACACGAGAGTATATTCCACGTTCTGGGAATGACTTGACTTGGACGGAAGCTCACAGAAGGCAAAGCGCGAAAATTACGGGAAATTCCTGGGTTTGTTAGCTTTCTCCTTTATCCGGAACATGCGAGCTCGGAGAAGGACGCTCCTGTGATATTCGCAAGCCTACTCAACTTTACCATTCTACTTGCTCTCCTATAGTGGATTTCTTGCTAATTAGCACATTGGATGGCGTCCCAACATGCTCTTTTACAGGGAAACTTTGCGGATCTTGAAGGGATACAAGAACGGTTCATATAATCCATCATACCATCTCTATTGAAGTAGGAGTGGTTGGTGTTTGGCACGCATCGTGGTATTACGCGTAAATCTCTAAAACCAACCTATATAGGTAAGCTATTCCGTATATGTTCATTCAACGCGCGATGCAATTGCTAATTCCTTCCATTTATAAAAGAAGTTGAGGATAAAAGAATCAACAGATATATGACCTTATAGGGAGGGTGTGGATTAGTTGTTTCTCCCTGGACGCATCCCAACACCTTCAGCAGGGCTAGCAAATCTTAGCTACAGAAACAGTGAAAATGAAGGACAAGGAGAATTCAGCATCGCATCGACTTGTCTATAGATTACCTATTCTACGGAGCCTGGTCGACGAAGGCCTAATACTCAAGCAATGCAATATACTGATCTGCACCATGCTGATAATGTAAAACAGTTAGGGTAAGTGCCATGGACATAAAAATGTTATTACACGTGTTTATACCGGGAAATGTACTACGAAGGATGCTCTCAAGCGCTTGTACCGGTACCTAGTAATATATCGACCGCCAATAGCCATCTCATAGAAACAGGCAATCTGTACCGCAGGCACAACAGCCTACATGTAATCTTTTGTTTCATCTACCTCCTCACTTGTTGCATTCTTGTGATCTCGCTATTGAACCTCAACTTGAAACCATTGCAGAGGGCCCGTGTGTCGGGGTACTGATTTTTCATCATCTCGAAGGCGTGGGGGACCACCTTGACGTTCCACATGCCAATGGGGGAATTACGGCTGGCCTTGAAGCATAGGTGGAAGTAGCCGGGATGCTTTGGATTGATGCAAAACCGATAAATGGAGCGGTTCGGGTTGGCATCCGAGTACGAAGTTAACCAACGTTCTGTGCCTTATCGTTAGAAGACTGCTACGAACAGAGATCAATAGGGAACGTGAATGGCTTGCTTACCTAATTCAGCCAGGCTTCCCTTCTTGAATTTTTCGATACCCATGAGTTCGTCAACCTTTTTAGCCATGGCTTTAACGTGATCCACAATTAGCTCGTCTAAGTCGCTGTACTGGTATTTACCCCCAATGCGGAGCTGCCTGCCAACTGTATACTCGGTCTCTTTGTCTAGCTCGAGTACGTCTATATGTTGAAAGACACCATCCGCAACTTTCCATGTAACAGTAAGGTGGTCATGTCCCTTTGATGAGGGACGTATAACCACATCGCCGGGCGCTTGTGACCCAAGGTACTCCTCGGCCTGTGTTGAGTTAAAGGTTCGAAATAAGGGGTGCTTGATAACTCGCTGCGTGCGTCCGGTGGCCTTATCCTTCTCCTTCAAGTCTTCCTTGTCCTGATCTTCTAATCTGCTGTCCCAGGTACTGCTGTGACGATCATAATCTGATTGTCGTTTGTACGGTTTTTGTACCACCTCCTTCCGCACCGAAAGTTTGGCGTGAAATTCTTTGCGGTTGAGGTCGATGAGCTTGGCCTGGACTGTTTGACCAACATGGATAGAGTCACGCATCGCCCCGTTCCTTAGGTTGACATCATGAGCTTCAATTCTTCCTTCAATACCGCAGTCTAGCTTGGCAATGGCGAAGTCTTCCTTCACCACACGTACGTTGACAGGAATGTTCATTCCTTCAGCGAGCGAGTCTTTGGTCTCGCCGGTAAACATGACAAATATCTGGTCTGATGTAAGAGGGGCGATGGGTCGTCGGAGTTCTTCGTATGGAACCTGCAGCTCTGCCCTGATAGTCTCCAAGGTTGCACGCTTTCTCTGATTGAAGTTTTTCTCCAACTGTTCTGCGTATTCTTCCAGGATCAGTTCATTAACCTTCTCCTGTTCGTCATCTCTGAACAGTTTGCGAACAATAGCGCCGGGTCCATTCTCGTCAGTTTCTGCCTTAACATCCTCTTCATCCAACTCAAGAGCGTCAGCGGCCATTTTGCGGCCAAGCTCGTAGTCTTCAGGGTGAACACGGGTGTTGTCCAAGGGTTCTGATGTAGGATTAGAAGAATCAAACTCAATAGATAAGAAACTGGCACAGTTATTCCAGACCCGAGGCCCAACAACGGGCAGCTTTTTGTTGTCTGGATCACCGACAAGTTCCTCGCGGGTATTGACGATGCCACCGTTGGTATTAATAGTCTTAATGACACTAGTGGCTTTTCGGGGACCAAGGCCAGCAACGTAAGGAAGCAAGTTCGCGGTGTACGGATCACTGACAGCATCGTTGATGTCGACGCCACAGAGGTTGACCATGTCAACCATGGATGTTTCAAGGACTTTCCATAGCTTATCCTGAGGAAGTAAGTGCTGACAGGGATTGTAAAGTAGAGTAGCTACGTCTTTTCCTAGTGCAGCATACTCCTTCATGGGGTTTTGCACGTATTTAGCTAGGGCAATGCAGTACCTTGTTGCGGAGCTCAGAGTAGGGTGCTCTGCTTGAGCTCGAGGGCTATCCTTGTAGAGGCGGGCTACTTCGTCGTTAATAACGAGTACGTCAAGCGGGTCGGTGCGATAGTCGTCTGTCTCTGTATCTAGATACTCAGGGCACATGAGATGCTTCTCTTGGACGAGCGTCTCAAGGTCCCGAACTAATTTGTGTGTTTCCGTTGAAAAGCCGGAAACACCAACGACATCTGGCTTCCGATGTTCGATAAGGTCCACGAACGCCTCACGCTGTTTCTCATCACGTGCAAGATTGACGAATTTGCCATGGTCGACGACGCGACCATCTTCCTCGACCCAAGCCCAGGAAATAGGGTCTCGGTTGGGATCTCCCATTCCGTTCGATAAGGCGAGCACCCGGGGCGTGGTCCCTAGGATCATACCTTTTGGTTTGAGTGGAGCCTGGTCAAGTCGCTTGAGGTATTCCTCGCGGCATGATTTCAAGATTTCCTCTTGGCATGCTGTACGAAGTGAATCTTTAACACCCTTAACAACCACTCTTTCAAGTTTTGGAAAGGCAACATCGAGAACTTTCTGACGCTCATTATTCCAAGCATCTGCAAGTTCGCTGTAATTATCGGAAGCAAACTCGGCGTGAAGTTGCCGAAGAAACTCTCGCTCGTTTTGCAGACGAATAGTCACCTCTACTAGCCCTTCTTCTTCAGCCTTCATCATCTTCAAAAAGAGTTCCGGCCGGCGAGCTAGGTCCGCAATAGTTTGGTTAATGAGGTACTTGATCTCGTAATATGGGTGTGCCTCGTCAATGCGACGAAGGCCTTTGTCTGTTCTACGACAACTGACCTCGCCCATTTGGTAGTATTGGGCCCGAAAATGTTTGCGCATTCTTGGGCTCATAAACAATTCTTCTGCATAGGTCTGTCTCGCATGGTGTAAAACTTGGTCACCTGTGGGGAAATCGCTGTCGGTAAGACTATCGGCCAAGTCGATTGGTAAGCTCTGTTCATCATCTGCGATCACTTTCCTGCCCTCACGCAGCGCGTTCTGAGCTAGTCTGTCTGGGGATATACCGTATGCCTTGACCATTTTGTAGGCTCTAGATTTCCGCACACGATCGAAGACGGAAGACTTTGCACCTGGTCGCTTAGTCGCTTTGGTGTTCCCGTTCATCGCGGCGATATCTTTAAGCTGTGATGAGTATTGGAAATTGATGTAGTCTTGCAGATCTTGGAGTTGCTCCATATCCACGGCCTGCGCTATCATCTTCGGAACCATATCATCCTCGATCTCTGCGGTAGCCTTTAAGTTGTCGTACATCTTCTCCAGAGCATTCCGTTTCTCAATAAGCGAACGGAATTTGATATCTAATTCTAGAATTCGCCAGAGATCATCTTGCGTGAGTAGCTTCTCGGCATTAACGATGTATTCAGGGGCCTCTGGATCATCGCGATGTTCGGGATTCCTTGTCTTGCGAGCATGAATGAGGTAATCTTTGCGGTGTTGGAACACATAAGGTACTTCGAGCTCCTCTACTACAAAGTATTCTAATACCTTACCGACAGCCTTGTGGAAAGGTACCTGTAAGTCGCTGGCAAGTTGCTTCTTTGGCCACATGAGATTGGCAATCCAATGCGACTCTTCCTTGAATTGATCAGCGGATATCTGTAGATGCTTGAATGGCTTCCGATCCAGCTGGAATCGTTCAGGTTCATCTGTGAACCGGATTTCGTTATCTTCGTCGGTCAGGAGCTTCTCGGCTAATTGGGATGGTTCGAAGACGTCTTTTAGCTCGAGGGTTTGCTCTTCCTGCTTACGGACCTCTTCATCTTCTTCTACCTCAAGAGCCCAATCGTATTCAGCGCCATTGCCGAAGATGGCATCCATGTCTTCCAAAGCATCTCTATCGAGGCCGGTCCGATCGATGACCGTGCCAGCCACACCCTTATCCCGAGGTCGAGCTACCTCTTCATCTTCTCTCTGGCGTTGAAGTTCGTCCTCGTCTTCAGGATAGTCCTCCTCAATGAAGCCTTCGAACTCGTCGGCTGTAGCACGGTTCGATCGTCCGCCATATGGGCGGTCTTCGACGACTTCTTCGTCTTCGTCCTCGAACATTTGATCGAGTCCTCGGCGCTCGCTACCGCGCGCTTCATCATCGCGATGACCACGCTTTAGGCGTTTGAACTTACTCTTCCCCGCTGTGTTAGCGCATGGTTGCTGTAAATAGACAAGAGGGCTTGCTATACCTGGCTGGGTTGCTTACGCTCCCATTCCGGGATAGATTCCCCAATAAGATCTAAATCTTCCTCATCGAGTTCTTCTTCCTCTCTGCGTTCCTGCCGGCGCTTGCGCTTTCTTCTTTTCCGTTCTTCGTCCGAATCCTCGTCGACCTCTTCATCTTCGTCTTCGTCGACAATGAATCCTTCGCGAACCTATGATGCACGTATGGTTAGCATCTAGGTTTGAGTAGCCGATGGAAATCGGCGGTTTGGGATACCTTCTGCATTTCCTCCTCATCGTCATCATCATCTTCTTCTTCACTGGAGTCGTTCATATCGTCGTCCCGGCCACGGTTCTTTTCACGAGTTTCCCCGGTCTCCTCATCAAAGGAGTCGTCATTTTCCTCGTCGTCGAGCTCGGCCTCACCGATGACGAGGTCTCTCATTGCGTTGCTCATTTTGCCTTGAGGTCGAAGTAGGGTGATTGATGTCGGGCGAAATAGGCAGCGGCGTGCGCTAGCACGGTTGATTGACGTGGTGTTGCGTACCAGCAGATGTTGATGTGCGAAGGGAAATTACTGTAACGGATAAGTTGAAAAGGAAAACGAGAAGCTATTAGAAGAGGTAGGCGCTGAAAGGCAGTTAGTTATGTGGTGGAGATGAAAGTTTGCGAAAGATGGGAAATTTGGAAATTTGTTGGTCGCGTTGGCCTGGTCTCAGCCTCGCGACAAGATCCTGGTTGGAGCTTCCAAGGTTGCAGGGTGAGTAAGAGGAAACTTTAGTGGACGACATGAACAAAGGTAACAAACGCCACAAAGAATGCCTGCGCCACAGGCAACCAGAGCCGAGTCTTTGATTAGAACATATCCTTAGTATTTAGGTAAGCTTGGCGATACTCAATGCACATAAACAAGATAATGCAATTGAAGGTTACTTCTATACTTTCCCAACCCAAGTCAAGATCAATAGTGCAAGGGTATTATACTTAGATAAGTACCTAGGTACCTATGCATAACTCTCCCCATAGCGGCTGCAATATGGGAAGTTCCATTTGTGATGTTGAATTCCATTGGATTTACCGTCTTGCAACTGAATGAACGACTTCCTGTGTGAACTACCAGGCACCTAATTAGGACGCTTCATACGTCCCCTGGTTTGAAGAGCGGTGTAGTCACCTGCCTTGTACGTCAAGAAAGGACTCATCACACCTGGCATCACATTCGTTGATAGTCTAATTGTATGTATGTCTTGCTGACCACCACTTAGCTCCTGACGATCACGATACGACGCAGAAAGGGTTCGGTTTGCTTGGTGCGAGTCCCACTTTGTACGGCATGTGTTGCTAGTTTGATTGGCTGGATTTAGACATGCATCTCTACATATATAGGCCTAATGTAGGTACACAATCAAGGGTTGGATGTTTGGCTGGCGCAAGAGATTTTATTTGCGTGTGTAGAAGTAGCACTACAGTCCCAGAGAGGTCGTGTTTGAACCTTTGATCCTGTTGGTTTGGGAATGATGACAAGGCTGCCTGCCAACAACGCAATGCCGACTGCCCCAACCGCTTAACCGCCGAATCAAAACGTAGCTCTCCGGGATTGCGAATGGGGACTTCGGTGTGTCTGCATGTGTGTGACATATTCCAAACAGTTGGCTACTTATCCACTGTCCTGCTAATTGCGTACTTGCGCTGAGATGGCATTTCCCTTTCGCTGTTATGTTAGAGTATATCTTTCTCTTCCTCTTGTTCCCAGTCTCATCCTCAGACTTATCCCTCTTCGTTTTTTGACTTGTTAATCTAATCTACTCGATTTCTACAAAGGTACTGTACTGGTAGAACAGATACATTGTGTCCCTCTTCATCAAATTGTCTTATTATCTTGTGACCGCTGCGACCGTTACAGGACAACGAAGCCCACCCAACCAACTCATTCATCATTGTCCATTGGTACCTGAATCGGCCTAAACAAAGTGAGGTAGGGACCTGCAAAGGCCAGGGGATACCTACCTAAGTAAAGCAACTGTCAACAACCTACAGCACGGTGCCCCCCGCGCTAAGGACAGCTACCATAGCGACCCCCTCTATTAACACCCGTTGCAACCACCTCACTATACCTCCCTAGCACCTGCTAATAGGGAGGCCCCCCTCCCCTGTGTATAACCGAGCTCCCTTTCCCCCATGGGTCATCACCTATCCACCTAACCTAGCTTTCTCGTTCACATCACCAACCATACCTACATATACTTACTAAGGAGACTGCTTAGCCTGCCCGGTTCGACACGGCCAGTTTTTGGATCAAGTCCAGGCGATATTTTCTGCACCGCGTTGTCCATACCACACGTCCTTGGCCATCATTCGCTCCGCCGCTCCTTACGCCTCGCCTCGCCCCTCCCACCTCACCCTCCCGCCCTGAGAGGGGCTAAAAGGTCAGGTCAGGTCAGGCCACGCACCGCTGCTGCGACGATCCTCCTCCTGCGCTGTGGGCGATGCAACTGTGCCTGTCTCTCGACATCTGTACCAGACTAACATCTATCCGCTGAGGCGCCACCGCTCTGTTCGACTCAACTCCGCCTAATCAATCCTCTCCGCTCAGTCTTCCCCCCTGGGCATTCCCGACATCGCGAGCCATGTCAGAAGCTAACTTCGCCCCGCGCTCCATGAAGCGCAGGAATGTTAAAGGTTTAGCTCTTGGCCCACCGAAAGTATCTACTTCCTCCGGCTCAGGCAACGGTTCAAGTTGGGGCGCTGGAGGTTCCAGGGCAGAAGATGTAGGAAATGAGGCACAACTGGAGATAGGCATCGAGTTCAACCTCGACATCCGCCAAGAGGATCTGGAGATCGTGAAGGAACTAGGATCTGGTAATGGTGGCACCGTGAGCAAGGTCAAGCACTTGCCTACGGGCACTACCATGGCGCGAAAGGTAGTAGCCGAATCTCTATGCGTCTTTTGTGAAGCAATACGCTAAGTGCTATTTCAGGTCATTCACGTCGAGGCGAATAAGGAACTACGCAAACGGATCGTGCGCGAACTGCAGATTATGCATGGCTGCCAGTCTGATTACATTGTAACCTTCTACGGTGCCTTCTTAAACGATCATAACGATGTCATAATGTGCATGGAGTATATGGATGTTGGGTGTGTATCAGCAGCTGGATCACAAGTTTTCAATCTGCTAACTAAGCTATTAGGTCTCTAGATAGAGTGTCACGCGTGTTTGGACCCATTCGGGTAGACGTACTAGGGAAGATTGCCGAAGCAACACTCGGTGGCCTTACCTACCTGTACTCGAAACTTCACATCATGCATCGTGATATCAAACCATCAAATATCCTTACCAACTCCAAAGGCCATATAAAGCTATGCGATTTCGGCGTCTCAGGTGAGCTGGTCAACTCGATTGCCGATACTTTCGTGGGAACTTCAACATACATGGCCCCAGAGCGTATCCAGGGCGAGAAGTATACCGTCAAATCCGATGTGTGGAGCTTTGGTCTAACAATAATGGAGTTGGCTATCGGAAAGTTCCCGTTTGCTGCTAGTGAACAACTATCTGATGGAGATGGCGCGCCTGCTGGTATCCTGGACTTGCTACAGCAAATTGTCCACGAGCCCGCTCCCAAGCTGCCAAAGAGTGATGCATTCCCAGCAATTCTGGAGGATATGATTCAGAAGTGCTTATACAAGGAACCTGAGCAGCGTCCAACGCCACAAGACCTTTTCGTAAGTTATGCTTGCTCTTATGGAATGATCTGTGGCTAATAAAACTTGCCAGGATAATGATGCCTTTGTTCAGGCTGCCAAGCGGACGCCCGTTGACCTTCGGGCATGGGCTGTCGGCATGATGGAGAAAGATAACCGTAAATCGCACCTTGCGCCACAGCTATCCCCCGCTACTCAAGAGCTTCTGAGGTCTAGCGACTCACCGAACCAGCAAGCTGACAACAACCCGGCGTATACGCCGACCTCTGGTGAGATCCCGATTGCGGGAGCTGTGATTTCGCCTAGGGATCACTACGGACCAGTACCAAGTCGCTCGCCCACCAGAAATGGGACGGGAAGTATTGGGCGAGCTGGTGGATCCAGCATTCATCCAGGCCTGGGCCAGAGATCGGCAACATCTGGATCCATTCCTAAGGTTGGGCACACAGATATCACGCTTCCCGCTAGTGCTAGCGCTGGGACATTCACTCTCCCAGTAAGACCGGCACCGGGCGGCCCGCTTCCTCCTCCTCCACCAAGAAAAGAGACACCAGATGAGCTACGAAGTGAGAGTCGCCGACAGGTGGCGTACCCGCCATCAAATGGCAATTATGGAGCAATGGGATACCCACGAAAATAGAATCATTTGCGTAGTGGATGCAAATCCATGTCCAGCCGAACCAGCTCGCGTCATGAATGTGCGCGAAGCTCCCAAAGGGACCGACAGAATTGATGTAACCAGCGAGCCCTTGTAGCTCGGGTACAAAAGGCACAGCTGCATGCATAGAGTTAAACCACTAGAACTGGCGCTACCTAGAGTCAAGATATATCTGAAACCCAGGTGTCTGAAGATATGAGTGCTTTCTCCGCCTTGCAAGTCCATTTAACTACTAGCGTCAACGTTGAGAAGATACCAGATACCTTTATGTAGAGGGGTATGGAGGACTCATGTATTGATGATTAAATGGGCAAATGGAACTTGTTGTTCCCGTCTGCTTCAAACAGGTGGCTATCACTGACCATGCTTGATGCATGACTCAGCATGTTATAAGTACTACCTACGTTAAGAGCAGATCTCAAAAAAAAAAATTGAATTGTTCGTCAAACGTATGCTTTCGTCTGTCTTAGCATGATAACGTGAATAAGCTTCATCTTACCTATACCGCGCTGTTATGAGCACGATTGAAAGGTCTCCGCGATCTACACTTAGCTACTAGGTAAGATCCGTGCAAAACCTCAGTTCTATGTCTTGCTATGTTGTATGTATATACAAATATCTACTGTTCCAACTCCGCTCATGGATATTGGTTGTTTTGGGTTATATGGATGTCTCCCATTGCGTACAATTTCATCGATTTCTTCAAGGAGAGGATATCGGCATCTCCCTTCCCACGAACCCACTCTCTAAGACGCCGACCAACTCATCTAACCGCTTGATGACCAGGTCTGTATGCGGGTGTTCGGCCAAGTGCGCGTTCTCACTGTTGACGAGCAACACCGTCGCCGCGCCGGCGTGCCTGCCGGCCGTCATGTCGTCTATAGAGTCCCCCACCATGATGAGTGTCGAGGCATCGCCTACCTCCTCTATCTTGGCCTCCGGATCCCCCGTCTCACTTACCCCTCTCGCACCCTCGCGCTCGGCCTCAGTTCCTTGCGCCGCAGCCTCCAGCAGCGCGCTCGAGGACGTCTCCGCGTCGCGCACGAGCCCCCATGACCGGGCGATGAACAGCAGGCCCGCGGGATCGGGCTTCGGCGGCCGGAAGTCGCGCGTCACGATCGGCGCGAAGTCAATCCCCGACAGAAACTTACTTAGCAAGTGCGTTACTGGCGTCTCGAAGTTGCGTGTGCAGATCGCCTTGCGGATCCCGCGCTCTTGTAAGTATGTCATTAGTGTTGCCAGGCCGGGCTGCGCGACCTGCGAGGACATTGCCTCGCGCTCGATGGCGCGGATCGAGTCCATGGCTGCTTCGCGCTCTGCAGGCGTGGGCAGCGAGGAGATGTGCGTGAGGATGTCGATGCTTTTCGGGATACCCAGGACTGAGCGCATTTGCACGAACATGTAGTTTTGGGGAAGACTGGGTTGTCATGTGTTAGTCAGCTGATTAGTGTTTTTTTTTTTTTTTTTTTCCATTTGGGTGTTTGGGATGAGTGAGTAGGACTGAAAGAGTACTATATGAATGAGATGACTGATATGATGACGGCCTTATGAGAGTTGACTGTCTTAGTTCCTGCAGTCACCTTTCCAAACCCCTGCACCATCGCACGCATGGGTCAAAAGTCTTCTTACCAGAGAGTGCCATCAACGTCGAATATTACGCCTTGCAATTTTGGTAATTGTGTTTTTGGCTGTCCTGGATTGTGTCCCAGAGGCGCGAATCGTCGAGGGTTTGCGTGAGCCATGGTGGCGATGAGCCTGCGGATGGATGACTTGAGGATATGGGAGGGAACATGGACCCTTTTCATAGTATCAAGGTAATTAATTACTTTTTATTTACTGCAAATGGTGGAAGGTAAATACCGAATTATATGCTGGTTGGTTGCTCGGAAGGTATCATCGGCTTGTGAAACCTTCCCAGAGTTCAGTAATGACGGACGATCTTTACCTATACACCTATTTAGTATATTGGCTATTAGTCGCCTTGTTAGCTTGTCAATCTAGTACGTAGCACGTAAATTGTATGAGCTGACTGAGGCCGGCTGGAGATGTTCCTCTAGCTTTGGGTGGGGGAAGGGATTGGGGATTTGGTCCGTGCATTCTGTTAACGTAAGTGTTCCGTCCAGCATGGTCTAGTGGGACAACGTCAAGCTTCTGGACACATTGACGCACATAGACATATAAGTACAAACCCGACCACCACCAGCAATCAATCAATAATATCTTGTAGAGCTTCGATTCGAGGCTACATCTGCCAGTTTACATGCAAGCGTTGCTCTAAAATTAACCCGCCCCTCTAACCAGCTGCGTTATCGTCGTCGGAAATGGCCGACAAGGACTTGACGGATGCCGAGAAGGCTGAGAAGCTCGCCGCCGCCAGAAAGCGGGTATGATAGCTCAATTGAGCCACCCATTGCCTGGTTTTATCAAAATGCTGATATCATAACCAGCTCGAGCAAATGAAAAAGAAGTCCAAGAAGGCGGGCGGATCAAAAAAGACCAAAGAGAAAGAGGAAGAGGGAGCTCCGACAGAAGCCAAATCTGAAGCGACGACCAGTGCTGCTGCCGACGATCCAGCCCCCGAGGCCGCCGCTGAAGATGCCACCGAAGAACCCTCGTCTCCGACACAAGCAACCCCGTCGCTATCACAACAATCCAAACTCAGATCTTCGTCATTCCGGCAGGGACCACTGTCACCAACACTAAGCCCCGATGGCGAGACAGCCGCCGACATCTACCGGAAACAGGTCGCGCGCATTGAAGACCTCGAGAAGGAGAATAAGCGGCTCGCCAAAGAAGCCGGCGACGCGGAGAAGCGGTACAAAAAGGCCGAGGAAGAGCTTGCTGATCTTCAAGAAGCCGATCGGGATGGATCAGAAGATAACCAAATAGAAAAACTGGTAAGGTGGCCGATACACCAGTTGGTCTTGAACACTTGACTAACCCACCCGCCCAGAAGTCCGAGATCGCTGCTCTACAAAGGCAGAATACGCAGCTTCAATCAGCCGCTACCAAGCGCCATGGCTCTTCACCTTCTTTAGCCATGGCTACACCAGTAGATGAGCTCCAGGCACAGCTTGCATCTAAATCGGCCACAATCGAGACTATGGAATTGGAGATTTCACGTCTTCGTGCCCAAGCCGAGCGACAGGCGACAGCAGGAGGCACGGATCGAGAGCAGATTGTAGCTTTGGAAGACAAGCTTGCTCAGTCGGAACAGGCTGCGATGAAGGCTCAACGGGAACTAACCGATCTCAAGGGCAATCTTGAGCGCACCACTGAACGCGTCACCAAAGAAGGCAGTGCGCGGTCAAGTGCCGAGACCAAATTACATACGTACGAACAGAATCTAGAGCAAATCACCGCTGAAAAGTCAGAGCTAGAGAAAAAGGTAGAGGCTCTAGAGAAGAAAGTGCTCGCATTAGGTAATCTACACAAGGAGAACGATAGTCGATCACAGACTTTACGGAAAGACAAGGAACGCGCGGAGAAGGAGGTGCAAGAGGCAAAGTCCAAAATTGAGAAGCTTGAAGCGGAAAATCTGCGCTTACGGAAGAAGGATGCTGCTGAGGGTGGTGGTGACGACGAAGCCATGGATGAGCTAGAGAACGAGGAACGACAGCGCATGGAGAAAAAGATCCGAGATCTCGAAGCCGAAGTCTACGATCTACGAAGAGGCATATGGCACCAGAGACGACGAGATATGGAACCTGGTGCTGAGGAAGATTTCACGAACATCGACCTCAGCAATGCTGGCCCGCTGTCACCCCATTCGACGCGCAAGTCTAGCAACAAGGGCTTCAGCGACTATCTAACTAGCGGCATCAACGCGCTGACAGGCGTTGCCCCCGAAGACCACGATGACTTCCTCGAGGACGACGATATGGAATTTGACGAAGAGGCCTTCAAGCGCGCACAGCAAGAGGACGCCAAGAGAAGACTTGAGCGCATCAAAGAGCTGAAGCGTGGGCTGAAGAACTGGGAGGGTTGGAGGCTGGACCTCGTCGATGGACGGAGAGGAGCCGGTGTGAGCGAGATCTTTGAGATATGAGATCGTACTGGACGGTACGAGCCCTCTGGAGAAATACCGGTGATGAAGAATTCAAAGTTTTTGTAGGATATGGGTACGATTATACATGAAATATACCGAGAATTGGGGCTCGATGCTTGTTGCAACATCGTAGGTTTTGATATTTGGAGCATTGCTTCTAAGTCTATTTTGATCAAGTGGCTTCAACGCATACAAGTTGCAGGCATGGGCCTCGACACTTGATACATCTCCCAGGCCAGCCAGCTGTGCGCGTGGTGTTGCCGTATAAGGCGATTACAACTAGCCAAAAAATGTGCCTCAATCCTGTTTGTTCCTTGATTTTTACTTTTTACTTTTGTATCTGAGGTGAACTGGGGGGGAACGCAAGCGATGAAGCCTAAAGCTTAAAAATGTCCTGAGCAGTACAGACAAATCACATCCTCGGAGCAGGAATCCAAGATGAGGTAAATTCTACAGGCGCATAAGCATAAAAGCTGGTAGGCCATTATAAGCTCAAGCACATTATCATTTGATGTATTGCTGAACCCCTGAACGCACGCTGAATGAAGCTATTGGTAACTAGTGCATATCGTTACCGACGCATACTGGTACGCTATTACACTCCTGTCAATACTATATGAATGATTTCGGATTTTTGCGCTGTCCTTTGAACGTCAGAGGCCAGTCGTCGCAGAGGTAAATGAACCCTGGGGCGAGGAAGATGGATATGAAGTTGCAACTTACTGTGAATCATCCGGACAATGTCAGCCCAAATTTTTGTTGTAGTCGTGTATGCATCGCAGCGCTTGTCCTCGTAGCAATTCTCTTCGTAATCAATTCCTTTACAACTATCCTCCTTGCGACCGCTTCCCATACAGTCTTGCCCGTGGACGCTGTTTCTTCCACGGCCATTCAGCTCGCGACCATATCTCCCGCGGCCGTCCCGCGAGTAGCCCTTGTACTTGCGACTCTTTCTTCCGCCCTGCTAAGATTGGAAGTCGAGCTCCCCATTGAAAAGCACCTCTAACAAATCCTGTTCTGCCAAGGCTTTATAGGGTGTTAGAATTGCAGCTGCTACTTAAGTGACATTCTGACTGTCCATGTTTGTTAGAGAGTGACTTACTATAAAATGGCGAATCATAGCTATCGCCAACCCTGACCTCGAAAGTCTCGACTGTGCCAAACAATTCTCTGCTCTTTTTCCAACTGATCCTGAACTTGATCTTGTTCCTGCCTCGCTTCACGAGCCGTATGAAAAACCATACGTACGTGCATTGCATCCCGTCGTCGTTGAATCCGGGACTTGTCCAGGCGGCTTGGCCCTCGAAGCGCTCGCCGTGCTCGCCGGAGTCTCCGAGTAAGATGGCTTCGATGACTTGGATATCGACTAGTGCGGGAACTCGACCGACTATAGTCAGTGTGTGGTTGACCTTGATAGTCTCAGGTGGTTTGACCATCCACTCGAATTGAATGTGGCGAATGGATACATCGCCCATTCTTGCTAGTCGGCACACCGTTGTGATGGAGTTAACTATGGGATTATGAGGGGAAAGCAGGTAGGAATGTATGGATTCTCCGACTGTAAGTCGATCTGGAAACTTGTTTGTAATTGCTGATGAGTTTGGTTAGTACGGCAATGAATAATATTATGATGGCCAGTGGGGTTGACCAACTTTAATGAGTTTCACAAGGCTGCCCAATGATGCTTTGAAGGTGGTAAAGGAAGATTGGGTGGGCAATATTGGGTGATTGGATTTTATTATATTGGGTTTCCTGGTAAATTGGTGTGCGACTATAGTCCGTAGTTCGGAAAGCAAAGGCCACAAGACGGGACAAATGATGCTATCATCTGACAAGAGTCGTGTTCCTCGACTTGTTTTGACAGTTGCACCAATTTGGGGCTCTAGCTCGTGTCAACAATATGCGAAGGCAATCAAATCTAAAAAGCCTATCGAATCTTTGGCTCTTGTCGATTCTCGGCCGGGACGGCCGACAGTCCAGCGGGTGTTGTTACGGCGCCAATTGTGCTCATTAGAGATGCCCCATGAGAAAAAGAAGCTCCAAAAAGAAGCAAGAGCGAGTTAAGAAACGAGCACTTGGTGACTCATAACCAATATTAAACACAGCGACATTGTAATGACTATTCGTGCAGGATATAGTCACAAAGATGCATGCTAGATTTCTACAAGTGTCGAATTAGTGCCCTTCTTAGAACCGATTCGTAAGGTATCGTCATAAGCCCAAATTCAGTGTCTTCAGAGAAAATGCGTTGCATATTGATAGTAGGCACAAACCACTGAATAAAACAGCGTTGCTGCGACACATGTTACGAGTCCAGATTTCTGGTCGCTGCCAGCCATACCTTGCGCCATCGACGCCTCATCGTCCCGCTCACAGTTGTTGCGTCTCCGAAAACGACGTGGGCCATAGTGTAACTGAGACAATCGGGAGATGTTTGATCTCACCAGGTGGCCGGAGACACATGTTTGCCTTCCACATTGTCCAAGGCGAGCGCATGATGTTGGCCATATTCGGCACATGTGTCAGTGCCACCACTTCTTTAGTGATAATTCTGCCTCTGATGTATGACTAGTATGTAGAAATCAGCCCAGTTTTGTAGAGTATGCCATTATATAGCTTCTGACCTAGTACGCCACACTTCGTGATACTCAGTTCTCTGTGTCTGTAGAAGGCGTGTCGCGAGAGGCAGTTGAAACTAAATTGTTGACTGGACGTGTCTCAAGTGGTGTCATAATACCATCTAGGCTATATGTCGGCGGTCTCCATTTCGTCTGTGCACTACAGCACACACTCATGTATTCCCGTGTTCATTCAGAGAGGCTGTGAGTATTACAGGACGTAGACAGAGACTGCATGGAGCAGGAATTCGGAAATGCTGTGCATCTAATTTATCATTCCCTAGTACGCTTGTCTCAATTTTGCAACCCATTTTCAGGCCCTAACCATAATTATAGTCCTCAAAATTATTACTAGGCCAAAGACCGAATATGACTGCAATCCCAAGCACAGCCCATAGTAATAAAAGGTTGACGATTATACCCAATAGCTGCTTAGACAGAATGGAGCAAACTATGTAAGGATGGAGCTATTTGGAGTGCCGTGGGAACTGAACATCGCAAAGAATAGCGAATCATTTACCCATGCATCAAGGGCCGGGAATTTTATGCCAACAGGGAGAGACCATGAACCCGTTTGAAATATGATGGGGGCCCATCGTACTCTAGATTATTAAAGAAAGCACAGTCAATTACCTGAAGCTTTGCATCAATGGTGTACTTTGTGCTATCAAAAGGGAAACGACACTATGTTATAAATATGACTCGCGGTGGTGGTAGTTGTTAGATACCTTGACGCCCAATGCTCTCGACCTTCACTCCAATCTCAATCAAGCTGTTTGGCTCGATAACCCCTTTACCATCAAAAACCCACTTTGGCATCGCTAGAAGGGGTACAATCTTGCTCCAGTCAAGCCTATTTTTGCTTCTGTAGTTGTCTGAGTCACCACATCTCGAGCGGGCATGTGCTTGCGGACCGCAGTCAGGGCAATCATTGGCACAAGGAGGCGGCCGAATTAACCTTCGCAAAGGATCGCTATCCCCGAGGTTTGAGCTAGGGTTCACAGACATGAGGAACTGGTGCAATCTCAGTACCTCTTGCTCTGTTGGCTTAGGCGTACTCAATGGCCTTGGGTCGACCAACTCATTCTTTGGGGCAGTAGCAGGTCGGTTGGTTTCAACCGATGTATTCTGGAACTCTTCACATTCGGTTGTGATAAGAACAGCATTGGACGCCGCACAAGCTTTGTAGGGATTGTCATATATCTTGATGATCTCAACAAGTCCAAGATTGGTGTCGCAGGTCTTTCGGAGACCCTCAATCTCCTCTCGAATAAGAGCGGGATTACACAAAGGATCAAAGATGGCGATCTCTCGTGGGTTTTCTTCCAATAGTGATTTGATGATCTCCAGAGCTGGAGAGTCTCGCGTGTCCGATGTGCCTGCCTTGAATGTGTAGCCAAAGAGAGTGATCTTTTTCCCGACTAACGTATTGTTGAGACATCGAACGACACGTTTACTGAAGCGGTCTCGCTGAAACTCATTCATCTTAATAACCTGACGCCAGTAATCACCAACTTCGTCCAGCTGTAAAGATTCGGCGAGATACACAAGACTAAGAAGATCCTTTTTGAGACAGCTTCCACCGAACCCGATGCCGGCCTGCAAATACTTGTCACCAATACGAGGATCACTACCGACGCAAGCAGCTACTTCGTATACATCGGCCCCAACCTTCTCGCAAATAGCTGAGACGGAATTGATGGAGCTAATACGCTGAGCAAGCAAAGAATTAGCCACTATCTTAGAAAGCTCTGAGGACCACACGTCTGTGGTGATGATTCGATCATTCGGAACCCAGCTAGCATATATACTTCTAAGAGTGTGCGCAGCCCGACGTCCCGACGGCAATTTGGAATGCCCAATAAGCACACGGCTTGGGTGTAGTAGATCGTTCACCGCTGTCCCTGTAGCCAGAAACTCAGGATTGGATAAAACTTCAAACCCAAAGCTGGGACGATGCATCAACATCTATAAATGTTAGCAGCCTAATCAACGTGTAAAAGGAAATATTATTACTAACCGTGTCCTATACGAGTTGAGCAGTCCTACAAGGTACCGTCGACTTCTCGACTATGATCGCTCCGGGCTTAGCATAACGCGCGACTGTATTAGTAGCAGCCTCAAATGCTGTCATGTCGGTCGCACTACCGGCACCAATGCCTTTCAATTTGGTAGGGGTATTGACAGCAACAAAAATAACGTCTGCTTCCTTTATTGACTTTTCAAATTTAGGGGTGAAAAGGAGGTTTGGATGCCTTGCTTGAACTGCTATCCGGTTATTCTGCTGCTCTTCGTCCCTTATGTCCTGCTGTAAAGGATTGCTCTCACAGGCGGCAGTCGTCGACGAGGATATAGTAGTGCCTGGTTGATTTAGAAACGAGAATTCCCGAGAGCCGTCTCTCGAGACACGAACAAGATAGTCGAGTCCTGGCTCATAAAGGGGCAAGTGAGCGGATCTCCAACGTCGAATTCGGCTTTTATCTTGATCGACAACAACGACGCGGATCTGCGGGTTTTGGTAAGCGATGACTGCGGCAGCAGGGCCACCTGCAGTGTTAACCGTTAGGACCACTGAACTTTGAATACACCGATACTGAGGATAGATGAAGGTCGTGCTCACCAACGCATCCTGCCCCAATGAAGCAGATGTTGCGCACACCTCCTTCCATGATCTTGAAGATGCTGAGAGGCCCCTTAAGAAGTGCACTGTTGTTTTCTCGCCAGGAACAGGAGCTTCAGGGCACGATACTCTGTCCAGGATATCGTATGCACGCCATATAGATCGCCTTGGATGTAGCCATTATGACTACTTACTACTACTGTTCCTCGACAGATTGTGCAGATTTGTGCAGGCGCTATCCCCAAATGTCGTCACTTGCCATCGGATTGAAATCTTGTGCAAGGAAGGAGCTACTAGTGTCACGTGAAGATCGCAACGAAACTACCATACCGGAACTTGGTGAGTTCAATACATTGATAAGGAAAGTTGCCGATTTCCTAGATCTCCAAACGTAAAACTTAAACGAGGACCAAAACAAATGGGTGATTGAAATTCAAGTCAATGAAGCATTTCGAAATGGTCGTTGCAATAGTTCGGAGGCTGGCTCGAGGCCGGTGTCAGCACAACACAATATCTGGAGAACACAGATTATGAGCGATAGACCATTGTGATCTGTGGCGGTCTCATATTGATGGCTTTTGTGGCAAATCGAAAAAATATCTTGCATTTGAAATAATCTATTCTAAAGCCGCAAACTTCAAAACCCCGATGCCGAGGCTGCTTTCTTGAAATCAAGCGAACATCTCTCAACCTGAACGTCAACCAAGGGTGCTTTTGATTGAGGGCATCCACCATCAAGACATCCACTAGCAACCTTCTTATAATGATGAGTTGACGGAATTTGGCTAACCAATGACCATAGTCGCACCATTGCAGGCGGCAGGAACCGAGACACGTCCCGCGATATGCTCGGGATGTGTTGCTGTTACTTAGCTTGCGCCTATTAGCTTCAGTGCTATCCGGAATACCTAGCTGAATTCCGACTAAATGGGCAGATGCATGGTAAACGATCAATATTACACACCGACTAGCTATGATTATCAAATAATCTTTGGCATTCTGAAAGATCATTTCCAAATAAAGACATATACCAGAATGTTTCTCACCATATTATTTTTCTTGCGCCATGAAATTTGCGTTACTTTCTGACATCTCTGTGTACTCAGAACATAATTATCCCGACAATTCGAAAAGAAGCAACGCTTGATAATAGCGCTTGGAGATGGTTTCAGTCAGCCGACAGTCGAGCAGCTGCACGAGGCTGCCTCACCAACTACCGGGGCTTCTAGTTCATAGAATTCAGCGCATAAGACATGTCGCACAGCAATCGGGATCTTAAGATCTCGGGGCCTGAGGGCGCGAAGGATCTATCAACCATTCCTTGACCAGGGTCAGCTCTTAACCAAGTCCCATCTCACACAAACAGAACGCGTATTGGAGCAAGACTTTGGCCTCATTGAATGTGATCTTGGTCAATAAGAAGATGGGACACCTATGTCACCATAGCTTTAGAACCAGGGTTTAGGGAAAAGCCCCGAGGCAGTGATGTTTGATTACAATGTGGTGTCAGATCGTGGTGGCTTGTCGTGTTGGCTTCGGGTGGTTTCGCGCCTGTCAGACCAATGTGGTTCTGAATACGGTGATTTTCGGTCCCATTGAGCCTAGCGTAACAGACACGTTCCCATAGACAGAGCCTAATTTGTCGCTTCATTCCTTGGTTGCACCGTTGCACCTTCGGGTGTGATACCACTCGGGTCATACCAACAAAGCGGCGGGGCTCGTGGTACACACCAATGTGAGTCAGATAGCCGCCGTCCGTCGACTTCATCAGATCATCAAAGGCTCTATCCCGCCGTTGAAAGCTCATCTGGGCTCGCGTTGAATTCCATATAACTAATTAACTATTGAGTGCCGTTCAAAGCCGGAGAGGGAGCATACCTAGATTCAGGCAGTTTTATTCTCTCAGTATTATCACTCTGCCAATGATGCACATCCCGATAGAAGTTGCGTGTCTTCTCTAACGTGATAAGTATAATTAAATTCCCATTCTTTGCTGGGACCTTTAGGTAAGCAAATCGCAAGGGTCCCGGGCTACCATGTCATGGGCCACCCCGCTACGCGCTTTTTACGCGAATTTGCGTATATAAATCCCTATACCTAACGTAGTTAGTTTTTACCTTTTAACCTTCTTTTTATATTTAATCGAATTGCCTTTTTATATTGAATTTTATAATGCTTTTAATTTTTAAAGAAAAGCGTTATTAAGGCGTTATTTATAACGTTAAGCTTGATTTAAATATTAAAACAGTAATATAAAAGTAGGATATTTTTAGGATTACTTTATAATATTATTTTAATGGAATTTTAACTTAAAAAAAGATAAATTAAAGCTTTTAATTTTTTTTACTTTATTTAAAATATTAATTAATATATTAAACAATTAATTAAATTAAATTAAATTATATATTATTATTAATTAAGTTTTAAATTTTTATAAATTTTATATTTAATAATATTAATATTATTAAAAAGGTTTTTTTATTATAATATTAAAGTTTTATTTAATAGAATTTATTAATTAAAATTGTTAAATCCTATAACGCATCTCCCACTTGACCTGGCCACCCAATTGAGCTGGCCACCCCCCCAGCCCATACAAGAAACGTCGGTGCGTTAATCACGTGATAATTTAATAACTTTACAAATACTAATCGTATAAAATAACAAAATATAGCATTAGATTCGTAATAAAAAGAGCTATTTAACGGTGCCCTTTATTAATTTATACGAATTATATTCGTGGAGTTATTAAGTAATACGCTAAAGTAAGCGTTAAATTAATCCTTATTTAACGCCCCTTTAGCGTATTGCTTTATATCTCGCTTAATAAATTTTATAAAAAATAGTAAAAAATACCGCTGGATTCCCTATAAAATAATGGATCTAATGGTACTAATTATTAAATTGTACAATTAGTATTCGTAAAGTTATTATAGATTGAAACATTGGGTTTTTATATGGGTTAAAGGGGTGGCCAGCTTAATTGGGTGGCCAGGTTAAGTGGGAGATGCGTTAATATAATATAAATAAAATAAGGATTAAATAAAGCATTAATAATAATTATTAAGTTATTTATAAAGTAATTAACTATTTAACATTTAAAAAAGATATTAATAAAGGTAAATAAATAATAATATTAAAGTATATTATTATTAATAGCTATACCTTTTTATTAATAATAATCTTTAAAGGTAAAAATATTTAATATTAATAGTTTTTATAATAAAATATAAATTTATAAAATAATTAATTTTTTTAAGCTTTATTTAAAGGGTAGTTTAATAATGAAATTATATTAAATTAATTTAAAACGGTTTTTATATTATAAATTTAAACTTAATATAATAATAAATAAATAGTATTAATATATAATAGCTATAATAATTATATAAATAATATTTTTTTAATAATTTATATATTAAATAAAGTATAATTAATTTTTTATAAGCTTTATTATAATTATATTATATAAGTATTAAATGTTAAAATTTTTAAACTATTAAAAAAATAGCTTTATAATTACTTTTATAAATACCTTTTAATTAATTTAAATATTAAACCTTTTAAAAAAGATATATTAAAAGTATTATAATTTATAAAGATTAATATTTTAATATTTAAATAGGTTAAAAATGTATAAAAAATAGTTAAAATATTTTTATAAAATTAAATTAAGTTATTATTTTTAAAATATATAATATTAAAAAGAAAGGATATTTTAAAAGTTAAATATAAAGCTTTTATAATAAAAAATAAATTTAAAATATTAACGCATCTCCCATTTAACCTAGCCACCCAATTGAGCTGGCCACCCCCCCAGCCCATATAAAAAACATCGGTGCGCTAATTACGTGATAATTCAATAACTTTACAGGTATTGGTCGTATAAAATAATAAAATATACCATTAGATTTGTAATAAAAAGAGCTATTTAACGGTACCCTTCATTGGTTTATACGACTTATATTCGTGGAATTATTACGCAATACACTAAAGTAAGCATTAAAATAATCCTTACCTAGCGCCCTTTTAACGTATTGCTTAATATCCCGCTTAATAAATTTTATAAAAAATAATAAAAAATACCGCTGGATTCCTTATTAAATAACGGGTCTAATGGTACTAATTATTAAATCGTAGGACCGATATTGGTTAAGTTATTCTAAATTGAAACATTGGATTTTTATATAGGTTAAGGGGGTGGCCAGCTCAATTGGGTGGCTAGGTTAAGTGGGAGATGCGTTAAACTTTTTAATATTTAACTTTAAATATATTATAATAATACTTTTAATAGGTTAAGATTTTTAATAAAGTTATTAAAATTTATTATAAATTATTATACGTTTAATATATTAATATAAAGGTTAATTATTTAAAAGGCTTTAAAGGTATTAAACCTTTAAGCTAATAAAATTGTAACTTTTAAAGTAAAGGTTTAATACCTTTAATTTAAAGTTAAAAAATCAATTAAACTAAAGAGAAAGAAGATAAAGATAACGTTTAAGTATAAATTTATAAAGATGTTAAATATACGAAGGATTAAGCGTAGGGTACGTAGTAGGAGGATTTATAAGAATAAGGTAAACAATTATAAGGTGTTTAGGACTTTAAAAAACTTGTTAGAGATTATTTAAGAGGATATTTTAAAGCTTGAAGATTGTATTACGGCTGTAACCGCTTAAAAATAGCGATCGCGATCGTTTTCGTTGAAAAATACGGCTTCAATTGAGTGGTGTTGGGTGGGTGGTGGGGTGGCCCGTGACGTGGTGGCCCGGGACCCTTGCGATTTGCTTAGCAGTAAGTAACATGGTTGTGAAGTGTCTTGGCATTCCCATACCAGTCATTGATTAGGTAAACAGTTCAGCTTTCAGCTTAAACCGAACGACAGTCCACTGGCTGCTTATGGTAGCGAAATCCAATATATCAATATGCGAACCAGCTGGATACTTCAAAGTAGGACATTTTATGCTCGTTTTTGCTCAGAAGTCATCTCTTCGAACGACACGTAGCTGAAATAGAGTATGGTACGCTTGAGTAACCTAGTCAATGAGACCTTGAATAGACCTAGATTTAGCTAACCGTACCTGACCTCACCATACCTAACAGCGGTGATTTAGACAAGGAATCTTGCATTACTTACACTCTAGGCAATATACAATATTGATCCATAATGAACTCAACTCAAGGCAACAGAATTTTCATGGCGTCTATATAATCTGGTACCTTACCTCAATGTGCTTCCAATGAATTCACCATCACTAAGACATCTGATGAAAAGCGTGTAAACCCATATCCTCAAGTTTTAGCTGTCATGATTACCCTCATTCGTTCGGCGATATTTGCCGCACCCTTTCTTGTCTTAGAAGGCGCATGTCAACGTCCTACGTCGACGACGACCACTGTAATCCCTTGGACCGGGACATATACCGCTTCAACCACCTTTACGCCCTGTACCGGCCCTGCTACCGTTTTCATCGAAACCCCTATAGACACCACGACGTGCCCGCCAGCTCCCACTCCAACCCGGCCAGCCCCTTGCGAAACTTACCCAGATTGTGTTGCCAGTGGACTTAACATCGAGTACTACGCGAATCCTGTTGGTGGTTTCGGAACTGGCAACACGCCCCCGTCTTTCTATATCACAGAAGGTCTTTCACCATTAGACTCTTCTCTGACAAATGTCACATTCTTCCCTCAAGACATGCCCCCTGATGATAGAAACGGTTGGACACGCGAGACTAACGGCGGCATCATCGTGAACGCGAACAACTTCGCCTTAGTCTATTACGGCTTCTACCGTGCACCAAGAACGGGTGTGTTCACAATCTGTACCTCTTCAGATAATGAGAATGATGTGTTCTTCGGGCGAGGAAGCGCTTTCAGCTGCGACAACGGAAAACCATCACCAGATGCCAAGCCGCTCCAGGTCAGCAGAGGCGGCTCCTATGTCAACCCCATTACATGCACCGATGTGTATCTCGTTGGAGGACGGTACTATCCAGTCAGAAACGTCATGGGCAACTACGGGGGCCCCTCTGCCTTTAACTTTACAATTTGGGAGCCTGAAGTTCCCTTCGAAGACAGGAAGAATGATTTCACGGGCAACGTGTATCCTCTCTCGTGTGGATGGCTATCCAACGCTAGGAGCAAAAACATTACGAAAGCATAGATGTTAATGTTGTAATCACAATATAGAGAGTTATATATGTACGAGGCCTTACGAGAATCCCTCAAACAAGCATGTTAAATTAGTATAAGAGTTGGTAGTAGTAGTGAGTGGTATGTCAATCAAAAGTTGTTTGAAAGGAGTCAACAACTTTTTTTTTTTTTTTTTTTTTTTTTTGGATGCGAAACAAGTAGGAGTAGTCTTGATTCTTCGCCAGCCTATCGCAAGAGTTCGATAAAAACTTCACGGACTTCTAGTGTCAGCTACTCACTCGGTAATCGAGTCGCCCTAATGTAACTTACAGTGATACTTTTCACTGAGCTCCCGGTCCGTTCCAGAAGTCTTGCCGTTGCCTTCAACCGTCTCGGGGGAGAAAAAAAGAGGGGGGAGCATGCCTTGCCCCAAGATCACCGCTCTTGATTTTTAATGCACCCATTGTGGTGCATCGAGAAGCCAACTATCTCAGGAGGTAGAGTATGCAATCAAGCATTCACAGCGGTGCTCGCTTAAAGCAGTAGTATAAATGCACTTATCCGCCTCGTGAAACAGCTCAATGCTCATCACTGAAATCTGTACACGTCTTGGTGGTACTGAATTTCCTCTCATGAACTGTGCTACAAAAATTTGTTTGCATCACCGGACGGGATGGATGATAGCCACCCGACGTCCATAGTAATCATGGCGTGTTCGAATTGGGCAGTTCGTTACCCTGTCCTCCTAAGATTTCTCTAAGAGTCTACTTAAAAAACAAATCACCAAGATAACTTCCCGTTTTTGATGTCATTCATTTCTAGTCCTGTCTCCTATTATTATGTGCGAAGTTTTAGCCAACGACAAAAACTCCCTTCCATACTTTTCCCATAAGACACTCTTACTACCCCTGCTTCTGAGTTTGACTATACATAGATCACGAATCATAGATCTAGCATAATGTCAACTGACAGTTATGACAGTGGCTATGACCACGGATACTTTCAGACACCGCCGCACGTCATCGCCGCGGGAATCGGACTGCCTACCCTAAACATCGTCTCTATTTTCTTAAGATTCCTTGCGCGGAAGAAACAAAAGCAGCCTCTGAAGGCCGATGACTGGCTTTTGGTGCCAGCAACGGTATGTGCCTTCATAACAATCCATTTTAGTTTCCGCATCGACTTAATTACTACACTACACAGCTCCTCAACCTGGGAATCGGCATATCTATGGTCTATGGCGTCTCAAAAAACGCTCTCGCCTACCCTTATGTACCCCCGCTAGAATCGGGTGAAGATATCTTTTCTTCCCATTCAGAGCAGATGAGCATAGAAGGCGCCGTAAGTATAAAGCAAGTGGTTCCCGTGCCTCTTCTAACCAGAATTCTAGATCCAATGGGCCTACACTTTTCTACTCCCGCTAGCGCTTGGTTGTACCAAAATGAGTTTCTTGTTGTTGTATAGGCGGATATTTGCAACCAACAGGTTGGGAAAAACGAACATATTCCTCATTGGAATGTGTGTCATCATTTTTCTGTGGATGTGGGGGTTTTTCTTTGTGTTTCTTTTCATATGTCGTTTGAACTTCTGGGCATTATGGGCCACAGCCAGAGCAGTCTTTGATCACTGCATCCGCGATACAGGCCCAAATTTCGCCGTGATCATTTCAGATGTGATCACAGATGTGGTTATTATAGTTACGCCCATTCCGCTAGTACGTTGGCTTTATCACCAACTTCAATCATTATTTATTACTAACCCAATGAAACTAGATCTGGCGGTTGAACCTGACGCTCGGACGGAAAATCGGAATCACTGCCGTCTTTCTGTTCGGGTTAATGTGAGTGCTTCAACATGTACAGCAAGGTTATCATCAAGTGGCTAACGATTATAAGCACTTTCGCGGCGTCTCTAACACGGCTTGTTCTGACATCACGAATCCTAGGGGTGGGCCATGGCCTCAACGCCGACCCTATCCGTAAGTTCCAAGTAGACGCATTTCGGAAGTATTCTAATCTGTTTAAAGTTCTAGCAACTTCGTTCATATACTGGGGAATGGTCGAAACGGGGATTGCTGTATTCGTAGCTTGCCTACCAACGCTCTGGATATTTGGCACGAGATCGACATTAACAGCCCTACTCAGCGCAGTCAAGTCTATCACAAATTTCAGCATCACCAACATCAGTCTTTTCAGGACTAGAACAATCAATGATGATATTGACGCAGGTCTGAAAACATCACTTGAGGTCGAAGGGCACAGCAGCGCAGGCGGTCAGAGTCCGAATCCTTCGAAATACTCCGAGAATACAACTTGAGGCATCATGGCTGTCGCTCCATACTAAAGATCAGCTTAGCATGTTATTAATTACGCGATGGCAACTCATAAATTGATGTAAGCGCCACTGGAATATCCTAGAGCAGTAGAGTGATTGGCTCTGGATCAAGACAATTAATAACTACAGCTTGGCTACTATAGGGCTGTACTCCATCAAACTCTAGAACCTCCAGGGAGGTAATAAAAAGATTCAGTTGTAATTAAAACGCAAATTTCTTAACTGAGGACAGTCTGAATACTGCAGAGAAAGTGATAACTAATTGATGCGTGCACTATCTTGGCTGTTCCCTCGTAACATCACACTGAGATTGTACCAGGATCATTCCCAAGCTCCGCCCCCATGAACAGTATACCCCAACTGTAGGTTTTCACGTAACCCACTGTAATTACAGCGGAAGTGGCCACTAAACCCGTTGTAAATCTCGAATAACTACCTATAAGTAGGTATGTGAATACAGCTAAACCCAAATTGCCTTGCCAGCTATCTCTTGGATCTGCCTGCCTATTCACAGTAAGGACGAGTTAATAACCCCTATGAGTTGAGGCGATACTGATTTCTTTGATGGTGACCAGTAATGTTCATTCTTCTTAAAATTTCTTGATCGGGCCATTGAAGTAGGACTTAGCCCGAACGGCATACCATAAGACGCTGAAGATAATCAGCCACCAAACACTACAATGCTCCAATTGAAACCTTCGGGCACAGTTGCTGAGGCCAAAAGGACCAGAACAATAACAAATCACTGTAAACGATGGAGAAGATATTATTCAGGATTCCAAATGGTTCCGGTAATCTCCAAGGCCCCCACGTGAGCTGTCTAGATGCGCCATCGTCATCAGCACACATGACATAAGTAAGGCTGGATTTCACCAGAAACACGGCGCCATAGAAGTAGGCTGATGACTAAGGTGTATGACGAGAAAAGAGCAACAACAGCGAGACAGAGGAGTGCATTGAGTGCAATTGCTGACCCAAGAACAATGAGCGATAACAAGACAGTTACCACGAGCGTTGTGGCAATTGATATAACTGGAAGCGAAGTTCTATTCAGCTATAATTGAAATCGAGGCGAACTGATTAGCAAGTAGCTTCCAAATTACTAAGCCTTAAGCCTCGCCGACTCATAACAAGAGAGCAGAAAACCCTACCTTGACTAGGACCTAGACAATGGCAATCTGAGATCCCTTGAAAACGACTAAAACATACGAGATGCAGTTGCGTACATACCGATACTGCTCGCAATGGCTAGGACAAGAACAATACCGGCTAGTAGACTTGCGCCAGTTGTTGATTTGACAGCTTGATAGAAGATTTCCAGGAATGGGTAGAATAGGGCGTCTATGGACTGTATAGCTGCTGACACATCTCCAATACAAAACATAACGCAACAACCATAGCAAAAGCAAGCAGTCCATTGATACAGCAAGAGTTTGCCATGCTGGTTTTGTCAGTCATCCGGTTACATAGGCTAAGAACGAGCTCCAGGGGTGCGGAGCCATCAACGCTACCCAGTGGTCTATAAAGGAGTGTAGTTAGCGAACGCGGTGTTCTGTATACTATATGCGTATCATTGTCCCATAGGCAGATGAACGGCGATAGAGTATCTTACATTGGCCGCCGGATGTCGGTGTCATCGAGGCCAATTCTCCCAAGGAGGAATACACTGATATCGTCCATATCCAGCTGATTAGAAACCCCCAGATGACGCCTGCGGGGCCGCCGTTCAGGAGTCCCGAGATGGAAGTCACGAGCACGCCATCCCAAGAAAGCAATGCTGAACAGGAGAGCCCAAGAATGGACATAAAACTAAATGACCTCGTGAGGATTGGCCGTTTGTCTAGGCTTCTTAGGTATGCATCATCATCGCTGTACCTCAGATTTGGCGGTTGTGAAGAGAGTGAAGACTGAATGAAAAAGTTACAGGGACATTGAGAAGCCAAGAGAAACTGTTCGTCTGTGTGGAAGCTGAGAAGGGTCATTCAAAGTTGCCGAAATGCTGTTGGTGATGAGTACAGCATTGACTACCCGACCAGGGCATCTCCTCGCGAATATAAGGATTGGATTCTGCAATACATTCTAGTGCATGGAGTAAGAATCTTTGCAAAGATGTGAATGCAGGTGAGATATGCGACGCAACTAACTGACTAGATACTAAGGCTGCCCCTCACCCCGCAAAGACTGGAGATTTTCGTAAGACTCGTAATGGCACGCGGGCTTGGATCAACGATCTTACCTCCGCACTGCTAGCATATTCTATCCATCAACACCCAGCGCCTTACACCTCTGGCTTTTCTCACAAACTCGGTCTGTTCAGAGTCTGGCCTCTTTGTAGCATTATAACATCATGACTTTATCTTCTCATGAAGGCGAAGTAGCCTTCGACGCTCCCGAGGCAAATAAGCCGTGTAAGACATGGTACAAGATCTACGGCGATCTGTCGTCCCATCGGGGTCCGGCCCTCGTTGCTCTCCACGGTGGTCCTGGCGCCGGTCATGAATACCTGTCTCCGCTAACAGATATCTACGAGAAGTACGACATCCCCATCGTGTTTTACGATCAGGTAGGCTGCGGTCGCTCGACACACTTCCGCGAGAAATATGGGGACACGAACTTCTGGACTTTCGAGCTCTTCATTAAAGAGCTTGATAACCTGGTGGATCACTTGCAGCTGAGAGAGAAAGGCTTTTTCATCCTGGGACAATCCTGGGGTGGCATGCTCGGTGGCGCGTATGCTGCTCTGAAACCTAAGGGGCTTAGGAAACTTGTCCTAGCGGGATCGCCAGCGAGCATTCCGCTTATGTTGAAGGGCTCGCGTGAGCTGCTGGCTGCACTACCGGAGCCAGCGCGGACAACGCTTGAAGAATGCGATAAGAAGGGTGATCACGAAAGCGAGGAGTTTGAGAATGCAGCTAAGGAATTTTACGGACGGCATGTTTGCCGGCTTGATCCGTATCCTGAGGACGTCTTATGCGCGTTTAAGAATTTGAAAGATGATCCATCTGCTTATCACACAATGTGAGTAGAATGCCCCTTGGTAGTTATCCCAATGATGAGGAACTAATATCCCTCACTTCGAAGGCAAGGTCCCTCAGAATTTGTCATCGTCGGCTCGTTCAAGGACTGGGAGGGTTGGCAAGAGGCACATAATATTGAGGTAGAGACGCTGCTCCTAAATGGGCGATATGACGAGGTGACGGATCAGTCTGTCCTGCCGTGGTTTAGACACATCCCCAAGGTGAAATGGGTGACGCTTGAGAATTCGAGCCATATGTCGCATTGGGAGGATCGTGAGAGATTCATGCAAATAGTTGGCGAGTTTCTCTCGTGGTCTGTCTAGTCAAGTAGAAGTGACGAAGAATCGGACAATCCAAAGCAGACTATGAGGCGACGTATTGTATTCCGTCGACAGTTACAGTGAAGCTAGTGCTATTATCTTTTCTACCTCTTGCCACCTTGACACGTTGATTTCCTGGAAAATCAGAATAGCTGTAGTAGCCCTAGATCACCAGCTACGCTCTGGCTAGCATCGACCTGTTTATGCTCTCTGGCGGACATCAGAAAATGTGAACCTACAGCACACGTCGATGTGACACAGATTAATGAAGGGTGAATATCTCTGTATGAGATAGTCTCAGCACCCCTGCGGGAGTCCCATTCATTATGATTGCATTCAGCGTGCATCAGCTCGAATGTCCTTCATACCATAAGTACCGGATTAATTCCGAGCCCCGCCCCCGCTACCAAGTCCCTCCCCTCAATTTCGTGAAACATGATCGAGAGGCAGTGATTTGCGAGGTGTTTCTTTTAGGATTGGACACTTGCGTCGAACTGCCTAAAGGTAACCGCCGATCTTGACATGGAAGCTGACAAGGCAGTGGACAGACTTGCTAGGCCTTCTGGTGGTTTGGTTGCTGCCTCTCAGCAGGATCTCAAAAGAAAATTCTGCTACGTCTTGGGCTAAGCTTGGCAACACTTTTCCTTTGGTTACTTACAGTGCAGTTCCCTAAACCAAACCTTGTCTATCTCGAAGCGCATTATCCGCTACGTTGGATGCACCGGTAGAGCGGTATGCGTCGCTAAAGTCAATCGTCGTAAGAGTATAGAGAAGCGTCTCAAAACCTTTTTGGATACTGCAACGTGTTCACCACAGCAGACATGGACGCCAGAGGTCATGACTTGACCACCTTTCCTGCGCCACTTCGAAACCGTCAGATTCTACTCTGCTCCGAATCCTTCGGTCCTGTCAATGGAGTCTCTCGCACAACCTTGATGATAGTGAATCATCTCAGGTCTCAGGGGGTTCTGGTATCCGTCGTTGCTCCCCATAATCATACAAAAGTGAACATCATTCCACCTGCCGACCCTGCCGAAGCAAAAAATAAGTATTGCCCGGAGGTGCGGTTAACGGGTGTTCCGATACCATTTAACCCAGAACTTGCGGTGGTATGCCCTGTACGGCTATCCGAGATCTACAGACGGACATTTGCCGGGCCCCCAGATCTCATCTACCTAGCGAGCCCTGCCTCGCTTGGCTTTCAGGTGATGATCCAGCTGCGACAGCAGAGAACGGAGGATCAAGTGCCTCTGCTCTGCAATTACCAGACTAATCTAGCAGGCTACTATGAGATGTTATTTCCCACGCGATTTGCACACGTTGCAAGCTGGTTATTTTCGAGAATAGAGGGGTACTTATTTCGTCATGGCTCAGTCAAGACGATATTTTATCCTAGTATGTTCTCGAGAAGATATCTGGAACATATAGCGCGGGTGCAGAATAGTAAACTGGTGGTGCTGAAGAGAGGTGTCAACACTGAGGGTTTCAGCCCGGATAAGCGCAGTATTGAGCTTCGGAGAGCATGGGCGCCAAACGGGGAACTCATTTTATTTACTTGCTCGAGACTAGCGGGTGAGAAAGGATATGACTTTCTGGCGCAGGTAGCTGCTAAACTGGCCGAGACCGATTTGAGCTTCAAGCTCGTCATTGTGGGAAACAACCGAAATAGGATAGTAGAACAAGAAATCAAGGGATTGTTCGAGCCGCTAATACATCGCGGCATTGTCATCTTCACCGGGCTCAAGGTGGGCGAAGACCTTATGACGCACTATGCCTCAGCCGACCTCTTCCTGCACTGTTCCATATCAGAGACATTTGGGCTCGTGGTGCTTGAGGCGATGGCTAGCGGTGTTCCCGTGATCGCAAGAGACGAGGGCGGGCCGAGCGACACCATCGATCATGGAAGAACTGGCTATCTCGTGCCGCCAAATGACCTGGAAGGATTCGTGCGACGAGTGCTCGAGCTTAGCCGCGACGCTGAACTCAGGCATCACTTTGGTGAGGCTTGTCGCGCACAGGCGCTCTTGGCAACCTGGGAGACAATTGGGAACAAGGTGGCTTGGGAAATGCTGGACGCTATCGAGGGGCGAGAACCGACAACGCGGGACATCAAGACCGCAACAGCTCGACGCAGCGCGGCGTGGGCTATAGAACCCGTAGCGTCACTCATGGTTAAGGCGAGAATATGTCTGAGCTTAATGCTTATTATCTGTTGCTGGGCAGTCATTGGCGTATGCTTGGCCGCGATTAACCTTACACATTCGGCGAAAACATTGGCTAGGAGAGTTTGAGGAGTTGGTTGTATCAAGAATGAGCTCTAATTAGACGGAACAATTGGCAGCGGATACACACCTATAACCTTTTCACCTTTACTCGAGCTAGGAACGATAGCCTGCAATTTGGAGCTGTGAACCTCGAAGGATGAATGAGAACGTGAAGTTTGGATCCGAGAGTCGCGCATCATTTTACAAGCGATCGTCAGCGGTTACAAGCCCTAAACTACCTAGATAATATGGCTTCAAGGTGCCAAGACGCGACCGACGACTTTGAATACCTACACTGGCGTAGTTATGATCGTTTCCTCCCGCCTCTAACTACTCACGATGAGGACTGCTTAGTCACGACTGGGTTGGGGCTGGGTGTTTGAGTGTACTAAGTAGTGTACTGCCAAGCTGACCTCTCCTTAGAGCACTATATAATCGCCTCTAGTATGTTCATAAGTCCCGTGTGTTCATACTCTTCTGCAATCGAAGGACTTTGATGAGCCGACTCTGCACATCCACCAAGTCTTATGATAAAGCAATGCGACTACTGGCGTTGATTGCCATTAACTGGACTGATGAGTCACAATTTTTGCCGATCTACTTCTTTCTACAGCCCATACAACAGGCTCTCTTTCAGCCCCCAAGGGCCCCTCCTTAGGTTTCATTGGCCTGACAGTACTTCAATCAGTTGATGTAGGTACTCTTCTCAGTATCATTCGTTGTAAGCTATCCTCTTAGCCATCTTGGTCATGGCTCAGCAGGCCTTGATGACCAGGGATTGACTGAACCATGGCTCGCCAAGAAGATGGGGAGGTCAGCGCTTTATGATGCAACCTCTAGCCCTTGCTCAGGGCATCAACGTTATCTTCTCTCTTATTACGTGACTTTGTGATACCGATACACTAACTTGCATCTCCGGCCCCGAGTGGCATCGATCAGAGTAGTCAAATCAAATGACAGTGTCGCGAAGCTGTGTAGCCAATGGTTGATCCTGTGACCGCGCTCGCGATTGCGGGGAATGTTGCCCAGTTTCTGGAGACTGCATACAAACTCGGATCGCGGATCAAGTTGTATTGCAGCAACTCAAGCTCTGCTCCTGCCTTTTTTCACGAGCTTGCGGTTCAGATCCCGATGTTGTGCTACCTTTTTGAGGACTGTCGGACGCTTAGAGCCGAGAACGTGGCTGATCCAGATAACCTGATACCCGTTCTCGACGGATGCCGACGAGTAATCGAGTCTCTAGACCGGCTCGTTTCCTCCGTACTCCCTGACACTGACGATGCTGTCGGTGTGAAGGTTTGGAAAGGTGTGAAGAGCGTTAATATACAAAATAAAGTGCAAGAATGCAAAGCGCAGCTAGAAAGCTATAAGTCGACGCTCGCTCTTCATTTGAGTGTTCTCACAGCCAAGCAGGCTAGTTCTTCGGTCGCTCAGGCTCTGCTTCCGCCCTTTCATCATGTTCCGGCTACCGGACGATCCCGGTTCGTCGGTTGTGAAGATATTCTCCAGTCTATCAATCAAGCACTGAAACCAGGTGGGCGAGATCCTCGCATTGCTATCTTGTTGGGTATGGGCGGCCAGGGAAAGACGTCATTGGCTTTAGAATACTGTCGACGAGAAATCGTGAGCCGGCATTTCAAGTTTATTATTTGGGTTGACAGCAGCACCCCCGCGGCACTTGAACGAAGCCTTGCTCAAGTTGCGGAAAATATTGCCGCTGTCTCTAACGATAAGCGAACGTTTAACAATTCTAGAGCTCATATAAGCTTTCTTAAAATGACCATCGAAACGGCCGGAACACCATGGCTTTATGTCATAGACAACTTTGATAGCCCGTCATTGTTCAAGAATATCCTCGACGTGACTCCGCATTCCGCCTCCGGAGCTGTACTGTTCACTTCGCGCCACAATAGTTGTGTATCCCTTGGAACACCTATTACAATTCCCGGGATGACTCAACATGACGGGACGGAACTTCTTCTACAACGTGCAGGGCTTGACCGTACTATTTCAAATTTAGAGCAAGCCAAAAAGGTTGTTGACATGCTCGGTCACCTACCCTTGGCCATAGATCAATCAGCAGCTTACATCAGATCAAGAAGAATATCCCCCGCCGAGTTTATCAATCATTATGAGAAGAGAAGGGAGAAGGTATTGCAGCATATCCCAAATGTTTGGGACTACCACCGCATTGTTGATGGCGAAGAAGAGGAGACACCGGTTTCTGTCTTTGGGACGTGGGAGCTGTCTCTTCAGCAGGCCTTAAAACAAAGTCAGGATGAGAAGGCGACAGTGGAGTTTATTACAGGCGTTGCCTTCTTCAACAACCTGGACATAAGGATGGAAATGTTCCAAGCTGCATTTGAACGTGCGAAGCAGCCCTTTGAGTGGCTGAGTCTTTTCGCAATTGATGATGAGTGGGACGAGTACGAATACCAAGACGCAATCACAACACTCGCTGAGTTATCTTTGATACAGTATCGCACATCTCATGAACGACCAGGCGAGGATGATCGTGAAGAAGGTATCGGTCACCACTCATTCTCATTCCACCCACTTGTTCGAGATTGGATTCAGTTGAGAATCCCCGCAGCTGAGAGGCGAGTGCATGTGCGCCGCGCGCTCGAGATATTACGATACTACATTGAGTCGTCAGGGAACGACTACTATAAATGGACTCTAAAGGAACGAAGAGCCGCAATGTCCCACATTGACGCTTGCATTGAGGGCCAACTGAAATACATTCGAGAGTGGTCTGAAGAAGAGTACTGCGTTGTTAGGGACGCCCTGGTCGTAATCTATCAGTTTTATGCCGATAGTGGACGATATCCAGAGGCTGAGACTGTCTGTCGCCAAATATTAGACCATGACAAGAGGCTCAGGGGCGAATCTAGTGAGGCATTCATAGATTCTGAAATTAGGCTGACTGACATCTACTTTCTACGAGGGGCATACCACGAAGCGGAGGATATTCTTACCCGGCTTCGACCTAACGCTGAACAGTACCCAGTGGAGATGAGAGTATCCGTGACGAAGAACCTAGCAAAGATATTTTTCAAGCTAGGACGCTACGATGAGGCAGTTGAACAATATGAAGATGTACTAGCCAGACAGGAAGCTTTACTCCCAAATGGAGACTTTGGTATGCTAGATACACGCCATCTCCTCGCACAAGTGTACCGCAACCAGGGTAAGCATGCAGAAGCTATCGAGATATATGTGAATATTCTCGAAGTGTATCATGCAGCTGGTCTGGACGATCATTTAGGCGCTCTTCAGTGCACGGTTGACCTCGCCGGTGCGTACCGGGCTCTAGCGCAGTACTCACGAGCTGCCGAGCATTATGACCGCGCAATCGCAAGCATCTCCATCCGACTGAATGCCGACCATCCCATCGCTTTATCCGCGCGTCTTGTCCGTGCAATTAACTTACGGGAGCTCAATCGCATTGAAGAGGCCGAGGAGGCTTTCCGCGACACTGTCGAACGTTTTGGCAGGATCCTCGGTTCGTTTCACCAGGACACGCTCCGAGCAATTATGAATTTCGCTATTCTCTACGACCGCTCAGGTCGACCGGAGCGTGCTGAAGAGCTCTATCGCGCGGCGTTGACCGGCCGCGAGAAGATTATGGGGTTCGATAACCAGTACACCATGCGAACAGTCGAACGTTTAGTCAGCCTATTATGGTCGCAAGACCGCTGCGACGAAGCTGAAACTCTCGCGTTACGGGCCCTTCGCGCCCAACGTAAGTCGTCGCTCGAAGAGGATATGCCCTTCTTGAGAATTGCGAGCGATGAACAGAGTGATAAGAGGCCTTACTGGCCGGTTGAGGTCTTATTCACACGGGCTGTGGAGAGAGACAGGAAGCTGCTAGGCGAAACGCACACAGACCGAGTGGAGGCTGAGCACTCTCTGTCTGCTGTGTATATGAAGCAAGGTTTGGATGCCCACGCAACAAATTCTTCTGAGATAGTAGACAGTGGCATAGATGCTGGCCGTCAGAAACTCGTATTACTAGTATCTGAGCAAAGGAAGAATTCAGATCCACCGCCGCCGTATTCTGCTTCCGAGGAAAGCAAGAAACCTCAAACAAATGAAACAATTCTTGAAATCAACCAAGCCGAGCCTTGAGACATAAGATCATGTATTCAGTTTGGATATTACGACCCGTGGAACTGGCATACAACTGGGTGGGCGAGGGCGCTATTGTACAAATACATCATAGGATTTTTAATACCTGTAAGCCTAGGACTACAGCTCACAGTTAGTCGCTAGCGTCAATTTCTCTTAGTTTGTATTTTCTCAAACCCTTTGCTAACAGGACAAAACTCATAATTAGATGCTTCGACTTAGGCACCCTCCAAGCCCCCTCCCAGAACCTCGCTAATTATTTCTATGTCTCTCTTGTCTTTCTTAGACTTCTTTAACCTCTCCCTCTCTATGACGGTAGCGACGATAATTTCCTCCAATTGTTCTCGGCTCAGGCCCTGCGCGAAGATCTCCAGACGAGCCACGGGCTCTTGCCCAGCTTCACTAGATGAACTTGAGGACCCAAGAAGGGATAGGGTCCCGAACGAAAACTTTGACGCCTTCATTTGGTTGGCGTTCGCTCTGTATCGTGCAAGTAGCCTGCCGTTACTCTCGATGGCAAGCCCCGCATCCCCGCTGAGCTCCCACAAGAGATGGCCGAGTCCAGTGAACGAATTATATTCATTTTTCCAGCGCTCAGTACGCCCCCATAACGTCATATCCGCCTTGGTTGTCGTAAACTCATGTAGCTTTCCTGTTGCAATCATCTCTCCGTTCGCATGACCCCGAGATACCTTGACCTCTAGCTTGTCAGAACGGGGTAGCTTGAGGAAAAGGAGTGCCTCAGGCTGGTTAGCGACTCTAGCGATTTCAATGTGCTTTTCAATTCGGAAGAAAAGGATTTCAAGCCCCTGAGGGAGCGTTGAGGCCCCTGGAATACCATACCCGTGGCCTTGACTGAACTGTTGTTGTGGATGCGCTCTTAGGGGGGTTGGGCCATAGCTGTATTGTTGCGGCGGCGGCGGCGGAGGCGGGTAACCACCGTAATGAGTAGTGTTATAGTAGCCTGAAGGCCCTTGTTGTTGCATGCTAGTGGTAGAAGAATAGAAGCTCAACTTTGAGATGCGTGTGGAATTCAATGTTCATTTGTTGAGCGCAGAGTTTGGCTTGAGATTTCAAATTTGATCTATCTGGCAGTCTGGCAGTCTGACAGTCTTCTGGTTCGACACAAGAACTAGAAAACATTGTTATATATAAATTCTCCTACAGCCCACGACTCATAGAATCATTCAAATCATAGTTTTACATCTCGAATAATCCTTCTAAGCCACCTGCCCCTGCTTAGCTGAAGCTTCGTGGCTAAGCTCCCGGTGGGTGCCACGCTAATCTCTTGGCCATTATTTTTTCCCTTTTAGGTAAAATTTATCATAAGACTCCCCGTAGTTTTGCAGACCATCCTCCTGCCCTACATAGTACAGCTGAAAGACTGCTTTCAATGCTCATGAAAAACTGTCTCCTATTGCTAACGGCCCGTTGGGCTGGGGCGATGAATCACCCTGATGATCGCGGCAGTGATATTGTTATGCTCCTTAACCCGAGGGTTTGCGCCGTAAGCTTGGGCTCTTGGCATCAGCAATATGATCAAAAGGCGTGAGGTGTTTGAGGCAAATTACTGGGCTGGCCTATTACCAGCTAATATTACTGGAAAGTTACCGCGACATTCGATGTCCCCATCTTCCGCCCCTCAACGTAGACATAGAACTCGAGCGATGCCCCAGATGGTACCATTTCAATGTCGTAGTCAAGTCTTTTCAATATCTTGCCTTTGGGATTAGACCAGTCCTTGAGTTTGGGAAATGGTATATCGACATCACACTCAATCGAGCACATACTCTTGACCTGGTCGGTCTTACGTGAAGGAGGTACTTTTTCATCGCAGTAGTCGATGTTCACAGTAACGGAGCCAGGAAAGTCGGTGGCAAAAGTGCGATAGAAACTGTGCCTCACAGTGTCTTTGGTGGATACTTCCTCGCCCTGCCAGAAGATAGTTAATCATGGACTCCCAGTAATTACTTTAGCATAAGCGTAGAACTCACCCTCTTTAGATACCATTCCATCTGGTTCTCAGCCATGTCTGAGCATTCATTTTCATCCCACACTTTATCGGCCTCCTCGTGAGTTCCTGGGATAAAACGACATTTATAACCCGAGCCATAGCTCGCTCGAGAGACGGTCGAGGTCACCTTAATAGGGAGCACGTCAGCACTCAAGGTGTCGCTGGGTCGCTGAGCGGCAATATCGAGGAAACCCTTGACTACAGCACCCCGGCAAATGGCAGTACGACTATGGTAACGTTAGAAGATATCACTAGGCAATTGATCCTGATACTGACGGTCTCATGCCTCCTGACTGTAGAACGCTTATACCAGAGGCTTGGTAGCGGTCCCTTAGGTGTTCATACAGGTATGGACTAGAACCAAAGCCTCCGACCATAATTATGCCCTAACAAGATTAGAACCAAACTATGCTTACGTCTGAGGCTTTTGAAACTTACAGTCACTGACATATTTTTGGTTTTCGCACTCTGGATTTGATCATCGCACAACTTATCTATATCACCGAAGGGTCCGCTAAAGATTTCCTCAATATGTTTCCTAGATATAAAGTCAGATACGTTATCGAGAGAAACTTTGCTGATAAAAGATACGGAGGCTTACTTCGTAAACATCATCCTGGCATTCTTTATGATAGGGTCGCATTTGTCATCGCTCGTCTTGCCATCAGGGAAAGCTCCCGCGGGAACTCGTATGGGATAGTCTCGATTGGATGACGGTGTAAATTGAGGTTTAACACCCCTTTCCCAGTCTTCGCGCATCACATCGTTGATATCATTCTTGCTGAGACGATCCCATCTTCTGCCCAAGCACTTTTTGCATTTTATCTCGAAGGCTTGATCCACAAAGATGCCACCACAAAGACCGCCTGTAACACCATAATGTCAACTTACTAATGAGAGATTATTGGGGAAAGAGGCAATACCTTCGCCTTCCACAGCTTCCTCCATCATAATTGGGCTAGCATTGGTAACCATGTAAGTGATTAAGTCCTGACACAGTTAGTTTTACCTAACTCACTTGCCTTCTCGTTCCACTGAGTGCGAAACTTACCACGGTACCACCGCCTGCATCGCATACCATGAAACAATCGTTTTCGTTCACCTTGCGTCCAGGTTCAGTCAACGTCGACAATGCAGCTGCCTCGGGCTCAGGCGCAAAACTTAGACGAGTATCACCAGCAAGTCTATCGTCTAAGATACCGGCGTTCTGAGCAGCCTGTCTCATGTCCCGTCGAGCATACCCTTTCCATATTGCAGGGACAGTGAGCACGACATGAAAGCGTAGAGCATCAAGGACAGTCTGTCCACGTGCCTTGGCAATTGTTTGGAGTGTGTGAGCCCAAAGTGCACGCAAGTAGTCAGCAATCAGGTCCACAGGTGTTTTCCCCTCCACACGCATAAATTGGCGGGCTCGTAGTATGAACTCTGACGACCTGAGTTCGGGCTCAAGGTCTTCTTCTTGTACTAGCAAGAGTTTGAACCATCGGACTGGGTCCCCATCTGAAGGAACGAGATAACCCCATGACATTTCTCCATATTCATAGAATATCTCGGAGGGTGCTTTGCCCTCTTCACGACCAGTTCCAGGCCAGCTAGTAATTATGTTAACTTGATCACTTTTGAAGTCTGCAGCTGTTGCCCAAGCCACACCGGAAAATCTACAAACAATTGTGTCAGTAAGTCCATATACATTGCACAGGGTAGAAGACATACGTTGTGCCGAAATCGATGCCAATAACTAAGATGTCGTCATTATCATCTGAAGTTGTCTTCCAGTCCACACTATCGTTATCTAGAATTCCTTGAGTCGAATCGGGTGGCCCGTCAGCTGGAGGGGGACTCATGTTGATGCTGATCTTCCCTTTCCCTCAATATTTCAGCGCAATCAGTATTAGCACTAGGAGAAGTTTATACCTCCGGAATTAGTGATAGGAGACTGAGGCACAAGTGAGATTCATACGCTGTGTAGGTAGGCACACATTATGACGTGACGCTACATATACAGATGTTATGTAACCAGTTATATAGAACTATGAAGTATACCATCATGTACTAGTGCATATTCACGATGGTCAAAGCGTTACAGAGCATGCTAAAGCATCTGGGCACGGCACCATCTCCGAACGTGGACCTATCATAGCAAAGACGCAGGGATCAGTGTTTTCGTTCCTACCTACACTTATACTCACGTCACGCCACGAAAAGAACACGAAGAACCCCCAACGAATCGGAATTCTTTATTTCTGATTCTGCCTTACGCCGACCCTTGCGCACAATGCTAGCCATGCAAGCATGTACGCAGTGCGGACAATGCCACATAATACCCCTCAATAAAAGATGTGATATTATGAACGAGTTGAAGTGACAACTTTCATCCTGAAACAGATTTTCTGAGGATACAGGGTTCAGCTGCAGTATGACACGTGGATAGGGGACTAAAGCATGAACGAGTAGGATAGGATTATTATCAGCTCGGCACATCGCGGTACAGCTACTTAGATACGGCTCCATTCCCCCCTCCATCCGGAAGATTCGCGTCCATGTGTTGTGATCTTAACTATACCGCCGAAACTGGAATCATGGCTTCTATAGAAAACCGACCTTCTGACCTCAATACGTCGGTTTGGACTTCAGAGCGTGGGGAGTATATCCATACTCCAGCAGAAGATAAAAACAGTAAGTAGTTGAAGAACGAACTTGACGCGTTGAACTATTGTCGAAAACCGGAGAGACGATTTAGTGGTCAAACTATCTTGTGTACCTTATCCACCGCTAATCAGATTATTAGATGATGCTGGCGCCGATAAAGATACCGCCGTCAAGGCGGCCTTGCAGAAGTTACAAGAAACTGTCGTGTCCCTAGAGCAACAGCTTGACACGGAGAGGAAGCTTCGCACCAAAACAGAGACTAACCTCAAAAGTGTCATGAAGCAATGGAAGCAGGTCGCTCAAGAACTGAGCAAACAACAGACGGAAGCCAAACCTTTCCATGCTGTCACAGACGATTATCTCAAACAGCTAGTTCAGGAGCTTAAATATGATGTAAGGTGTTTTGCAGAGACTTATTTCGAAGATTTGCCATCACAGCCATGGCCTCAGCAACCTCAGCTCGAAGATGGTAGTGTGCCACTTCGCGTCCTGCCTGAGGCTTACGAGCAATACCCGATATCCCCCGCACTCGCACAATCGTTCGTCTGGCGCATTCTGAAAAACAAGATTTTCGAGCGCTACGAATGGCCAGCCAATAAATCTGTGGGCATTGATCTATACGGCGTGTCCAAATTCCTGGAACCAAGTAAGTTTTCAGCTCCTCCTTGCCCAAATGGCCAGAGACTTACCCGTTTGATCGATTAGCCAATGGCGTGAATGAAGTAAATAGCACCGCACAATCCGAAGCTCTCAAAAAGTTCCATGTCTGGCGAGCGATAACCGCGAATATGGTGTTTAATGCAGACGCCGCTGCCAGCCCGAAGGATAGTTGGAGCACATTCAAAGATTCGCTAATTACAAAGCACATCGACCCGATTGCTTTAGCCTTTGTTCCAGAGGTAGAGTATAGACGATACTACGACTTGCTTGGCAACATCGTTGAAAAAGCTCTGGTGCTAGATAGGGAGATCAGTAGACAAGCGGCCTGGGTTCGCTGGGTTTTCGAAGAATCGGAAAGTTCTACGAGCCAAGGGAATGTAGACATTATCGTTGCGCCTGCTCTGGTGAAGCGCGGCAGGTCGGATGGGGATGGGTTCGAAGAGCAGAGGCAATTATTACCAGCGGATACTTTTGTTATTCAGAGTCTATTGTTATCAAAGACGAATAGCCAAGAGGAAACGGCAAGCCCTACAGAGGAGCCCGCAGAGAGCCCTACAGAGGAGCCTACGGAGGAGCCTACAGAGAACTCAAGCAGATAGGTACCTAAGTTTATTGCTAAGATTTTATATTGTCGAGGTTTGAGAGTCTCGTGGTGCTCGCCTATACCCTCTTTTCCATCAATGAGACTTGCCTACTACTTTATTATCGAGGCCTCTTGAAAATCCCCAACCGCCTCTCCAGTCTTGAAAATCACATCTAACAAAACTTTGTCGCCAGTTCATATCAATGTCCAAAGATTCCAATGTGACCAGACAAGGTATGAGGTAAACTTGACCAGGGCAGACGCTAACAGACACTCGTGCTCTATCTAACGCACAGACTCAATATCCGCCGCCAAGCCAGGCTTCGCCGCTACTCTCCCATGGGTTTAGTATCATGACTCTTCGTATCTTGCATGAATAGAAAACAGCATATGCTATTACACGTATGCTGCAGCGTAGACAAAGCATGCACCTAGGCGGAGTGCACATTTCATGCGACAATAGAGCCCCTCGCCTTTGGTCCGCTCGGACAATAAATCTTCGATCTTGAGCTGGGTGCATCGACGACAAGGGCTATCCCTCACCACTAGCCACGTATTCCGCTCATTATGCCGTGTTGGCCGACGTATCTCATGTTTAGTAAGATCGGAAGTATGATGTTCTCGTAATTGTCAGCTCATGAGCTAGCTAATTACATAGTACAATCCTAAGGTGATAGGACTGATATTCCCGTCATCAGCAACCCAACAGCAAGGGCGACGGATCGGTCATCCGGGAAATCAATGAACCTGTTGCCGGTATCACAGCAGACTATGCGTTTTCTGCACAGGGTTCATTCGCCTAGAACAGCCACATTCGAAACATCAGGCCATTTCAAGACTGCAAAGCCCATTGGCTCAAGCCGATTACACTGCGAACCTCTTTTTTCAGGGTCAACAGCGTGCCCATACATGATCCCTACCTGCACCTCTTTGACACTTTTGTTTATAGAGACGAGATAAACTTGCGTTTTAGCATTGGCTGTATTTCATCATAGAGTAGCCCTGTAAACGATCGTGCTTCCTCTCGGCACAGCTTGCCTGTCTTAGCGTCTCAGGTGCTTGGCATGACAATCTCAGGAGAAGGCTTGGCAATACACTCCTTCAGGATTTGGGAATCTGTGCAAAGATCCAGAGCATCGAGTTTTCATGTCGGACCAAGAATTGAAATCAATGCTTCACAGGTTCTGAAGACATAGCGGAGAAGCAGGGTCTCGTATCATTTAGGGAGTGTATTCAACATCTGCTTTTGCCTCTCATAATCGTAAGTCTTAGAGATCTAACTATTGCCGGCCATGTCGTTCAGACATGTCACAAAATACCTGTGTCTTCAATAACCTCTCCATTGTGTCGAACCTATCCCCCGATGACTTTCCATACTTAACTAAGCCGGGCCCAAGCACCATCGTAACCGCCATGTGTTCGTTTTGTTTTTCTTGCCTGCTTTCCAATTCCATTTCCTCTCGCAGGAAAGTAAAGGGAAAGTCATTAGGCGCAAGCCACTCAATGCTTGCTACTTGTCTGCAGGTATCCTTATCTAGTTCCAGGCTCTGAATGAGAATGCTCTCAAGCCCATCTTGGTACTCTCGACTCCCAGACGAGCCAAAGGGTTCCAGTATCTGAGAGATGTGGATGCTCCATTGCCTAACAAGAGTTTGACAATCTATGTCGGCCTCTGCTTCATCAAGGGACATGGCCTCAACTAGGAGACTTGCTGTATTAGCTCTCCACGTGTGGAATTTACGCATCCCTTGTAAACCTGCGTTTTTATCATGTCTCAAGCTATCTGTGATTGACATCAGTCTCTTGTTATTATTCTTCAAATCTCAGAGAGAGAAATATCATACCAAGCGAACCACACATATCACGGAATGCAGCGCCGGCACCTTGCCAGGTCCAGAAGAATTGGTTGAAGACGCTTTCGCGAATATACGACCACAGAAAAGCTCGCATTACACTGATACGAGTGGATGAGGTAGAGACATATTTTAGTAGTAAATCTGGAGGCATTCTCAAGAATTTGTTAAGGGACTCCAATGACTCTTCCACAATTCTAGATTGTCCAATGTCGCTTGCGAAATTTCGCAGTGCAAAGTCCCTTATTCCAACGCGTAATGTCATGGCTTTTTGAACAATTTCGTCATCAGTTAATTGGTTCCGGACTTCGTTCCCTCGCAGAAGCCGATTCAGTTCGCCGACTGCATCTAACATGAGTTGTCGCTGGTTGGTTGCATCCTTCTGTTTCTCGACGAGATCAAGTTTGGTTTGCTCGTGGTTATTACGCTCAGTCTCCAATTGGCGCTCTACATTCTTCAAATTCACTTGAAGATTATGTATAGTTTGCTCAAGTGCTAGAGCATCCTCTCCACCGTTTCCTTTTTCTCTCTCCAAGTTCTCCATCTCTTCTTTGGCTCTTGTCTGGAGACCAGGTGACGATACCTCTGGCCTTGCAAATGGATTGTGTGTATTGGCTTGGAAATAATCAGGGCCTGCACCATTATCAGCTAGACCACGACGATTATCTATGCTGAAGTTCACGGTGACAAAGCAACCGGGTTGTTGAAGGTTTGATGCTCACTCTATGAGGTTATGACGCACCTGAACTGCATTCTGTGTTGTTATTCCGAAACCAGTAGGATGACAAGGGAGTTACGTCATAATATGTCTCCCTTGACTGCGAATGCATGTGACAGCCATCAGGTATTGTTTTATAAGGGTTGAAACATGGATAAACCAGATATGCCAATGTTTATTTTTCCCTTTGACAGTCAGCCTCTACCGAGATTCAGGGGTATACAGAAACCATTATGCCACTTTCCGAAGCTGAGCATGGTTACAAGCACGGCCCTTGATATTATGTCAAAGCGAATCTAGGATCTCTGTTTGCTCTGCAATTACAGAAATAGCTAGGCATCAATGATCTGCATTAAAGCGGGGTATTGGCGATCTGTTGTTTAATAGTGAGTACGCCAAGGGGCGCAGACTGGAGAGGTTGCAATAGATCGGGTCGAGTAGCAAGGTCACTGTATCTTACTCCTTCGGGACTGGGATCCGATTACCTGCACATCAGGGGAACTATAACAGGGGAGTCACAATAACCTAGAGATGTACTTTGTATATGTTAGAATGCTGCCTTCAATATGAAACGCTAAAATTGAATTGGAGGGGGACCTTGAGCCCTATGGAGCATTTCCTCCCAGCTGCTTTGCAAGAACCGCCTCGTTTCTCACAGAGTCCCCGTTGTCCACGCTACACATGATCCAGTTGATTGTGCTCCATCTTACGTCTTCCACTTTTGCAGGGAATTTGTCGATATTTCTAGCCGGGTAATCTCTACGGGAAAATGTCGCGAAAACCTCGTAACACAGGTCTAGAAGATAATGGTGGGTTTATGCGAAAAACTTCCGACGTCCCAAATGAGCGTTGGTCTATGAGGGGCTTGATCAAACGGATAAAGGCAAAGAAGAAATCAAACCTTGACGATAGATTGGTCATTGGAATTGACTTCGGAACTACGTAAGTTAAATGGTATAACCAATTGTAATCACGCTGATCTTCGAGTAGATATTCTGGTGTAGCATGGGCCACAGTTGATGACTTAGAGGATGGCGAGATCAACATCATAACTTCTTGGCCAGGATCCCGCCGTGAAGATGGCAAGGCACCTACGGAATTGTTCTACGAATACGACAAGGTTATGTGGGGATACGAAGTTCCTTCTGACGCTGATCCAGCTCTTTGGTTTAAACTACTCCTACTGAAGGAGGAAGATCTGGATGAAAGCCTGAGACAGTCGGACTACTATATTCGCGCAAAGAGAAAACTCACAGAACTTGAAAAACCCCCAACGGAAATAATTGCCGATTACCTTAGGGCCCTGTGGAAGCATACCCTTGACACCATTCACAAGTCCCGGAGCAAGTTTGTTATTGCTGCACTAGCTTTCCACGTTGTTCTTACTGTACCAGCAATTTGGAAAGACTATGCCCGCACCAGCATGCAAGAGGCAGTTGCTAGAGCAGGAATACTTGATCACCGTCCTGCAGGTCCTACGACTCTTTCATTCGTACCCGAGCCAGAGGCAGCCGGGCTTGTAACATTATGTGAGCATGGTGAGATGCTTAAGACTGACGATGTATATGTTATATGTGATGCTGGAGGTGGTACTGTTGTGAGTCTGACAATTAGATCTTGGCCCCTTATACACCTAACCTCGTCGGTTTCATCGCATTGACAGGCATTTGATCTAAAAGGATCTCATCAGTTATAGAATTGGAGAATTGAATCCAATTCAACTCCACGAGGCTGTTGTCGGCACAGGTATAATATAAATTCACAAATTATCTAGGTTCACCAAGCATTGACCACTCTCCTCTAGGCGGCCTCTGTGGTGGTATCTTCATCGATGAACAGTTTGAACGGCTATGTAAGCAGCGGTTGGGACGAAACTGGAACAACCTTAGCCAAAGCGGCATAAAAGCCATGATGAAGGGTGAATGGGAATATGTCTATAAACCATCGTACACGGGCAGAGATGTTGACCGGGAGTTTCCTATTGGTATCCCGGATGAAGCGCTTAGAGGTTCAGGTATGAACGACACGAAGCGGAAACCTCATATTAAAAATGGCCGTATCCATTTTTCAAAGTATGCTTTGTCTAAGCTCCCCCTGTGCTTGGCGGTTGAATTCTCTTTACTAACCGCAGTCTGCATTCAGTGAAAATATTAGGGAAGTTTTTATGAGCGCATTTTCGAGTATTGAAGTCCTTATTGACGGGCAGGTAAAAAAGGCGGGGGAGAAAAGCCTTTCGGTCCAAGTAAGCAATACTGAGATCCTCATGCTGTAGGTAAACTGCCATTCTAAAATTCGCCTAGGGTATCGTTCTGGTTGGCGGCCTTGGAGCGAGTCCCTATCTTTATAATCACCTCAAGGCTCGGTACGAGGGTAAAGGCATTCAGATTTTACAAGCCGCTGGAATGAGACCGTAAGTTGTACGCTACGTCCCTGTGAGAGAAATTGCGTGGTCTGATTTCATTTCGTACCCCTCAGTCGCACTGCAATATGTCGCGGAGCTATATTGAAAGGATTCCTTGATATCCCCAGTACAGTAGGGGGCGCATCTTCACACGTCAGTGTTGTGTCGACAATCGCAAGACGGAATCTTGGTATCTCATCGAACAGCGCTTTCATAACTGGGGTCCATGACCCGAGGGATCGAATTTGGGATGGAGATGAGGCCATTTGGCGAGCCAAGGGTCAGATGCAGTGGTATTTGCGAAAGGTGCGTGCTCTTGTTAACAGATGAATTGATTGAGAATGTAGTTAAACTCACTATCTTCCTAGGGGCAAAGTGTTTCGACTGAAGAACCCATCCGTCATGAGTTCTATAGAACTTTCGCCACGGCAAAAGCATTTGAGGACAACGGGAGCACCTTCATTGATAAGATTTTGCAGTGCGAGGATGACATGCCGCCTTCAAGGAAGACTGAAAAAGTGAGTATTCTGTGTGAGATTAGCTGGAACCATGGTGGTGAGATAACGTTCGATTCCTTGGACGACTTTCCTGGCGCGAAAAGCAATTGCTTGAAGATTTTGGGATATGAGATTGTGATGGTGCCATCTGGAGCATCAACTGAGTTTGCTATCTACTACAAAAAGATGAAGGTGGCATCCCACAATGTCCATGTTAGGTTTAGTCAATAAACGTGTAGGAGGAATAGAAACAACAAGTCGCGTGTGCCATATGCCAGCTTTGGTGATTAGAAATTGTCACGGAACGACATAAGGAGTGCAGTACCTATGCCATTACGCTACCAAAAGGTAACGACGAGTTATCAAGTCGAGGGCTTGACGTCTCTGCACTCACTATATAGTACTGTACTGTAACAGAAATAGATACCCTTGATTTTGTTGAAGGTTATCCTAAATGAAATTAGATGCATTAAAACAGGGTGATTACTCCTATCGATACCTAAATTTGCACGAAGCCCGTAAATTCTTTGCAAGCGGGGTTTGACTTGCCATTGACTATGACCATCTCTAAGACCGGCTACCTCGCACGCGGTTGCTCCATCTTGAAACTAAAGAACTAGGTAGTTGCCGTCACTCCCATGGTGGTTTGAGATTGGGTTATCATACCAGACCTACACAGCTCTCTGGAATCTAATGTGAGAGTGCCACGAACAGCTCATATGAGTCAGCGCTTTGTGATCTACCAGCATGGAGTACCAATCTACCTTCACGACACACAAGATAAGTGTAATGGCATGGCCAAAACCATTAATATGGATTCGTGATTTCTTGATTATAAGCACCGCCCGACTTCAATACGAGCATTTTCTTACTTGTTATCTGATAGGGTAAGGAGAACTTTTTTTTGGGGGGGGGGGGGGGGTGGGTTGACCATTTTTGTAACAAGGACACTTATGAGTATGGTTGAGATACAGCTCACAGGGTTCACAGAAACCTTTGCGCAACAGCGAGGTTGTGTTATCTATCATTGAAACCTGGGTGCCTAACGGACCCATCTCTTCTGCTGAAGTGGAGATCAACGTAGAGTGATAAGACAAGGCACCAGAGATGTCACCCAAGATAAGAAACCTAATGATGAGGTGATGTGTCCAACTAATAGTTATCAGATGAGACTAGAGGTTTGGAAGCCGAGCAACAAAGAGATAGCACATGCATAGTCAGAAGAAAGTTGAATTCATTCAGATCTCTGACCCCTTTAGACTTTGTGCTACAATGAAAGTCTTACTGTATGATTCGCACGGGGGTTCTGAAAATATGCACTAGATCGATCACATCAATGCAAGATTCCAGGCCACAGTCAAGATATTCCCAACTAAGCCGGGTGTGACAAGCAATAACAATGAAAATATGGTTGAGGGAAGTGAGACTCACAGTGCTACTAAACCCGCACAATGAGTCAGCTGAGTCTGTCTGGCATATCAGCTGTTTAGAATTACATTTCAGTTGAGGGGCTGAAAGGTGCAGGCTATAGCCTAAGCTGCTTCTTTTATACTTAGAGGTTGTGTGTGACTACAGTAGTAAGATTGAGGGGTTATGGTTGCCTTCTTAGCCTTGTGTAGGCAGATTTCATGTTTCTATTGACGAATGAACTTGAAAAAGACACTTCATGTATTCTAGTCGGTAATAGTCCACGAAAGAATGTATACGAAGGTCTTACAAGAGAGTTCTGAGTGGGAGGTAGGCATGTGTCTTCCTGTCCAGTATCGTAGTAGTAGACTCGAGCGTCCTCGAAAGTGAACTACGAGGAGCTTTGTCTTATAGCAGCTGTGCTGGTATTTTAGAGCAATAATATAAGTTTGAGCAAGACTTCATAACCCTCGATCTCGATCATCAGGATAGATTATGCCACATACTGAACTCTCATTAGTCTGGCGCTCACTATTCCCTTCATTTCGACTATCACTTGTTACATCATTACGTGGTCTACATCAGTGGCCGTCAAGCGTAACTCAAGACTGTATTACAATCCCACTTTGGGTTTTGTCACTAAACAGCTTGGGTAAGATTTCCCGCGTTAGGTACAGTTATGAGCAATCGGTGACACATCTCGCTTGGAAAGGTTAATTGACAATACCGAAGTAGACACATGATGGCATATCAGCAGTACGGCTGGCCGGCGAGCGGACAGGCAGACGGGCCCGACAAAAGGATGACAAAAGGATCAGGGCATGATGGTGTTGTGGATGCCGCTGAAGCTTGGGATGATAGTGCGTATATTGGACTGCACACACCTTCCGACCTAGCAAATAAGGGGGACGAGTTTACTCATGGTGGCCTGCTTGGAAATACCCCAACACTAGGGCAGCCTCGGGCGGGTGAGTCACAACTGAGGCGCCTTGCCTGGTGCATCCCCACCGCGTGGCGGCGTGCTAGTCATGGCCGCCTAATATGATCCTGAATATTGCTGACTATATAAGAACCTGAAGAGGCCCAAGAGATCTGTATAAAGCCTCGGGGCGAAGAATGGGACTACGTAGTTGAGGTATGGCCAGGAATCGGTGATGATGACGAAGAAAGTAAGTGATCCGTTCGTTCCGTTGCTTCTCAACCTCTCAATCTCGGCTTTTGAATTGTTTCGCTTGGCCAAGGGTCAGGCAGGCTCCCGCATCCTCGCCACCACTAGTCAACTTTTGAATCACATTCCCGAGCACGACTGGCCTCCATCCCATCTCCATCCCATCTCCATCCGGCCGCTGTCCACTCCCATCACGTGGCAAACGCTGTTACGTTGTGTTGCCTAGAGCAAGCGCGTAGGGGGAGGTTCTATATTTGGACGATCTGTGGCTGAGCCTGAGGCAGCCGCGGATGTTTCCGCGTCATCAGGTCGCCTCACGATCCTGGGCCAGCTGATGTGGCTAAGCATGTTTCAGTAAACCCAGCTGGTGCCAGCCGATGCCTCCCGGCAGCTCTGAATCTGGCCAATCATCCCCACTCTAAGTATTTCCAAAAGGAGTTAGCACTGCTTGCAATAACGCCTGCCTAATTACCCGGATTGGTTACTTCACCTCGACAGCCAATCAACTCCCGCTCTCCTCTTGGACCTCTCCTCATTGCAACCTCAAATTTCAGGCCGCTAACCTCCTCATGCTCATGTTAGGTCTCAAGTTGCTTGCCGATCACATCTATCACGTCCACTCTGCATTTGAGAAGAAAGGCTTAGACTACCATCTTTCCTGGGAGAACCCCATCAGTCCGGAGGAGCTGCCGCTTTTCGGCCCTTGCCGCCGCTATATACTGCCTCGTCAGTATCGCGATAGCGAACGGGGTCGCCTAAACTTCCTTCAAGTCTTCAACCGCGATCGCCCGTACAACAAGGCTCTGGAAAGCTATCAATACAAAATGAGTGTTGTCTACGAGACAAGAAACCCTCTTCCAACCAGCGCTTATGTCTCTCCCGAGGACAACCGTGATCCAAAGGTCACGGCGTTCAATCACTTGAACCCAAATGGCGATCCAACACTCATTCCGTCTTCTTCGCCCACTCCATCAGCAAGTAGTCTGGCACCCACCACCCCGCCTAACCATTATTCATCTCCTCCTGCTGTTCCGGATACTAAGACCGGAACTCCGAAAAACACCCAACCCCGCATGAAGCCTATCCCGAAACCCCAGCGACAAGTCGTTAAGAATCGCGATGGTAAGTTTATATGCACTTGGAACGGCTGCAATGCTCTTACCAAGGAGTTTTCTCGCAAATGCGAGTGGAAGTAAGTTCTCTTTTAACCCCTCATCTGCCTTGTGTATATACTAACATCTCTCACAGCAAGCATATGGATAAGCATGAACGTCCGTACAAGTGTCTCGCTGTTGGCTGTGAGAACATCAATGGCTTTACGTATTCAGGGGGCCTCCTTCGTCATGAGCGCGAGGTGCACCGCAAGCATGGTGGTCCCAAAAACCCACTCTACTGTCCACATAAGGGCTGTAAACGCCACAAAAACAGCAGCTTTGCGCGCCTAGAGAATCTCAACGAACATTTGAGACGTTGCCACACTTCCAGTGGCTTGGAGGCATCGACACAGAACGACGAGTCAGATCTCGCCGCTGTTAATAGCCACCTTGAGGCGCTTCCTGGTGTCGTCTCTCCCCTTCCAGCGCCAATCCTCCCAGTGGCTGATTCTCCAGTCCCCTCTGTCATCAGCCCCACTATCGGCATGAAACGAAATGCCAACGACGAGGAGCTACGCGAGGAGAATAAACGTCTTCGATCCGAGAATCAAGAGCTGAGAAGGAAGATTGAAGCGGGCTACCTTCAACAGTGTGCTATGATGGAGCAGATCGACTTGTTGGAGAAAGAGAAAGCCGCACTCCTCGGCCAATCGAAAGATGGCGACATTATCGATCAATCATCTTCTATATCTTAAGTTCCAGGTGGCTTTCTGTCAACCGTACGATGGATTACACAAATATCATCCATTTGTGGTTCTACTGCACGCAATACATGTTCGCCTGAATCTCTTGTTACAGACTTGGAAGTGGTGAGTACCACTGGCTACGCATAATCTTTTTCCCGCTTGGCAATATTTTCAGACATCAAGTTTTTCGGAATGGTCACGGTCACGGTTGCATTTCTGTTGTTTTGTTTATTTTCTCTATGATCGGGCACAATATCACGACTCTGGCGTTATCATGGGCGTATTGTGGTTCATCTCAACAGGCTGAGGGGCATTGCATAGGGAGTATGAGCGAATTTGACATAATATGCATCTGAGGCACCCTTTGGTCACCTCAAGGAGTTCACATTAGCATGACACGTTGCATCACCAATGCTCCGGTCCAAATCGTCTGTTTTCATTTGTCAGTGTATTTCTTTTGATTTCAAACTCGTCTCGCTGTACTATTACACTTTAGGTGATGATACCCCTTTTGGAATTCCACTGAGTGAGCGCGTATTAGATTGATAAAAACTAAGAGACTTTTCACAAATGTTTTGTCCAATGAAGAGGTCGCCCATTGACTTAATGCATTATCCTGTTAATTGTGCATCTTAAACGCCGCGCACCTAGTAACTCACCACCAACCTACTGGTAACATCCAGACCTGGTTATTCATTGATTATCAGTTGATGACATTGCTGGTTGCATCCCAATCAGATATAGTGTTGTACCTACGTTCAAGATCTCTAGATAGGGGTAATCTAAAATTAGCTGTTTCCTTTGAATCTGTGTGCAACTAGACTTTTCTATCTCTGGTAATGTCTGATCGGTCGACTTCAGAGAGCGAATGTCTGGGTTGCAGTGCAGCTATGTGCATATATTAGATTGGGGGCTAAATGAATAGGGGGTGTGGGTTACACCTCCAACCCATGGTAACCCCCTTGTGGCCGCGTGATTCTTACTGCGGATGTAAGCTGATTACCTAATTAAGACTTAGTCGTAAGATCACCAAGTGTACTACTATTGGACACAGTTGGGGCTATATAATAACTACTAGACTGCTCGAAGGTCTAACGGCGTCGTTTTTGACGTTCAACTACTAGCTAAGGTAGTGATGCATAACTAGGTCTAAGTTGCGCTTACAAATGTCACGGGATTGGCGATCGTGTGCAATTGATGAAGGAAAATAGCAGCAGTTTTAATAAATAGATATGTATAATATACAAAATTTATGTTATATAAAGGCTAAAGACGGGGTAGGTATTGTGTCCAAGAGACCTCTCTATAAGCCGCTTCTGGTAGGTCTCTGAGACTGATGACAGACTCAACTAGGAGAATGATTCTAGATATGAAATATATCGTTGCTAGACCGTAAAATATCAGACATGATGGCATTTTCTTTTTGTATTCGCCCCAGAGTTCCAAGCTCTGTAGCTGGAAGTCTGAGCACCAGCATCCGATCAACTCAGATACGCAATGTATGAACAATGTCACTACCATAATAATACTGTTGATTCGCCAAAGCATCTGTTCAGTTTCCGTTGGCAGGCTGAGATTGTATCCTGATACTGACCAACACTGAATGTCAGTAATTCTGAAAAGCCTCCAAGGGGTAGCCTTGGCTAGGAGAGAATAAAACGTCTCTAATCTCCAGCTGCGACTGGAGCGGGAGGTAATTATGACTGGGGGACTCTTACAGTGAATAGTACCGAAAGCAGACACTGGTAGCACGAGATACAAGTTTTGCTTGAAATTTCGCGGTTGGTAGTCTCTGTCATTCGATATCCCTAAGGCATGAGGAGTTGAGCAAATCATTCTTTTTCATCTTTCAGCTGATCACGATGCACTTACTCTCAATCGGAAACGTCTGGAATCCCCATTTCAAAACAAACTGTAGGTATGATTCGTGGGCCTTTCTTGACCAGTAGATGTTGCCTTCGATGAAATCCAACGGGGTGTCAGTGAAACCTTGTCCAGTCGCATCGCCAGCTTGCTCTAGAATTATTTTCAAATCACCCTTCAAGTGAACGGGCGTTGGGGCGCGGACGTCGAGCGGTTTATTCCACCAGAGAATAAGTGTAGTGAATGAGCACACTAAGAGTGCGACGGTAGTAAGCTCATAAGGTGTAATCTGAAGTCCCTGTCCAGCGCGTGCGATCAATTTAGTGACTAACCAGCCTGTCTGGACGAAGGCCAAGACTTTAGTTTCGCGGTTCGCCTTGGACTTGTCGTTGATCTCAAGCTTCGTGATTGTTGGCATATCGATGTATCCATGCTGTGTTAAATACACCACCTGCTTGGCAGTAATGGGAAACGGCTTGTAATTTGGCACGTGCAACTGGAACCCTCCACTGTCAGCGTAGAAGCCATGTACTAGAGTCCAATTGTTTCTGTCGATGTTCTTCATGTCTTCCACGGATTGCTGGGCCGATGTGAACTGGGCGAATGAGAACATCAAGATAAGCTCAGGAGCGAGTAGGCCGACAAGAAGCCATCGTATTCTACGACAGACTACTGTCCTATTGGAGTCAGATGGTGCGGGTAGATTGAGATGAAGCATGGTCCATAACACAAGGGCAAGTGCTGTCAGGCAGGGCCAGATAATGTCCATCGTTCCTCGAGTGTCTGGAGAAGAAACCCAGCCTCGACGTCCATTGGAAGACACCGTCGTGTTGGTCGCTTCCCGATTTTGAAGTAATAAAGCCATGATTATTCAATCATAGTTCGCGAGATTTCTTGAAAGGATTAAGGTTATCAGTGTGCACATATAATGATGAACATGATCCTGTTCTGGTTTTATCATCCCATATCTAAGGATCACTTCACTTGGGTACTCACTCATTTGATCAGTCCTTAAGACTAGGAAACATATTGAATAATTCCCCTCTGCTGCATACTAAAAATAACCAACCCCAACTACGTAGTGAATCCTAATTAAGGTACTCCAGTCGTTCCGATTCGTATGTATCAAGGAGGAGTATGCAATACCGTATGCAATGCTACGCACCCTAGCTATCTTTCAGCGACACCCCAGCTTCTGATAATGTCGCCCACATGTGAGGTATCACGTTGGGCCCACAGATGGCAGCACTGTTTGTCAGCACGCCCAAGCATTTCAGGTAGATGAAGGGGCAGGGTCATTGTCACCAAACAGGGTCGCCATATTTAAAGCTACAAGAAAGGGATTGGGTTTCATTGAATTGTAGACAATGCAACTTTAAAGAAAGATAACACTTTCAGCTTGAGTGGGCTCTAGAACGAAAGCTAGCAGAAGCTTACACTACTTTCCAAGTTTGGACAGCTGCCGACAAGGATAAATACGACGCTGTTATACTCCTTTAATCTTTATATGGAAGTAGCCTGCAGCATTCCTCCAAAGACAGGCGGCACATTTGATTTGTGTCGCAATACCACCAATACTCGCATCTTCGTCATTGAATGAGCATCATGGGACTTACGCACCATCTTTGGGGGATGTCAATCTTCCTAGGCAATCAAGAATGGCGAGTGTGGGCACTTACTGCTGTGGTTGGCTACGTGGTCATTTGTACGACGTTGCGCCATAGCCAGAAGCGTACAATGGAAGAGAAGTTCAAATTCAAGGACAGATCGTCGCTCGTGAATATGACGCTGGAGGACGCTCATGCCATTCAGACATGGCTTGCCGAACAACAGTTCCCCTCAGTGTTTTCGGCCGCCATCTTTTTCGCGCTTTTCAAGGTATTGTGGCCGGGAATCGCTACCCACGTCATTCGTAACTAACCATTTGTTCCCCGCTAATCCCCTTACCAGACGTATAGCATTCCATCAATCTCGACCTTGTTGGCCGCCACACGCCAGTTTGGTAAACCAGGGGATATACAGGCCACTTCTAGACGTGCAGCAGACACCAGTGTACTACTCACGAACATGATTATGCGGCCTCCAGGAAGCCCCCAAGCGAAGCTTGCTGTTGCGCGAACTAATTATCTGCACAACATTTACCGTCGGACAGGACGCATCTCAAATGATGACATGCTGTTCACATTGAGTCTATTTACGCTTCAGCCTATGCGATGGACGGCCATGTATGACTGGCGGCCGCTGAGCGAAATGGAGCGTTGCGCGCTGGCAACTTGCTTCAAGGTTTGGGGGGAGGATCTCGAGATCAGTTACGAGGCGCTACCCTCTTATTCCAAAGGATGGACAGACGGCCTGCACTGGCTAGAGGAGCTCGATACTTGGAGCCGACAATATGAAAAGCGCCATGCGGAAGCATCGGACTCTAATGTCGAGGTGGTGAACGCAACTCGCGAGCTAATGCTCTGCCAGTTACCGAGGAGCTTACATAGTGTAGTCTGGGGCATAGTAGCGATACTACTTGGGCCTCAGATTCGGAAAGCAATGAGGTAAACCGAACTTCACAGTTGGAGCTAACACTCTCTCCTGTAATCCGATTATGGGCGCCTATAACCCCATACTAACCCATTCGCTAGGATCCCTGAACCTTCATATAGACTTGGACTCGCCTTCAGGTCCTTAATCACCTTGAGAAAGTTCATTCTTCGCTACGCATGCCCGCCACGCCCATACTTTCTTCGTCGCGTATACAACTGTGAGAGGCCAGATCCTAGTACCGGTCGTTACCAATCTCAGCGATGGCTTGGACGTCCTTGGTACGTGAAGACGTCTCTGATGAACCGGTGGGGTCTCCCGGCGTGGATGCTATGGATGAACGGTGTAGCAAGCAACACGGTTTTTAACAATGAAAATTTCATACCTGAGGGATATTTGATTGAGGATGTCGGCCCTACATCCCACATTGGCAGAGGCCGTGAAGAAATGCGCACCACTTTGTCAATTCTTAGTTCGAAGTCAACGACACGTTGCCCTTTCATGCATTAATGATACCCTTTTTATGTAGAGACATCCATCCTCGAGGACCAGGTGGATGTACAGCTACACGCCGAGACGTTGAAAGACAGAGATACGATGTGCAGCATGAATAATACAGCGGAGAATAAGATCAATTACTTGATAAAATGACTTCAAATGTTTACTCATGTTCCTAGACCTGGTCTGTCGTATTAAGCAGGGGCAGCAGATCCTGATGAGCTATATGACTCAATCGCAAGTTCTTTACTTACTTTTTCATATGGCTCCAACAAGGAATTGTAGCCTCCACGAGTACCTTGAAAAAAATAAAAAGACGCTGACTTTAGGTACAGCATACCTCTGGACTTTGCCAACGACTTGAACATACTGACCAGGGCAAAATGTCAAGCACCATACACCTGTGAGCTGGTGGTATTGGCGTATGAGTGCCTGTCAGTTCCAACTAATTTCGCACACCCTTTTCCTGTCAAATCTTTTCAAACGCCACGAATGAATAGACAATGATTTTCGCATAGAATTTCGTTGAGATAACCATCTACAAGCTATATGGCTCTTTCTTCTTCTGTCTCAAAGAACTAGTGAAAGAAGGTCTGCCGAACAATAGTAATCGTGCGCATTGTTATAAGAGATATAAAGTCGACGACTATTTTGGCTAGTTATAAATAGTACTAAGGCGGTGCCATTCGCATTTCGTTCCCAACAGTCTTCAGAACCAAATACGTGACTGCAATGTCCATAGCAGCCCTATAACGAGCAGAATAAGCACGTATACTGAGTGAGAGGCACGAACGGGCGCAAACAGTCATGTCTCTGACACCGCAAATAACTATCACGACTGCAAAGATGCTCCGTGATTTGGAACATCCATCAATGCCCCAGCAGTTTCTCCTCGTAATTCTTATGTGCCTTTCTGCGAAGGTGCTTCGTAGAACTCACGACAGAGACTTCTCGGGTCAAGCGGGAATAGTTGGGATAATCATTTCAACGTGGGCGCTCTCGGTATTATTATTTTGCATGGCGAGTCTGCTCCGGCATTATGTTATTGTATAGGTACTCTAATCGGGTACCCTGGATTTTAGAACTAGGATTTGCTTAGACTAGTACCTAGTTGAAATATTACCATTTATCCTTCCCAAAACTGATAGTTGCATAGCATATCTTGGATAATCCGAGCTTGTTCCGAAGGTTCAGGTCAAAGCACACAATTATACACCGAGCCAGCTCACACCCTGCGAAAGTGGCCGCAGTATTAAAATCTTAACTATGAAATTGGGGGGTACAATCTTTGAGTCTCTTAGGCTGTTGAGTGGAATTTGCCGTCGAATACAAGAATTATATGGGAACATACCTAGGTGCGTAATATGCTTAATGCAATGTTCAAGAAATGTGGCTGTGCATTGTGGGTAATAACCTTGGAAAACCAAACACTAACCCGCTAGGTCCCGAACATTCCAGGCTAACCTTCTCTTTTTCAGCTTCATTCAGACAATGGCTACCAACTGTCGTTATGACATTGTTGAAAACGATGGTGCTTATTTATTTACTTTTCTAATTCCACTGTGTTACATTTATTAACTTTTAATGTTCGATTCACTGCTTTCTTTCATACTCCAGTAACCCTAGCTCACCTTGCGAGCTGACCATTCTCTTGAGGCTGAGCTTGCCTAACCATTCGGATATAGCACGTGATTCGCTATCCATCCGAGGTGTGTCCAAACTCCAAGATCATAAACGATGGCACTGCATTCTTCGCCTGGAAATGGCGTCTTGATGCCTCATATTCATGACCTGGGTCTTCTGAAGGATTCTCTAGGACGATGGGCATCGGGGCAAGGCATCACGCGCTTAGGTTCGCTAGCCGCGTGCATCAGCGTCGCGCCCGTCGCTTGGCGCTTTCTAAAGGCAGCCTGGACAGAATCGTACAGCTGGATCCGGCAGTTCTTCGTCGCATCGGTCACGGTACCCGGGAGGGATCCTCTGAACAGGAATGTCATGAGCTGGGTCATAGCTAACGTTGTGCAACATCGTGGGATTCGATCTTTCACAGCAACGACACGGGTTCATGCGGGAGATATTGTGGACAGGGCTGCTTTTCTGAAAAAGAAGCGGCGAGTTGTCCAGTACCTTCCACACTTCGACACCACTATTTTCTGGCATGGGTCTTGCTTATATTTCGTTTCGCGGCCTCTAGACAGTTATCGTGCGTCAATGAGCGACCCATCGTACGACGGTATTGGAGGCGAGGAGCTCACTATAGGCTGTCTAGGATGGTCAACTGAGCCTATTAAGAAGCTCATCCAGACATGCCAGGACTATGCCGACAAGCAGGCAGAATTCTTCGTCATAATTTATGCCCGCGATCGGTATGGGAGTTCTTGGCAGCCCAAAGCTCGAAAACCAATCCGCCAACTTGACTCGGTTCACTTCGATGATACACTCAAGGCAACGCTTTTGGCCGATATACGGAATTATCTCGACCCCGGCACGAAAAGGCTGTACCGGGGCCGCAACATGCCATACCGGAGAGGCTATCTCTTTTATGGCCCTCCTGGAACGGGAAAGTCGTCGCTCTCCACAGCTTTGGCAGGGGAATTCGGCCTTGACCTTTACGAAGTGAAAATCCCTTGTGTCGCGAGTGATCAGGACTTAGAGCAGATGTTCATGGAGATTCCTCCTCAGTGTATCGCGCTCCTGGAAGATGTCGACGCCATATGGACAGACCGAGACTCTGAGAAGGATGAGGGTCAAGGTGTCACTCGGTCAAGCTGCACGCTATCTGGTCTGTTGAATGTGCTAGACGGTGTCGGGTCAGGTGAGGGTCGCATTGTAATTATGACAACGAACAAGCCCGATCGTCTTGATAGCGCATTGGTACGCCCCGGACGAGTCGACTTGAAATTGATGCTAGGGAACATTAGCCGAAAGTCGGCAGAGCAGATGTTTGTTCGCATGTTTGCGCCCGACACTGCGAGTTCGCCTACCCCAGCCAAAAGCACGCATGAGACAGTAGGCTCAAATGGTGAACCTGCCCTCTTCGACCTAGAAACACTACACAAACTTGCTTTGGAGTTCGCATCGCAAATCCCTGAAGACACATTTACCCCTTCACAGCTGCAGGGGTTTTTCCAACTGCACCTGAATAGTGCGACTGAAGCAGTCGCCAACATCTCAAGTTGGGTAGGTAGGGAACTATCGAGGTCGCCCCCAGACGACGACATATCCGTCGTGAGTGAAGAGAAGACATCTTGATTTGTTTTGGGGTTGGGATTTCACATAACTTTCGTTGTATATTAAACTTGTATTATTAATCTATAGACATAGAGCCATGTGTGTATCTTGATGGCTAGAATATGGACATGGGGCAAGGTTTAGATGCATTTAGGGGAACATGAAGACCAGCCTGAGACGATTGGCATATCGTACGTAGGCTGGCGCCAATAGGCTCTGCATTTCAGGATGCATATATGGTGTTTCGTCTAGAACATAGAAGGTAAAGAGACGAATTAATAATAGCCCTAATTCCAAGCTTCAAAGTTCGACTGCATTTAACTACTGGTAGTGAAGCAAGTGTGATGCTCAATGTTCTACACAATATAGTTCATATTGGAAATTACTTAAATTTTTATTAATATATACCGAAAACATTAGCTGAGCTTCATAACGTTTACCGAGGAGCTTGCCGGGCTCAAGCTGAGGGGTGATGTGTCCCTGTTATGCCCTAATTGTCGTTGTATGCGACTTTTCTCTATCATAGACCATCCTTTACTCCTACAGTGTCCCGTCTACTGCGCTTTTGATGTATTCCTCTTACGCAGGTACTCGTCCACGAAACCGTTGAAGTCCTCGGGCGCGTAAGGGCTGAATAGTTCTGATATGAAATTCGACTTGCGATGACTATCCAACTTCAAGTCTTCAAATATGCAATCGATATACTGCGAAGAACATAAGCAACGGCTCGTAAAAGGGGCTAATGTATGCTTGAGGCGCTTACCGGCATGAAGTCGTAAAGTGAGTATGTATGTTTCTGCCCCTGATTGAGGTATCGCTTGCGAGTCCATGTGTTCCACAGCGATACCTCCTTTGCCATTGTATCGACGTCTGGCAACTCGAGTTCCCCAAGAAGGTACAGAATAGCCCATAATGACTGCACCTCGGAGACAAGAGGAGTCTGAATTGTGTGAATCTGGCCGAGAATGGCGAGAGATCTGTCGCCCTTGGCAGCCATCGACACCGGGACGACGCGTCGGTATAGATTCCATTTCTTCTGAAGCGCCGGGTCTAACGGTTTCGTATATGCGAGTTTCGGAGGCTTAGCGAGGAATGGTAGCTTCTCATCTACTGTCTTATCTGCTTCCGCGTAGTAAGTCTTCCAGTCGATATCCTGGGTCTCTGGTGACGTCTCAATATGCTCGCCATACGCCGGGAGGCCAATCATGGCTTTGTGTTTTGGGTCAAATATGCCGAAATGGTCACCCCATCCAGTGCACATGATCATGTAATCAGCATCAATAGGGTCCGTCGATTGGAATTTTACTGTTTTGCCTTTGATCTGTTCGATCACGTCTCGTCGGATTGTAAGATTAGGGTTATGCAACGTTGGCCAGAAGTCGTTGAGGACAACAACTCCCAGCCCCGAATGTGCCCAGAAGACACTGGTAATCAACTTAGCAGCTTACTCATATCATTTTTGAGTCGTAGTCTAGGGAACCTTACCTTTGACGATCGATCTCGGGCTTGAGCAGAGCTACGTGGTCTCCTTTGCTATAACCAGCATGTACCGCACTGTTGAAGTCGAGAAAGTCCCAGAACCGGCCAATGCACCATCGGCCAGGATGAGTCTTCTGAAATATCTTGTAAAGCAAGCCCTTAGTGTTTAGTATAGAGGGACTAAGGTGCGACATAAGTCGAGTCGAGGCAAAGGCGATAGAGTTAATCATGTTAAGCACTTTATATGGTAAAATGCTAAGCGGTCCTCCGCCTTCCCCGCGGATCGCCCAAGTGACCTTCTTACCCATCTTCAGAAGCAGGTATACAGCATCATACGCAGACTTAGCAGCCCCAATGACAACCACTTCCTTGATCTCTTCATTCTCAATGTCCTTATAATGCGTGCCAACGTCACGAGAGTGTATTATAGGTAGCGAGCTTGGTGAGAAGTCTAGGTTTGGGAGACTAGGAATGGACGTGACACCTGTAGCTACTAACAGCTTCTCCGTCTCAATGACGTCGGTCGTGTCTTTGAGCGATAATCGCCAACCCCCATCAGATTGTTTGGCATCTGTGACGAAGGTGTTGAACCGTATGAAGCGTAATAGATCGTGATCCTCTGCGTATTTCTGCAGATAATCATGTATCATCTCGCCTGTCACCTTGGGATCTTTGGGGTTGCCATCCTTCCTTGGCATGGGGGTGTCTGAATAATTGAATAGCTTTTAAGCATGTCAGATAGCATTTACTACAGCAATACTACGCCTTGGGATTTGAGTTGGGACTTACACCATGCCGTACCTGTGCTACCAGGTTCGGATACAGCCGATCTTTGCTCCATACTCCCCCAACAGTATTATCAGAGTCGATGATAATCAATCTCGTTGATGGTCGTAACCTGAGATATGTTCTAGCTGCAACAAGTCCATACCATCCTATACCGAGCGTCAGTTACGCGTTTCCCACGGGGCACAGCGAGATCGTGTTGATTTACCTGCGCCAATAATAGCAACTTGAACCCGTGATACGTCGCTGGTCTCCATGTCTCCAAACGTGATGCGGTGCGACGATATCGAAGCTGAAGCTGGAAAGCCAATTCTCGTGGTATTATTGGTCAGACCCAAAAATATGGCACACGCTGAGTTATTGATTTAGAATCCCGAGACTGTGGTTGACAAGCCCAAGATAACGGGTTTTGACGTATCATTTACGGATAAACCCGAAGTCTCGGTTCATTAAACAAATCGTATGATTATGACCCGATAGCGCGGTCCTTGCGATGCTTGACCACGAGTACACTACCACACTACACTATGCTATGTATATGAAATGACGCCGGAGCACCAACCTACATTATCCCCACCTGGTTCAACATGGCGATGCTTGTTTGGAAGGCTGGCTCAAAACCACACTGTCCGTTCCAACGTGTCGGAACCTGACAGGTCACTGTGTTGTTGACTTCACCAAGCGAGTCCACCTCCTCGGTGTCTTAGGTAGCATTCGATGTCGATCCAAACCCCCGTCTCTAGATTCGTTCCATTATTGAAGCTGGTACGTGTACCAACAAACCCCGAACACCTTCCTATCATAGTGCATTGCAGGATGGACTTCGATCGATTGAGGAGTTCAAGACTGGTAGGTATCTTGGTGGAGAGCGGGGAATACGTCGGCGAAGGACCCGCTGGAATCATCTATCCATGCTCTGATGTCTGACGAGGATGCCTGACGACAGGTGTCTCGGAAGCTTCGCCATAGTGAATACGATGCTTTTATCACGCGCTTCCCTGGTTCTGCCTGGTCTATATCAAACGTATTATTAGCAGTTTCCTCGGTCGCTACACTAGGTATAGTGTATGTCGGAAGTAGGGCCGTGATAGACGGCCGAGTATCCTAAAGAAATGAATGGTGGCTACAGGTGCCGAAGTGCATCGCAATCCCTACTCCGGCCTCTGGCGGTGAGGAAACTATGACAAGGCCTGAGGAGTTTGCTTGCAAAACAGCCATGATTATCTTGCCCAACCCAAGCAAGGATATCTACTTATAGACATGCTGCACAAAACACGATATTTAGTACATCACTGCTTATTAGCTAGGTATAATCTGAGGGCCCAAAATCTGACAGCGCATGATTACACCAACCATGCAATCTCGGTACCTGTCAGCCACCCGCCCGAAGACAGGTAAATGGCGGGCTCATCTTTCAAGCAACGTGCCACCTGCCACCGACGATTTGGACACATACGTAGTAATGTCAGGGACCTCCGTCCAGATCCGTCCAAGGCCCCGGTTCATTGTTTGATGGAGACTCGGTTAATGGTTCTGCACGCCCTCCCCCCTAGTTTCCAGGTCTATCCCTGCCATTCCTCAGTGGGGAATTTTTTCGGTGAGGAAAATGGCCGGAATGCGAGTTCATAAGTAGGTGTATCCAAAGGATTTCAACATGCACGCGGTGCGGAGTAGGGTTGTAGCAGATTCAACAGTATGTAGTGTATGATGAAATAAACTGCATCCACTCCATTCTTCAAGAACCTACCGAGCTACCTCGTAAGGATCAGATCTTCTGGTCCAGTACATTACATTAGCGGCTGCGACAAGTCGTGGAATGATGGGATTCCTGAATTCGTCTACACTAGGCGTATGACATACAGGGGTCACGCATAAAAGCTAGTCTAGACTAGAAAGCCTTGGATGATCTCTGGGTTTTTTTCCCTCACCATTACAATAATGCGAAGTGGATTTTCCATACCCCTGTCCCTGCATTTAAAGTATAAGTATAACATCAGCAAGCTAATGCACCAGGTCAAGACTTCACCGCATAGCATGGCGCACATTTACAGTAGTCTGTTCCGCGGCTCAGTACAAAAAAAATTGTTGTTTTTTTTTCTTCAATAACCAGCATCGACTCCGCTAGAGCATCCCCACGTTTGACTAGGGTGCAGAGACCATGGTGCCGGATCACTACTCAATTGTGCCTTTCCCCTTCTCCAACAGTAGGCTCTCGCGAACGTATAGAGCTAAGGAGACTGTGGCACCGGCCCCAATCGTGAGGTATCCAATGAACATGATAAATGCTAACGTAAGATTCGACGCCTTGGGCCAATTAAACATCCGCAAGAGCAGCAGGAATGCCCAGCTTAGGCTAGCAAAATCGAAAATCAGAACGTCGTATTGTAAATACAGAAATGTACCTCGAGCCAGAACATCGGGTAGTCCGCTGGCAGGGCCCTGTGGTGGAGAGGGGATTCGCATCCGTGCCAAGTTAGTTCCTTCCTCGCTGCTCATGTATAGCCGTGCAACAGTATAGATGTGGCCCATGGCTGAAGAAACAGCTGCTAATAGATATGACGTTCGAACCCACGTATGTGCTGTCTTCGACGCTTGGGGGCGGTCGCTACTCTCGTTAGGATGCAGCCAACGGAATAGTTTTGGCAGCAGAGTCTGAAGCAATGTCACCCAAAGGGGGTTTACTTGAAAGATGGCCATGTATTTCTGATGGGCTTCGGGTGATCGTGAGTCTGGACCGTTCCAAGTTGGTGCACATGCTAGGATAGCGGGTAAAATAGCGCCTAGTAGGAAACTGAATGGCAGTGCCATAGCTGCGTCTCTGTCCCGGATACGAAGGATGTCCGCACCGTCAATCCACAAGAGATGATAGGCATAGTACAGTGGTAATGATATTGCGCCGCCCAGGAACTGTGAGAGGGTCGCAAAAAGAAGCGGTCTGGCAAGTAAAGCATTAGCCATATCTCATTGCGGGGTGGAGAAGAGAGGGAGTCCAACGTTGCTATTGTCCACGGTTTGCTGCCTGGTCTCATCATTTCTGCATAAACCCATACAAACGAGGACTCGAGCGTCGAGTAGCCCTCGAATACCAGTAGTTGGAACCCTTCGTCCGATCCATTTGTACCGAAATGGAAGAAAGCGACGAGGAGAGCGACTGGATAGTCGATGATGAATATTCCAGTGTAATCATTCTTGAGTGGGATATCTTCATTCAGCTTTCCGTTCAACGGTGCCAGGACATTTGCTTTGAGGGCGCCATTTAGCAGATAGAAACCCCAGAGAAGGAGGAATGAGAGAAATGCGAGGGCACGGAAGCCAAAGGCAAGCGAGGAGGCATTCATGTTTGATGAAAGTTTTCGATGGACAAACTTACTTAACCAATGCTAAGACATTATCATGTGGTTGCCGTCTGATATAGCTGTTGGCGCTCCACTGCACTACGACATTTCTGACGACCAGCTATTATCGCCTTATACCTGAAAGAGAGAATATGCCGGCAGTGCCAACGTTCCCTGCACAATGCACTACATGGCCCTGTCAGAGAACGTATAATTCCGTGTCAAACAGCAGAACCCTGACTCTGCCTGACGGCAATGGTTACGGTGTGCATACGCATGTGAAGCAGGTGTGTTGGTAAGGTGCATGCACAGTACTTGTGCAGATCAGTAAGCCTATCCACATCAAGCTAGAGTCTGACCAGGACACATGGAATATTCCATGGGAGTGGCAAGTTATCGAAGCGAACCACTGTCATGCCATGGCCCTAGTACCTAGAATATCCGCGAGAGCCGCCAACGAGTCGATGCCTCCTGATACACGGAAAGTGTTTGAGCTCTCAACCGATTCCCGTGAAATCTAGTGACCATTATAATATGAATGACTCCTTGCTCATTAGGACAGTGTTCAGAATCCCTTCGATCCTGCTTCAATCGTTTTACAGAAAAGCCGACAACCATTGCAATATTGTTTTGCCAATCAGTGTTCATTTTCTAATATTCAACAAATTATTCGACGTTATGTAATGTCGATGCCATTTGTCTGTGACCAACAACATTCCCGACACGTATGAACATATCTATATCCTTGAAACGGAAAGAGAAAAAGGCAAAAGAGAAAAAGGGACACCAGAGGACAACGCTACACCAAATTCGTCATGTGACATACGTAGATTATCGCAAATCTTGACCGCTCTACTAGACGCCTCGATCACGCATATTTGCTACCTACCACAATGTAACATGCCAGCTGCCGAGGGGTCGACTCACCTTTGTGAATCTGGGGCATACCACTTTAGTAAGAGAATAGGGTAGGCAGCCGAGGTTACAGTGTTCTACTCTGACGTTTCTAGAAAAGTTAGGAGAGTTTTTGCGACTGATTCTTGCGTAAGCTCAGCGCTAGTTCTCAGAAGCGTTCCTTTTGCTCCTTAATAATTAATTCTCGTCAATAATAGGTACACAAGCTATTGTATAGAAGTGTAGAGTCCTGAGTTAGGGTTGGGATCATATGAGTGGTGTAAACAGTCACAGCGATTTGCTATAATTCTAGCGGATAAGCTAATAAGCTCTGGAATATAAGTTAATGGCAGAGCTAGAGTTTAAACATTGCAGACCCATCTCAAAATCTAATTTTGGAACAACCGACTGTAGCCAAATTCTAGCCTTAGTGAGTCTCGGGGGACCAAGGCAGAGTAATTAGACAAGATAACTAAAACTAAACGGTCCGAAATATCCATTTTGGCTCTTCTGCTTGCGACACGTTGCATGCGCTAAACCCCTTCGTATGTTTAGATGTAGAGTCAAGTCAAGCCACCAAGGCCAAGAGGAATTGGTTGGCCATGGACCTTTGCAGCCCTACTTGATCATTATATTGTGAATAGCATCAAGCTCCAGGCCCAGATATCGGCCCTTTGGTTATAGTCGCCATTTCTGAAGCGTTAGGTATACATGGGTTAGTGTTTTACCAATTGGACGCAAGAATAATAAGTTAGTTAAAGGCACGTACTCTAATAACTCGTAGTAACTGGCAAATTGCTGAAATGTCTTGTATAGGAAAGGAAGGAGAATGCGACACTAATCAAATACTCTTCAAGCACTTGCTCTTAATCTTCCAACTCCGTGCCCTGTATCTATAGAGTAGTACATGATTGGCTAAGGACTCGATGATCTTATATAGTTCAAGAAGGAGAAGAAGACCTATACCCGTTTTAAAATTCTAGTAAGGAACGAACATGGACTAAACAACGACACTATCCACAAGATGGAACGTTGTCAGGCCGGAAAACCTGACTATCTGTACTCACTAGGTATAGGCAAATATGTTACTTTGATCACTCTACCCGAAGAGTGCGAGTAAAGATACATCCGAGGCTTGCTTTGTATGCCATGAAAGATGTGGGAAATACACCTCGACTTTAGTTGCTGACGATATTCGATTAACTTGATATCAAGGGGTGAAAGACACAATAATTTGGCATCTGGAATAATTAAACATGGCGTCAAAATCTGCTTAGAGCATGACAATGTGCCAATAGTAGACTGGTATCTTCTCGATGAGAGTTTGGTGTTTTAGTATATGTGATATGAGACCCAAGATGTGAAACGCCGATACGACGAGGATGCAGATCGTTCAAGGCGATGGACGTATGCTACGAAAAAGTGCTCCTAATTATCTATACAGACTTTGCTGGAATGACTCGCGCTCTCTGGGTTTGAAGATTAGCTAAGGTCGTACAACTGTAAATCATATCCAAGTCAAGGAAAGGGGGTCTGGTAGTCAAGAAGGGCCTTAACAGCCCTAACAGGATTGTTTTATTGTAAAAGCTTTGTTTCCAGGCACTGCCCTCCGTTCTTATTATATAAGTTTCATCTTCCTCCCATAACGAGAACTTTCCGCGCTGGGTGTTTGGGTCAACAACTGGGTTTTGAATGAGAATAATCAAATTGGACATTCTATTGATAGGTCGTAATGATTCGCAAGAAGTACGTTGAAACAGCTTATGTATTAGACGCTTCAATGAGGGAGGCATATTATATAACGAGAGCTAGAGTGAAGCATCTGTACTGAATTATATGCACTAAAATGCTATTGCTGCCAAAGTCCATCCGGATCCCTTCTGACCTTGGTGGTGGTGTGAACTGCACTCACGTCAGGGGTCTAGAGAGATGAGAACAAATAGATACATTGCACATAGCCAGCGAAGTCCGAATGCCTTCAGAATTTTGACCTCTTCTAATAGACTTTGTGCCACAATAAACGTCCTACTGTATACCCTGTAGATACTTTCCGACAACTCTATTCATAATTGTACAGATCTTCCTAGTCTTCGAGTTCATGGATTTATGTTATCTAAGATAAAGGCTAAATAGCCTCACTTCAACACATTGTAGGCCTTGCTCCTGGCTGTTGGATGGCTGAGATTCTTCGGCGACATGTATATACAACTGGTCAGCCCAGCGCTAGCCGCCTTGCTTCGTGAAGCGAAGTCTATATAATTTCCATTTTCAATATTGTTTGCGTGTTTCTAATGATTATGAACAGCCTGAAATGGCCTTTGCTGCGGCCGAAGCGCGAAGCGAACTGCATGTTTAGCTCGTATGCGTGCAACAGCGACGGAGAGAAGTCTCCCTCAAAAGAGACACACTCTATTTCTAAGCTGCCCTTTATCAGATGTTATAGGGACTGCAATCTAGCAGTACTACTTAAAACTTGGGGAATTCTCATTACATTATTTGGCTCCTGCGGTGATACACGCACGTATGGTCAAATGTGTAGTTCACCTAGCCTACGGGTGTGAGCGTAATGCAATTTATTCAAGACCTTTAAGAGACGTGTAGGCAATATTGGAAGTGAGATTATATACAGTACGCTTCATGAAACAGACCAATCAGACCTGGCTGCGAAGGATAGAAAGTCAACTTGAACCAATAATTAACGTAAGCCACCAAGGCCAGAAATATAAGTTGGTGTGTTAGGCGATATTGATGACTTGCGGGCTGTGTGGAAACTTGCATATGAGGTTGGATCCCTTCGATGTAGCATCGTATTACTAGAATCGCGGAATACAGTTTGGGCCAGATCACGCCCAAATTATCAGAATCTCACAAGAGAGTAGTCAAGAGCCATCAGTATCTCTGTGGTTTATCACGTTTACTACTATTATAACTCCAGGCATGTAGCTAAACTATTAGAACTCAAGAACCATATTTTTCTAATAGGAAACATAATAAATCGCTTGCGTGTCTCATCAGTAGCAGCGGTTGAATCTCTCCATTGTCACACTACTGCTATGAATAATAGCCATTCGGAAACTTGTTTATCGGTGAGCCTGGATTGAAGAAACTGTTGAATTTCAAGTCCAGTTAAAGAGTGTTTGCTGCTACTCTCTCTTCGTACTAGGGAGTTAGGAGCTTCACATGTATTTCAATGAGCCCGTGCATCCAGTTGGCCTTGTTACTAGCGATCAATAGTATAACATTCGACGTCGTTTACAAGCGCTGCATAACCTTTTCCCGCTTGACGGAAACCGTCTTCACTATATGTACACACAAGAACACACCTTTAATTAATTATTTGCCCTCTTTCGATTAATCCGAAGATCCCGAAAGAAATATTACCCGGGAGTAACTTTGGCGCATTCCCACATCTGTGTGCTCTACTCAGTGCTGTTGCGTTTTGCGTGGTGAGCACCTCACCATTGATGAGCGGGCAACGATGTGATATAAAATCTCATCGGTTCAGCTGAGAGTATAGACAGATGAGCCCAAGCCACGGAACGGATCCTCGCCATGTGCGTGGCTCTTCCATTGTTTCTCTAGCGGCGCCCTATCAGGATACATTGAACAAACAGGGTCAAGTTATGTTATCAGTATACATATGGGATGCCTTGAAATAGCTCTGAAATAATTGAATACATTACTTGCTTGCTGGACATGTGGTAATCAAGCCAATATCTGGATATTGGCGTTGACACGACATTGCAGGTACTGGTAATTTGACTCATATACTGGAAACTCACACTGCGGGTTGGGATAAAAACCCAATGGAATGAAAAATATAATATTGGGGAAAAAGCGTAAATACCTCAAGCCATCTCATGGATGGGGACAAGGGAAACCAGCCGACATAGTATAGTGGGCTTCCAGCATTGCTCGTGTAATCTATTTTCTGCTAGCCCAGCAACCGATTCTCGATGGCGTACAAAGGGTCGTGAGTTGACAGGCATCCGGGAAGCAGTATCGGAGCCCGGGACCATTGAGAGCATTCCGTTGATGAAGTGAGCTAGATTAAGATCGCGTGTCAACAGAGAAACTACAGTATGTACATGTAGGTACTATGTAGGGTATGCCTCTGAATGGTTAGAATCGTGCATTTGAGGAGGTAGATAGAACGCCTGGTTTGTCGGTGCGTGACGAGCGCGCCATCTCGATAAACTCGGAAATAAGGATTAGGGTAACTGACACGCTGCCAATACCTTCCCGTGCAAGATGCCTCCTTTGATATACCTATAGCACTGTACACTTAACGCCTGATAACATCGTCATGGTTGAGGTGACTGAGACGTCTCTTGCGCGTGATTATAGGACAGCAGAGGGGCTATCATAATATCGCACATCAATGAGGGAAGGATTTCGCGAATCGAGTGCCCATTATTCTTGAGCTCGGTCGCTGTCCAATCATACAAAAACTCGGCAAAACAACTGCCGTATCGTACGGATATTTATCCTAGGGTATCCGAGTCTCTAATACCATATCTAACCCTTCCCATCTTGTCATGGTATGGAAGCTAGCGACATTGGTGTGTCGCATCAATCAAAGCAAGAAAGATGGATCTCTTCAGACTCAGGAAGGCATGTTCCCGCTTGTTGCAGTCAGGGAGTATACCGCACGTGGCAACTAAGTAAGTAAAGTTGGAGTCCGCAGGCAAGGGTTTGCGACGGACCCGAAGCTGTGGTGGCGGTTTTGGAACACGCATGAAGGAATGCATATTTGGAACCCTCGTCTGTGACGCCGACTTGAGTGATTCGCCGCATGTTAACTACATAGTATATTCTGGGCTTTGGGAACCTGTTCCGGGCTGAATGGCCGAAACTGAGATGCGCTTACTTACTTCGTACGGAGTACAAACTTACTTACTGTATTCAAGGAGCAAGAGCCCTTTTAGAGTCTTGGCAACCGTTATGGCCAAGAAGCCGGGAGCTCCTCAGACGAAAGGGGCATAGCGGTGATGAGAGATTTCTACACTTCCTACTCTATCCCCCCTGTTCCCAGCAATCTTACGATGATAACGCCATCAACCATGACTATAGAAGAAATCGTTCGAAATCCCGTCGTTGTTAACAATGCCTAGTGTTCCAATACGACGCTCTCTCACATAATATCTGCACAGAAGGAAGACTATACATGTATGTAATTTGATCATCCAATGAGTGTGTCAACGCCTGCTCGGTAATTCAAGAAATACTAGTTTGGTCCCAACCCATGCATGATAGCCTCAAAAGTAACAACTCTTCTGGCAAGCCCACAAGTGAATCAAAAGGGTACTGTATGTGTGTTTGTGCGTGAGTGTGGAAATAGCTAGAAACAGCATTCTCATGCGCTAGTGGACGTTACTTTACTTTAAAACGGTCTCCGGAGATGTCTTGGGAAAGGTGGATCAATGCCTGTCACTGATGCGTGTACTATGTACACGTACTCAATAGCGGCCTGCCCGCCGTTTGTACACTACATGAATTGTTGCCATTTCCAAGCAGGAACATGAGTTATGCAAGATGTACGGGTAGACTACTAGAGTTGGAGTAAATAAAACTACCATGTAAACTCTCTCATCTACTGTGGACTATGAAGAGCCTGTGGCTCCCGAACAGTTATGCCGTACTACCTAGTACTTACTACCGAAGTACACTAGATCTGACCAGCTTCCGACGTCTTCATTACATGGACTAGTCTATTTTGAGGAAACAGAAAGCTAAAGGATCTCATTTCTTGGGCTAAATTGCTGTGACTTCGGGTAGGTGCCCGGTACATGTAGGTACAATCTACTAAATCCTCCTGTATGGTGGTGTACAAATAACCACTTGGTTTAGCTTCTCAGGTATTGCGAACAGACGATAGCGGGACCATCGCGTTCATTGTACTATATATGGTACATAGAGCTAATCGCCTCACCGGTTTTATGTTAGCGTAGTTGGTAAGGGTCGGCAGTTGTGTTGTCAAAAGGATGCTTCTAGGGCGTTATTGGTGCGCAGAATGAATGGGCAGCCATATCACTCTACAAACCGGTAGTATGGGCAGCAAAGCACAGACGTTACCTCGGGTAGATCCATATTGATGGTCTCAGACAATCCCGAGTTGCTGGCACCATATTGCTACTTTGTCGTGTACGACTGCCTTTAGACGGCCTAACAGTACAGATACGTCGCAATATGAGACTATGTAAAGGTAATACACTAGTGCACGCCTCACTGCTGAATCATATCATGGCCTTTGGTTCTCACTGGGAGCGTTATACATACTATGTAACATCGCAGACGAGTTTCAGTGCAGGCGGTAGTATAAGTATGCTGAGCATTTCCTATTATGGGAGGAGATAGCTGCATTACCTCCAAAAGAGCAAGTCCTGGAACGAGCTAGGTAATGGTCATGACCCACGCTGGATTGTTACTCCCCTCGCGATGCGACGAAATGCGGCACAGCTAAATCAGAAGCCGGGATACCGCTGTAAACCTGGTATCTACATACTGGGTACAAAGTAGAGCTAATGCAGAACACCGGTGACTTAAGTAGAGAAAATACGGATACTATGTCTAAACTAAGTAGTTCATATGCAGGAGATTATATAGGTACGTGTACCAGTATACATTGAAATACCTGGTACCTCACCCAGAACAGAACAGATTCTATCTAAGTATATCCAGAAGGGCCAACAAGCCCAAACACGCCTGCCAAAATTACTTGGATACCCAGAGCAGGATCTGTATCATGTCAGTCTTACTACGTACGTAAACTAAGAGAATCTCGCAAAGGAGAAGGTTGAAAAGACAATACGAAGAAGCTTCATGATCCTCAGATCATGAATTTTCATTAACCGTTTTGACTTGAGTACTATCTACCAAGATCTATGTGCTTTTCTTCTTTCTTCTATCTTGCGTTGAACTCCGTCGTATTCCTTATATATCGCCGCAAAACTCTGTAAACTATAACTGCATTTTTACAACGTGATAGGAGTAGCATACTTGGCCAGAAGAGGGTCCTTCATGAGTCGCGGTAAGCATTTTGACTCAACGCCGATAATCAGCTCAATACCGCCACCGGGAAGAGCGGGTAAGACAAGAGAACCACCATTGATTACGCCGACATCTGGGCTGCGAACTGCCTGAATTTTCCCCCCTAGAGTCTTGCCCCAATCTAGACCGTACACGCCAAGGTTGATCCAGGAGGTCTGTACGCAGTTAAAGCCAGGCACGTCGAGGAAGGCCGTTGCAACAACGCGGTTGACATCAACGACGTTCTCGAAGAGGGTGCTGAGACTGTCGACATACTGGTCGTTGAGCTTGGAAACTGCTTTGCGGATGGCTACCGCGGGGTCTGCCACGGTATCCCTAGAGAGCATCTGGCGAATGGGCATCTGTGGTGCCACCCATCCTAGCCAGTTTCCTAGGGTGCGTGGATGAACGGGTGGGTCTGTCCGCGGCCGTCCATCGACCGCAATGTTGAAGATTGAGGTTGGGTCACCCTCAAGCTCTTCCAAGGGAAACTGTGCCGCCATAACTGACCGCCACATCAGCGCCGAGAGAGCGTCGTTGGTAGAAATATAGGGCACATCAGAAGGATTCGCTGCATTTTTTGGTGCCGCATCCGCCTTGAGAGCAGCTAGCTGCTCTGCGTTGAGTCGGAAGACCTGCCCGACATGATCGCGTGAGATCATTTTTGGTGGGAAGCCTTCAGGAGTGAAAGGCAGCACAAGAATCTCTGGGTGGTCCTCAGGCTTGCCAGCATTGCGACTAGAAGGCTTCATATGCTTCTCTCGATCCGTGAAGAAAGCATCCGGTATCTCGTTGCGCGGTCCTGTTTCACCCTGTAATCGGCGGCACTCCTCGGCCCATATCTCGAGCCAGGTGTAGTACGTCTTGGCATCGCCGAATACATGGAAGAAGCAGCCGGTGATGATCAAGCCTCCGGGGATGAAGTTAGCCTGAAAGTCGGCAGCTGGGAGCCTCTCTCCAGGACTCGGCCAAGTGAAGCGACGGCAGAGAAGGTCGCCATTGAAGGCGGCAAGGGGGAACCCTTTAGCTTTGATTTCAGCGTAAGTGTGAGGGAAAGCCCCCGGGGCTCTGAGATCTTTCTTAGTAATTGTGTCGTAGTCATCGTACTTGTGCGCTTTCAAAACACCAGCTTGTTTTGCCTCTGTGTCTGGGACACCTTCGCATCCAAGCGTAGGAGCTCGCTGTTTGGCAGCTTCAAGGCCCTGCTTGAGTATACCAAATATCTCATCTGCATCGTAGGATTCACCCAACTCAAGGGGAAACACCATTCGAATGAAGCCCTTGGGGCCAGCCTTCTCCAGAGGGATCAGGGTCGGGGTCTTGCTTGCATACTCGGAAGGCATCTTGCTGTAATAGGTCCTGCCAACAATGTCTTACAAAGGCTCAATTCTATAACAAAAACAGAAAACAGTACGGCACAACTATCGGAATTTTCGTCGAGGGAATATCGAGATCTTGGGCTGGTCATTCTCGAGGGCGTTGCTCTCTTATGACCACCCCTTACCGATAAACTAACAGTACATGTAGCCCAACAGCATAACACCCTGCTCCTGGGGAATGAAATTGCCCCGCTAAGACCGGGTCGTGTGCATGGTAGGATTTGGCGGGTGTCAGGCCAGCACCATTTGCCCGTTTCCCAAGATGTTCACCCAGATCCCGTAGTGTTTGGGCAGGACTTCGAGCTGAGTTTCTTTTGACGCGATGTGTAACATTTGTTTCATGTCTTTCTGGAACAGGTGTGGTTCCGTTCATTGCATCAAGCTTATTTCTAATATACCACTGAGCGTATACTAGTCTCATCCTCGTTGTTACCAATCGGGTACTGAAGTTATCACAAAGAACCTACAGTAGGTAATTTAGAAATAAAAGACATCTCTCAATGTCTAGATCAGTACATTCTGTTCTAGACCTAATCGAGGAGGTACTGGAAACGTCCCATAGTGTGAATGTCCGCCCAAATGAGGTGCCGGCCAGGGTCTGGCCAGGGCAAGGTGTAAGTAAGTAAGTGGATTTTAGGCAACTGCGGGGCGCCTATACCTGGCCTGGAAGTGAGTACTGCAAGCCCATACTTAGGTATGTACATTAAGTATTCGTGGATGAATATCATTTTGTCAGGATCAAGCATACGGTAGGTTATATATAGGAAAGGTTTCTATGTTGGCCTACTGTAGCTACAGCCTTGTGACATGTTGTATACGTTTGAGTCAAACTCCGCAATAGTATAGAGATCCAGCCGTACGGCTCTAATCTCCAATGTCTGCAGGGTCGCCTTTGTTGAACACACTGGACCACACTACTAAGTATACTTGATTATGAGGGAGTTTTGTTGTAAAGCCTATGCTAGTTTGTTTCTAGTTTGATCTTTTAACCTAACTTGAAGTATACTTGGGTTGTCATGCACCGTACTTGACCAGGGTACTGACTAGGGTAGGGTTACATAAGTTGAGTCTGACTTGGGATAGCCCCTGAAAACAGATTAACGCTGTGCACTAGAGTTTACACTACATGTAAGTAATAATCTCGCTTATAGTACTTTTCTGGAAGACAACGGCGGCCCCATGGGTTTCTCAGGCTTTGCCCGTTTACGCACTTTCCGCTGTGCATTGCAGTCTAGTTACACCAAAGTACATTAGCCCAGCGTCTACTGTGTAGGGTATCCCGTCAATGTTCAGAACAACGCCGTAACATGTCAAGAGAGTGATTGGCCGATTAAAGGTGCCGGAATTAGGCCCATACTTCTATTCGTATGCGAGTTGGTGGATACTAGATGTAGTGTACTGTAATTATAACTGGTACAAATGGTTACTCAGTCTTTGCCTTGTTAGACCTATCAATATGGAGCAATTTCAGGTATCTACTATGTTGCGATAGTCGCAGGGGTAGCTTGAGCGTCTCAAATCTGGGCCGAACATGTGGGATAGAAAGGGACACTGCTGGAAGAGAGCGGATATGCATTAGCTTTGCCCGCTTTTCCCCTGGACTTATACTTTCAGGTAATCGAGATGGTATAGTGAGTAACAAACCACTTCCATCTCAAGTTGAACAGCTAGGTAAGCGAACGTGGCTTTAAGCTCAATAGCCTGTGTTATATTTCCGGAGTGGCGGTGGCTGTCTGTGACAACATGGGTACGAAATACTTAGATACGATAAGAGTTCCATAATACAGTTGATTTGTGATCGTTCCAATGGCATTTATCAATACCTCTATCTTCATATATCTATACTTACTTACTAAATATTGCACTATACTAACACGCTACCATGATGTACCACTTTCGCATTAATCACAATTCTGGAACAGTGCATCCGTTCCAAGCTGGGGCTTCAGTTGGAAACCATGGTTCAGACGCCTTCACACTTAAGTACTTAAGTATATGTATGCCAAGGTAAGCTTTCGAAGGATTTACATATTTGCATAATGGCCTGATCCATTACCACGTAATACTGCCCATGGAGTCTAGTGTACATACTGAGCAGACTGAGTTTACATATTTAATGCACAGAGTGCTACTTACTTATGAGACAGGGTTCTTGGATACTCCACTAGACTCGTCTGGTCGTAAAAATCTACCACTTATACTACATACTATGTACATACCGTAATAATTATGTAGCGTAAGATCCCTATTACTTATTGTAACTTTTTTTTTTTGCTACAGTATTCCATATAATATACATCTATAACGGAGTAGTTATATAGTACATATTTAAAGTCAAGTTAGTAGGTTGAATATTGTTTTCAATGTCATAAGATTTAGTCCCTGTCTCAGAACAGCATAAACTACCTATGCCACTACGTTACTACAGATGCAGGTGTTTTCCCGAGTCTTGTAATAGGTACTACTGTACTTAAATTATGTACCATTGCGACATTGGTCTGCATGCACATGTTAACCCATGTTTCCAGCATACTAGATTCATCATTTTGATCTGGGCAAAACTGGGTTCCTGGTGGGAGCTACATGATCAGGCATTATGGCAAGGACCCTTGCTCGCGTTCCCCTGAGATTCGCAATTACACAAGGTATCCGATCAAACCTGGATCCTCCGGGAATCCTTACGATTCTGGGCTACATGTGGTTCCACGTGATCCTGGAGCATCGCTGGCAGCAAAAGTACCGCAGTCTTCCGGGTCGCATGTCATGTATATCGTCTTACAATCGTGTGGGTGAGCTTTGTAAGGATCTAAAGGTAGATCTCTCTCTTACTCAGTAGTCAAGAGAATCCTCCCACCAACTCTCATTTTCGACCTAGTTCAATCCTTTTGCACTTTATTGTTCTTGTAATATAAGCATTCTGTCCCCATACCATTATAGACTTTTCTGGCTCGTCGATATTCCATTGCCTGTTCTTGTGGTGTGTGCGCATGCGCGTGTGTGTATTGGGATCCTGACAGCAACCGGTTCGAGGGTATTGCTGTGCGCAATGGAAGTCGATCCCGCTATTCTAGCGGCCTTTGGTCCTCCGCCTGATGGCATCGATTTACTTGCAAAACAAGAGACAGCGATTATTGCGGTGGCGCTCGTGTCTACGGCTTTTGCGACCGTCGCCCTTGGTCTAAGAATATGGGCAAGAAACTTCCAACGGTTCGGCATGATGGCCGATGATTGGCTAATGATAGTCGCTCTTGTACGTCGAATTAACTTCAGGCGATGCCTACCACAAATTAACTAAGGCTAGATATTCACCTATGGCACACTTGTCATCACAATCCTAGGAGCCAAAGCTGGCGCTGGTAAGCATCTTTGGGCTCTGCATCCACAAGATATAGCCAATATTTTCCGGGTAAGGTTTAGTTATCGATCTCGAGATCTTGTTACTAATATGTTGGTAGTTGTTGTACGCATACACCTATATATACGCTGGAAGTGTGTCTTTCACAAAGCTCTCGATCTTGCTATTTTATCGCCGACTGTTTGAAAGAGGCTCAGCATGGTTTCATGTCAGGCTAGGCTTCGCAGCATTCTTTACGATTGGATATTTGCTTTCTATCTGGTCTGTTGCCGCGGCACTCTGCCAACCTACGGAGTTTTTTTGGACCCAGTTTCTCGGCGTGACGAAGGGGAAATGCCTCGATATCAACGCCTCATTCTTAAGTTTGACGGTGCTCAACCTTGTCGCCGATCTCCTTGTTCTAGTGGTTCCGATCCCTGAGATTTTGGCCCTCAAGATGACAACCAAGAAGAAGATTAGTGTCTGTGCGGTCATGCTATTAGGAGGCTTGTAAGCGACATTTTCGAACTTTTCCAAAAAGAAGTTTTGCTAAACAAGATTTAGAGTATGTGTTGTCAGTGCCGTGCGTATCTGGGCCTTCTACCGATTTACTGTCGAAGTTGACATCACCTGGGTTGAGGCCGATGTGTTCCTGCTATCTTCTCTAGAGCCTTCGTTTGGTATCGTTTCAGCATGCCTTCCAAGTTTACGTCCATTATATCGCAGGGCCAGAGCTAGGATCACCGGGAAAGAGACTCATAGTAGCACAACGGGAACATGGTACACGAACTCCAAGGCCGACCGTATCGGTAACAGCTACGTCCGTTTCGGCGACGATAATTCGAGGTCGGGCGAACAAGATGATATTGCTCTAACTAGCATTGGTAAAGGGCCGACCGCAAACAAGACAATACCACAGAACATCATTCTAGTACGGTCCGAAATAACACAATCTACAAATCAAGCACAAACACGAGGACCAGTACGCCATGATTCCCTCGATTCTTATTAAAGCACATGGCCATTTTGATGTTTGAAATATTTTGACGGCGCAACCGGCGTAACGGGGGAGATGGTATTGGCCTCTACTTAATTACATCGAATGACGAAATAACCAAACCGTGGACTATCAGACCCTTGGGAACAAGATGGGTAGATAGTATACTGCACTCTCGGTCATTATGGCGTCAAAAGAGATGTAAAATACAGCTTCCCAAATCAGGAAGGCCATAGTGATTGCTACTGAAACCACCTTACTATGTATATATACAAGCTTCAAGTTAGAAAGCCATCGGAGCAGTCCGCGAGGATTTTTTTCGCGGCCTGTCATTTTCGCATTAGATATCCCAAAATTAGAGACTCACGAAATATTATTATACACGGGTGCTTCTCGGCCAATACTTCAGATTTTCAAGTGCATGAGTCCTGCCTTGATTCTACAAGCCCATCTTTCATGAAGGAGGCTTTATTCTTTCGGCGTTTGCCCCCGTAGGCCATTCTCGTGCTTGCATACTCATTCCATTGAATGATCCGTACAAGCATACGACGAAGGATTATATCTGATGTTTATACTTAGAATACACGTATAACCAAAGTCTATAAGACCTGAAAAGCCTCTAACTACCTCATTCAAACCATCTAGTCTCATAGTTCAACCAACAACACCGGTATCTCTTTGCGATTCTAAGGTTTTCATCGCAATTATGAGTTCCTATTTACCAAAACCTGGGACCACTCTTGAACATCTTTGCTGCCAAGGGGTTATAATCCAAACTTGGGTCTTCAGTAGTCCAATCGATCCGGTCGGCAGTACACATAGTACACTACCAACTACCTATGAACAGTACGACTGCTCAACTCGGTGGAACGCTAAGACTGGTACCCAGAGCCACGGGGCAAAGAACTTTGTATCTAAAGTTCGGCAAATCATGGTCATGAGGTAATCTACTTAAGGCAGCTTGGTTCGTTACTTAGATAGGCTATTCCCAACCGGCAACCTCCCCGGTATGCTAGAGTCAGAGAAAGCAAAGATTGTCGTAACCTCGGGGAATCTACTCCTGTGAAGTGTGTTATAATATGGTCGCCGATCATATACTGAATAGTTAGTATGTACATACATGGGCAGTTAAAAGCGCAATAGCCGATCCAATTATGGAGAGCCTCTTATCGTCAGCCGAAGACCCAGTCCACATTAAGGGTACAATACTACGTAAGTACGGGTAGTCAACACTAGTGTAGTTTCTCACACAACACTCTGTTTCTGTCCGTTCAAATGTACCGCCTACTCTATCCTGAGCATTGAGTTGGGCAGGGATTCGCATGTACCACCGTTGGAAAGGAAGATGGGGAAAGAGAGGGCTATTTGAGGTCCACAACGAGTTGTCAAATTAGAGGGTCAACGTGTGGTGTGTGGAGATTCGGCATACCTTTTGCCTGCTCACTATGCGTCACGGTACATCTAGGGTAACATTGTTGGCCTCTTGCCATGTGCTTCTTGGGACATCCAAAACGCAAATGAAGGCTCAAACGCACGAATAGAGTACACTAGGTAAGTACCCTACACTATACGCTTGCTACATTGGTCAGCTTGCCTGCCGACGACCCAGGGGGTGATAGGACCAAGTCAGTTTCCGACGGTCATCATCCCAACACGAAAGTTTCACTACGGTGACCAGGCGACCAAATATTATTGCTACTGGTGCTCTCGGTAACTCCCTGAAAAGGTATACTGTATAGTAGAAAACTCAGAAGCGAATTATTATTGGCGACTCGCTGTGCGAAGATGCCCATTCCGCGATAAGGAATTTGTATACAATTAGTAGAGAATCAGGCCGACTAGGTATTCTGCTCAATCTAATATAACGTAGGATTATTGTAAGTCCACGCGGCTAGAGATAGGACTGTAATGCAGGTCTGAGGCGTGCACTATAGCCCTTGTACTACCACATAACCATAAAAGGAGATCTAGGGATAGTATAAGCATGGATCATGATAATGCTGGGGTCAGCTCGCCAACCTCCATGGGTAGTAGAACAAGTGCGTCGAACCAGGGCCCAAAATTGAGGCTATTCACAATACAATAATCTACTAGGGTTGCATAAGCCCTTGGCCATTTGGTTCGCGTTTGGCCTTGTTAGCTGACCTTGATACCGTATACAATTGGTACGGCGCGGGCCAGTCTTTGCCAACCTATTAAAGCCCGAAAGTGTCTCAAGCCACCAAATTTTGTATATCCTCGCTTCTTCGTACGGTAGGTCAAGGTATGTGCGCCTATAGCCGTAGGCGATCTGCATGTACAATCGTACGCGCCTGTGACAGCTAATGATCTCTGATTTGGGCATAATCTAAAGTGGATAAATTGAATGGTCGAGAAATTCGTAAGGCATTAATCAGCTTAGATTGAAGAGTGTGCACTATGCGTGAGGTACCTTCGAAGCAGTCAGAAGAGTTTACTCGGCGTTTCTGTCACAACGATTGGGGCGCTGACTGGAGCTCTTCATGACCCTCCCAATGTCAGGCTCATTGGGTCACCTGGAATTCTTAAGTGAAGCAGGATTCTGCGTTGACTATACATTCACCAAATGGCCAGTGTAGTTTGCGAGCATTCAAGTTTCAAGCTGTTACACGCACGTACGGCCGAACAAGCGCTTCACCTCCGGCTCGGGCATAGTACAGTCTGCTCATTATTTTCAAGAAACAAACAGGCAATATTGAAAGTGAGGTTATACAGACTTTATTTTATGAAATAGGTAAGTAAGATCTTGGGGTCAGGTATGAATGGCCAGTGAGACCACATACCTCAACATATAGAAGATAGACCATCTTAGTATAGTTGCTATAATGATAGAAATAAGCCAATATTGATTCCACTTCAAAGATATTTTCTATCTATTATGATTATAGATATGTTAATCATACGGAAGGTTAAGTATTGGCTTAAAGCGATCTGTGCGTAAGGCTATTTCGTATGTGAGGCTAGTTACCCGTTTAAACAATCCTTCATGAACAGCTCTTATAACAGCTCTCGTAATCGTTATATATAATCAACCCGTCAGAACTGATCGGCTGCTGTGCGGTTATCTGCCATTACGCAATGGTTGCTTGGATTCTATGACCAATATATAGTCCACGCTAAACCATTGGAAGCTACAGAGCTGAGAGACTATATGTAATGATCAAATATCTTATAAGCACCTCTATAATCTACTTTTCAAATGTGTACTGGAATCCCCCTGCCGTGTCCTTTGAAGTCTTAGATACAAGTAGCTGGGGATCTTCATCGCTTTCATTGCACTGGCTTTCCGGTAGCCTCATCAAGCGTATTCTCACATGTGCCTGAAAACAATGTCGGCGAACAGGCAGGCGGTACCTGTGAGGGCTTTGGCTGGTCACTTCCCTCTATCAGGGAGTCTTGGATTGAAATTTCTGAATATGGCACTGTTCACAGCATCCTTATCGTACGTAGCCTACGTAAACTGAAGCAACAGTACCACGCCTATCGTATTCATATAGCGAGAGCAGCAAGCGGACCAGACGGCAATAATTATCCCTAGGATACTTTATTTCCAATGGCATCTTGATGACCAAACCCACTAACACTTTGTATGTTCATACATCTTCAACCAACGGTCCTGGACAATAGGCGCCTATACTTGCACCCATCACGATATTTATAGCCATGGTGGATGTTGCACTATCCAAGAATATCGATCGTGATTTCCCACGTCGTCATTGGAAGAGAGCGGAATGCGTTGCACGTTTCGGCGCATGTATTGATACCTTGATTACCGGTTAGGAGATCTACTCACTTTTGGTTACCAGACAAAAAAATCGACATTACGCTCTTCCACTTCATATGCTCGATTTCAAATTACTTGCTCCTTCAGCCGAAAGACCTACTTGCTGACCACCGATCAACAGAACTACAACCCCTATTCCCGCCCAGCGTGGATCAAAATAGGCCACCTCCTATCGTAAAGACCTGTTTGGAGGTGCTGGGGTTCACGATTCATAACAAAACTACGATTATGCTATACCGGCTGTGTGATATATATGAGGGGAAATTCGCAATCAGCAAACGCATCAGAAACTGCTCATTTGAGCTGATAGTCGTACGCTTGAGGGAAGACTACAAGCAATGCAACTCGCACACAGCTCGTGAGGCGTGAAAAGCATGCTTTCGTGTTCTCAGCAATAATTTTAGCTCCCAGTTCGGCTTCTCATTCCAAGTCGGCACTACCAAGGTTCCGAACTGGTGTTTCCAACAGTGATATGGCTCAGCGGTATTGTCAATTCCTTTAAATTGGAACCATATAATCCGTGGGATAGAGCCAGTCTCGAGCACTGGGAAGCTGAGATGATCAAACCCGTGGATAGCAGGAGTGAGTTTACTCCCCCAGATTCGTAAACTTAAAGAGGGTTGATTGGGGGCATTGATATTTCTGAAAGTATGTCGGAGACAGGAAATATTATTTTCACAGATTTCAGAGTACAGGTTCGTGGTTGACATTCTATTTTAGGTAAAACAAGGCCCCAACCCAATATGAGTGCACCAGCAACTCCTGAAAATAATGGCTACGCATCCGCAGGTGACCGCGTGTTTTGGATTCCCAATATTAACCTAGGACTGCCAAAGTTCCTACTTGCAGAGTCAAAAGACCATACGCAACTGCAAATGCAGCTAGACACACAGCCATATACGTCGGCAGAGACCCAGCTAGACATGCTGGCAGACATCCTGCCATATTCAACACCACATGCGTCAACTAGCGCGCAGCTAGAATTGCAGCCAGAGTCAATTGACACACAGCTAGATATAGAGCTGCCTTCATCATCGATGGCTTTACCATCTTGGGAAACATGGCTAGACCTTCTAACCGTGGGAAACAGTTACCTTGAAAGCTCATAGAGGTTGTGGTTGGCTTCGTACTTTTGACTGCAGGAATACAGCGGGCGGTACGTGCAGATTGAGGATCGGTATGAAGAAGAGGGGTTTAAAACGGTAAGTAGTGTGCTGGATATATGAAGGAGTTCTAAGATGATTGGTCATTAGTGTTCAAGCACTACAGTAAGGTTAACAGAACTGTATTTTCTTGGATTTATTAGCCAGCGTTAAATCAAGCTTGTTTATCTGCACCGTCTTCGTCTTTCTTTACATGGGAATGATGTCTCTCGTTTACATAATAGTCCTCGTCTTTGCCGTCCGCCAAGATTTGACCCCTCCAGACCGCTCGGATGTGATTCAAGAGTATGACGAACCATCCGAAGACGAGGAGTATGGTCATCGCACTGCCGGTGCCAATCACACCATTGCTCTTTAACATCTTGCCGACCGATATGACGGCAATCGTGAAGCCCACGTTTGGGAAAATATACGAGTACCAGTTTAGGTGGAATGATATCTCTCTCCAGACGGCCAGGTTAGCCACAGCAGCAATACAGAAGAACCAGAGGCTGAGGAACCATATGAATATGCACACCGTGGTGGCGAGAACCCGAAAGATTTGTATGGTGACTTGGTCGGGACCAAAAACACCGTAGTATGCCGGGTAGTCATTCGCCATGCCAATAATAGCGACACTCGTAAAGGCAGGAGGCCCCACGGCAACAAACATCACCGGTCGCGAGTTTGGCGCAGGGAAGCCGTACTGAATCATTCGAGACACATAGCAAGCATAGAAGAAGACGGACACCAAGAGCCCGAAACCCTGCGCCCCGAGGCCGGCCACAAGCATGGGAACGCCCTGATCAGGTGGTTGCACCCCGGCACCGGACGACGCAATCACTCCCGACAGCATAAACCCGAACGCAGGTAAGCACCATGCAGGAGTCATATCCGACAGCTTCAACTTCGGGCTCGTGAAGAGCAAAGCATACTGCGCGACAGCGATGATGAAAGTGACGGCGAAATAGATCCAGAAAAGAATCCGATAGACCACGAGGAGCCAAGGGCCACAGGACGGTATGCCATATCTCGCGATGCCGGAGATAATCGAGGCCACACTAAGAGCCGCCGTCCCCAGAAACAGGCCCTCGGTGGGGTGCACGATGGACTTCTTCAGCGTGCCCGGGTACTTCGCAAAGCGGTACGAGATGGCGGCCACGATGAGAGTGAAGACGACGAGGTCGAGAACGTAGAAAACCTTTCCGACGGTCTGAAGTCCGCTGAACGTAAAACCCTGCGTCTGCTCAGCTAGCAAGAGGGCTAGACCGCCTGTCGACATGGGTAGTGTGAAATTGGCCCATGTGAAGTGCTTCAGGCGTGCCAGCCCTGTTTGTGTTTTCTTGTTCTCCATCCGCAGGTATCAACGCCCGACTGAACAGCGTGTTAGGTCGACACAAAATGATTAATCAACGTGTAGCTATGCTTCTTGTTATGATTGAGTTTATATGGGCGTATCAGCTGAACTGACGTCATTGAATGATAGTTTCTTAGAGAAGACTCCGAGGATGTCTCCTGATTGATCTTGAAGACCCCGATGGGATTCCTTTCCTTCTGGATTGGAGATTATGCAGGCGTTGTTACCTTGTGTATTGCGAGGTAAAACAGTAAAAATTTGGTTATATGGAATATGCCAAATGACGCGCATATGCAATCAATGATAACAACCCCTGGTTTGCTCTCCGAACGATCCCGAAATCGGCCCGATTTTACCAACTTCGACATTACCATGATATAAATTGAGGGCTTCTTGTTGTTGAAGGGTTGCGAGATAAACTCGGATGAGAACAGAACACCTACTCTCATATTGGGCGGTGCATGATACTTGGGGTGTAGTTCCAAGTGCTAGAGCAGGCATTACAAGTAATTTGTAGCCCGAGTGGGAACATAATTGAACAGATTTAGTTAGCGTTCAGTAAGTAACATATATATTTTTTTAGGAACTGTGGAAGCTATGTACACTTGGATAGAGAGCATGGCATTTGAGGAGCAGATCCAACAGCCGAAGACCATTCAATGTCTGTTACCCTCGCCAGCGCAGCGTGTGTCTTTAACTGGGGCAAAGGGCATTGGGTTTATTCTCATCATTGGACGCGTCCATGGGGAGCTCAACACAACATCAAGGATAATCACCTTCCCCTCCACCTCCTTTCCCCGGCAGCCCTAGCGAGCAAATCACTCGGAATTCGCTTAGAATGAGGGCTTGGCGTTCTTGAGGAGCATCTCGAAGTAAGTCTGGCTCCACTCACCAGCTTCGGGCGAGGGCTGGAAGGCGTCGGGCTTGCCGCAGAACGAGTCGTAGCGGGTGGCGCTGCTGTCACTGGTTCCGTCGGACTCACCGCCGGGCTTGCCCCAAACGAAGGCGTCGGCGAGCGAATCGCCAGTCGAGGACGTTGGGCGCACACCGAAGCCGGCGCCGTCAACGTTGCACCAGTTACCCCACTCCTCGCGCAGGCCCGTCACGGCGTTGCGGCCTGTATCGACGATGGCGTGGTTCGGGTGGCCTGCTGTCTTGAGTGCCGCGCCGAACTTCTGCACGTACGTCTTCTCGTTCTGGCACGAGTTGTACTTGGCATCCGAGGCGGTCGAGAACTCGCCGGGGCTCAGGTCCCAGGCGTTCCAGCCAGCGATGTTAGTGGCGAAACCACGGACCTGCTTGGGGCTGCCAGCGTTCTTGTACACCTTGGCGAGCTCCTCGGCACCGGGCTTCAGATTGGCGTCCCAGCCGAGCCAACCTCCATGACCAGCATCGATGTACATAACGACGTTGGGGAGGTTGAGGTTCTTGAGAGCGTAGGCAACACCCTCCTCGTAGGCGCTCTTGCTTTCCTGGCAAGTCGACAAGTCGGCGTTGGTGACGAGGTTGGGAAGAGAGTCAGGCTCGATGATGAGGGCAAAGGCGCTGTTGGGGTTGGCCTTAATCTTCTTGACGATGGCTGTGTCCTCTGTTAACGGTGCTATTTAACTGATGCAATTTAAGAAGTCATTCACTTACGGTCAATGTACTGAGACTTGTATTTGGAGATCTCGTTGTAAGCAAGCTCGCCGTTGGAGGCCTTGGCAGCGCAATCACGACCGGGCAAGTCGTAGATGACGAGACCGAGGATGTTCTCGCAAGGAAGATCTGAGATAGCATCGTCGAACTTGGCGATGTTTGCAATGGAGTCGCTAAAGATTTGATTTAGTTCCAAGCCTATGATAGGATTGATAGAGAAAGAGAGAGAGAGAGAGCTTACAGCCAGAGGAAGCTACCGACATCAGCGACCTTAGCAGCCTTGCTCTTCAACGAGGAGTCGGTCATGGCCTCAACAGCGGCATTAACCTCCTTCCGGTAGAAGGTGTTCGCGTGCAGCTTGTACTTTGTCCAGACATTGGTGCTGGCATCAAGCTTGACGGCCGACGAACAGGCAGCTGCAGCCTTGCGAGGAGTCTTCTCTGACGGAGCAGCAAGAGCACCCGCCGCCAATAGAATTGCCGCAATATCCGCCTTCATTTTTGCTATGACCCTGATGATGATTTGTCGAGTTGGAACGTGAGTGATGGAAACAAGAGGAGAGACATGGCCAAGGAGAGGACCTGCCTCTTCTTATATCGGCCGGCCATTGGGAGTATTAGCACCCTACCACACGTGCAATCAGGAACCAGGCCCGTTAAGGGTGATCATGATGCGTGCTCGGTAGTTATCCTCCGAAGAGGCGCGGGTTCAGGTCATTCTACCACGGAGACTGGAAGACGGAACTTTCCAAGGTTGCTCTATACCTATATCGCGAGTCTGGACGTTATGTGTGCTATATGAGGATCCTTTGCTCTCATTGGTATAGATGGCCATAACCGTGGGTTCGGGCCTACCCAACACGTGTGGGGGAGCGACCCCCCGAGTATGCTAGTTAATCTAATATATCTTTGCAACGCAGTGCAACCAGACCCCTATAACTTGGCTTCGTCGCAATCAGCATACCCCTTTTGAACAGTCTGAAGTTGGTAAAGCCTGCGGAGGAGGCAACATTATTGTACACCGTGAGGCTTCAAAGCACGAGATTCTTGAGCAAAACTAGTGCCGGGTTACTATCGAGTGACGGTCTACAGAGACTGGGCTAGTGGAAGCAGAGATTTAATGCTCAAGTCTACCGTACCCAGAGCCTCCATGCCGATCGAATTAAAACGTAATGCTAAGATTTCCCCAGCTTATATTCACCGTAGGTTAATATATCGAGTCCGACCCAAAAACGCACTCCGGAACGAGCCAGCGGGATGCATAGCCAAGAGCAAATTGTGCGAATCGTAGGATAGATGGGGAAATCAAGTGGCTTTGTTTGCCTAAATTCCTCGTTATTTGAAACAGTTAAGTTACTATGTAAGTCCATTCAGAGCTTGATGTCCTGAGCTTCCATTTAGCCGCACGCGCTGCTTGTATCCAGAAGTGATCTACCCCGGCTAAAACCTCCGGAGCAACGATGGCTGACTACAAAAACGGATCTGTAAGGGTGCATAAGAGATTGAATGACATGGGATTGCTGTGGTTAAGCTTTTCATGCACCGCCCCATTTGACCATTCGGAACGATAAGCCGAATGGCTGGCAGGTCAAGCCTTGGACAAGATGAAGTGACTTCCTACCCTACAGTAAATATGTGGAAAGCGGTGTAGCTCATGTAATCACAACATTATGTGTAGCTATTGATCGTAAAACAGTGGAAATTAAGTTTGATAGAGCTTTATCTAAGGAACCTTTCGGCATCCTACTATGTCGTTGGAGATGCGGACAAGACCCTACTTATGGATTGAGAACACTGAATGATAGAAGTCTACTCAACAAACCTTGTTCATCTCGCTATTTCATAAGTAGTTAGAATTCGGAAATCCTTGTAGTACAAGATCGTATGTCGACGATGTTTAATGATGCTCGAGTAGTTTCAGCTAGGAGAAATGCATGCCCATACATGTAAGGTGTAGGGGCCAGTAGACTTGATTGCGCAGACGGCTCACTTCGGTGCTTCGAAGTACAAACTGCACCCGAATTCCGGTCTTGGTGAATAATTTGCAACGTTTGCGTACCACTGGGTTGGGTACATGACTACGCCGCCCAGGCCATATTAGCATGCAGTTATAGATGGCTCTTGATGCCAACCGTCTATAGTGGTCCAATGCAGTCAACATTTTATTCTGGTACCAGCCACTCCAAGTAGGAGTGTGTGACCGGTACCTGATGATCTTTGCTTAGAATGATTTGAACAGCCTTTGGCTAGATCATGATGAATTAGTAGACATCAGAGGACCTGTAGGATCAGGATGGCGCTCTACTGAGAACTGGTAGGTAGCAGATACAATGCTTTATATTTCGATCTTCTTTTCCGGCAATGGGAACTCTTGACACACTTCAGTGATCGTCCTATCTCTTTAATATTCCCTTTTGTTTTTTTGCTCGTTCCTCGGCAAAGCCGATCTTCTAAATGCAACGCCAGAAGAGATATCTCCAGTAAAAGATGCGCGCTGGCGCCCCGCCTGTGTACCTGAATCTACCACTTTACATGAATGGGGGAAGCTTGAAAGGATAACCTCCGTTCTTGCCTCGGAAAATGGACATTAAGAAACTGTACATTACGACCAGAATGATACCCCATGCAATGACCATGATTTGTTGCATGTGCGTATCTTTTGTCCTCGGGGCTTTCATAGCAAGGGAGATGGTAGCGAAAGACAGAACGCCGTCTATAAAAAGTTAGCAGCGATTCGTCGCAACGAAAGGGGTTGGTAGAAAGCTTACATATGAAAGCGATGATCTGTGACTCCAGGCCAAATTGACTCTGGAAACCACCGGCAAAGTAGCTGATACCGCCGCGGCCATCTCCTGCCACGTATGGTACTTTGCGGATCTGGTTGAACATGTGGCCGCTGGTAAAGAGAAGGATACCAATCAGGCTGAGGCCAGCGCACACATTCCGGTTGGCGATATATGGCCATATCTTGAAGATAACGCCTGCGACACCGAGTGTGGAGACAATTGACACGATCCAGCGAAGATAATTCACTGGCCGGTAAACAGTAGGATGAGGTCTACCGGGCAGGTGGCGAGCTAGCCAGTCTTGAACCTGCTCAGCAGTTGGTTGGCTAGAGGTAGGATTAGCATTTATTAAGTACAAATAATGGGCTCAGCCTGTTGGGTATCTGCAACATACCCGCTTGTGAAGTCATATCGAATAGGGTCGGGACTAGGAACCGCATGAGGTCCGGTTGTAGGCTGGAAAAGAAGGAGTACCGGAGCTGTTTGTAAGCCGAGCTGTCGAGGGGTTCGCATGATTAGTGGCATCAACCTTCGGAGTACTCGAAAGAGGCACACTAACAGACATAAAAATTTCCCTGCCGTCGGTGAAATCAAGTGTGCTAAGGATCAAGCGCGATTCGCCCTTCTTGTCGCCCTTCACCCAGCTCTTGCCGAGAATTTCCCACTCAGGCTGGAAGATGCCGCATAGCTGACAACCATATTTGGCGTCTAGAGCCGTCAGGAGAACGGCAACGGAATAGTCGCGGGGGGCAGACGTAAGCTTCTTGTAGCTGGAATCGGTAAGCTTCAATGGCGAGGAGGCCACAGCTTGAGTGTGGAAGGTCTCAAAGCGTTCTGTGGAAGAGGACGATGATTTGGCAGCGAAGGACCCGATGGGAAGGGCGAGGACGGAGAGGAGGGCCGGTAACCAGCGCATTTTGGTAGGGAAAGAATGAGAAAAGAACCGGAAGACTCGAATTGGCAGTGCAATTAGGAAGAAGAAAGGAAGGTGAGCTGGCTCGACGTGCGCATCGGATGAGTCGACGACGGGCTAGGAAATTATCGTTGTTTCTTTGCCCAGGCCAAGTGAACAGGTAGGTCGTTGTCAGAGATGTGGATAGCTAGGTAGCTAGCTTCACGATTCCCATAGGAGCTTAGGTCAGGGCCATGTGTAGTGGTGCTCAGTTCAGTCCACGCAATCGTGGCCCAGACAAAAGGTGTCCTCAATCGAGTTCGGAGGAATGGGCCGTATATACACTGTACAAATAGACTGTATCACAATCCAGCTCGAGCCACCTATTGGTACTTAGGTAAGCTTGGCAGCGGCTGTCATGCCCCCACCCATTGTCTGCACTAAGCCAAAGCTGGAAGTTTGTTGATCTTTCACAATGTGCCCCCCACAAAACACGCTCTATCTCTCTCCGTCATCCCTCCGCACATCACATCCATTCATCAATCCACCTTGAACGTCTTCACCAGTTGCTCTAATAAGACACGAGCTGGGTATAAGACGACACTTATTACGCAAGGACCTGTTGAACTCCTGGTCATCACTGAGAGCTGCATAGCTATACCCGATCTCATACCTGCTACCAGCCTACTAAGATTTTCACGCGTCCTGTTCGACCCAGTCCATTGTCATGGGCAGGGTTGCGAAGGCCGCCATGGCCTGCGAGCAGCGCGCAAACGCCGATGGCGAGAAGGTAGGCTTACACTCGAATGGTTCCTGTGACAACTGGCTGACCCTTCGTGCTAGCGTACTCGACGCACCCGGGTCCTCCACAACCTCGAACTTCAGCACCAGAAGAACGAATGCGACTCCGACATTTTGGTGAAAGATGAAGATATCCGTAGATTACGAGTACGGATCCTGTTGCTTCGTGATGAGAACACAGCACTACGAGACCAGGTCGACCTCAATAACGGGAAGAATGCCACTTTAGCCTCGCGATGTGACAACTTAACGGCTCAGATCGAAGACAAAATTGCCTTGGTTCGCTCTCAGGAAGAGCAGCTACGCAAACAGGAAAGGGAGTTTTCAAATCTCAAGGTCAGTACTCGGGAAGCATTTGAACGGTCATTCAGCACCTTTGCTTTGGACTAACTTTGAAATCACACATAGGCCGAGCTTCAATCCATGAACAACATTAACGAGAATTCCGCCAATCTCCTTTCCGAGAAGTTGGCGTTGGCCCGCGAGTTGGCCAATCTGAAGCCTGAGATCGAACACTTGCGATCTCAAGTCAACCAGCAGCAGGCTACCCTTACTGAAAAGCTTTCCTTGGAACGTCAAGTTGACACACTTGAAGTGGAGCTAGCCAATGAGAAGAAAGCCACTAGACGCGCAATGCAAAATCGCGAAAGCAACGACCGAGTCGAGGACGAACTTCGAAAGAAGCTACGCGAGACAGAGAAACAACTAACCGCCGAGAAAGCGGAACGTGAGAGGCTAGAAGACCAACTGGAGCAGAAAACCAAAACCCACGCAATCACCTTGCAGGATCAGAATAACACGCGGGAGGTGGAAGCAGATCTCCGAAAGAAGCTACAAGAGGCTCAGCGACAATTAAAAGAACAGATGGAAGAGAAGGAGAAATTAGAAGAGGAGATACAAAAGGCACAGCGGGCCTCTAACTCGCAGAAAGTCACAGCCCAAAGCTCTGCAGACGCCGAGCTCCATGCCCAGATCGAGGAATTTGAGCGACAGATCACCAAACTTGAAGGCGAGAATAAGATGCGCCAACAGGAACATGAAACGGCTGTTGCCGAACTGGAAGCACTGAATGAGCAGCTTGAGAAGAAGCTCGAGAAAGCGAGAATAAAACTCCGAGGAACCCAGGAAGAGCTGAAGCAGAGTCAAAACAACCTTCTGAAAGCTCAGCAACAGCAAAATCGGTTATCCAGACTCGATGAAACGAAACCGGCAGCTAAGACACAAGCTTTCCGTAAGAGGAAGGCTCAAGAAACGAGCGCGGGCGATTTCACGAATATTGAAATTCAGACACCAAGCGCAGAAGACGCACCTAAGGCGCGACGGGCAATGAAGAAGATTGTCTTTGAGCCGACTGTTGTTGGTGAGAAGTCCAACTTCTCCATAACTCCCTTCCTCAATCGCTCTAAGAATACGAGCATGAGCGAAGAAGCTTCAAATATTGACGAAGGAGTTTTGGAAGACTCTATTCTTGGCCCACAATCAGGCTCTGAACCAACTGAGTCCTCGTTGTCAGAGACCAATGAATCCTCAATCACAAAACCTGTCGAAACCACCGAAGCTGAACCTGCCACCACAGCACCTGTAGAGACTGAAAAGCCTCAAGTGGTGCCCAAGGTACGTGGTAGGCCCAAGAAAGTGCTAGTAGATGCGCCTTCAGCCAAGAAGAACGCCTTGACAACCAAGAAAGCACCAAAAAAGATTCTGAAAACCAAAAGCAGCCTCGAGAAAATCACTGAGACTGACGATGCTTCACCGGAGGAAAAGAGTGAAGATTCTGGAGATGCCGAGCCTAGAGAGAAGACAACAACCGTTAAGTTCAATCTTGCTCCTTCTCATGACGAGGGTAACGATTCGAGTCAAAACGGTGAGATTCCTAAGAAGAAGAAACGGAAGGTACTCGGGTCTACTAAGACGTTATTCGATGAGGATGAGGGAGAAGCGCCAGCCGCAAGGAAGCCAGCGAAGATGCAGCTTGGGGCAAAGAGAGCCAAAGCACCGCTAGGTGTTCAGAAAAACGCCTTTGCGGGTACCACATCGTTCTCGCCACTGAAGCGAGATCGCCGAGGCGTGGGTGCTAGCTTCCTTGCGTAAAACTGGGTTGGTCATGATCATCAAATAGGGGATATCAATAAGGGCATCGCAGGGCTACTTACAGCATTGCATCAATATTGGCGTTGTCGTTTAATACTCGGCGCGAGCACGGTTTGCTTGACAGTCAGTTTGCATGGCTTGAGCCACGGTTATCGGAATAGGAGTTTGGTCTAGGTTTGCTTGCATTGCGCTGTAAGATTATGGGTATGAATACATTGAGTCCCCAATGCTGGAGTCTATTTGCTCCTTCTAGAAACGCCGTTTCCCTTCTATCCCGCGTTGAAATCTATGACATGTGACTGAATTGATGTTTGGACTTTTCATCTCGCCCAGTTACCGTCTTCCCCATCCATGTTTCATGATTGCCCTCTGGACTTCTAGCGGTCATGATTTGTACGTATTGTATATCACCTAACTGTCTCGGCGAAATGACTCGAGAGGTAAGATAAAGTAGCAAACCCCAAAGAGCTTTACTCAAGCGGTTTTGGGCTTTTGGGTAGTGCCTCGTATGCCCGACTCAATCATGACAAGACGATCCTCCCTCCAGCTCCAAACAACCGCAAGCATACCTCCCGGGCCTAGCGCAAGCGTCAAGCCGACGATATAGACAGCCCATTTCACGAGTTGGACGACATTAGCACCACCCAACAGCACTCGATGGACATCGTAGACAGTGATCCAAGCCCACAGGAGCGTGGGGATGAAGCAGCCCCACCAGTCGACCTGGAAGATATAATGCAAACCAGCAGTCGTAGTGGTCATCCACCCCTCGCGGCTCGGCCAGAAGACATACTGGAAACTGAGCTGCAGATCCTCCGAGGTCGCGCAGACGTACAGCGTCACGAAGTGGTTGACGGCGCACACGAGGGCGGCCGCGGCATACACGCGCTTGAGATGCTTGACGTCGGGGTTTCTGGCGTTGCGCGGGGAAGCGGCGCCGCCAGCGAGCAGCAGCGAGGACGTGAACAGGAGGATGTTCACGAAACCCGGGGACGGCTGCCAGAGGAAGATGAGGAACTCTAAAGTGGAGGTGCTGAGGCCAGGGGTGTACATGGCTAGAGTGGGGAGAAGGTAGCCGGCGGCGATACTGAAGAGCAGACCGCGCGCGTAGGGGAGGGATACCTTGCGCCCGGTGGTGTAGTATGCATCTGATTTGGAGATCAATACGTACGAGAGGTAGTACAGCGGGATGATAGCTGCGCCGGCTATGGTCTGGTAGAAGAGGACGAAGAGTCCGGTGCTAGAGGTTTAATTAGTAAAGAAAAAAAAAAAAAAAGAAATCAAGAGAAAAACCTCTCGCCTCTTCATTATTATCTTCTTGCTATGTTTTTTCAATGCATGGTTCGTAATATCGATCTGAGATATCCCCTTGCTTATAGTCCACCAAATAGAGTAAATATAATAACTTACAAGCTCACGAGCTTCCACGAGTTTTTCGCGCGACACGCCTCGACATTCCAAACGGCGATGACGCCGAAGAACTGCACGAGGAAATGCATCTGATGCAGCCGCACGCCGTGGTCCCAGTCGAGGGGTCCGGCAGCGAAAGCGGCGACAAGGAATAAAAGGCCGTTATCCACGACCTCGATGCCGGTGTACCGCGTGCGCATCGGCGTGCCATTGGGATACGTTTTCGCTTCGACTAGCTCGACAAAGTCTACCGGTATCCCCTTGATCCCCGTCTCGATTCGCATAAGCCATGCAGCGAGCGCTGAGGCGAGGGCGAATATCAGCACGTAGAGCGCATTGTAAGGCCGCGTGTTCTTGGAGCTCTTCTTCTTAGTCTTGGCCATCTTGTACAGTTTGAAGACCTGGTCTGTCGTGTAAGGCTAGGTGGAATACCCTTTTTTTGAAACTGAAGCACCAAGAGCCACACGTAATAGATGTTATCTTTGCTCGGAGAGACTGGTGCTTGATCTCATTGAAAAAGATGAGATTCGAAGTCATACGTGATCTCGTCAGAGGTTCGGGCTAAAGTAGGTATTTGGAATCAGCTTTTCGCCGGAGCGGGTACGGAATCCTTCCGGCTGTTGGTGCCAGCCGCGTCGGAGCCATCTCGAAATTGGGCAAATATGTAATTGGTAATATCCCGACAACAAAGTCATCTTTGTATATGGATTTGATAAAGCCAATTGCAAAATATCTGTCAATTGTCTCACAGTCCATTAAGTACGTACGTGGCGCTCAAACATCTGGCATTTGACTTGATTGACTTATGATGCAGCGCACCAACCTGTCCTCCGTCGTAACGCGCTAGCCACCAACTGATGGTATCATGTACTAGGCGTCGCAGCAATTTAGTCTTGATAAAGTTACCTGAGGTAAAACATCGTAGTGATGTGAACAAAGGCGCCAGTAAGGGCTCAAAGGATACTCCGAGAGAACCGATCCACCATAAGCACCGCGTAAGGTGGTGGACAGCCGTGAGTCTAAGACATAGGGCCCGCATCTGTTCCGATCATTATCACGCCGGATCAGCCGCTCATATTTCCGCAGAAGAGCATTCTCGATGTTTCAGAGATACGATACCTTGCAGATGGGTGTAGAAGAGGTAATACACTCTATGAAGCGGCGTAACATGCCCTTGCTTTGATTGTGTTTATACCAATGCCTAGGTAGGCGGGAGAAGGACGAGAGCTTGTACCAGGTGCTTCAAGAATGAGTGAGGGATGGACGGTAAGGTACGAAAGGATGCAGTCAATCTGCATTGAGGGCAGCGTCTCAATGCTATAGGTACATAGGAAGTAGGTAAAGCAATAGGACTTGTCACCGTACCATCGCAGCACCACCCACGACACGAAAGCCGGAAGATACCGCTATGACCGATGGCGATGCTGCTGCGGCTATTGCTTCTGCTATTTCTTGACATCCTCGTGATCCCCCGATGGTCGCTATTCCCACGGAGACGCTGGCTTAGCCAGCAGATTATGGCCCAGAAGCATGGATGGCCCATACATAAACGCGGTCTAGCAAAATGGATCCAAAAGTAGGGAGTCGGAGTCAAGGAAAACGACTCGTATGTAGTCCCGCCATGATCGTGGTTATCATCGTCAAAACTGATAATTATTACGATCAGGAGATGACGAAACCAATAAGTTGGGAGGAGAGGAGATATCTCCGAGTTACTGATAGACAGGATTGTAAGCACCACTGAAACCAATTTCGAAAATCCAACAGTTTCCTACTATTGTCGGAGTTATCTCATCTGCTAGCATTAGGAGAAAGCAATCGAAGCGCGAAATCCTCCCTTGAAGTAACTAATTCGTATTGTCGTCTCCGGTGTGTCATGATATCCAGCCTTGAGCCTAGCTCAGCTCCTCGTAAAATAACGAGTTACATGAGAAGAAATGTCGAAAGTGCCGCCTCCACTCTGCATCCTAGTCTTATCATCTAGGCATGTCATCTTCACTTATCGTTTCTCTGGTTTGCCCATTCATTCGTTCATTCAATCATCACCTCGTCATCATAAGTTCAACCTTCTCAAACGAGAGATAGATTCCAGGTTGTGTACCCGTCCTGTCAACCTTAACCTTTCAGCTGCCAATTTTTCACTCGAAACCATTTCCCGCTCATAGAGGAATTGAGTATTTATCTCAATAAATCTCCAATCTCCTCTCCCTCGTAACCCGTCTCCGTGAGCGACAATAATTGTACAAAGCGAGCGGCAGGGCGATAACAAGGAGCGCGGCAGAAATGCCGAAGAATACGCCGGCTAAAACATCTGTGGTCGTAGAGTCTAGGCCGAAGGGTTCTAGACGAGTATCTCGTCGTGAATTTAAACATGCCATTCTGGGGCGCTGGACGGTCTGAAAATGCATATATGATGGGTGAATGTGTTGCAATTGAAGTAGCTAGTTATTTATTGCTTTCATGGGCGTTGAGAGATATAGGTAGATATGAATCTGGGTTCAAATATTGAATAACCCGTATCTGATCCGTGTCTAGCTTGGGCTACTTCGTTAGTATAGGGACCATATATTCAACTGAAGGCAGCGCTGATTGATTTCTTGCTTACATCTTGGGAGACGTACATATCAGTTGACCGTAGCGTAAACACAGCCTCCTCATATACGGAGGCAATCTCCAGTAAATCCAACGATGGCGGCCAGTCAATTGAGTGTTGAGGCAAAACAGGTGAAGTCAAGGCAGGGATACGCCGTATCAAATGTCAAAATAAGAGATGATAAAGATCCTACAGCACCTTGAATATCGTCTCGTCTTGTCTCTGTTCCGTTTTTCTTCTCAGACAGCAAGGGTACTCTTTATTGTATTTCCGATGTGACGAGTAAACAACAGTGAAAACCCGTTGGGTTCAACGACAGCGGCAATTCTAACTCCGCTCCACGATCGGGATGGAGTTGTGTGACCTCATCTCCACCTACGAATTGACTCGTATTCACTCCCTTAGTTACATGTTCACACATTCAGACACGCTCGCACAAATGCCTGTAGCCGATAATCATGTGATATAAATACACAAGCAGGGGAGAATAAACGACGCGCGCGACCAGCTACCAGAAATAGATTCACAGTGTCCGACTCCAGTTCAAGGGATATACGAGGGGGAAATTTTAGTCATTAGTTTCTCTCTTTTGATAAAGCTGTGCTGGCGGTTAGATAGGTGCGATGATATGAGATGTGTTTTTTCATCATTAAAAAGTAGCCTATTGTACAGAATTGTACACATAGGTAATACAGATGACATGATTACCTAGTCAGCCGTGTTTGATATCAATCAACAGCGTTTACGGCCACACATACTAAGGCACCGCGTCTCTACTAATGAATTTCCGTTTAACCAGTCTCACCCATCTCCTACGTCTCCAGTCCCCTCTCCTCCCATCGCCGTCCTCACCTTCCTCCCAGCTGGGCTTCGGCCGTTTAGGCGTATCGGTAGTCTTGCCTTTACTCAAGGTCGAGCCATCAATGACACCGATCTTCTCTGTTTGCTCATCGTAGATATCATACACCCATCTCTCGCCCTCAGTCTCGATCTCGACGCCCGTGATGATGCGCTCCTCTACCCACTCGCGACTCCATAGATCCAACGCCCACTTCTTCTCGCTCCACTCCCAGCCCTGAGGAGGCTGTACGTCTTCGAAGAACCGAGTACCCACCGGCCGTTCGCCCGCGATCCGCGCCGGTGAGAGGGGGTCATAAGGAGAAGCCGAGAAAATCCAGGGCTCCCACTCCCCAGCTCCCGACAGTCGCTGCAGCTCAAATATCTCTACTTCTCGAGTTTCAGGCGCACTGTCTAGGATTACATCCTGCTCTATCCACTTCTCAACCCACGTCATGGCTCTCTCCTCCTGAGGCTGGACGTGCTTCTTGTGCGCCGTTTCTAGTTGCCTCTGTATAAACGGGTGGCCAAGGCAAGTGACAGTCCAACCGGCAACGAGGAATAACAGTCGCCAAGGAATTGCATTGGCCGCAATACACATGAACATGCAGGTAGCGAACAAGATGACGAACAAGGCGCTGCTCTGGGCCTCATTGCTAAAGTTAGTTCGCGGCACGACGAGCCTCACTATGGCGTCGTGCATCTGGCTGAAGTCCTCCATGCTGTTCTGTAGATCCCGCATGTTATGGAAAAAATCCCGGCTCAGCTCCTTCGCAGGCTTGACAGTGATGGCGGGCGCGATAGGCGGGCCGCCAGGTGAGTAACCCATACCCATAACTTGCTCGTTCGTCGAGTCAAACTCGGCCGCGGGGTGTCGCGCGATAAAGTTCGGCACTAGGATACTAACTAGGAGAATCACAAGCGGCAGCAGCGGCAGGAGGGAAGGGTCTAGACACACGAACGTATAGATGGCGAGAAACGAGAGAGTGTGTGTTGGGCGACGCCACGCCAATAGCCGGATCACGCGGGCCTGGAAGACGAAGACGACGCCGATGCGCGCATTAAAGCGGCGGAAGTTATTGGACATGGTGGGAAGGTTAAAGTTGGGCTTCGCGGTCCGGCCCGGTAACGGGTCGTCCTGGGGGATCTCGGCATCGTCGAGCGGCACTACTTGAGCCAGTAGCTTCTCAACGAGATGGTCTTGTATCCGTGCCTTTCCCTTCAACGCAGAGAGGCGACCGCGAAGCCCGCCGGCGCGGGACGGGGTTTCGGTGTCTGAGGAATAAGTGTCATGGCTTTCGTTTCGCTTGTGGGAAATCGACGGCGTGGGTGTCTGCGATCGCGGCGATGAGCGGTTCAGTATGATAGTTGGTATAGGGTCGTCGCGGTTGACAAAGGTTTCGGCGCTACGCTCGTCCATGGCTGACTAACTTCAATATAATCCCCGTACCGTTTGATCGTTTGATTGTAGGGTTTGCTGTTGCAGGTTTCACGATGACGTAAGTGGGAGTAGCATATACTCCTTTGGCGGATCATAACCAGCGCCAGTGACTGTATCAAATCATGAAGAAATATCTCGGAAAAGCATGTTCCATGGATGCTAGGGGGGGGAAGTCATGCATCAAGCTGAAATGCTATGAGGATGTTATAGAGGTGGAATTGGCATCACATGCAAATGCGTCTGCCTCTGATGTTGTCGGAAGCGGCAGTGAAGGGTGTCTGAGATACCCACCTAAGCTAGTAAATTTAGTGGATCTGGACAGTGGCTCGAGTGGATCATCCGCGGGGTTGGTTAAGCTACCTAGGTAGGTAATATTTAGCGGGGAGGGTGGGGCAAGGTGCATACCTGCCCTGCAGCTTTTTTGATCTTTGGAAATGAAGCTCTCATCACTTCTGATCTCTTAAGAGAAATTCCATCATATCATCAATCAATCACAACTAGCACTGAACCCCTCCGAGAGCAATCGGAATAAATTGATACCTTTCGTTTTTGTATCCGAACGCTGAAGAATTGACCCTCGAGCCGAACGAAACATATCGATCATGCCCATCACAATATTACAGCCTGCACCGCCGCCGGGCTATCTCCCGAACGAATCTTTCGGCGCAAATTCAGATTCCGACTCAGAAGGCGGAGTCGATATTGAAGGAGATGTTTCTATGAAAGTGACGTCTACACGATCTCGCCAGTCTGACGCCATAGTAACCCCCGGGGAAATAATAACAGAAGACCCTCAATGGATGCGGTAGGTAGAGAAAGAAGTATTCTAAGCTGCGATCCAGTCTGCTGTTGCCGAGCTAACGTGATTTCCTTGTTCTATACAGAGGCCACGGAACTTACACAACCACCGAACCCCCAGCCATCGTGTCCTCCGTCGCAGGCACGTTAGCTAAGACCAACAAGCTTCTCTCTGTACGACCTCTCCGCGCCCGCTACACCCCCGAGATCGGTGACCTTGTCGTCGGGCGAATCGTCGAGGTACAGTCCCGCCGGTGGCGTGTAGACGTTGGCGCTGCGCTCTTAGCTCAACTGCCGCTATCAGCGATCAATCTACCAGGTGGTATCCAGCGACGGCGCACCGAGACCGACGAATTGCAAATACGAACGTTCTTTTCCGAGGGCGAACTCTTGGTCGCCGAAGTACAGCAACTCTACGGTGATGGCGGGGCTGTGCTTCACACGCGCTCTCTCAAGTACGGGAAGTTGCGCAACGGGCTGTTCATGGCCGTGAGTGGCACGGGTGGTGGCGGAGGTGTCGTGCGCGCGCGTCGCCAGGCTTTCGCCATGGATATTAATGTCGGCGGGGGTGCTGCCACGGACGACGCTGAGAAGGTAGACATCATCCTCGGCGTTAATGGGTATATATGGATCAGCAAGCATATCGAGGGCGAAGGGCCGGCGGCCGAGACCTCCGGGCCCGCCATCACCAGGGTCGAGGAGAGCGTAGGGTTGAATGTGTATTCAAGCCAGAATGATGAGATACCCGTCGCCACGATGCGTGAGATCGCGCGGGTCAAGGGTGTGATTGAGGCTCTGGTTGAGCACGGGTTGCGAGTGGACGAGGAGATGGTGGTAAGGGGGTATCAAGAGGCTGTTGAGTTGGCGAGGGGCGACGGCGACGGGGAAGAGACGTTGTATCTGGGTGGTGAACGGGGACGAAGACTTGCGGATGCCCTTGTTGGTCGGTAGTCTTCAGATGTGACATATTACTTGAGACGGGGGTGATGTATATAGATGAGGAGGAATGATACCACACCCATGGTCTTATGGGCCCCTAGAAGTAATAGACATCCCTACAAAGAATGGCCGCGCCATAGAGCGAAAAACGCGAGACTAATCATCCACACTAGGGGATAGAATACCTATATGTATAAAAATATTATATATTCAAGTCCGTGTTCGTGGTGATACATATTCATAGGTAAATATCCAAGCAACACTACATAGCCAAAGTAGAATGAAACAAGCGACGTAATCATATGTTTGCAACAACACTTCTGCCCCGAGGCTTAAGACACGTGTGTTTGGTTTGTAGACAAGATATCCAGGCATCTGCTAGAGCACACTAGCTCGGCTATTATGTCTCCAAGATGGTATGAACAATTTACTTCCTTCCCCGTCACGATTATCCAGACATAAAAAAATTCACGATAGGACCTAGTATAGGCTTAGTAATAGATGGTTAGACGATAATATTATCGAAGCTAAGGACCTAGACAAGCTGGAGAGAAAATAAAGGGGGGCCGGCGTGAGAGAATATAGCGTTTACGAGGTTAAATACCACCCTCAAGTCTATCTAGCGAAGCCTTGAACTTGTTATATAATGTGAGAGCCACGAGAAGTAGTAAAACGCAGTGGAAATCTCATAGCCTGGCGTCCGGACCTTCATCAAATCAACACATCAGCTAGTTAAGCATGATTATCTAAAAACAATTCACAATTGACGCGAATTGGAAAATGAAATTGGGTATATATTAGGCTCTCATTGACTTTCACGAGTCTTCTGAGGACATGCCAGCTTTACAATCCATATGCCCAGGCTTCACCTATTCCGAGCGAGGTTTTGCAGCCATAGTCAGACAGTACAAAGCGATGCTACCAGATTACGCGAGGAATTTCGAGAGGCGATGGAACTGGGTTTGGTAGGCGTACCCAGCAGCGAGGACGGCAAGCCATCGAAGTAGCGCGCTTTTGACCGTGGGGCCCCCGAGCCCGAAGAGCATCCAGATCCAGTAGCCCACCCCCGTGATCTTCTTGCCGTTGCGGTCAAAGTCGGGCTTCTGGCTGTGCATCCAGAGGTACTGTTTCAGCTCCGACTGTAAGTACGGCGCGTAGCGCACACGCAACAGCTTGTCCATCCAGCCGGGTGTCGCTACCACGGTGCGTCGGTGCGTGAAGCAGTCGAAGGATGCACGCCCGTGGTATGCGCCTGTGCCAGACTCGCCAACACCACCGAAGGGAAGAGTATACACGCACCCATGCATGTAAGAGTCGTTCATACTTGCTCCGCCTGACGTGACATTGCTAAGAACTTGAATTGGGGTCAGTTGGACGATACGACTTATTGCCAAAGAAAAATTGCAAGATTAGCATACCTTTTTCATTTTCGGCTTTTGAACCGAAGGTCATGAGAGATAAGGGGGTAGGGTCCACCTCATTCATGACTCTGATGGCTTCAGTTACATCGTCGACGGGATAAATAGACCAGATGGGACCGAACGATTCGTCCACCATCATCGGGTCGCCGATGGAATCAACAAGCACGACGGTAGGGGCGATGTATAGATTAGACCTATCTGTCTCTCCGCCCATGACGATCTTGCCATTTGTCTTGTCCAACATGCCCTTTATACGATCAAACGTTCTCTCGTTGACGATGCGTCCATAATCAGGACTGTTTTTGGCGCCCTGTGGGAAGAAGTCTTTGCATGCGGCGTTAAGGCACTTGATGAACTCATCCACTACTTCGCGTTGCACACAGACGTAGTTTTGAGACATGCAGACCTGGCCTGCATTGTGGGACTTGCCCCAAAGAAGCCGGCGTGCCGCCAAAGGCAGGTTAGAAGCTTTGGAAACAAAGGCAGGGTTTCTGCCGCCTAGTTCGAGGGTTACGGGGGTTAGAGTTTCAGCTGCCTTCTTGGAAATGATCCTCGCGACATTAGAATTGCCCGTATACATGATCTTTCCCCACTTCTCGTTTAGGAGGGCCTGTGTCTCGGGAATGGCGCCGTTTACCACGCGGAAAGCGTTCGGGTCGAGATACTTCCCGACGATCTCCTTCAGGACCATGGCGGTTGCGGGTGAGCTCTCGGAAGGTTTGAGGATGGCAGTGCATCCCGCACTAATGGCACCGATAAGAGGGCACATACTGAGCATGAAGGGGTAGTTGTAGGCGCCGATGATGAGCACTGCGCCTAGAGGCTCCTTTCGGATACGCGGCCTCAGAGGCGCGTAGGTCAATGGGAAGTCCAAGTTGGTGTCGTCTTTGGCCCAGGTCTTCAGTTTCTTCATGATGTGTTGGAGATCACCGATAGTATATGATACCTCGCCGACAAGAGCTTCCAAGGATGGCTTGCCGATGTCCTGCTTCAGGGCAGCAATCAGATGCGGGGTGTAATCGGTGATACCCCAGTACAGCTTCCTCAATTGCACGAGACGCCATTCGATGTCCTTCGTCTTTTGCGACGCGAAGGTCGCCCGGGCATCGGCAGCATACTGAGCAATCTTATCCAAAGAGTCGGCCTCAAAGGGGGGTATCTTGGGATCGGAAGCCATTTTCACTTGACAAAGTGGTAGTGATAATGGATGTGTCTAGATTCGGCTGCACGTGGTTGGATGGAAATGTAACGTCAATTAATTGATTTGGGAATCCAGGCAGAGCAGCAACCACATAGGTCGAGCTAGGAGTAGGTAGCTACAGGTAAGGAGCTGGCTACTGCGCCAAAGGAATTGTCGAAAGCAATAACCAAAGATGTAATGTACAGAGGAGTATTATAAGGGAATTGCTGAGGTGAAGCGAGATCAAGAACGAGAGGGGAACAATGACCTCGCTGACTGCAGCACAAGCTGTCAAGGGTCTATCTACATGTAGGGATCATCTACCTTTGCATCTTCTTACTTAAGGTAGCAAGCCGAGGCATCTCTCATCACAAATTTATGGGGAGGAAGTGCACTACCTATTCAATGTGGCTTAAGCACTGTACTTCGTCTGGATGTGGCTTTGAGTGGCGTTTGTCTCGGGCGACCCTGTCCTCGGCATTCGTACGAAATAAGACGAGTTGTTCGGAACGATCCAGCTGTAGCCTGTCAGCTACACTACCTACTTAGTTATTATGTTCATGCCAATTCTGCATAGCTGCTCGTTGTGTTTCATCTGCGATAATTGTCCTTGTAATCAGTCGGCTGTGTTGGCCGTTTCTTTCGGTAGCAGCGATTCTCTCAGCCAACCTACCTAGCTGACCGAGATAGGTTCAAGGAAGAAGCCTGGCAAAGACTGGCGGGGGCTTGTAGCGAACCCAGGTCTGCCAGGGATTCAGTAGAACATATCGCCATAATGCTGTAGAACTGATATTCCCTGATCAAAACGGCAGCTTTCTGCGCCAACCCAGTCTTATCAATGGTGATCTCTATCTGTGATTTTCAGTCTGTGGGCCCTTGCCCAGAATGGGGCCTGGCCGGTGGCTCAGATATGCTGCCGGTGCTCGGAGCATCTCGACCGTTTATCGAGCATCGAGTCTTTATATACAGGGTTGGAATGATCAGGCAAGAGCCATGAGCGTGTAAAACAGGCAAAGAGAAGAAAAATCACCGACCGAGCATCATCACCAATATTACCGGCGCACCGTCAACTCTCATATACATTTTCCTCCTATCATTTCATCATATCGCCCTTGACGATAATTACGTACTCACTATCATGACATCGAATATGTACGTTGAGTTAACCGCGCCTAACGAGGTCAGGTACACTCAACCCAGAGGTCTCTTTATCAACAATGAATTCGTCGCTTCTGAGAGCGGGGCAACTATCTCATCAATCGATCCCGCGTAAGATATTCCTTTCGCATGGAGCACTTTCGTCGGTGATGGTAGCTCATGCTGATGCTGAATCATCACAGCACCGAGGAGGAAATTGCGACAGTCTACGCTGCCGGAGAAGCTGACGTAGACAAGGCCGTTCGTGTTGCGCATAAAGCCCTGAAAGAGCCTTCATGGAAGCATCTCTCCGCGTCAGATCGTGGCGCCCTGATGTGGAAGCTGGCAGATTTGATGGAACAGAATCGCGAGTTATTCGCCACCATTGATGCTTGGGACAACGGTAAGGACTCACTCTGCGTCAAGAAAACCAGCACCATTTTGAGAATGCTGACATTGATATTCGTATCTAGGAAAAACGTACCAGGAGGCCTTAGAAAACGATCTTGTCGAGGCGGTTGGTGTTATCCGCTACTATGCGGGCTGGGCGGACAAGATCTCCGGCCAGACCATCTCAACAACTTATCAGAAGTTTGCCTACACGATCAGGCAACCTATTGGTGTAGTTGCTCAGATCATTCCCTGGAACTACCCCCTATCGATGGCCACCTGGAAGCTGGGGCCAGCTCTCGCGTGCGGCAACACCGTCGTGCTCAAGTCCGCAGAACAGACGCCTCTCAGCATCCTGGTGCTTGGCGACCTGGTCAAGAAGGCCGGCTTTCCCCCAGGAGTGGTGAACTTTTTAAACGGCATGGGAGCTGTGGCGGGAACCGCCCTCGTCAGCCACCCTCTCGTGGATAAGGTTGCTTTCACTGGGAGCACCGCAACAGCGAGCACTATCATGCGACTCGCTGCCAAGACCCTGAAGAACATCAGTCTGGAGACCGGTGGGAAGTCTCCCCTGGTGGTTTTCGGAGACGCCGAGATGGAACAGGCCGTCAAATGGTCGCATCTGGGTATCATGTCGAACCAGGGTCAGATCTGTACAGCAACATCGAGAATTATAGTACAACAGGACGTGTACGATGAGTTCTTAACTAAATTCCTAGAGACAACGAAGACAACAAGCAAGGTCGGGGATCAGTGGAGTAAAGACACATACCAAGGGCCGCTGGTGTCTAAAGTACAGTATCAACGCGTACTTGACTACGTCAGAATCGGCAAGGAGGAGGGGGCGCAAATGGTTTCTGGAGGGGAGCCTGTGCCAATCGGCAATGGTGGAAAGGGATTCTTTGTCGCCCCGACTATATTCACAGACGTCACACCGTCCATGAAAATCTGGAAAGAAGAGATCTTCGGCCCAGTCGTCGTGATTGCCAAGTTCACGAATGAAGAAGAGGCCATAGCCTTGGCGAACGACACGACCTACGGCCTTGGGGCCGCCGTCTTCACAACTAACCTTGAAAAGGCTCACAGGGTAGCTGCGGAGATCGAGGCCGGTATGGTGTGGGTAAATAGCAGTCAGGATTGCGACCCGAGGGTTCCGTTTGGTGGCGTTAAGCAGAGTGGCATTGGCCGGGAGCTTGGCGAGGCGGGCCTGGATGCATACTCGCAGATTAAGGCAGTCCATGTCAACATGGGGAACAGATTGTAAAGTGACATTTATAAGTATCCCATATATTTTTTAGGAGAACACAACAGGTTTAGGTTTCCTCGAGCCGCCACATCACGGCCTGGCATTTATATTCAAATAGCGGTACTATAGAGCAGAAAAGGTTGACTTAAACGAGGCTGGCGTAGACTCAAGAGTTTCATAGGAGATGAAGGAAAGCCCAGGAGAATAGCAAGTGCTTAAGATTAACCGCAAAGTGAACATCTTCATAAAGGCAACCCAGACTGTATGTACTACAGGAAATTCGATATGGAAACAGAAATTTTATATAAGGACAGAACCATAGTTGCTTATCCCCCCTTAATCATAGCCTACGCTCAGGAACAGGTCGTTCCGTACGCTCTATACACCCTCGTCTGCAGTTTCCCAGCCATCCTCTTCCTGGTCTTCATCGTCTCCATTCTCAACGCCTTCTAGCCTTACACCTTCATCTGAAGAGTTCTGGTCGATGACAGACTCACCGCTACCATCTTCCGATAAATCATCCGAGTGCTCAGACTCGGAATCTGACAAAGCCCATATGTCAACTTCTTCGTCAAAAGGAGAGACTTTCATCCTATCCCTAGATACCTCAATAAACTCCTCGAGGGACTCGATAGCCAGTCCCAGCCTCTCCGCTCGAACATCCAGGTCAATGGCCCTGAAGGTTTCCGCTTCAATGTCGATTCCGGCTTTTGCCTTGGTCTCAGCTATTTCTCTCAGGTCCTGTCTGGCGGACGAAAGGTTCTGAGCTCGGAGCTTAGATATGATAAGCTTTAATCTTTCGGCCTCTTGAACTATCATACGGTCGCGGACACTGCGAAGAAGACGTTCAAACGCGAGTGACTTCCGTTGATCGAAATGTCTCTTTCCAAGTTCATCCTCCCACCAGTTATCCCAGGACAGGATTTCCGGATAACTCAAGTAATCTCCAGATGCGCGAGAGTACGACATAACGAGCCGTCTGAACAACCACAAGGGAGTATTCCCAGAATCATCCACGGTTCGGATGTCAATATCGTTTATTCCGAGTTGTGTGGCGAGATCACAAGACTGTGCATCTCCATGACGTGCGAGTGTATGTAGGATATTCCAGCCATTTCTAATGACTTGTAGGCCATCACAACAAGCTCCAACAGTTCGGAGGTAGAATGCTAGGGGGACATTGTACATGGTGATGGCGTGCCCAAGAGGCGTAATCCCATAAATGTTCCTCATATTTATGGAACGTGCTCCGGCCCTAAACAGCATTTCGTATAGTTCCCATAGATCCGCTCTATGAGATTCTATGCGGTTGCATATGTGCCACACCCCAAAGCCGCGTGTGGTTGTAGCCGCTACGTCGGCGCCTCTTGAGATGAGGATTTTCGCGAAGCGAACTGCATCAGTTTCTTCACTTTGTATCTTCTCCATTGTGACGAGAAGGGCCGTCCAGCCATTACAGTCTTTAGCATTCAGCTGACAGCCTCCTTCTACAAGCAGCTTCGCAGAAGACCAGGCATTAGCGCAAACCGCCTTGAGCAAGGGAGTCGCGTCATTGTCATTTTTGACGTTGAGCAGAGCCTCAAATTCAGGCAAATGTTGAATGAGTATTGGGTTGTCGATTTGGGAAACAACATGAAGAATCGAATCATTCCAAGTAGAATATCGTCTGGTGAGGATGTCAGGTGTATTTTGTAACTGACGATCTATGGTCTCGGTAGAACCCTCTGCGCAAGCTTTCAGGAGGTTGATATAACTATCATCCTCCTCTTCACTAAAACGAAGAAATTCCGTAAGATGAAATTTGTCACGGGCAACAAGCTTCCTACGGCATTGATATGGGACGTCATGATATTCAGATAAAAGAATGTTTCTCACGTTAGTCGCCGCTCGTCTATAATATATTCAGTTAGGTGTTCGTCTTCGAAGTCATCATGTTGATGCGGACCTTGTAGAGCTTGCTTCTTCCATAAGGCCAGGCCAGGTGGTAATGCAATACGTGAGTAGCGGATACCCTCCATAATTTATGATCAACTATTGGTAAAAGAGAAATAAGTAGTGTGCATGATCTCTTAGGGGTCCGTTATCATGAATAATCAACACGCACCTCTATAATACTGTCTCCGTCTTCATACGTACTCAATATCGATAACCCGTAGCGTGACAACCAGTGGTTGAGATATTCCGGTTTACCTAGGTGGCATATTCGCCCCAATTGTCGTCGCGCAAACCACATTTCAAGTGGAATGGTCGGCGTAAAAGATAACGTTATATGAAACGGGAATATGTATGTAAATGACCCCAGCATGGCTAAGCCATGAAGCCATATTGGGATGCGAAGTTGCAGCGATACATACGACTGAGTAGCAGAGCAGCAATTCATTCTGCATTGGTTTCTTACGGCCATCTGCGAGTGGTACGACAAATAGCTAAGACCGGGCAGGCGGATTTGACGATTATAGTAACTCGGTGTTTTATGTCCATTGTCATGGCAAAAGCAGCGACACCGACGGCCCAGGTGTTCCTTAGATCTTCCTGCGCTTGGATCCAGTACTGCTGTTTCGCTCGCGGTTACTATAGCTTTCGCTTCGGCTGAATCCGGTGGGTTGTCTAGGCAATCTCCCGGGGATAGTAAAACGGGTATGCCTTGAGAAGGGCGTCCGACATCTTGGGAAATACGAGTATGTATGTGGAAGAGCATTTCTCCTTGCTTGCTACACTAGTGTTAACTCTAGGTTCATATGTAAACAATGTGGGGTATAGGGACTAGTACTAAGTTAATCGGTCTCGGAATAGACTATACAGATCTTGCAGCCGCTGCCTCTGCTTGTAACACTCTTGCTGTAGTTTTATGACGTTTTTGCGCTTTTTCCACCATCGTAGTTTTGAAGGTTTCAAGTTATGATTCTCGTCGACTAGATACGAATCAGCCAATTCTTGGAGAGAAGCCGTCAAGGACTCGAAATCCTTTCGAATTAGTTTGAGGTATGGAGGCTGGTCGACCTGGAGGAGAGGGGTATGATGTTCGCTGGAGAAGAGATCGATATTCTCCTTCATGTGCTCGTAGAATACATGGAGGCTTTCAAGCTAGACAAGATGTAGGTTAGGAAATGACAGATGATTATGATGCCATTCTCTACGAACCTCGTCAATCAGAGCTTCGACCTCCTCACTTGCGTGTGTGAATGCCCTCAGGGTCTTGATTATCTTTGGAGTGACCGCAATGGCTTGACCGATCGCTATGAAGCTTGCAATGGCACCTAAAACCTCCATCACTAGCGCTTTGTTGCTTGTGCTCGATTGTAGGGAGGTTGGGTGTGCCGGATGTGATCGCTTTTTGCTTGCTCGAATGGCTAAAGCAAGGTAATAGGGATCTTGAACATCGATGAACCAATTCTAAGCAGAAACATTTCAATTGCTCAAGCACGTAAGGTCACATCTAATGGCGAGGCTGCTGCGCATGTTGTATACCCCGCAGCGACAGTCCAACCACATGGAGGCCTCACCTGCTGAGAAAGTATAGTGGTGCCGAGTGCCTACACCTTTTATCATGCCTCTTGCTCAAACACCTACAGTAATTGAAGATAGGTAATCTGGCAATTTATCAATTTGGCAAGAAGAGCACCAACAAGGCGAAAGAATCCCTTAAGATACATCTAAATAAAGATGTGTAGGTTTCAATAGTAGCCCAAAGATTCGCAGTCCTTGTTTATATATTCCACTTAGACGCATCACTTGTATGTAACATGTGTTCCGAGGCTTCAAACCCGTCGGGATCTATCCCAACAGGAGGTCATTACATATATGATATCGGTAAATAGGCAACTAAGATCACTTCGGTTTTCTTATCCTATATATTCAGTTCTTCGTAATAGTTCTGGTTATCTACCTAGGTGTCACAGTACGTACTATAGTTGAGTATAGAGACGCATGGTTTCGACCTGATTACCGTCGTTTGCCTTTTGGTAGCGCAGCGGTTATAGAACTACACTCCTATTCCTCGTTCCGTGACACTAGGTAGCCAAGTCGCCTCCGACTATCTAAAAGAAATCCTCATTTACCACGAGCCGAGAGGATCCAGTTGACCTTTACGTACGCAAACACAATCGCAAGTATAAAGTATCCATGTTAGAAGATGAATTGAGATGGAAAGGCATACTTAAGATACCTACGTAGTTAGGCAGTCTTGCTTCCTTCCGAGGGTCATCCCCTTATGGCAGGCAACCAACTATATGTACCTGGATGTATTTTTGTAAGTGTACTTACCATACCCCTATAACCCCACCTCTCACTTCGGGAATCATGTAGAGGGGAATTGATAGCAACACCGATGGTAGTTTTGAAGAACGATATTTTAACTCTAGAGTTAATTGCAAACAAGTAGGAAATTATACACACCATTCAATTTTCAGGTTTCGAAATTGATATCCTTCCTCCAGCAGGCACCAATACTGTTCGTAATCCATCCATGAAGAGGAAACCCTCCGATATTGTGATACCGTGAATACTAGCAAACATAACACATCACCTCTCAAGCAGATCCCAGATCGTGCGCTTCAAGCATAATACCTCCTCAGACTCCTGGTTCAGTCTCATACCGGCCAGGCTTACTATCTAGGTTTTCATCAACTGGTGACTCGTCCATTTCAGTGTCGACACGAGCTCCCAAACAAGCTTCGGGGTTAAAAATGTATTGCGTTTTCACCGCGATGGAGGTGAACACCTGCGTCTCGTCATATTCGGGTTCGTTTTCGCCCCGGGTCGCGATGCATTGTCGTCCACACCTGTCCGGGCGCCCTTCGTGCACAGATATTCCCCGTGGGCATCTATATGTCTTCAAAATCCATGGGACCAAAGAGAATTTTAGTCTTCGATCGGCTGTGGTGCTCCATGAACGTCTGTGGTCAACATTCTCAACAACATCGATGCCATAGTCTATCTTGACGGCATCTAAATATCCCTGCTTTCGGATCCAACCCTCAAGCTTGGGGATTCCAAAGTATTGAGCCTCGCCCAGAAGAGCAGTGTACTTCGCATAGTCATACATATGCGAACCGGTATCGAAGAATAGTGGGAAATTGCCGGACCGCAGGTAACGGAGTATTTCGGCAAATAACGCAGGGTCTGAGTCAATGAATATCGATCCATCATCACCTTCCTGGTTGTTCCATCGATCCGAAAATAGCGAAGCAAAGTAGGTGCTCTCGCCTACTAGAGTGCCTCGAGTTGTGAGGAATTGCTGCTCACCAACCTGCAGTTTAACCGTGTCATCCATCTTAGAAAGACTTCGAGATAGAGCAATAGGTGGGCCAAGCTCCGTAGGGATTATATGAGAAAGGACAGCTTGATGTACGTTCTGAGTGCCAGTAAGGAGTAATATAATTCTGACAAAATGTGCAACAACGATGAGAGTACATTGGCCATGAATGGATGTTCACAAAAGAGAACTTAAGTTCCCTATTTATTTATTATGCTCTGGATACCATGCTTTGAAATCGGAGCGCATCGCAAGCGATGTGATACTGCCAACACGATTTGTTTGCGTCCTACTACAAGTAACAAACCGATCAGGTTTGAGATGCAACGATCCTCCAACTTAATTTTCATTTGACAGTCGCTCTAGTACACCAAACGAGAGATAGAGGCTACGGTGCATTGCATCGGCGAGGACACTACACTGTCACAATAGCATTGCGTAGAAGAAAGGTATGAGTAACTCCACCCTCATCATCACTGTTACACGCGTACAAGCTGCGCAAGCTGTACAAGCTGAATATGCAGTTCGCCTTGCACTTCGGCCGTACTAAAGGCCATTGCAGGCTTTTCCTGATCTTTTAGAGACATGCAGGCAATATTGGAAAGTGAGGTTATACAGACTTCGCTTCTTGAAACAAGCCCTTGAGACCTAAGCGGTCTGGGCTGGCAGACTAATTGCATATAGAGTCAAGTCAAGCTACCAACAGCCAGGAAGTAGTTGGTTGGTCAAGGATTCATGGCCCTAGTTGATCATTATGTTATGAATAACATCAAGTTCCAAGCCCAGATCTCTGCCCTTGTTATAAGCCTCCGCTTGCCTGCTCACCTAAATACTTAGTTAGAGATAGGTATTTGGGTAATGAGAGCCAGTTATTATGGCCCTAATCATCATTCGATTAGGTATCTTCACAACGTATGAAATATGCATGAAATATATACTTGAAGGGTTATTGCGTATCCTGCGCCTGATGAGGCTGTTTCTACTAGCAATCAAGGCTGGATTCAAACGGGTTCTAGTCAGGTGTCGTTGAGACAGCCTGTGGCTATGTCCCTCTTTTACTGCACCAACCCGTAAGCGATTGCCAACACAGCACAAGTACATTGTCACGACATGCACCAGGCCACTTACATTCATAAACGACAAACGGTACGGGTTAGTTGCTCGCTTGAGGGTCCATGTTTCGAAGCCAGGAACATGAACGCATGTAAGGCTCGTGAGATTCACCTGGGCTTGAAAGTGGCATGTTCAAGATGATGAACACTCATGAAGTAGAAGAGGTGTCGCAACTTCTACATCTTCCTCTTTGTATGCCGGAATATCCTGCTCACCAACGCCCTCACTGCAAACAGAATGTGATGTATGACCTGCAGATGACATGTAATAAAACCGCGTAACGCAAAGCAACATGCGCCCGACGGTGCCAAAGAGTTAGAACAAATCTGCATGAGAGCCATTGACACCATTCTAGCTCTGTTGGAGCCGAGGCTAGCCTTTCAACTCTGGCACTTTTTCTACAACACTGTAGCGTCAACCCATAGCTCTGATATGTCCTACGACATCGTCTGTCCATATTACATAAGCCCGGGAAGATTTTACGGTAACTTTACATTGAATGCTCAAACAGTTGGAATTGATTCTGGCTCTACTATTATATAGACATGAGACTTTTGAAAATGAGGATCATTGACACGGCCTCGGTGTCTTGAAGGGAGTAGTCAGTCTACAAAGGCGCCACTTACCTGGGTAGTGGTGAGCGACTCAGCTGAGTGTCGTTCACATGGTGAGTATAAGGCAGGGATGAAGATGAAATGGATATAAAACTCAGGTTTGATGCCATGTATTACTGTAGCAAAGTCCCAAAGATCATTCTGTCAGTCTTACAGCCTCACATTCGATCAAAAACCATGAAACTCGCTAATGCCCTCGCCGTTTTCGCGGCGACTCTGTCTTACGCTCAGTCTACTGGGACAGAGGTATCTGAGCTAGAAAACGTGGCACTTAGATACATACGCTAGGTAGCTACATGGTAGTGCACCCTTTAATGGGGCTGCCTAGGTACCATGACTTATCGACACCTCTCGTCCCTTTGAGTCTTCCATGTTAGCTTAATACTTCCTCCATTCCTTGGTAATTCTGATATATTGGTTGAATCGTGGTTTTAACATTGCTGTGTATTCCTTTCTGAAAGTTTCGTCTTGTGGTGATTATATGATGGCTACATCTATCTACCATCCACATAACCCCCTAGTACCTTGCTTGTCCAGTAGTACTGGTATGGAGCTCTTACGGGTATTAGCTCGGTATAGAGCTACCTAGGTAGCATGGATTAAAGAGCCCCAAATAGGTGTATACACTAGTCGCTACTTAAGTACATCCGACTGCCTGACATCAACGGGGTGTAGTATGGGTGCTTTTTATTATCATTTAGAAGTAGCTTCTTCATTGCCGTGCTTTTAGCTTCTCTTTGACATCGGAGACTGAAAGTCGCTGGGCCAGTATTCGCCCGGGTAAAGAGGCGAGAGAGGAACGTCTAGGGTGTGACGTTCCTGCCAAGTGTGCCCTGGCCGCACCGCTGCGCACCTGCGCACCTTACATGTAGGTACCTACCTGAGCTTATCCAGGCAGGTAGATCATGAGATCATCCAGATCGTTTATCCCTTCAGACTCCCACGACTACATACTTACCTGACATGGTAAATGGTAATCCGGATGCAGATTGCAAGTATTTGATGCACTGGACACATTGTGGCACACTTAACAATGGCTACCATGCTGCGGCAGTACATGAGGGACGTCTCTCCGTTCCTCCTCTTGCTCGTCATCATCAGCACCCTAGGCCCGCTGCAGTTTGGATATCACATCGTAAGCCTCTGCCCTCACCCGAGAGTTGGTCATTATCCAGCTAGCTAACGTGTCTTATTGCCGCTCGCACTAGGCTGAGCTCAACGCACCACAAGATGTCATCTCCTGCCGCGTTCCCAAGTCGTCATCATCCAGGCTGGCTGCCGCCTTTTCCTCTTGGACCTCGCATTCGAGCTCGAACCGCGTTTCTGCCTCTGCGACCTTCCCCAGTTGCATCCCGATGAACGATGCCCAATTCGCCGTCGTATCGAGCATGTACAACCTCGGTGGTTTGATAGGCGCACTCGCCGGCGGTCCCATATCCTCAACTCGAGGACGACTGTTCGCTATGCGTCTGACTGGCCTATTCTTCGGTGCCGGGTCCGTTCTCCTGACTCTGGGAACGTCCATTGCTGTCATGTCCATCGGGCGAATTCTGGCTGGAGTAGGTGCTGGCGCCGCCACTGTTATCGTCCCCATATACATCAGCGAGGTCGCACCTCCTCGCGAACGGGGTACTTTTGGCGCCATGACTCAAATCAGCATCAATGTTGGTATCCTAGGGACCCAGACACTAGGCTTTTTTCTAAGCTCCGAGTCCACTTGGAGATGGATCTTTGCTACTGGTATCGTCATTGCCGCTCTCCAAATCCTTGGCCTCTTCGTTATTCCCGAAAGCCCGGCTTGGTTGGCCACGCATAATAACGTTGCCGAAGCCAAGCGTACTCTGCAGCGGATTCGCGGCAAGCACTATGATATTGAAGAGGAGACAGCCGCTTGGGATTCGGGCACTGCGTCGCCAGAGGAGGAGCCGCTACTCGATGACTCTCAACACCCGCTGAATCCTCCTAGCCCTAGACGAGCTTCAGTCTCGAGCAAGGGAAGCAGAAATTCTGGTTCTCACTTGGGCTTCTTCCAAGTTGTCAGAGATCCGCAGTATCGTCCAGCATTGGTGGCAGCTGTTGGAGTCATGGCCTCCCAGCAGCTGTGTGGAATCAATTCCATCATTATGTACTCGGTGTCTCTACTAAACAATCTTCTACCCATAAGCTCGGCATTATTGACGATTATTGTATCTGCTATCAACCTCTTTACTACTATTGCGTGCTCGCCATTGCCGGATAAGCTTGGAAGAAAGACATGCCTGCTTCTATCCATCTTCGGCCAAGGAGCAAGCGCACTTACACTAGCCTTGTCAATACTCTTCGGGGCTAAAATTCTCTCTGCCATCGCTGTGCTGTTCTTTGTAGCCTTTTTTGCCGTTGGCCTCGGCCCCGTGCCTTTCATTCTCGCATCTGAGATGGTAGGCCCTGAAGCAGTGGGCGCGGTTCAATCTTGTTGTCTTGGAGCTAGCTACATCACTACCTTCTTGGTGGCTCAGTTCTTCCCAATCATCAATCTCGCTCTGAATAAGAGGTTTGGTGGTGCTGGCTGGGTCTATTTCATTTTTACAGGCTTGGCTGTCCTTTGCGGCCTGTTTGTCATGTGGCGTGTGCCGGAGACCAAGGGAAAGAAGGATGCGGATGAGGTTTGGGGACGAACACGGCGCCTTGACTAGGATCATTTATCGAGCGTCATTATGTATTGAGATAGGGTGCTGGCTGGAAGATTGTAACTTGGTTTCGACTACTGGTAATCATGAAAGACTTGGGGGGGGAAAGAGGCGAATTTTTGTTTCCGCGTAAACTCGCGCAAGTAGTAGTAGTCAGTTGATTATTTAGCCGGCCAATATTGCATCGATCAATTTCTTCGCGATCTATTTGATCCACTGGTGCCTTGATAGTGCTATCTATATTACATCTAGAGTTACAGAAATTGTTTTTGACTTGCAGTCAATCACTCGAGGGTTTATAAAAACATTTTGATCATGTACATATACGATTCTTCCGCTCTTTTCACGCTTTTCCTGGACGTAACCGTTGATGCCTTATCATGTGATCTATCTGCATGACTCCAGCTCTGACACCATCAATGACATGAAGCGTAGAATACGCAAACTCCTCGTCACGCTCCTCCTGGGCAGCTTCTCGAATAATGGCCTCTAGCCCCGCCATTCCCGCACATCCCATAACAATAACGTGGATGTCACCTGTGTCTAACAGGCGCTTCGTCGCCTTCTTCAGCTTCTCTCGAATCACAGCGGGGTCAATTCCATGATGGAAGTCCCCTGCATTCAGTCCCGTGGACTGTACACCCGCAAATTTGGCGTTATCGTCTTTCGGGTTTGCTCCCAAGAAGGCCTTGACACCGTCGGATAAGTGGTCTTCCCAAAACTTCCCCGTGGTGACGATTCCCCATTTCTGGCCAGGCCCGAGCAGGGTTATGGCGGCGAGAACGCTGGCCTCGAAGATCCCTGTGACAGCACCGTGAGGTCCGCTTACGGACTGGAGCTTGGGTACTAAAGGGTGCACGCTGAAGCAGGCTACCAGTATGCCGTGATATGAGCCGACGGCGTCGAAGTCGGCGAGGACGGCATCTGTGCTCTGCTGGATGTCGTGGCCGTCGTTGATGCTGGCCGGGCACCCTGAGGGACCTGTGTACGTGTACACTTCAGTTGACTATGTCAACGAAATGTCAGCACCGCTTTGTGACTAGAGTTTGGACCATAACGAAATACTTCAGAACAACTAATAATAGTAAGAAGCAGTATGGCCACATACAGATGGGAGGTCAACTGTGAATCTAGGTTAGTGCTTATAATTCAATCTAGCTTGTGGATGAAACTCCACATAAATCCTTGGGGTGAAATGTATAACTAAAATTTCATGGGACTGCTAAAGGCATGGTCTTCAAAAAAAAAAAAAAAAAAAAAAAAGAACCCCAGTCAGAAGAATCTTCTGTAGTTGCCTCTACTTACTGTCTCGGAGGACTGTTTTCATCCCATCTGTCATAGCTGAGGATGAGTTGGGGTTCAGGAGCAAGATCTTGGTACCCTGTCCTCTCACAAGCGTTGTCGACGACATTGTCACTTTCGGATGCTGGAGCTCTGTCTTTGACTCCCGAAGCACCACCTCGTACGTCAACGTGATTATGGATATATTTTAAGTGATTGAGTTATGTAAATTGGACAATGTCTGCATTTTATATCATTACCTCATATATTGTCTAATTACTACCTAGGTCCCTATAGAATATTCTGATAGGTTGGGTGCCTGTAGGCGGCCCTCAACTGAAGGTCGCTACCTAAACTTCCTTCAGGTTGGCGGGGTTGGATTGAATGAATGCGGGGTTGCCCAGTCTGGTAACACATTACCTAACTACAGTGAGGAAGCACCGCCACAAAGTAGAGCCACCTGGTCAATTAGCAGTGCACTTAGGTACATACCTACTTAGTAAGGCTGGTCCTTAGCTGTCTACCTAAATGGGTCTGACGACAACTGCCTCCTCGTCACTTGTCCAGTCTCCCGCTTGTTGTCTCCAGTCTAATTGTCTCTTGTCGCCGACCGCCTCTTGCCTCATTGCTGTCGCAACCGCCAGTTGAGAGCTTCGTGCCTTTATTTGGTTCTGCTCTCTTTCTCTTCTATATCCGAACAAGCTTTGTGGCGTTTCGACTCTCAGCACCTTTGATCCTCTCGGGCGAGCCGTGGTAATCTCCGTGCTCTGACATTACGCCCGAGAGAGACGCAAGCATGACAGCCCCCCCTATCGGTCGGTAGTAGCCTCTCCAGTATTGCCATCATTGAGTGCCTCTATTTGCACTCAATTGAAGTCCTGATTTTGCGATCTGTTACTGACATAGACGTACACCAGTTCTCGATGGAGGCACCGGCTTCTTAAAGGTCGGATATGCCGCCCAGAACTTCCCTGAGCACCAATTCCCTTCCATAGTTGGTCGACCGATCCTGCGATCCGAAGAGAGGGGCGGCGAAAATGACATCGTCATCAAAGATATCATGTGTGGTGACGAGGCTGCTGCCGCCCGCTCCATGCTTCAGATCACATACCCCATGGAGAATGGTATTGTCAAGAGGTGGGACGATATGCAACATCTATGGGACTTCACCTTTTTTGAGAAGATGCAGATTGACCCCCGTGGCCGAAAGATCCTGCTTACCGAACCCCCAATGAACCCTCTGAAGAACCGAGAGCAGATGTGCGAGGTCATGTTTGAGCGCTACGAGTTTGGTGGTGTCTATGTCGCCATTCAGGCTGTGCTCGCTCTATATGCGCAAGGTGCGTTAACAACTACGATGCCATTCGACCCTATATTCGCGCTATAGTTACTGACAAGTGGGGTGTCTACCTATAGGTCTAAGCTCCGGTGTGGTAGTCGATTCTGGCGATGGTGTTACACATATCGTCCCCGTCTATGAATCCGTTGTCCTCAATCACTTAACTAGGAGGTTAGACGTTGCCGGCCGTGACGTCACCCGCAACCTCATAGCGCTTCTTTTACGCAGGGGTTATGCCTTGAATCGAACCGCCGATTTCGAGACTGTCCGCCAGATCAAGGAAAAGCTCTGCTACGTGTCGTACGATCTAGAGCTAGACAAGCGTCTAAGCGAGGATACCACGGTACTAGTAGAGAGCTACACGCTTCCCGATGGCCGTGTGATCCGAGTCGGCAGTGAACGATTTGAGGCTCCCGAGTGTTTGTTCCAGCCTCACCTGGTAGACTGCGAACAGCCGGGTATTGCCGAGTTCCTCTTCAACACGATCCAGTCCGCCGACGTTGACGTCCGGTCTTCTTTGTTTAAGGCGATAGTGCTTTCGGGTGGCAGTAGCATGTACCCAGGTCTACCATCGAGACTAGAGAAGGAGCTAAAGCAACTGTGGCTGACGCGCGTTCTCGGAGGCGATGCGGAACGACTAAACAAGTTCAAGGTTAGGATAGAAGACCCGCCGCGCCGGAGACACATGGTCTTCTTGGGTGGTGCAGTGCTTGCCAATATCATGGCTGAAAATGAAAGCATGTGGATAACTAAGGAAGAATGGGCCGAGCAAGGACCGAGAATCCTAGAAAAGCTAGGACCACGTTAGAAACGATGGGGGAAGAGAGCGAGCATGAAATGATGTATTGTTTTGGAGCTCAGTGGGCTTCATTGCTATCTAAACCTGAAATCCGAATAAAAGGCTATCTCAAACCGTGGCTGTGTAAGGCTTATTCAGAACTGTGCCTTCATGATGTATATTTTCTCCGGCTATGCTGTACGGGATATTTTCTTCAAATATCCGAGCGTCTGCAATTCCAAAGCCTTTCTCATAGCTTGAGGATATACAAAAGCCCATCAACAGCTTTCTCTGTAACTCATCGATAAATACGGGGTGATACAGGTATTGATTTACTCCGCCAAAATCTAGATGGAGAGACATGCCGACTGGGTATATATATGGATGGGCCTTGAAGTGTCTGTCCTTGCGATTGGTATACTGTATTCCTAGGATTTTATTGTGATGTCTAATGTCTAATAGGACGATTTCCGGTCATTACTCTGCAGGTGCATTATCACGGAGTACTACTGCGCCACACTTTGGCACTCTCCCCACACATACCTTAGGTACCTAGGTACCTACCTAACCTACCTCTTTAAGGTTATCGACTTAGCCACGCCTTGGCTTTAAGGCAGCCACATCAGCCTATTCGCACTTTGGTCTGGTCTGGTTGACACCTTGTTGAGGCTCCTACTTCGTATTGATGGGCATTGGATTATGAATAGTTGAAACAGGTCAACACCGAAGCTTCAGACGGGTTGAACAAGCATCAACCAGGGAGATTTCGGCTAAGAAATAGCTGGGTTAGGTATGGTGCACAACCTGGCCACCTATATCTCGATTATTATTGCCTTATTTGAACTTCGTTTCAATGGTTGGGACATTCAAAGCTCTACTGCACATGCACCACGAGACCGACTGATCCAGCCTAGACCCTCGCCGTCTCATTGCCATTCATTCAAATTTCGTCGCTGTCAATTTTTGTCTCAAAACTCCGCCATCTAACGTTAGAATAGCGTACCATCACCAGTCGACAATCGGACCACTGTGGATCTAGCCTCAGTCATTCTCACACTTCCCTTCTTCAGCCCTTTTCACATGATCGCCCACCACCAATCGTTGTCAATACCACGAAAGTACATGAAAACGATCGCCACCGTCCGAGTGTGTCCCTTGTCTCACCGCAACTTCCGGGCTTCCGGGAGGAGGTGAGCGCCTCGCCTCCTTTGCACAACATACGGTAGCAAATAGCCACACAGCCAGCCAGCCATGACTCTCACAAACCCACCTTCGGCAGCATCGGGGCCCGCCTCGGTATCTGCGCGGCCTCAGACATTAAAAAGGAGTGTCCAGGCTGCTTTTGAAGGTAAGACTTCTTATTTACTTGGGCTCTGATTGAAACCGAGATCTACGCCACTGTCCCTTTCGCGGACCCACTGTCGAGTGACAGGCGATGTATAAGGGAACTGGTTTCCTTATGTTCCAGATGAAGATACATCGGCATTCACACACATTTACCTCAATATCATGAAGGGGACTCGCTTTGGCCACGATGGGAGGCTCGCCTATCGCACAAGTGCCACCCCTTATAGTGAGTTATTTTAAAAGACCTCGTCGGATTCTCGGGGTCTGTCTAGTCTCCTCGTCATGTTCTCACCACTCACTGGTCTACTCATCTCTGGGTGTTTCAACAGCCTCGATTATGCCGAACATCCTACTATGCATTCGCTGACCGACTCTTCTGCATTTAGATCCCAGCGACCGTGGTACCAAGGTGGGTTACCAGTCCAAGGTCAAGGTGATGGATAAGTACCGAGTCGTAGGATTTATCAGCAGCGGAACCTACGGGCGCGTGTACAAGGCACATGGGCGGCAAGGCCAGCCAGGCGACTTCGCCATTAAGAAGTTCAAGCCCGATAAGGAGGGTGAGCAAATCCAGTATACAGGCATTTCTCAATCTGCCATTCGGGAAATGGCCCTATGCTCAGAACTGCGTCATGACAACGTCATCCGCCTAATCGAGATCATTCTCGAGGACAAGTGCATCTTCATGGTCTTCGAGTATGCCGAGCACGACCTCCTGCAGATTATCCACCACCACACGCAGCAACCGCGCCACACCATACCGCCCAGTACCATCAAGAGTATCATGTTCCAGCTGCTAAACGGGTGCCAGTACCTGCATACCAACTGGGTTTTGCACCGTGATCTCAAGCCCGCCAACATTATGGTGACCTCGTCAGGCCATGTCAAGATCGGCGACCTCGGGCTCGCGCGGCTATTCAACAAACCGCTCCACTCCCTGTTCAGTGGCGATAAAGTCGTCGTGACAATATGGTATCGCGCGCCCGAATTGCTGCTAGGAAGCCGGCACTATACACCTGCCATCGACCTTTGGGCCGTAGGATGCATCTTCGCCGAACTGCTATCGCTACGCCCCATTTTCAAGGGCGAGGAAGCAAAGATGGACAAGAAGACCGTCCCCTTCCAACGCAACCAAATGCAGAAGATCGTCGAGATTATGGGCCTACCCAATAAAGAGCGCTGGCCCCTCCTAACGAGCATGCCCGAGTACAGTAACTTGTCTACGCTCACGCCCCCCATGCTCCACCCAGGCCATCACCACCATCCTCACCATACACACCACAAGTCCTCAGCAGCGTCCACAAGCCATCTAGAAAAGTGGTACCACAGCACCACAACCGCGCACTCGTCGACCTCGTCCCCGACGTCTAACGGCAGCCTCGCGTCTCTCGGAGGAGAAGGATACAAACTCCTCGCAGGACTCCTCGAGTACGACCCCGAGAAGCGGTTGACAGCCGCGCAGGCGCTGCACCATCCTTTCTTCGGCGGCTCAGGATCGGCCTCAGGAATGGGTCTTGGAAATTCTTCGAGCGCGGAACGGATAAGTAGTAATTGTTTCGAGGGTCTAAAGACGGCGTATCCCACACGCCGCGTCAGCCAAGATGACAATGACATCCGCACGAGTAGCTTACCCGGCACAAAGCGGTCGGGTCTGCCGGATGATAGCCTCGTGGCACGTCCTGTTAAGAGAGTCAAAGAGGGGTAAATCAAACCTGCTTAGTCCTCATAGAGGAGGAAATTGCAGAAAAGGGGAGAAAGGCATATCCCATTTCTATATCTCCACCCAAGTCCGAAATATCTTCACAAGCACGATTCTTGATATCTTCAAGCTGCCGAATAAACACTCTACGCGCGAGTTAGAAGGGGTTAAAGCAGTTCGAATCGGAGAGCGGCGCACATGTCGAATAATATCTGCGCCTCTACCTATTTTCATGATACTACGGTTATGCATAGCCAGGCGTTCGGTTCAGGGATATTATGTTTACGATGCACGCGGTCTGTTTAGTTAATTATGTATATAATCGGATAGCAAGTCAAGTCAGGCGGAAGAAATGCAATCCATAGTCCAATCAAGTACAGATCAGTCAAATCCAGCACTATAGGCTGATGACTGTCACTAGTCTTATAACTTGTTTACATTCCTCTTTTTGCTCCACTCTAGTATCTATCTAAGTTCGCCCATTTTTGTGCAGTTCAGCATGATTGATTACGCTCATGGCTAGGTACCTAGGTATATATCGCGGGACCCCATATCTCGATTTATTTATACAAACTTGCATTCTCTCTTCCTCTCTTTCTCAGCCCCTTTGTGTTGTTTCACGTTCAACAGCCGTAGCACGAATAAATAGCAGACGTAGCAATTTAACGAAATAAGAGGGGAAATTCCTTGTAAAAGTCATAGTTCAAGGCAATCGTCATAAATTAGTTAATTAATTAGGTAAGTACGTAGTAAGAAGTGCTGATTCGGCCCCTGCTTGCTTGCTCGCTGGCTGGCTGGCTGGCTGCCATCGCTTCTGCTGTTAATGTTGAGCAAAATAGTATCGTGAAAATGGGGTATCCCACATTCTCCCATTCCACATTTGTCGTATTTCTTTCGGTGTTCTGTCTGCCAACCGCTGGTGTATGAAACCGCGTCCAAGAGAGCCAAAATTACAGCACTAAAATAGCAAAAACATATCATTCATGTTCGTTCGGGTTCAAATCTTTCCAGTGAATGATCGTCCGAATTTCTCTTTCATCCTTCTCCTCTTTCTATGGAAGAAAAGTGCACTCGTGGAAAGGTCGTAACAGTTAGGGGGTAGGGGCGTTCATGTGTAGAGCAAGTTGCCCAGTCTACTAATATCCTCTGTGAGGGGCGGAAGGGTATCGGTAAGTGGTAGGAGTCTTCGATCAACAAGCCATAGCGGGTTGGCTTGGGGGGGTAAGAATGTGGGAGGGGAGTTGCGTTTCGAATTAAGACAACTATGAGAAGATGACGTGGGACAAGTTTCGCCGATCTAGCTTTTGGGTGGCCAGTTTCGATGGATAGGTAGTCAAAAGGTATCAAGTACGTGAATCAGAAGCTCTACTTCTTCACGGGCGTGGGCGGAGCCTTGACGTTGTTGGAGAGCCAAGCCAAGCCCTCGAGCAGACCTTCACCGGTAGTGGCACAGCTGGGCACAACGTACCAGATCTTATCCTTTAGTTTAGATAGCTGGAGAGCTTCGGTAACTTCCTGGGGTTTCATAGCTGCAGCAACGGTGAAGCACATGTTAGTAAATCATACATTTTCATTCGACTTGCCTGACTGGGTGGTTAGACCGACGTACCGTCTTTGATGTCTTGCTTGTTCGCAAATACTAGTAATAAACTATCCTTCATCTCACGGTCGTTAATGATGCGATGTAGTTCTTGACGAGCTTCTTCTATCCGCTGGCGGTCCGAGGAGTCAATGACAAAGATCAAGCCTTGGGTACCTGCAATGGCAATGTCAGCAAGGGTGGTGCGCGTGTATGGTGGATTTGTCCTATGACCAGCCGAGAATAATGTATAGATATAGAGAGGAAGGATAAGAGAGGGGGGGAAGCAAGACGAGGAACGAGTAGGATATCAGGACTGACCGCTAAAGTAGTGCCTCCATAAAGGTCGAATCTTGTCCTGGCCACCGACATCCCAGACGTTGAACTTGACGTTTTTGTAGGTAACAGTCTCGACGTTGAAGCCGACAGTGGGGATAGTGGTAACATCTTGTCCCAGCTTGAGCTTGTAGAGGATGGTGGTCTTTCCAGCAGCATCAAGACCGAGCATGAGCAGGCGCATTTCCTTGGATCCGAAGATCTTGCCCATCATCTTGGAGAGTTGACCCCCCATGGTTACGGTGTGCTAGGGCTATGCCTATACTTTATTGTTGAGGCAGCTGTGCCGAGGAGGCTACGGGGTGTATATACTGCGTCGCGGAACGAGGACTGTATCGGGTGTGGTGTTCAGTATGACTGGTCTCGTTCGTGCGTAGAATATCAGGGAGGATCTGTTCAACAGTCGGGCGAACTAGTTGGGTTATCGGTGGTGGTCGCGCAAGTTCGTGGAGCGGCCAATTGGGTGTTGGAGAGTTGGAGGAAGGCCGAGTCCCAGGAATAGAGATAGGTACAAGGTGTCGGTACAATGTACAATTACTGTGCTCGCCGTGGTCGATATGTAATAGGGTCGGCGATGAACACGAATACGTGTTTGTTACACGCGTGTATCGATCTATCTGGATGGACTGTCTCAGTATTTGTATGGCGTCGGCGCGCTAGTTGTCTACACTATCTCGAGATGGGTGGATAGAGAAGATATAGGTAGGTAGGATAAACTTACCTGGTCTGTTTGTCTGTCTGTCTGTCTGTCTGTCTGTCTGTCTGTCTATCTGTGAGTGTGCGCGACTGGAAGGAGGAGGAGTAGGCAAGCAATTGTTCCAGCAATCAATCAAACGGGCAAACAAACACAGCGCTTCAATCGACGACGGCGATGAGATTATGGTAGTGAAAGGGGCAGAACAGACCGGGCAGAGACCGGGGGAACATGTAAATTGAAGCTAGGCTAGTGTCGCGCACTTAGACTTAATATGTAGGTACACTACAATAGTGGCACCTCGGCCGATTGACATTAATGATTAGGTTAGGTATTAATGATTGTACCTACATCAGTGCCTTTTAAGCGCAGTAGGTGCAGTCTGGTGCAGTAAAGGAAATAAAAAAGACACCCAGGTCTGTCCAGGCTTAGCCAGATTAGGCTAGAGGCCCCGATGCTAAGATCTTCAGGTGCTGAAGAACTGCAGCTCTTGCTCATACCGAAGCAAGCAATTATGCATTAGGTCTGCAAAACGTGACAACTAAATTCCACTATAGTGTCTGGTGTAGGGGTCCGATAGGGGTCGTGGGGACACGCTGGAGATGATACGATGCACTGCGGTTGCCTCTCTGGGTAAGCTTAGCAACTCTATATCTCGGCTTCATATAGGTAATCAATCTCGAGTATAGATAATCCACAGGTTCATATTATTATTATAGTATGTCGGCAAAATTGAAGCCTCGTCCTTCAATGCTTGATTTTAACTCGCTATGATAATCGAGGCTGCATTTCAGGTTGCTGTTAAATTGCCGGCCGGGAGTACATTGCACGCTCATCTCCCTCAGATTAAGTGAACATAATTTTTTGTCGATATAGTTTTTAGTTCTCGAGGATCGCCGTCTCCATATTAAATCTACCAAATCGGCCATTCATGATAGCCTAGTTGTTATGGCAAGCCGATCTCCTCAACACAGCATGATCGTATAAGTACCTTCATGTTACGAACGTTGCAAAGCTTGAAGTGCCCCTCTTCACACATATGCAGCTTCCAATTGTAGCCAGGCATGGCCAGCCTGACATGCAGGTGTAGTGATTAGCTCAAGCCCCAATGGTAGACCAAGCCCAATAGGAGTCCCAGTATAACACATAGGGAATGTGTACCAAAGAGCACCACGAGCGTAGCGAAGGGGACTCTGCGTGCATTCAAGGAGCTTCTTTCCGCAGGCAGTTCAGGGAGCATATCGCGATCCCACCACCAGTTCTCTTCCAACTCTTCTATGAGGTTTTGTTGTCGTGATGCGCCTGAGAAAGCGAATCTCAGCGTTTCTTCCGCGCCCTCGCCCACCCATTTCTTGAAAATGTCGCGGTTAACCCACTCGCAGCTGTTAGGCGCCAGGTCGTCAAGGCTCCCGTCTCGCTTTTCATCCCAGCCGAGTTTCTCAGCCTCACGGCGATACCATTTATGAATACCCGCCTTGGTGACGTTGGGGTAGAAGACTCCGCCGTTCGCCGCCTTTTCGCGTTCTTCGAGTCGCATGATGAAGCGGACGGCGACGCCCAGTCTTGTCGTGATAGCCGTGGCGCCTGGGCGGTAAGATCCATCTACCGCCTCGTCCCGTAGTTCATCGAGAGAAATCGGTGCGCTCAAGCCTTCCGTCATACCCGTCAATACGACTTGGACCTTGATTTCGAAGACTTCCAGGGGGGTCCTTTGAAACATATTGTCCTGAGATAACGCTATGAATATGGCCCGGTATAGCGGTCGTACGGCAAAAGTCAGTCTCCAGATGGAATCAAGTACGTAGTCTAGCGCTTTCAATGGCCAAGGCTCTGCTCGCAAGGGCCCATGAATCACCGATTCGTCTTTCTCGTCATCAGGGGAGGCAACAGTATTCGACCAAATATCTAATCTTCTCTGGGCTTGTTCGTAGATATTGCAATGAAAAGCGACCAATTTCTCAGGACTGAACTCTGCCTCAGCGAGGTTCGTATTGTATTTGACGTCGAAAATCTCACAAAAGTAATGGAGCAGTGTTAAATCGGACTCATATGGCTTGAACCACTGTCTCCATAGCCAGCTCTCGATATCCGGGAAACCGCAGTGAGGGTAGGAACGCTGACGCTTGTCAAAAATATACAACGCCATGGATTTGTTCATGCAAAGTTGTATGTTTTTTAGAAAGTTGAGGGTGCTGCCCAAATGATCAAGTGTTTCGTAAGGAACATTTCGCAAGTGTGATGCCCTCCGTCGGCAATTACTTTCAGCCGAGCCCCTCATCTGAAGAAGCATCTTATCTCGAGGGGTGATAGACGGATCCTGCAAAATGTCATTCAAGGATGACTTGAGCAAAGCAGCTTGCTGCTCCTCCCGATGGCTATGAGCTTTAGCCATAGCCTGCTGTTGATCCAGAGTCCGTAGACTCATGATGCCGACGCGCAAGGTGATAGTTCGACAGCAGGATATGCCCCGCGTAGTAGAAAAGAAGAGTCGTGATAGGTAGTCAGTGGCAACAATAGCAAGTTGTAGTAGCAATAACTATAGTTATTGCTAGTAGTCTTCGTAAAGATTTGTAGAAGTTGTAGTAGTAGGTGTTATCACTGTGGCTATATCAATGATTAAGTAGTAGCTAAAGGAGCTCCAAGTGACTTTTTTCACGACCAAAATGAGTTCCAGAAACGTGAGTCATCGGCGGTGGTAAACATCCTTCCGGGTATTAAAATAAGGTATCAAGAAACCTTAGGATACTACCTATGCTCTAACGTTAAGCTCTTGGAGGGAAAACTTAACTCAAGTTAGCGATGGTTCTGCAGAATGGTCTTGCATCTACAAACCTATGGAACCTTTCCATCTATCAAACTCTAAGTATACTAGGCAGGTAACCACTTCCTCTCATCAGTATGAAACCAAGGCCAACGTCGCTGGATTCTCAAAAGGCATCTACTGTATAAAACAGCACAATTTCAACGTGGCTAGTAGTTGTAGTAAAGTGAATGAAGCAGACACCACTCCAGTGACCGTCGGCGCTTGCCGTATTCCGTATCACAAGACCAATCCGCCCAGAGTCATAGGCCGTCTTTGTAAATATGCTACCCAAACCAACGCCTACAACCAATCCAAGAGACCGGAGTATGCCAAAAAGAATACTTGGTAAGACAGCTAGCTCTTAGGATAGGACAATATGCACCCTGCTCAAGCTCGATATTCAACCACATGCCGACGGGTGACAGCTTGCATCGTATTGCTGCTCTCTTCGCCCTCGAACTTTAGGTTGACCTTTTCGCTTCCGTCCATTCCCATCACCTCGGCCTTGTAGAATGTCGTGGTGTTAGGATAGAGTGCTAGAACTACCTTGCCTTCATCAAGTGGTGGCAGCACGGTGCCTTCCTTGGGGATGAGAATCATACTGCTAGCACTCGTTCTAAAGTCTTTTTGATGGTGATTCTGGTTCTCATCGAAATCGGCATCCAAGACCCTGTACCTTCGGGACTTGCCCTCGCCGCGCACTTCCTGAACTATCCCGAGAATCCAATCTGTCTGTTCGTTGCCTGTTGGCTTAGGCTTGAATGCCACCTCGTCATCCTTGGCAAATATTTGCTTGGTACGGATTGAATTGGCAGTAGGGCCAGGTTGTGGCTCGGCACTTCCGGCTTTTGCAGCTGGCGTTGAACGATCTCCGAACTTAGGTGGTACGGAATCACCGCGATCCCCCTTATTGCTGCCTCCGCCGCCACCGCCCACGCGTCGTGATACGCTCGGGTTAGGCGAAGGCATAGGTGAGTCATCGGGATTAAAGTCCCACGGGTCCTTTCGCTGCCCCCCGAGGCGCGAGCTTGACGCCTCCTGTGTTTCCTCGTTGTGTTTTGCAATAGCACGCAGTACCCGGATTTTCTCCATCTTCTCTTTAAAAGCCTGTGCCGCAGCTTCATTTAACTTGACCCCTTGGCGAGTAAGTTGATCGAGCTTATCGAGGTCCTCCTGAGTCAGAGCTACATGTGGTCATTAGCACCATTGGTATAGCAAGAGGTAGCACATCATGGCTCGAAGGGTAGATACTTACTATTGTTCTTCTTTTTCTCAGCGCACAACTTATCCTGCTCATACATAGCATCCGTATTGGCAGAGCTCTGATTGAACATATCGACGAGACCAGGTAGCTGGTCTTTGATTTCTTTCCAAGCGGCAAGCTCCTCGCCATGTTGACTTATCTCACTGTTGCGATTGGGGCCCCTCCGTTGATTCGCACGTGACGACATGGCCGCTACGGGTGGCGTAGACAAGCCGAAAGCTAGTATAAGCTGTTTTGGCGAACCAATAAATGGCTAAGACTTTCCCATTGTTAGTATCTTTATCCTCTTGAAATACACTCGTAACTAAGGAAAGGTAGAAATGGGACTGGCGTGTTTGTTGACGAATTGGGAGACAAGTTATATTGGGAGAAGATAGATAAATCAATAAATAGGATGGATACTAGAGACTAGAATAAAAACGATGTGATTATTTTCACAATTTGAGAATATAATGAAGTCAGGCACGGAATAGAATCGCAGAGAGGAGAACGGGGGCCGATGATACGAAATCGTTTAGAGACAAGCAATAGCAGTCTAATGGGAAGGCTAGACGAATCTACTTACACAAGCTGAGTACAATAAGAAAAGGGGACCCGAAAAGTCTGTGAATTTAGTCACGGGAAACGGTGAGCAATACAGAGCACGATAATAGGTGCAACTGCACGCAGAAGCGGGTTGAATATAACAGTCGATTATGGAGGACGATACAGATGAATGTGAGGCTTTCAAGCTAGTGGAAACAGCGTTGGGGATAAACAGGAGAGAAGCCGGGAAGAAAATGAGAAATGAGAAAGATAATTATGATGTGCCTCTCGTCTGCAGTATACAAGCCCAGTTCCTGTGGCAAATATGCAGTCGTGAATACTATCGTGTGAGGATGAAGTTTGTATGTTTTGGTTTCGTTCAACTTGTTGAGCCGCTGCCGATGATGGTGATGGATGCCCTCCAATTGGCTGGGGGCGGTAAACGGTAAAGGGTGAGCCCGACAACCTAAAGCGGTAACCTAGGACCTGAATAGGTCTAGACGCCCGCGACAAGAGCACCAAGACAGCCTAAGACAGTACTGCTAGGTAACGCAGCGCGGCTGCCGAGTTGGGAAGTGTGCTTTCCAGCATCGTGTGGAGCTATACTTACTAGGTATTTCGTATAAGTATCCACGCCAGCAATATCACTTATACCTACCACAAGTATGTACCTCCCTAGGCATGTAAGCTGTTCTCTGACTATCTTAGAGCTTGATAGGCTCTGTTTCTTGAAGTATTCGAGGGAAGCCCCAAGCTCGTTCTATATCAGAGACTGACATTTGCTGTAATACCTTGCTACCCCTGTCTGCTCCCCTTTACATATGTAGTAGGTACTTGCATGCATAGTAGGTACAAGCTAAGAAGTTACTTAAGGCATGGCTAGTAGGTACGTGTATGCTCGTATGCGATAGCGGGGCGCTACTGCCTCACAGCGGGGTACTGGCGGGGTAAAGTGAAGGAGCCTGTAGCTAAGGTAGGTACCCGTTGGGACTCCACTTTCGTCGCCAATCTTCTGACTTCCAGTAGAAGCGTTGGGGTCTTTAACTCGAGAATGACCAGTCAACTCGAGAAAATCCAGCGGTACTTCCAAATTGGTACAATCCCCACCAAAATAGAAGTAGTTCCTGTTTTATACATATGCACGCTACATTCATACTTCTTACTTGAATGCCAAGAATATCACCACCCTTACTGTTTCAAGGTAGCCAATTCGCGCAGGAGGATTTTGATAATTCTAGATCGATTGTTAGCATACTTACAGCTTTGAGCGACGTTAGCGATTGAAAAAGAAGGTATAGAAGTTGGAGATTGAAGGTGTTGAAGTTGAAGGTCAAGGCGTTGAAGGCGTTGAAGGTGAAGGTGTTGAAGGTGTAAAAGTGGGTGGGGTAAGTAGGCTGGAAGGTGGTTGCCTAATTGAATTTCTTAGCTATATTCAAGTTTTTTAATCGTTATGTAAAGCGAAATTGGTTTAAGCAGAGCTACTTCCATTTTGGTGGTAGTTGTACGTATTCGGAAGTACCTTTGTTTTCTCGAGTTGACTGGTCATTCTCGAGTTAAAGACCCCAACGCTTCTACTGGAAGTCAGAAGATTGGCGACGAAAGTGGAGTCCCAACGGGTACCTATTGGCATACCAACGCACATGGCGGCAGAACCATCGTGATATCATGCAAGTAAGTGCAACGAGCATCTACGTAAGTGTCTGTTCCCAGGCAAGCGGGCAATTTTGAACCCGTACCCTGGTTCTATGAACGTCCTACCTATTGAGCGGGTACCTTACTGAGAAGAGCTTCTTTTTCACTTTCCTCTTTATATACTCTGACCTCTGTACCGACTTAGTGGGCTATCTATCACTTTAACCATCGTTCAAAATCCTTTGTCTCGAGACAACCAACATCCCCACTACAGCAGCATCTCGCGACACATTACTCCACGAGCGAAGAGGATAGAGATAGTATATATCTTCGATCATGGTTCTTCCCGTCCCTTTGCTCCGCCTTCAATGTGGCGTAAATTCGTACGACTGGGGCAAGATTGGCTCTGAATCCGCTGCCGCCAAGTTTGCTGCCGCTACTCCTTCAGATAGTTTGAACATCGAGTCTGAAAAGCCCTATGCCGAGGTGCGTCTCCCGTACCTTTCTCTCTTACCCCCACCTGTCTATCTCTGTTTCATCGGGTACTTGACCATTGTCCCGCGAAATCACAAGCTGATGCGCAAGTCGTGTCTAGTTATGGATGGGAACTCACCCGTCGAATCCTTCTAAAGACTTGGAGTCTGGCCGGAATCTCCTCGATCTCGTCGGGTCCAATGCTATGTTCCTGGGCCCATCCGTCAAAGCACGATATGGCTCCAAGCTCCCCTTCCTATTCAAGGTGCTCTCCATCAACAAGGCCCTCTCTATCCAAGCACATCCAAACAAGAAACTCGCCGAGCAGCTGCACGCCAACGACCCCAAGAACTACCCCGATGATAACCACAAGCCCGAGATGACCATAGCTGTCACCGACTTTGAGGGTCTATGCGGCTTCCGTCCTCTAGAAGAGATTGCGCATTTTCTCGCTAGTGTTCCGGCTCTGCGTCAGCTTGTTGGCGAGGACGTGTCAAAGGGCTTCATCGACAGGGTTAAAAGCCAGGAAACTGACGACGCTTCAAAGGAACAAAACAAGCGGGCTCTGCGCTCTGTTTTTGCTGCTTTGATGCAGTCTTCTCCCGAGGAGGTGGCATCTGCCTCTAAGTCGCTTGTTTCCGAAGCCGACAGCAAAGGCGCCGACTTTGCTGACCGTGGTACTAAGTCTACAAGTGGAGAGACCATGGCTAAGCTCATTCATAGACTCAATCAACAATTCCCCGATGATATAGGTCTGTTCGTCCTCTTCTTCCTTAACTACGTCACCCTGTCTCCAGGTGAGGCGCTGTTCTTGAAGGCCGACGATATTCACGCCTATTTATCTGGTGACATCATCGAATGCATGGCTGCTAGCGACAATGTGGTGCGGGCAGGTTTCACTCCCAAGTTTAAGGATGTCCAGAATTTAGTCAACATGTTGACATATAACTATGCACCCATCGAGGAGCAAAAGATGTCGCCCAAGGAATATCCCTATGCTGTTCTAAACCGCACTGCATATAGCTCGGGATCCGAGGCGATATTGTACGACCCGCCTATCGATGAATTCAGTGTCATCAGGTCTGTTTTGAGAGGCAATGGCTCCAAAGTGACTTTTGACCCCATTGACGGCCCAAGCATCATAATTTGCACTAGCGGCAAGGGTAAGATCTCAGTCGGGCCCAAAACTGAGGAGATCAAGGAAGGCTATGTTTTCTTCGTCGGCGCCACGGCAGAACTAATCATGGAATCGGAAGGCGAGCAAGACGACGAATTCATCACTTTCAAAGCGTTTTGTGAAGTGGAAGACCACAGCAATGGCGCATCGGCATAAGTTAAGGGGAAACCTCTCTGAAAAAGATAATATGAAAGACAGCTAAGAAACTTGAGTCATGGGCATCTTAAAAAGTAATTACGTCACGAAGAAATGAATGATTTATCTGCCAAAATGTACAGCGTTTACTTAAAAAGTTAGAATCGGCTTCCACATGACAGTTTTCCATGACCGTTATAAAAGCATGAAATTTCCATAGGTTGAATCAGCTATACATGTACAAATGAGCAGGTTATACTTCAACTAGGTTCATATGTACAAGTTAAGGTCCGCTGAATATAGCTCTATTTGTGGTATGTGTACACAAGTCTAAATGTGTATTCATGATGAACTTCATTCCCCTCCTTAAACGCCGCGGAGACTAGATCCAGTTTCCACCAATCCCAATGCCAATTCTCGCTCAACCCCTTCTCCATATGCCGTATTCATATCCATATCCATAATCATAAGCAAATCAATAGAAATCAAGAGGTATCATCAAGCAATAATCTCACAGAACACGAAAGAAAAAAGAGAAAAACCCCTAAATATGGCATATAGAAAGAATGGGAAAGAAAACTCAGAGCCCAAGCATAACACCCCCAACAACAAAAAGCGCAATACCGCCCGCTCGCAGAGCGAGACTGCTGCTTGATATCGCACTGTGTGCTCCAGAACTCGCGTCTAGAATGGGCTCGTGCCAGCCACAATGTGCTTCTGTCCCGAGCGTTGCGCAGGCCCAGTACGTCGTTTGCACGAACTTCTGCTGTAGGCCTGCGTCCACGTCCAGTGTAGGCGTGGGCGTAGTCTCGGGGATTTTGGCATGTGTCATGTTGTGGTTCATGCCGTGCGTCATAGTAGAATTCATGTGGTCTTCACAAGGCGTTTCTTCTGAGATCTGCGAGGTGGTTGATGTTGGTGGGAATAGAGTGGGTGTGGTGGAAGGTCTGTCGCTGGGATCCGGCTCGACGAAGATGCCGCCTAACGGGAGACCACTTGTGGATCTTGGTTCGTACCCGGGGAGAATGCTGGGTGTCTGGGTGGGTGCTGCGATGTGGCTGGAGGAAAGTACATCGGGTGTCTCTGTCCTAGGTACTTTGGCGATGAGGCCTGCCTCCGCTCGACCTAGGAGGGTGATGGCTAGGAAAGCTATTGCCGCGCTGCTGACTCGAGGCATATTGATTATTGATTTGGGGGCGAATATATGTGTATACAAATGTAAATAATTGCGAGAGCACGAATATCTGAAGAATCGGTTCCAGCCCGAAAGAAGATGATTAAATTGGTATATAAGTCGCGACAGGAAAGGCCAGCCTGGAGATAGAAGGGATTTGAATGAAGAAATCTATAAAATAGTCGGACAAAGAGACAAGGAACACGGACAAAGATCGAAGGACAGAATATTGTCGTGAAGAAAGGGAAGGAAAGAAAGTTGATGTGAGACGCGACAGAATTATACTACCTGTAGTCTCTGTAGGACAAGAATAAGATGGAAGAATCTGCTGAAATTCCGTCTACAAATCGAGTCGTGACGTTAGGCTTCGAGGCAATGCAAGTTCTATCATCACATGTATGTCCAGGACAGATCCTCCACGCTCCGTCACAGTTTTCGAATGCCTAGGCTGATTTGAGAGGACGTAGAGATGCCTCGCTCGCCTCAGGGTCTACATGTTGAGCGCTCCTCTCAGCCATCCATTCGCGTCTTAAACCCGTTAGTTCTGGATGGAGGGGATGGGGGGGAATTGAATGACGGTCGTGGGTGAAATACCATGTTTGAATGATCTTCTTGGCATTGGGATTGAGTGGCTGTCATGCCAGATGAAGTCAGATGAACTGTACCACGCATGAGAGGATAACTCGCAGCCTATCGTGCACCACAAAAGTGCTTGGCTAGTGGGTGTTGATTGGTCTTTAGGGGATTATTTGTTGGAGGCGAGGGGTTGTTAGTGCCCCCCAGCTTGGTGAAACGAAACGATGGATCGGCACCTGCACGCGCTCTTGAATCTTTACACATTGAACTCATTTGAGGAGTTTACAATGAATCAGAATCTTTTATGACTCAGTTTCCTTCTAGCGAGAACCTATGCATGAGCTGAGAAAGGCGATTTGGGCTGGGACTACCAGTTTGTAGAGGATGTGTGAGGTAGGAGGAGGCAGTTGGAGAAACTCTAATGGATCTAAGCTAAGTCGTGGGTGCGCATCATCTATGGAACAGGAAAATATCTGATTGCATAGACTCACTTCTATACACGTAAGAAGACATTTGAAAGCGACGCCTGGGGATATATTTGTAGATTTACACGCGACTTATTACTACACACTGCCACTATACAGCGTAACCTCACTAGTCCCAGACATCATGAATATATACCCTTGTCTTAAGCAGCCCATATCATTGGTGACATGTCGGATTTGTTCGTATACACGGTATTGAGGCCAAACAGCTAAAGCCGACAAAGGGGCCTAGGAATAACAACCCGTGCCTCAGAATCTATTGACCTTCACGGCAAGTCAAATAGCTCAGGGTTGAATTCTGCGTTTAGAGCCGTCCACATCATAGAAAATGGTAGGTGAGCTACACCCTTGAAGGCGATGCGTCTCAAAGATCTCTGGCTTCGTATTTCATTAGCTGCCATATCCTGTTCTTGAAGAGCTCAAGGGTTGACTCTGGGGGGCTAAATAAGACAAAGGTGTTCATTCATGCGTGTGCTGACGGCGTTGTCTGACCCATCGAACCCATGCCACTAGTGTATTATTATCTAGCACAAAAGTGTTCATTTTTTATATCCAATTAGACAAAAATTGGCTTTCCCAAGACTGCCCATGAGAAAATGATGAATAGGTAGAGGAAAAGGTCTTCTTCTAGAAGAGCAAGGTGATCATCGAAAATGTATACTCATGCTGAGTTCATCGAACTCAAGGTTCAGCTTTCCGAAGATATCAAACTCGTCTACATCCATGCTTTAAGAGTACCATTGAAATGGAATATACTTACATCACGTTGGAATTAGGGGTGTTGGTAAATGCCCCTACATGGCCTATTTCTTGGTCACTTCGACCCACGGCTTTATCATCGATGAGTCTTGTGAAGACGCCTGGTCGCTCAACTGTCCATTCTTTGGTCTCACTTCGTTCGAATATCTGGGTGATAAGCTCCCAAGCCTCGCTGTCGATGAAATCGCCACTTTCAAAGTTTCGCAGCAGACGCCAATTGGCTCGAGGATTGTCAGAAAGTATGAGCTCACGCATTAATACTGTATAGGAAGTATCTCGTTCAAGCCACAAGTCGTTAGGGTCTATATGTCGCATCTCATCTCCATTTTCTAGAATGCCGCTCTCGGGCCTGGCCTGCAGTTGCACGAACAACCGATTGATCCTAGGTAGATGCTCTAGCAGCATCTGGAAGTGAGAGGCGAGAGGAAATATTGCAATGTAATTGAAGTCTACCACGGACGGTGGAATCAGAGGCACATTGTTGGGATATTCTTCACACCCAAGTAAAGCACCTAATATCGATGGCGGTCTACGTAGATAGAACTCGTACACACGGTATACCTTCAAGAGTCAGTCCATGCCCTTGGTAGTACGTTGGTGTTGGGTAAATATACCTTGGTGGAAGAGCCTTCGTTGAGGAGGAGTGAAGTCCAGGGTCGGATTGTGAAGAGTGGACAAGCTACTTGTCTCGAGTCTGTAGCAAGACAGCGCGATGTAGATGAAATCGCTGGCATACTGGACCGAGTATCTGTAGAAGTACCGCTTGGCGGACCATCGCTTCCAGTTTTTACTTGACGACTCGACCGGGAAAAGGAGAGTATATGATACGGGATATCAAAAAACCAAGCATCGTTCAGGTAGAGCATGCATGACAATAGAGCTGCCAGAGTGGTAGGACGAGAGAAAATGGTAAATCTTAGAGGATCAATGACGGAAAATATTTGATCCCATAACCATTCAAGGTCCGCGGTGCGTATACGAGGAGCGACTTGATGATCTACGGCGGCGGGATCATGGAAGTCAATGACGAGAGTGAAAGTGATGACACGATGTGCTAGGTCGTTCTCAGAGAGGAACCGTAGTAGCGGTATGGGATTTAGAGTGAAGGCGCTCAAGGAATAGACATTAGGCTTCCATAAGACATGTCGAAACAGGCGCGGCAGCGACAGAGAACGCCATGATCTTGAGACGAGGGAAACGGCTTTGAGGGGCGGCCTCGGACCGCCCGGTTGAGTCGTAAGCAACTCGAGGCCCGGCTCGTCATGTAGATGTGTCTCAGACGGCGCAGGAGAGTCCAGATACTCAAAAACTTGAAGCAGTATTTCGGTAGGTACGAAATCCATCGTTGTGGTCTCGTCATTGAGAGATCACTCGGCTAGGGGGGAGTACTGATGATGAAGCGTCCAGAAACGGTATAGTATACAAGACTGTAGGCTTGAAATTAGATCCAAGCATTGTCAAGAAAGTCCACTTTTAACACAACGAGAATAAAGCAAAATGCCAATTCTAAATTATACAATCAGGTCACCTTTGAGATGAGAAAGATAAGAGATCAAATCAATAACCTCATACCTTAGGTAAGTATTGTTTCGATGCCCCACCCCCACAACCTTAAGATAGGTACCTACATGGGTAGTCTAAGTATGTGGGAAATGGCATAGTAAAATAGGTTCTTATCTGCACTGTGACTGACACATCATCACCACAATCAATTCGTCTGTTTTCACCATCAGACGTCTAAACCATCTCCAGTTCTCAAATTGGCTCAGCCTTTAGATCCTTGTGAGGCTAATTATGAACACTTCCCCGTACCTTGGCTACCTAGGATCATAATGCCTTGACTACTGAGCTCGCTGGTGACTAGGCTCATTTCAGAATATTACGATGCGATGCCCATCCACCAATACAACAAAGTACACCTCGTACATTTGTCCATCCTCCCGGTTATCTCCTCGGCGGAGTAGAGTATCTACCATAGGAAGTTGGACCCCTGTAGGTCGAATGCTGCATATATCCCGGCGATTCTTGGCCGGGGGTATCTGGTGACCAATAGCCTCTATCTTCTTTTGACCGTGCAAGCTCATCGTCGTCCTTACCACTGAACAGCTCCCTTCGATACCTATCATACTCGTTGCTCGCCTTAGCAACATCTTCGAAGTGCTCCATACCGATATAATAATGCTGCTGACTTCCGTCAATGTGACGTTGATAGTGGGCTAGAGACGCCGCGATTTGGAAGGCGTTGCGAATCTGCCTGCCATTCCATCTTGCACTAGCGTCTTCATGGAAATGCTTCGATGCGAACGCCAGTATGTCGTCTTCCTTAATCACCATCGCCTTCTCACCATTCAGTCTTGCCCTCTCATCTTCAATGACCTTCAGTCGATTGAGGTTCATCCGGAAAATGGCGATAGTCTCGGATAACTCCAATGCTGGGTACCTAAGGCTCAAATGAACGCGCGACTTGACAGCTTCGTCCAAGGCGCCCGGCCGATTGGTAGTAAGGAACAATATGCCCGGGTAGTACTCAAGAGTCCTTAGAAAGACTAGACGGGTCAGCATAGATATTGAACTTCAAATCTTGGGGGCTTCTCACCTGACACCATGGCATTTCTCGAAATACTATCATCGTTCTTTTGCCTCTGCGATAGGAATATCTCGGCTTCATCCATGAGGAGAATGCAGTCCCATAAATTCGCCAATCGAAAGGTCTCTTGGAGTCTTTCTTCTACCACTTCGGGGGTAGTCCCAAGGTCTCCGCACGTAATAGGGAACAGCGGTTTACTCTGAGCGTGAGCAACAGCTTCAGCAGTGGCGGTTTTCCCAACCCCAGGAGCGCCATGTAGCAATATCACAATGCCTCTTCCTTTGCCTCGGATGAAGTCCTGATCGTGAGTCTCTAAGCCATGTCGTGCAGCGGCTTGACGAGCCTTTTTCTTCTCAAAGTGCTCGTAGACGATGGACAAGATCATCTTTTTGTGTCTCTCGGGGATTTTGAGGTCATTGAACTGGTTGAGAAGCGATGGTATCGCTTTCAGATGTGCCATGTCTATGACGACGAACTTCCTGTCACGCAGGGCGTATGCGAATAAACGCGAAGGCAGAAGTGCCAGATCTTCGTCCGACAAAACAATGTCAGTCTTCACCTGGGAGCTGACATCATCTGATCGCTCGTAAATGTAACTGTCTGTTTCCGCAAATTCACCCCATCGAATCTTATCAATGGATTCTTTGTCAACAACCATTTCCCTCCAACAGTGTACTTGTTTCGATCGTTCAGGATCCGCCCATTGAATGGTAGTAAATGGATCCCGCAGGGTCCTCGTCTCAATCGGCGTCTTAGAAAATGTGGAAAATTCGGGTTCCCAGTGAGGAAATGTGAGGAAAGCTTCGCGAAAATCAATAATCACATCGCTGTCGATATGTTCTGGCGTTGCCATCTCATCACCCTCAGAGTCCGTCATCACATCCCCAGTTGGGTCATGAATCAGGGTCCAGCCATCATATGCCATAGCGACTTTTCCTTTCGACAAGAGCTCTCGAAATGTATTTCCGCGCTGCTTCAACTTTTCTAAGATGGCGTTCCCATCCTTCATAAACCGCAGCGGGAATATGGGGAGCTCGTGGATCTCCTTCTCCCCTTCGTAATAGGGGATTGAAAAGGTTCTGTTCACGGCTGAGTATTTCTCTCCATCAAAGTCGAGTGAATAGGCGCTGAAGTTATCTTGCCTCTTCTTGTCAGCATCGTCAGAAACCAGCCCCTCATCATTATCAACAGATTCCATCTGATTCACCTTCCACGTTGGAGCTTGCTGGGATATAAAATAGAGACGCCATAGCCGATGGGTTGTAGCTGCCGCTTGTGGCCCCTGTGCGTTGTTCACCGAAGACTCAGTCTTCGGGTTTGCCCGTTGATACACTAGCTCTCCAATTCGAAACAAAGACCAGAGCTCGTCATACCGTACTTTCATATTGGTGCTGTAATCGGCCTGTTCAAACATTCTATATGTTGGCATGATCCTCTCATTTATAAAGTTCACGTATAGCTTCATATCCTTGTAAGCTTGTTCACTGTCCATGAGAGCCATTATCTCATGTCTTTTCAAATAGCTCTCATGCCTCTCGATCGGAGGTACAGGCACTTGTTGGGGGTTGATCGGCTGACTCTTGTCCTCATCTTCAGTAAATGATGCAATACCCACACCTTGGGATTTAGCAGCAGTGTCGTTCCCTGTCAATACTCGATCGTTATCCTCTCCTGTCGTCTCTGGCGGTTTTTCTAGCTTCGCACCACTGTTCGGGCCATACTTTTCTTCCAAGACACGAAGATCTGCTTCCATCGCGCTATGAAAGTGAATAAAAGTCTTGAATGGTGCCATAAAAGTATGAGGCAGGGTTGACCAAGAGCTTTGAACGTTGGTTTTGTCAAGATAGGCTAAGATGATACCCGAGTTGATACGAACGCGGTTAATACCGGGCTTCCACTTGTCTTCGTTGGCCTTCATGATCCGGCGCAGCAAACGTGGTGACCTCATGTAGTTCAATCTCGTTTCTGGGGGGAGTCGAGCGATGTGCTCGGCCTCTACCTCCGCTGCTCGATCCTCAGGCAACATATATATGTCAATGCTATAGTTGCATTCTTCATCGGAATATTTGTTTTTGAAGTGTTCCCAATCACACTCTCGAACTTCGGGCACAGTGTGAAACATGTCATAGAACCCATCTTCCATCTTCTTATCGGCAGCTTCATCGTCTGTCTCGTCATCCTTCTCATTCTCTGCCCTCTCAAGAGAAGCAATTCGAGTGTTCATATCTTTCATCCAATTATACATAACAGTCCCATCGAGAGATCCTGGCAAGTTTTTCATGTCCTTAAGCGGATCATTGGGCATTGAATCATTGTCGTTGCCCGCGCCTCTCTCATCCTCAACAGCGGAGGACGGGCTAACGGCGATTGGGTCGTACACTTTATTGCAAAAGAATGTTAGGATATTCATGTTCAGGGTTCACAGCTCAAGAGGCTTTCCCCACTTACTTTGTCCACTCCCCTCCCCACGGGGTTGTGAAGATTTGACCGTAACTTGCGCGTCTATTGCGGCAGCCATTGTTCGATCCGTCCAAGCTACTATCTTCGTGCCTTGGGGTTAGATATGTTCCTATTCAAACTGGAACTACCTCGCGCGGTAAGCCCAATATGTGTTTAATAGATATTATAACCAGAGCTCCCCACGATAGTATCCCTGATTTTCAATAAGGTGATGTCGGTAGTGCTGGAACCAAAGACACAAACGAGCCTTCCACTAGGTTTTACGCTAGGAGAGAGAATTCTTTCTCTCCGGCCGAAACAGTTGCGACACCCTCAGCCTGCATCCTTCGAAGCGCCGAGAGCTTACCACCCATGCGGGTGAGTGTCATCCCCAAAAAGCCATTGGAGAAAACGACGCCACACCTCCCACTATTGGATACTTGAGCTTCTCGACTAGGCCCTGAATTGTAGCATGTTAACCCTCCGAGCCAATCTTAGAGACCGGAGGCAGGCGAGAGTAGTTTTCATTAAGGAATGAACGGATTAGTTGCATATGATGGGTTGCATCAGCCCCCCCCCCCAACCAAGCGCATCTCCCCTGTCAGTTTCCTTCTACAGTCATATCGATGCCTAGAGGGTCTAAAGTGACATTTCTCTTATGTGCCGTGTCCAGAGAGGGAGTTTTCCAACAAACAGAAATAAATAGCTACCAGCGTCAATGACACTTCGCCACCCAAACACAATGTCGACAGGCATGGCGACTGGGATGGAACTAGAAAACAATCTGCCTCAGACTCTGGTAAGAACTATGAGTGACAGGGTCGAAGTATCCACGTTTGATTATTGGAGAAATTCCGATGGTGCAGTTTCAATCTCTTCCAGCCTGGCAACACCGGCGACATACGATGAACAACGTTCGGTGTGGCGTCGGCCAGGTAGTCAAAAGTGAGTTATCCTTTGCCTTTCGGATTTAACAATTTTCCATATCAAAGTAATAGAATAATTTCTAAACAACTTGAAATAGGGACTTGGAAAGCGCGATCAACCAATACCTCCAACAGAATAAACACGAGTTTAACTCCAAATGGTCTACATGGCAGGGCGTCCTAGAACAACTTGACAGTGCGACTACAATCTACTACGAGAAAGCTCGTGGAAACCCGGCTAGAGCTACTATACGTAAGGGAGAAGCGATCAGTCGAAACTAAATCCCCTTGTTGGAATCTATTCCTAATGACAACGGCTTGGGCTTACTCAAAGGCGGATTACTCGTCATCTTCAATGTAGGTTGATACTGCCATTTACCCCTTTAGCTGTATTCAACGGGTGGTAACACGTCAGGTGCTTGGTGTACTCCATCATTTCCTGGATAATACTGCTCGAGATTGCTAATATCCGGATATATAGGCAGTCAAGAGGCGATCCGAAGCTTGTGAGAAAGTCTTCCACTGCTTCAAACTTATACCGGAGACCATAGCTCGTGTGCACTCATTAGAGAGGCTGTTCCCTCACGAAAAAGGTGTAAAAGCCTGCATCGATGACTTCTATAGCATGCTTACAGCATCTATACCACGACTAATCAGAATTCTCAACAGAAAGGAGTCAGAAACTCGTACGTACGGACACTACCCAATAATTAGTTGGGGTGGTATGAGTGCTAACTTGATGCCTGCAACATGTTAGGCGTTATTAGGATGGGAAAACTACTCTTAGGCGATCAAGTTAAGGACGTCGATGCTTGTATTCAACCGGTCAACGAGACGGTTCGAAAGCTTAATGAATACGTACATAATCTAGAGAGAAGCAGGGACGCTCGGACAGCGAAAACGACAGACAACATCCATTCGAACCTCAACATTGTCCGATCTGAAGTATCAGAGATTCGCCAAGACTTGAAGTCATTGATTGGTGGCTTGAATGAGCCTCTCGAAGCAATTCGTGAGAGATACGCCACAATTCGGGAAAGTCAAATCAAAGAAATTACAGACGAGGCCACTATGGCTATTTTGAATGGTCTGTATCGAATGTTGGCAGAAAGATGTCGAACCAAGGATTTTGATAATCAAGGTTAGCGCTACACATTGCGGCTTTTGATATATAAGACAGTTGAGTGCTGACATCCGCTCGAAGGAACGATCCCACAAGCTCCGTGGCAAACCCTCCCGGCCCTTCCTCGTGCGCAAACCATAGGAACAGGAGAAAGTCTAACAATACAACCCAGCTTAGATGATCTACTAGAAGCCTTAGGTGGAGAGCCAGTATGTTTGGAAAGCTTGAATGATCATGGAGAAATTCTTCGCAAATGCAACCAGTTCAGTGACAGAGCTTTAAGGCAAGCAGCCTACTTAAAATCAGCACCCTACTTCCCGAGATGGCTCAGTGCTACAACCTCAGACATTCTACTAGTGGATGGACATGACACGAGAGGCAAAATATCTGCAATGTCTGTATTTTGCGCCATGCTCGTACAGGCCCTATGGAACATGCAAGATCAGTTCACTATGCCTCCTATCCAAAGCATCGCCCTCTTCTTCGCCTGCGGAGCGCACACAGAGCCAGAAGACATCCTAACGGGGCCCTCCGGCATTGTCCGGAGCTTAATCGGCCAGGTTCTGGTATCCTGGCCGGGACAAGCACCGGACCTTACGTTTATCAACGAAGCTGATACTCTACTGTCTGATATCCAGGAGAATAGGATCGACGCACTATGCTTCTTATTCCAGAAACTACTCCGCCAACTGCCTTCAGAAACTGTACTTTACTGCGTTGTTGACGGAATTTCGCTTTATGAGACGAGTTATTCGAACTGGAAAGACGACCTGGACTACCTCGTCGAGGTATTGAGAGACTTGACAGATATCAACCTAATGCATGAGTCCCATGGCCCCGTCCTGAAAGTGCTCCTTGCGAGCGCAGACAAGAGCACTGATGTCTACAGATTGGTACCAAATCAGAAGCGTGTGGATCTTCGAGCACAAAACCAAGTGCCGACCACGCCAACGGAGCTATCGTTACTGGAGGATATCCAACACAGTTTACAGCCTGAAGCCTAGTTTAAGCCCAAATAGAGGAATGTTGCTTGCGGTCTAGCCAGCGACCGGCAACCTCCAGACCCTGGCCCACCTGAAGCTTCCCGATGTAGGCAGGCCAACCTTGTAGGAACTATGCCCGGTTCAAGCTTCTAGAAAAGGCATTCTTCTATATCTTGTTGATCGGCGACGGCATATTGAAGTGTACAAAGAGGCTCAGGTTTCCAGCTTCGTTAGGTTTACGTTTCCTAGCTACCCCACCTCCGGGGTCGTTAATAGTAGCTTGATGCTTCCCCCATATTCCAATAATCTTGATATATCGGTTGAAGCTCAATTACGCATTAGTTCTGCATTCAGCATGACTAGTTATCCTACGACGAGATAGTGATTATATTCTGGTTGAACTTTGATTACAACACTGGTACTGAGCTAACATTAAAGACCCCTGACTATGTATATATCATCAAAGAGACAAACCCCCTGGTGCTAGGTCTTCAACAAACGGCTTTATTCTATCTCTTGAACCCTCAATCACACTTCTTCAAACCCTCATAGCGGAAGACGGAAAGGCCTCCATATTGACCCCGCAGCTCAACGGCCGCAGAGGGGTTGAATGCCTAAGCGAAACTAGCATATTGAACTACAAGACGCCATAGATGGTCCTCCCCGCAATATTTAGACCTAGGTAGCCCAAGTGCCGCCCCCCTGTCGCCGACCACAAAAAGGGACTCGGCCCCATTCCCATCCCTTACCGAAATGTTGCATGGTTCTAGTCCAACCGGCCGGAGGAGATTCCACGTGGGAGACATCGCCCACTGCAGCAGCAGCAGACAAGGTGAAGGCGACAGGTGAGGCAAAAAAGGCTACCTAGGGTACTGTATCTATTTATTGATCCCTCCGAGGACCAAGTATACGTCACGACGGCCCCTTCACGTAACAGCGCGATAGGCGGGCTTTGTCTCGGCCTGCTTACGCTTTTAGCCCTGGCACACAAGCTAAGCCGTGGCACTCGAGATGCGCAAACCTGGGATCTCCATCAATCGCAACTACCGGATAATCAATGGGCGATTCGTCTAACCCGGTTACGTGTCGGGCAATGCAAGTCCACGGTAAAGTCAGCATTGACAAAGGCGGGGCTGGCAGGGATGCTGCGGGTTGGTTTCGTTCCCAACTTCACCGTTTGCTCGAGGCCGGACGACTTTTAGTGTGGTAGTGTACTGCTAGCCCTCCCTTTCGCCACGGCGAGTTGGGCCTCCGGCGTTCAGACCGTCACTGCTTGCTGTGGGCAGTAGCCCCCGTTGTCCGCTTGCTCGCTTGCTGGGCTCTTCTGGTAAAATGGGAGGATTCGTCCAGGCTGATGAAGTACAGTAGACCCGTGCAGGGCTGGTGGGATCTCTCATTGGCGCAGGTACTGGTTGTTGGCTGGTTTCTCAGACATGTTGCCTAAGTGTCCAAGGTCGCGCATCACTACCGCATGCAAGACATCTAACATCTAAGATCCCCTCTATTCGGTTGTATGACACTACACTAAGGAGATGACTGCGGGTGGTGCTACTGTTGGTGACGGAATATGATGGTCACCGCTTGCGGGGATCCTAGGTATCGTGCACTCTTCGGCTTGCCGCCAATACGCCCCACGCTAGGTACGAAGTGGCGGCGACGGCAGCAGTGAGAGTGTCCACAATAGGTACATAGTATCTCCTTTGGCTCTCGGGTAATAGATCCTGAAATGACAAGAGACATGCCACGGCAAAACATGGTCAGAGAGCTGATCGATTTAGTACCGCATGGAGAGAGGGATTTCTTTCTGAATCTCTGTATAAAGTCCTAACCCCTCCTCTCTTCCATCCCGTCCAAGTTTCCTGTCATAGTAATTGGAGTTGACTCTGGCGCCCTAACGCATATATTGCTCAGTTGGCTTTCTCACTATAAGTCTAACTGGATCTCATATATACTACATATACGTAGATCGGACAGGGTCTATCTCACCATAAGACAAGATGGTCGGCAACAAGCAACGGCCCCCATTCCGGGCTGAGCATCTAGGCTCACTTCTACGTCCTGTTGAGTTGACTGAGAGACGACTTCAACTTGACAATGCTAAGGCCCTCGAGATTGCTAACGATGAAAAGTTGCATGAAATCGAGGATAAGGCTATCAACGAGATAGTCAAGCTACAGTTAGATTTGGGATTCCATGCCATTAACGATGGAGAGTATCGTCGCCATCAGTTTTGGGGCACATTCTTCCCGAATCTTGAGGGCTTTGAAGAGATTGTGGCACCTGACTGGGGGATGTTCCGCATGTATGTCCCGGACATTGCTGCCTTCAGTAAGTCGATTTTGACACGGAAATGTTGCGAAGCTCCATGCTAATGAACCATTCCCAACTATAGCCGAGGCAGGTCACAAACCGGGCGAGTCCGTCGTTTGCACTGGCAAGATCAAGCACAAAGGCAGTAGTTACCTGAAAGACTGGAACTATCTCAAGAACCTTGTGCCTGCTGATCGTGTCAAGGATCTCAAGATCACACTCGCTGCCCCGAACTGGTGAGTTTCCATCACCCATTTTTCGCGTCTCCGCCTCTCAGCTATCAGCAGTTTGAGGCTTCGAGGCTGAACAAAAACTAGGTATCATTTGCGCTACAAGAAGGGAATGGCGTATCCGCAGAGCGTGTATGCCAACGATGAAGAATATTTCAAAGACTTGGCCGTGGCATACGCAACAGAGCTTCAGACTCTATATGACAATGGAGTACGAAATGTCACCATCGACGACCCGAATCTAGCTTGTAAGACCAGCTCTATCTCGTCCCGTGTCTAAGCCACTGACAAATGGCCCTCCTACGGCACAGATTTCTGTTCGGAGAAGATGATTGCGGGATTCAAGACAGACGGTGAGGACCCTGACGCGCTTTTCGACTCATATGTCAAGCTATACAACGACTGCATTTCTTCACGGCCTTCCGACATGCACCTCGGCATCCATCTTTGCCGAGGCAACTTCGCATACAGCAAGCACTTCTCGGAGGGCGGCTATGATCGGATCGCGACGAAGCTATTCAAAGACATCAACGCAGACACGTACTTCCTGGAATATGACACAAGCCGAGCGGGCACGTTCGAGCCGCTCAAGGAACTCCCGACGAACAAGAACGTCGTGCTGGGCGTCATCACTAGTAAATTCCCAGAGCTGGAGGATCTGGAAGAGATGAGGGGACGTGTGTTCTCAGCTGCCGACATCATCGCACAGGGCTCAGGACAGACACGCGAGGAGGCGTTGAAGAGGATTAGCGTCAGCCCTCAATGTGGGTTCGCAAGCCACCATCTTGGAAACTCGGTGACAAGAGATGATATGATTGCCAAGCTCAAGCTCGTCAGACAGCTCGCAGATTCGATCTGGCCAGGTGAGCCATAATTAGTGATCGAGAACATGTAGTTGGAACAAGTTAATTTTCGGCTTGATAATACTCCAGGGTGATGAGTACAGGGTATCATATGATAATTATGATGATGCTCTACATAGTAGGAGATACCACCGGAATCAGATGAATATCAAAGAGAGGAAATATTCTCTATTCGATAGATCTTGAGAGCGTGATGTCTAGATAACAAGTACACGTAATGCGCTATGAGTGGCGAGCCGTAAGCGAGCCCTGTTGTCCAACGCCGAAGAAGCACAACCAACACAATTCTGATTTCCGTGAACTATACCCACGCTATCTTTGAGGCCAGCAATCGGTCGGTATATAATCGGCAACGTAGAAATCACAAGTTCAATGTGAAAGAAGCGGCCCTATTCTCCTACATCACAGGTTAGGTAATCGGTAGATTACTGTATTTACATAGCAAGTGCCCCACCAACCAAAGTCCTTATGTAAGCAGCACAGATATGATACAGGGGATTTATCTGCATACTTAGCTCTCCCGCCTCTTACTGTGTATGCATCAGCTGTGAAGGAATCGATCCGGTGGTGCCAGCATTTCGAGGACAGGCCCATGATCTTCCAATTCTTGAAGTGGCGGTGCACTCTCAAGCATAGACAGCTGCAGGAAAGCGCTTTCAACCCACTGCGGGTAGGTAATTGGAAAGATCTGATTGGTTGTGTGCCTGGACACGGCAGTATGGGGCTTATGGCACACGATCGGGGACCCCTCCTTCTCACAAGCCCGTTACCTATCGTTGATATTTGATAGAAGAGCTGATAGGTAAGGGTGAAAGTAGGCGCTGGCGTGTCACCTCTTGGGCATAGACGAGAATAGATACAAAAGGGCACCGCACCGACCTCCAGCTTGGGATTGTTAACGTCATTCTTGCTTTCATGCCTGTATAGGACCGCTTGTGCCCACGCAAACAGCACAACACCAACACCAACACCAACAGCACCATCACCATCACCATCACAATACAATGCCTGAACGGAAGAATCCACCACCACCAAACGAGTCCGTCACGTACAGTTCGGGTGCTGGGAATAGCGGACCTCCAGACCTCCGGATTCTCCATTATAATGACGTCTATCACGTTGACTCGTCCTCGAGCGAGCCAGTTGGCGGTGTTGCGAGATTCATGAGTCTGACAGAGCATTACCGCAAAGGACCGCAGTTCGAGGGCCAACCCGATCTCCTTACCTTCTTTTCCGGCGATGCCTTCAATCCCAGTCCAGAGAGCTCGGTAACGAAAGGTATGTCTACCTCCTCCTTAGCAAGGCTTATCACCTCATCCAGAAGTAAAAGTATATATGGCAGGGGATGAGACGAGTCGATCTACATACTCAAGACTAATGGCTAACCCTGAATTGAACTAATTAGGCGATCATATGATTTCATTGTTGAACAATGCGGGAACAGATGCAGCGGCTTTAGGGGTCTGTACACCCTTTGCAGTCTTCCTAATGCAATGAATAGCATCTAATTACATCTCTAGAATCATGATCTCGACTTTGGTGTCCGCAAGTTCAGGCATCTAGTTTCAAAATGCAACTTTCCGGTATGCATTCCTCAGCGCTGCAATTTATTGCACTTATACCACTCTCGAGACTTTCTCACTCCCCGGCATGCGTCCCTTCTCAGATGATAACACCAGGAGATTGCTGACCCTTATGCTGGATAGTGGCTCATTGCGAATGTATTAGAGTATGAATTTCTTCTGTCACTTCTCTCATCACTTGATTGACATTGTCCACCTCGTGATGTCCTTGGTATCTCTTAATGGAATTTCACATGAGACGTGCTGACATTTCTTCCTGTCAGTCCAGCCTTAGGTGAAGATGTCCCAATTGGCAATTGTAGAAAGACACTCATGATCACATCATCGAATGGCGTCAAGATTGGGCTTATCGGCCTCGGTGAAAGGGAGTGGCTGGCCACCATTAACAGCTTACCGCCCGACCTCATCTACAAATCAGCGAGCCAGACGGCGAAAGAACTTGTCCCGCAGCTACGTGCAGAGGGAGCAGAAATAGTTATCGCCTTGACGCATATGCGCGAGCCCAACGACAACAAGTTAGCCGAGCAAACCGATGGTATAATCGATATCATCCTGGGCGGCCACGACCACTACTACAACCATAGCTTTATCAAAGGGACTCATGTGTTACGATCCGGCACCGACTTCAAACAGCTGAGTTACATCGAAGCAAGGCGGAAATCCGATGGCTCAGGGCGGTGGGACATCGACATAACCCGCAGAGACGTCACCTCGGAAATCCCACAACATGGTCCTACACTAGAGATAGTTGAGGCGTCAACAGCCAATATCAAAAAGAAGCTTCAAAAGCCCGTCGGCTACACAGCTGCGCCCTTAGATGCCCGCTTCCGCACCGTCCGGTTACAAGAAAGCAACATCGCTAACTTTGTCTGCGATATCATGCTGCACTATTACTCGGGGGATTGCAGCTTGATGGCATCCGGCACCATTCGAGGCGACCAGGTCTATCCACCAGGCCCCATCTTACTGAAAGACATCATGAGCTGCTTCCCATTTGAGGATCCAGTGGTGGTCATCCGAGTCCTCGGGAAAGCAATCTGGGACGCTCTCGAGAATGGCGTATCCCAATATCCTGCGCTCGAGGGCCGGTTCCCGCAGGTATCCAACATCAAGTTCTCATTCGACGCAACGAAGCCCTCCGGCTCGCGTATAGTCTCAGCCTCTATCGGCGGCGAGCCAATTGACATGGGGAAGAAATACGTCCTCGTCACACGCGGCTACATGGCGCGCGGCAAGGACGGGTACGACAGTCTACTCGTGGAGCCCGAGGGCGGGGTAGCCGAGGAGATAGTCTCTGAAGAAAACGGCATCCTAATTTCGATGATGCTCCGACAGTATTTCATGTCTCTCAAGGTTGTGGGCCAATGGAAGCACTGGGGCGCGAGCATGGGGCGGCACTGGAGCAGCGTGACGAGCAAAGTAGGCGCGAACCACCCGCACTACACAGCCTCACCCTCCTCTCCCACAAACACCAAACCCACACCTGCTGTTTCCAAAAACGGGGGCTGGGAAGAATGGAAGCCCGAGAGGATCCGCGAACGCCGCGCAAGCCTCACACACCCGATCGACGAGTCAGACAGCGAGGACGAGGATAACGACGAGCAGCGTAGGGAGAACACCATCGAGGATCTCGACGCCGAGATGCAGACCATGCGGCGCGTCTTCAGCAAGTGGGCGCGCCTCGCAGGCGTTGAGTGCAAGCCCGGCGACGAGCTGCGCGCCGACGAGTTCGAGGTCGACTGGACACGGGCCATTGCGCCACGGATCGAGGGACGGATCGTGCGCGTGGACAAATAACTTCCTAAAGCGAGAAAGAGAGGGCTTTAGTCACGCAAAAAGCTCCTGACCAACTTCGTTCCACCCACAAACCCGCGCCGCATCCATATCTACAAAAACAAAAGTGTGCGAGCAAACATGACAAGAGAAAACGAGGTGAAAAGGAGGGGAAAAAAAGACAAAAAAAAAACGAAAAGATTTACAATAGAAAAGAGGAGGGAAAACGGGAACAACAGGGTGCATTAGCATTAACGACGTTACGACCAACGACATCTATATAGGTCCATCCAAGGTTAGCAAACGAATAAACAATCAATCAAAGAAGTCAACACGCGAATAATAAACCCTCAAGAGTTTCTCGAGAAGATCTACATATGTAGCCATCGTCATATCCTTCATAACAATCTGGTCATGAAATCCACGTAATCCATGCGTTGTGGGAGTGTTATATTAACTAGCACATACTTACTATAGTATATCCCAAAGCAAAGCAGAAGCAACGCAGGGCAAGCGGCATCAGAATCGAGCAAGTTTAGAACGGATGGATGGGATATCTGGGCAAACATGAAAGGTCCATATATAAGTACGTAGCCGAGCGGGTTTCCAGCACACGACCTGTCACTCGCTCGCAAAACGTAGTAATGATTCGCTTAATCTCGCCTCCTCTGCATAGTTCCAATAAAGGTATGGATGTCTCCAAACAGACGATCTGCAATGCCTCCCCCGCCATGAATCCCGATGAAAACCGAACAGCCAAACCATTTCGTGTTTGGCAGTATTGTAGTGCTATACTATATCAGGCCACCGAAAATGCCGTGTTACCTGCCCCTTTCTATTCCACCTAGTAGTAGTAATAGTATGATACCTAAACCTACACCCCATACCTATGCCTAAACCTGTACGTACCTGGTTTATCTACCTATATACACTGCATATTCCGTAAAGATAAGAAACGAGAAAAAGAAAACAGACAAGTGAAAGCGGGCGGCAAGAATGAATCCAAAAGCTTGAGCGTCATGACAAGCTATCCTCGACCTAATAAATGCGGCGCGACCAAGTGCGGTCGAAAAGGGATCGAAAAAAGGATAGTCTACTTATATACAAAGGTAAGAAGGGATAGATCTGCGCGAGCAGACAAGGGTATTACAACGCAATATGCAATCTAAGCACGCAGGCCAGCCACCAGGTTTAGTCGGACGCATCGTCATCGCTATCCCAGTCATTAGGCGCCTCGACATACGCCGTCTTGCTCGTGGCCGCTTCTTCCGTCATCTCGCGCCAAGTACTCCAGCTGAGAACCAAGAACGCGATTACAATCATGGCGCCGCCAGCCAGGGTAGCAAAAGATAATGCCTCGCCCGTAACCAACCAGTCAGCGATGGCGACGATGAAGATGGTGAGCAGCGCAGCGACGGAACTAAGCACGGGGCTCGTGAGCGAGATAAGCACGAGGAAGCTGCCTGCAAAAGTAGCGTTCATAATGACACTGATCCAGAGGTAGAAGGCCGTGCTAGCAGACGGCAGTTCGAAGATTTCCCAGCCGAGGATGTGTAGGATCGGTAACGGGATCCAGAGTACGAGCACAGTGAACAGGCCAATGCAGGAGCCGAATGTGTTCGCGAAGATGACGCCGCGTGAGGCTTCGGCACCATCTGGCGGGCAGGCATACCGCTTATACAAAACCTCGTAAAGACCGTAAAGGACGCTACCGACACCGATGATGAGATTGCCAAGTAACCTGGTGCCTGCATCGGAAGCGTGGCCTGGGTCACGAGAATCACCGTACGCAACAACGAGAACGCCGACAATGGCAACAAGGACAGCAAGCGACTTATCCAGCCGGAGTTTCTCTTTAAGCAGCGGGACACTGAAAGCATAGGCGAAGAAAGTGGAGCAGTTGTATATCGCAGTGAGGTTGCCTGGACTGGTCATGTTGACGGCGACGTACCATGTTAGGCCCCCAAGGGTGAGACAGCTCGCGATACCGGCGGTAGCGCGTACCATGTACATGTAAGGGGTGGGTTGGAGGTGGCGCCGAGGGATGTCGAGCCTCTGTTCGGCGACCATGTGCGCGGTAGAGCGAAGGAGATCCTTGTGCCGGCGCCAGAACGTCGACCAGGATATATGGCGATCTCCCAACCGTAGGATGAGCAATTGAGCGGGCCAAAGAAGCACCCACGAGCCGTGTGTGAGGTACAGCATGCAGTAGGCCTTGTTCCAACCCAGTTCGTGCTGGACATAACGACCGAGCTCGGCCTGGACGACAAAGGACACGAGACACACCACCAGAAACATGGCGGCAAGCAGGTATTTCTTGCGAGCTGTAGCATGAGCCGGAGTTTCGGGAGAGTGTGACCGCACGTCCGAGGCACGGGGAGTCAGTGCCGGCCGGCCCGTAGTAGAGGATGTCGAGGCGACGGGATGAAGACCTGACGTGGCCCGGGACTCCAGGTCATCGTGATGCCGGGAACGGCCACGGTCTCGACCATCATCCTTCTCCAGCAGGGGCATTTCCGACTGACCGTCGGTAGGAAGGGCAAGGGAAGGCCTGCCGTCTCTTTCAGACATCATCTTGTCGGTGTATTCCTCGTCCGAGTCGTGGTCGAAGTGTTTCTTTACCTCATCGAAGTGGGAAGGGTCGGGAGTATCATGGAAAGGGAGGTCTAAAGGAGAGGCATCCGGAGAGTCAGCAACAGAATGAGTGTGGCTTGCATGTACTGTGGATGCACATAAGGCGGGATGTTCCTTTGATTGAACGTACCGGCTGGTGACGTAGAACTGCCATTGGCCCGAGAATCTTGCAGATATGAACTGGTGTCCTTTGAAAGGCTGGACAGGCGTATGTTGTCATTTGAATGCATCACATGGGGTTATACAGAACTGTCGACAGGGGTATATAAGTAGATACTAGATAATAATACAAGATAGGAAAAGCAAAGAATAGAAAGGCACAGATAGGGACTACAGGTTGTTCATCGGTAGCAGCGGCATCAGGACAACAGTGTACAAAAGATAAGAGACTAATAAGACACGAGGGGGGCGTGAGAATGCAAGTTGCAAGTCGCAAGTCTTGGGTCAGTGGGTCAGATGTTGGAAAGGCAGAAGAAAGGCAGAGGAAGCGGCTTGTGAGATGTACATACAGTAGGTAAGAGGTATGACAGGGATTCAGGTGGTGGGGCGCAATTGTCAAATGTGAGGGAGGTATCAGATGTCAGATGGTAGAAGACATATGCGAGAGGTTCCCAATTAACTACACCTAAGTTACTTAAGTAAGCAAGTACATATGTACCTACTTAAGTCATGAAAGTATCTGTCCATGCTTATAAAGGTCTTGTGCGACTGTAGCAGTGAGTCCAAAGTATGTGGTAGGTACATGCATTCCATTTCATCGATGTAGAGTTTTAGTTATAATGATTTAAACTCTTAGTATGCATAGGTGCCTATATAAGTACCTATGTATCTATATATCAGAGAATAATATCAGAAAACGACACTCTGCATCTTTGAAGCCATTAATTCTTATCCATCATCGGGAGTTGCAACTGTTATATAATGTAACAGCAGGAACTAGAAATGCGCTTCTTCTCAAAATGCCATAACAGGGCCATAACAGGGTTAATGAACCCATTACCGTGGATCAAAGATGCTGCACAGTTGACGTACAGTACGGTACATAGGTACCTGGGGATCATAATTACCTCCTGCCTTAAGTAAGCTAACTCTGGGGCAGTGTCAGGGGCTGACCATTTATGGATAGCGTATCACCCACTACACTAGCGAGTACCTACAGAGGTATGTATCTGGTATGTAGTACCTGAGGCTGTACATGTACCTGCTTGGTAGTGTACACAAGGTAACCCCAACACCCCCCCATCGGCTTCAATTCCGCGCACACCATCAGAGGTACCAGCTGATTGGTGTGGGTGAGGTGACCTTATTCTACGATAACGATGTGCATCCTATATACAGTAGTACATACATAGTAAGGATACGGCAAGCTTCAGAGATCACGCCGAGTGTAAGTACGCATACTTGCGATAAGCAGCTACTTGGCAACTCATTTTAACAGGCGCTTAACTCGGAGACTACTGTAAAGACCCGACTGGATGAACATCGTGATGTGATATGTCATATGGGAGTTTCTTCGCTTGCGGTCGGTGAGAATACTGCGCCGCGCCGGTCAAGCATATAATGTAGGACAGAACAGGAGATGCCACGCAGGTCAGGTGTCTCTATCACCAAACCCATCACAAGAGACAAGTCTTCATGCTATGCTATGCTCTACTCTGCTCTGACAGATCGGGCTATTTGCAAAGGCGATTGGTTCTATTAAGGTAAGGTATCAATATACTTATATACTCTCCGTACAACCCATTTATTTAGCCCCAGCCCCAAACAGCGCCTTCTGTGTATCATATTTATAGACGTAGTCCTTATGCCAGTAATTCGGCGCATCCGCTTTGGAAATCATCCAAGCCTCGTCAAGAGCCTGCACGACATCTTCTGGCAGCGGCCCCTTCTCCAGGGCATCCAGATTCCCATCGAGCTGGTCGTACGACGATATACCAATCAAAATACCATCGCCCCCGCCGTTCTTGATGCGCAGCGCACTGTGATGTACGGCCCAGCGTAGTGCTGTCTCAATCATAGTTAGACCGGGGTGCTTCTCCACGGCTTTCTCGATGGTCTGCAACGCGCGGAACGTGCTGTCCTTGAAGTAGCGCTGGCGGTAATTGGCGCCTGTCGGGTTGTTGGAGCTGAAACGTCCCTCTTGTACGTCCATATCTTTGCTCTTGATTTTACCGCTGAACAGACCACCCGCGACTGTACAGTACCAAGGTTAGTGGGAAACGTCCATAAGCATATACACGAGATCATATCCTACAATCTTAGGAAATATGGGCAAGAAAGATCTAAGAATACGTACTGGGGTTATAGACGACGATGTCAAGGCCATATCGGCGACAAGCGGGGACCAACTCAGGCTCGATGCCGCGTGTAATGGCATTATACATAGCCTCTGCAAAATGAAGCGTTAGCGATTGTCCCAGCATATCAAGATGAAATGATATCAGTTTCAGTCGCACTTGAACCACATAGGCGCAGGATCGCCCATTGGTGAATGAACAACAGCACGGGGTCGACTTACGGTAGATCGTAGGCCGCACCCACCCGTTATACTTGCAAATCATGACGACCTCAGCAACCTCGGCGGCCGTGAAGTTAGACAGACCAAGGCGGACAAACTTGCCAGCCTTGTGCAGCTTATCCACGGCCTCGAGGGTCTCAGCAAAAGGCGTCGCCCTATCCGCGGCATGGAGATAGCAGATCTGAAATTCAAACTAATCAGCATTCCATCAAGTCCACGCTCCTCAATAGCCAGCCGAGAAAAGTTAAGAAAAATACTACACCATATCGTAGTTAGCCAAAGATATAAAACTCACATCAACACAATCAGTCCCCAACTCGCTCAAACTAGTCTCTAGACTCTGCACGATTTTCTCCGGCGCGTGGTCGCCATCGTTACCAGGGTACTGGAATTTCGTGGCGAGCGTCAAACCGCGCTCCTTCCAGCCCGCTTCACGAGTGAACGCCTCCTGCTTGCGCGCCGTGTACACCCTCGCGGTGTCGACCTCGTTATACCCGCGCTCCTGGAAGCGGTCGAGCACGCGGCGGAACTCGCCGACGTCGGTGATGCGGGCGCCGGCCTGGGCGTCCGGGCCGAAGGTCATGAGACCTAGGATGATGCGGTCTCGCGGGGAAGAGGGGATGAGAGGCATTGTGACTTGTGTTTGTGTGTCTGTATCTGCGCGCGCGCGTGTATCTGTGTTTGATTTAAAAGATGAGGCGGGATGTCAGGAGGGGACGTGTCGGGATAAAAAGTGGTGAAGATGGATTAAGAAGGTAAATAGAAAGAGAGTTCAACCAGTCTCCTTCCTGAAATGAGGGTCTTGTAATGATACCACGTATATTTATACTTGTATACCTACCTCCAAATCTATAACTCTATATACATATATACATACATACGACCGAGACCATGAGCTACAAAAGGCGTTATTACGTGTTGCGGGTACCAACCGTATCTTTCTGTACGAGGTAGGTAGGCACCGGTGTTAACCCTACATTCGGCGCGCGGGAATAGCGAAGGGCAGACGAGGGGAAACCGTTGACGGCGTTATTGATACTTCCCCAGCATGTATGACTGACCTCTGACTGGCTGACTAAACATACATCAATGACGTCGCCGTTATTCGGCGGTAAAATCATCCACCAGACAAAGTATTAGGTTTGCAATGTCCTACCGCCGATTCGGTGATAGCATGTTTACCTGGATAGGTGCTTATTTAACTCAGTGCAGCTCGTGCATTTACTAATACTCCTCTCCCCCTCACTACTTTCAGCTTGGGCAGTTTTAAACGCCGAACCAACGTTGGGGATTGGTTTTAATTATGGGGGCCATAATGGCGTAACGGCCGATAGGCGTTTCGTGCTTCGTGGGGCTTTGCAAATGGGCGGAGTGTTCAGTAACCTAGCGTAATTAGAAGTAGACCTCATATCTCTTCAATCTTTGCTGTCCCCTAGGCGTACTTTGGAAGAGAGTAAATATCACGGCTTAGGTCACGGCTAGTCAAAATCCGAGTAGATCTATCAAATTTGAGTTGTCTGGATATCTCTCAACCCTCTATAGCTATACTCAGTTTCGCCAAAGACATTTTGTAACTCGTCACACATGTGCTACCTAGGTAGGTAGATTAATTTGAATATCAGTCCGTCTTTCACCCTTCCACCAAAACTTTTTAGACGTTGTATCGAGTTAGTAGGACACGCTCGCAATAGCAAGGGTGACATGTTCTGTCCATACAAAGCATCACAGGTCAAGCCGAGAACCAGAAGATAGTCTTCGTAAACGAGTTGGTGCTCGAGACAAAAATGGAACAGCTGAAGTTCATCTTGCCGCACACTCTACCCACTGGGCATCGGGGTTGCACGAAGTGGAAGGCTCGCGACGCCGTATATTGATGGACAAGGACAGACAGAGCTACTCGGACCGGAAATAGTTCGGTCTTATCGAACAGTAACCTCAGTCTCTTGTCCAACGAAAGCTGGTAGTTCAGATTCAACATCTCGCCATGACTTGTCACCATCGACCATAGAACGGATGGCAGCAATGATTGTCTCCGTATCAGCACGAACTTGGCTCGTTGAATCTCGGTCTCTTAAAGTGACTGTCTTGTCTTGAACGGTCTGGAAATCGATCGTGATACCTAGGGGTGTGCCAAGTTCATCGTTACGGCTGTAGCGCTTGCCGATACTTGCCGAAGTATCGTCGATGCGGTTAGAAATTCCAATTTTACGGAGCTTCTGGGATAGCTCATAGCAGAATGGTCGGAAGACATCGTTGCTGGAGAGGGGTACAATGAGGACCTTTGTGGGCGCTACAGTAGGAGGGAATGACAAAACCTGATCCACGATAAGCGGGAAGACAACACGTCAGACAAGGCAAGATACTCACACCACGAGCCTCGTCACCACCTTCGCTAGCACGTGTCCAGTAGCAGTGCTCCATGAGTGCACTGGAAGATTCAAGGTTAGAAAATGACACTGAGTGTTGGTTGGAAATGAATGATGGAACTTACTAGAGTATTCTTCCGATACCGAAGGAAGGCTCAATAACATTGGGCACGAATTCCCGAGTATTCTCTGTTCTTGTCCGCTGCTCAATCTTGATGAGCTCCTTAGGCACAGATACCTTGCCGTCGGCAACACCATCAACCTCAATGGTTAAGGAGCCATCAGTATCTAGGGCTTTTGCAAGCTCTTCCCTCTTTGATTGGCTTGTTGCAAATAAAGCAGATTCTACAGCTCTGCCATCCTTCTTGAAATGAGGGCCGAACTTTTTCCTTTCTAATTCTACTTCCCACTCTGTTACCTTGATGGGTTCTGGGCGTCGCTCACGAACAATGAGTGAGGCGCCTGTCTTCTTTGCATGTACGCTCAAGTCATACGCGCTGCGGTCAGCACAGCCAACGCATTCAATCCAGCCAAAGGAAGTCAATAATTCAGCATCCCACTAGAATTGAGGCCTGGTTAGTATCTGGTAGCCTCATAAAGCTCGATCGCCTAAGACTGAGCAGCGCAGTGGCCAGCGTTTGTGGAATAGTTTTTCTCTCGAAACTCCGGGGAAAGGGTAGTCACTTACGCAATCTGCAGCATAATGGGCCATCTCGTTCGCCATATGCTGTCTAAAACGAATCTTGGATTGGTCAACACCAATATTCTTGAGGAAGAGGTGGATGCGAGCCAGGAAGTAACCAAGGGTCTCGTTATCGACGGTACCGTTTGCTACAGCTTGACCAATGGTGACCTTTTGAACATCCGTCTTTCCAGAAAGCTGTGTCTCCTTATTCAGGAGTACTAACTCGACGTCTTTGACTTGGTCGAACCGTGGGTGCTTCTTACCACCATGGGGGTCTACAAAGTGCTCAATCTCTGCCATAAGGAATTCTCGTACACGCAGCAAGCCAGACCTAGGCGAAATTTCGTTTCGGTAAGATCTGCCAATGGAAGCAGAAGCGAAAGGCATCTGTTGCTGATTGAAATCGAGCAGCTTGGAGAAATTCAAGAACTGGCCTTGGGCTGTCTCGGGGCGCAAGTAGCCAGGAAGGTTACTGCTCGGACCAATTTTCGTTTTGAACATGAGGTTGAAGTCGACTGGCGGCAATGGTTGGACTCCGGTGGCCGGGTTCTTGAGGTTGAACTTCTGAATCAACTCGCCAAGCTCTTGTGTGTTGTAGTTGTCTATTTTGGCTAGGACCTCCTCATACTCCTTGACAACCGCATCGTCCAGCTTGATAGGCACAACAGCTCCTTTAACCTTCTTCTTCTTCTTGGGGTCCGCTTCCTTGGCGGCAATCCTCTGGCCGCGCGCCTCCTTGTCGCCCTTAAGTCGGTTCTCGAGAATTTCCTCGATAAAGTGGTCGGCACGGAAGATCTCGCCATTCTGAGGGTCTTTGCACATGGAATCAGCGAATTTGTCGACGTGACCACTTGTCTTCAACACCTCATGAGGGGTTAGAACACTGCAGTCGACCTCTAGCATGTCCTCCTCGAGGATAAAGTGTTTGCGCCAAGCATCGACGACACCTTGTTGCAGTGCGCAGCCCGGAGGGCCGTAGTCGTAAAGGCCAGAAACACCGCCGTAAATCTGCAGGCGACAATGTTAGTACTCTGTAAGATACGTATATAAACCATAGGAATAGGAAATAGCGACATAGTCTCTATGCATACCTCAAAACTGGGGGTATAGAACATGCGCCGCCTCAGCATGGCATCCAATGTGGCGCGATCAAGGGGCTGGCCCTTCAGAGTGGTGGCCGTAGTCGTCATGATTGGGGGCTGTATCTCGGACGATTTGCTATAGGGACGGAGAGAAAGGGGAGATGGAAGGGAAGGGCTAAACGGGACAGATATTTTTGGAGTAGACGATAGTCTAGACTGCCCAATACGATGGTAGAGATGGTGATGATAGCTTCTACGACCAGCTAATGAGGGTCGGGAAACAACACGAAAGACCCGCATCAACTCGGCGGGATGTCTGCGCAGGAGAGGGACGGCACAAGAAAAAAAAAACAGATATACAGAAGGAGGGGCACCAGTAAGGCACGAGATCGGACCTTCAGTACTGCAGTTCGGTTGACTCAGGGCCGTTCGTAGCAGAGGTAGGGGGGCCGGTCGACTCATCCAGGTCCCTAATCCCCAAATCTCACACGTGACAAGTGCTGAACTTTTCCCCTACAGAGGGAGAGATACCCCGCTATTAGCGTCAACTTGTGACACTAGACTACCTACTATGTACTATGTACTAGGTAGGTATGTAGGTATCTACTGTGAGCTCTGAGAGGAATGCTTAATAAGGAGGGGTTGCGGAGAGCCAGAGCTGGCGGATGAGCATAGATTAGGTAGCGCAGATTAGCAGATAAGTCCCTATCTCGATATATGCTTATAACGGGCAGGTATCTCTCTTCCCATTTCAGTCCATTTCAGTCCATTTCAGTCCCATTCTGGCAGTGATTTGATAGCTGCACGACATTCCCGACCTGTGCGAAATAGGCTGGTCCTTCACCAGAATCTGACCAGTAGCATTAGCGCAGATTAGCGGCACTAGCAGAAGCGACGAACCCTTGTTCGCTCCACAAAAAACGCTCCCAACTTGGTCAAGTGCCACACTCATTAACGCGTGTTACGGTCGCGTCTTGGGTCTTGGTCTTGGGTCATTCACCACCTCCCTCACCTCACTTTGAATTGGCTCGCAGGCGCGTTCTTGCTGACACAGACGGCCAGTGCCATGTCACAAATCCATCAACCGAACATCCACCATATCCATCATCGCCAAAGGGCATGTATTATGCAATTTCACACATCATAGGTCCTGATGCAATTGAGTAATGTCACTTACATCAATACCCTAGCCCGCGTCCCCTTTTTGACCAACATAGATCCGTCTACCCTCCCCTGCTCAGTTGCTCTCACCCAGCTCTGCTATTCGGTCAGCCCAAGTCTGGACCAGTGTTTTCGTCGCACGGCCTATACCGAGGAGTGTGCTCTGCTGCAAACTCTTGTTAGTTCTCTCTAAGTTAGCTGTCACTGCTTCCACACACAGAGACAGAAGCAAGAGAGGCATCGACGCAGCAGCAAAGACGCCGAACATACAGTCAGCATGCCCCCCCAACCAGCAGCGCCGGCAAAGTCTACCGAGCCTGGCATATATAGTGCCACATACAGTGGTGTAAGTCGTTATCCTCTGATCTATTCCTCGGAATCCTTGGTTTAACCCCCACCGCGAATCTTTAGATCCCCGTCTATGAGTTTCAGTTTGGCTCAGAGCTCAAGGAGCATGTAATGCGACGGCGATCCGACAATTGGATCAATGCTACTCATATTCTCAAGTGTGCTGGCTTCGATAAGCCTGCCCGAACTCGTATTCTCGAACGCGAAGTCCAGAAAGATGTACATGAAAAGATCCAGGGCGGCTACGGAAAATACCAAGGCACATGGATACCCTTAGAATCAGGGGAGCAGCTCGCCCGGAGGAATAATATCTACGACCGACTTCAGCCTATCTTCGAGTACACACCCGGTGGTGAAAGCCCGCCTCCTGCTCCTCGCCACACGAGCAAGCCCAAGGCACCTCGGAAACCCGCCGTACCCAAATGGAATAACAGTAAGCTCTTTATGAACACCTTGACCAGCTAGAACGTGGCTTTAACATAAACATGTCAGGCCTTCCACCGCCTCCGCAACAGCCGCCGAGAGAAGAATTTGAGACGCAGAGTCAACCGATCAACGAAGATGATACACCCGACAACATTACTATCGCTTCTATGTCTTACATGGCAGAAGACGACCGTCATGATCTATCCCACTTTTCGACGGGTCATCGCAAGAGGAACCGAGATGAGACTATCCAAGACCTTACGGAACAACAGCACTCCGTCTACGGTGACGAGCTGCTCGATTACTTTCTCCTTTCCCGCAATGAGGAGCCTACCTTCCGACCCGAACCTCCTCCAAACTTCCAACCTGACTGGTATATTGATTCCGAACGGCATAGCGCTCTCCACTGGGCCAGTGCCATGGGAGATGTCGATGTCATCAAGCAACTGAAGCGGTTTGGGGCAAATCTAGGAGCTCAAAATATCCGAGGCGAGACGCCTTTCATGCGGTCTGTTAATTTCACCAACTGTTATGAGAAGCAAACCTTTCCTGCGGTGATGAAAGAACTCTTCGAAACCATCGCCATCCGCGACGATACGGGTTGTACTGTGATCCATCATGCTGCGATCATGAAGAGTGGTCGTGTACAGAGCCAATCTTGTTCCCGGTATTACCTAGACAGTATCTTGAACAGGCTTCAAGAAACTCATGATGCCAATTATGTCCACCAGCTTTTAGACATACAAGACCAGAACGGTAACACGGCCTTACATCTAGCTGCGAAAGTGAAGGCAAGAAAATGTGTGCGTGCACTTCTTGGTCGGGGAGCTGCATCGGATATCCCTAACGTAGAGGGTGTTCGTGCTGATGAACTCATCAAAGAATTAAATGCAACCAGAAATACGAGAGAGCGGGCCCCACAACAACGGTCTTCATCACCGTTCGCTCCTGATTCTCAACGCCATGTTTCATTCCGCGATGCATTATCCGATTCTGTCACAAAACTTGCAGTGTCGTATAATTCGGACGCAGCTAATGCTATCCAGAACAAGATAACACCTTTAGTATTCGAGAAATTTCAAGATTTAGCTCGGAATTATGAAGAGGAATGGAAGGAAAAAGTCGAGGCTGAGAACGAGGCCCGTCGGTTATTAGGCAACACACAAAACGAACTGTCTGCTGTACGTCAGCACATCGCTGACTTGGAGGCTAGCCTAGAGGCACCAGAGGAGGCTGCGAAGGCGGTCAGCGATTCCGCTCTAGCACAAGAGCAAGTCCTATCTCTTCTAGCCAACCAGAGCCGGTACCATATACAAGCCTTTGTAGAGCAGAGCCTAGCCCTTATGAATGGGGACCAAGGTGAAGACTCGTATGAGGACAGGCTGAGGCTCGCCCACGAGCTCAACGAACTTCTCCAGAAGCAGAGGCAGGCAGAACTGGAATATGTTGTTGCCCTGGGCCAATCTGGCACAGGCGAGAAAATTGACAAGTACCGCCGCCTCTTGAAGCAGTGTCTAGACCGCCAAAGCGCGGAGAACCTCGACACAACCATTGATGACATAATCGACTTGATGGAGGAGGAGCGGAGCGAGGGAGCGGTACCGGGCCAAGGAGAGCCAATGATGTTATGTTAGGGCCATCATGCATCATCAAGGCCCTTGTACAGTTGTAACAAAGAAGTGTCTTGTTCATCATGTGCGGCAAACGATTACCACAATTAAGGTATGATTAGAGTATTGTGTTGTATATAATGGGCAGGGATAACCTCGGTTGAGGCATGTGCAGACCGGGCTATACTACCTGCCTACCTGCCTTATCTTTCGCAAGCGACAACGATTACCCAGGTAGACAAGAAAGAAAGAAAGCAAAGCAAACCCTATGAGATGATGATGATGATGATCCACAGTAGTTAGTTACAATGTGGTTACCAGCTAGCTGAAAGGATTAGGTGACCACAATGCTTATGGTATGTTAAATTAAATGACGTTGTCATATAAGTCACATGCTCTTGTCATTCATGTAATGAGGCTGACTACATGTATGTACGGTGCACGACATGGACCCTTTTTTTCTTCTTATTATGGTTACTTATCCAACTATATCTATATTTGTATTATCTCTTACGATGCACTTAGGTCAGGTGCTTTATAAAGGCGGTGAAAAAAAAAAAAAAAAAAAAAAAAGGCGCGCTGCACTACTCGAATAATCGAGTGACTAAATATGTACACGTAGGTAGAAGAGAGTGACGAGGCAAGTTTCCGTGAATGCGCACGTAAGTCTGAGATTGTTCGTAAATACGGTACGCAATGTCTACATGGTGGAGTTGGATAACGTATAACCTAGATATGTCTTCACCGACGCGGAGCGTAGTAATTGGAGGAGAATAAACGCCGAGACATTCATTATCGACATGACTTTATCTCATGATCCTACGGTAAACATATAGATAGAGTCGGTGGACATTAACCAACAAGCTACGATGCAAGCAACCTCGAGATTCTGCCCTCGGTCGGGTTTGATGTGAAATATGAGGCTCCCTTACTCACTTACTAACTAACTTACTATGTCAGATCTTGCGTTTGAAAACCTACCCAGGTTCTAGCAAGAGCTGACGGATGTATATGTAGTATGATCAGCAGAAGACTCTTTCATCGTTATACTGTAATTAGAGGCTTACTTTGCTTTACTGTAGCGAATTTACGACCTCCTCAATAGTATCTACTGCACGAGTTTCTATTAGCGTTTCTTATGAGTGATCTCCGTTTAGCGGTGTGTATCGCAGCTCAAAGGTATCGTGACATACAGACAGGGTGCTGTCTCAAATGAACTCAACTGCTGACATCGTCTTGATAACATGGCTTGGGGGACGATCCAGAAGCGTAAGACGATCAGCTCTGCTACCGATGAGGCGAAGAGGATTTCCACTCCTTGCGAAGTAAATGAGTCATATCCGTCAGAGCAGATGATCTTGAAGTTCGTAAGAAGGTATGTATCTGGATATTTCTCCGCAGTGGCGCAGATATATCTCGCGATTGGAGCTCAGTATTAGAATTCCGCTACCGTCGCCAACCACGAAGGGGATCGAAGGCATGTTTGTGCGAACTCTATAATTCGAAGTCTTCGGCAAGAGTTTCCTTACGAGGAATCCTAACCTAGTAGAACGAAGTAGCTTAGTCTTGCTATATCATATGTCCACACATATATTTAAGGCCCGGTAGTATTGAATGCGGGTTCCTCACATAGCAGTCTAGTTCATGTAAACGGACAGAGTTAGATGAGAATAGGAAAGCCGAGAAGAAGCAAAACGAAGTGGCTACCGTAGGGAATCGGACCCCGAGTGTCAAACCGTAAACCTTTGGAGAGACTACATCAGCCCGGCCAATAGTCCAACACCTTAGTTATCATCATAACCTTACCTAGTATCTTGCTGATCGTAAGTCAAGTCTAGTCGATGGTGAGAGACTTCAATCATGTTTCGATATATGTTTAAACTTTCCTGAGTCACAGATGAGCGAGTACCTTGATATCGCGACAGTCTGGCGATTCTATTCCCTGAGGAGAGTCCTTACCTACGGTACCCATGAATGTACGACCATATCATTATGGAATGCTGACGCGGACGGTCAGCCATACAGGGGGGATGCTAGCGAAGACAGTCTTTTACCATTTCGACGGTTAGTGTTGTCGGCGACTATGGACAATGAAGGGTGTAAGCGAGATCATACAATGTCCGGTACATTCGGCTTCTGAAAATTTGGATAGTTTCCGGGCATGCATCAGCAGTGATATTGACCCTGACTCAGCGTCCCCGGCAAAGATCGCTACCTCTGGCGCAAGGAAAGAGGTAAAGGGTCAGATGAATTCAACTGATAAAGCCGTTGGATGGGACCTCGGTAGGTCAAGGTTCGAGCGCTCGTCAGAGATCTCCGTGGATTTGTCAGGAATAGATCACAACGGCGTAGCAGCAAACGCCGGAGAAAACTCGCAAGGCAACAACCAAATCCCCCTCTCTTGGCGAATGATATAAGCAGAATGAATTGTTGGCTGTTTCTCTGGCACAGCAAGATGATGGCAGACACTGACAGTCATACGACGCTGACATACTAAAGGGTCGGCTGCCATCGCTAACTAAGAATTAATTAACAATGGAGACAATAGAGTAGACTCCTAGACATGTAGATGAGATGTCCGTTGACCTAGAAACAAGTCATTATCAGACCGCAGCGTGATGGGAGTAGTCCATGATCGCACATCGGATTTGCTCCCGAAGGATTTGACCTGTGCGGTCTACACAAATTCTTCCTGGTGGTCAACACAGCTGTCTTCATGAGGTGGCAGCTCCATAAGCATTTGCGACTTGACAGGCCAACAGTTATAGTGAATCCTTAGCCACCAATGTTAGGACGTGGATGGTACAGCGTTGGGGAAAAAGAGAGAGGGAAAAAAATTATTTAACAGAGTGCGTATCATTTGTCATGATGAAACGGTTCTCGTGACGAAATTGGGTTGCAATATTCGCTCGTTCAATGAAACGGTAACAGTAGACAACATGCTTATGGCACTTTACCGCCTCAAATCGCGCCCGACAGACGTAGCACTGGGAAGCACTAGCGTTCATCCATCGGTCGAATTATCAGTAAATCATTGCCTGTCGAATCAGATCTAGGTCGTTGGAACTTTTTATTGACTATCACCACAGGCATCGTATTGGGATGATGTGGATCAGCAAGCGCTAGACGGGACTTCAACAACGCGACAAAGTGCTAGGTACGTCGCGGTTGGATTGGATAAAGCGATACCTAGCGCGATCTGCAGGTTACAAATACTAGTATACCAACAAGGGGTGGTTGGGGCTCAGATCTCGTAGGGCTGAAAGCGCATCACGAAGATAGTAAGGTCCTGGACGATCATTGGCAGGCTCTCACTGTTACCGTGACATTCGTCAGCGCTGTCGAGTACTGTAGTCTGTAGCGTGGATAACTACACTAAACCGTGGGAGCCACGTCAGTCCGTCAGCGTTGGGGGCGCAAATAGATACCTACTGTATTGTGGCCACGCGCAGTAAGGACTAGTACCTATTGCTGATGATGCTCGAGTATCTATGACACAGCAACGTGCTGAAGGAGGGGTCGACAACTAATCAGATATCGTACCAGTGTCCTGGTGGTTTTCGTGTCGTTCAATAGAGTTGGCTTGGCACTAGCAGAGAAACAAGCTAATCCCGAGCAACTGACAGTTGCTGGTAGCATTGCAGGTAAAATCTATCGCAAATCGTGATCCGTGGCGCTGGCCGCTAGGTGGGTTTGGGGGAAACAAACTACACGTCGAAACTATCTTTTCCTACCCACCATCAGCTGATAATTCACGGTTCTCAATGTCAATCACCAATGGGCCCACGACCGACGAAAGGCAAGTCAGACCAACTATTGGAGGAGACATGGAGGCGCAGTCGTGAAGATCTCGCTAGTGAGAAGCCAAGTTGAGTGTCACCGACCATAACCAAGCTTCTTCGTCTGGGCCTACATATCTCAGATACGGTACCCTGTATCCGTTGTGGCCATTAGATCGATTACCGCCCACATGTACACTAGATATAAACGATACCTACGCATACGGTACGGTAGACAGCTCAGGTAAAAGGCAACCAGTGTATGCGGGTGCTAAAATGAAGGATACACATACATCTATACCTACACGTAGGCCTTACCTATAGTATGTAGGTAAAGTACCTACTCCCCATATTGAGTACCTAGTATGCATGGCGTTCTGCCCCAAGATCCACAAGCCTTTGATGCGAGATGATGCGGTTGGCGCTCCAACACCCGGCTGACTACCGGCTGCCGGCTTTTATTGCGACAAGCCGTGAGTACTGAAATGGTTAAAGCTCTGGCCCTTTTCCCACTTACTGTACCTGTGTGGGTAGGTCTCTTCGTTGGCGTCTAGTCTAGCTTAGCGTTGGACAGCAGAGGGAGAAGGGAGGAGAGGATATCTATTTTCATCAAGCCCCCAAGTTTGATCGCCACCTATCGTCACCAACGGGCTCCTTCATCGCACCTGTCGGCAGGCATCGTTACTTCGAGAAGCGGTGAAGAGGAGGAGATAGCATAAGTTGACCTCGTCCACCAATGAGAATGGTCTTATGTCGCGCGGCGAGGACACTTGGAAGCGATGAATTATCATTTGGCGGCTTGTTGTTACGAAACATGGTTACGGGCGAGTCTCAGTGTCCTTGGTTTTGGGCACAATGCTGTTGATAGGTACATACACTAATGCCGTCAGTCAGATAAAGGACTCAGGGATTGCACTAATGTAGATATACGGTTACATGTGCCCACCAGCACGGCCAGATGCGTGACATCGGCTGTTAATTCTGCGTCTCGCGCGATGTTTGCGGCTTCTAATTTGTCGGGACGGCCGCGGGCTGCGCTGCGAGCCGCAGTCGGGACATTGGCCAAGTCGGCATCGGAAGGAGGACGATAGAGGCCATCAAGCCATCAAGCCATCAAGCGATTGTTAAGGATGGATGGCCTGATGAAGGATTTTTGTGCTGTGTTCTGTGCGCCATTGGGTTCCAGCGGCGGCTACAATCTGCAACTTGGAGAAGTGCCATGCGGACGCATGTGCATTATCACTGCAGCTTTACCCTTCGTAGAAGCTGGGGAAGGTGCATTTGCCATTTGCCAGTACTGTAAGGCTGAAGTGAAAGCCGTGAAACGTGCAGCTACCGGTACACCTACCGGTACACCGTGACCCTCTCTCGCGAAGTCTGGCGTCGTATAACTACCTACCTAAGTATCTAACTTATCGCCATGATGATATCTTCATGTTTCAGGAACAACTACCTAGGTATCGAGCGTCTATGTTAATGCGACGATGGGCTCATCTTCATCTTCATATGCAATAGGGAGTCTGCTGCCCGCTGTCTATACCTACTATAGTCCATAGGTAGGTACCCTATATCTCTGTGCAGCCACCAGTATCTAAGTAGTGTACTATGTACTTCCATGTTGTCCGCATTGCCGGTACTTGCCAGGTAGGGGCACTCACCTACCGATGTGGGCAAGTACAGCAGATAGGGCTACATTACGGGGGTCGGGCGGAGGGGAGGGCTCCTACTTGGGAGGGTTCGGTAATTGGACTGATCCTCTAGGCTGTCTACCTACTTTGAATGTACCTACATCTGTACCTACATCTGTACTCAGGGAGACACTGAAGATAAAGTACTTGTACCTTCCTTGAGCTCGGCAGTAGTACATAGATACACCGATTTGCGGGTTTGGTTATTTGCCGTACTAAGTATGTCAGGCTTGGGGAATTAAGGCGTCCTCGCTTGGCGCAGCAGACTTAAAGTAGGCAGGTAATTTGATAATTGAAGTTGCCTCACGATGGGCCTCTCGCTCCTGCCAGACAGATACCAGACTCCTACACAGGTGGAAAGTTGCTAATTTGTGAATGATCTTCGCCAAACCTGCCTATCAATATACCGTGAAGCCTGCTGTGTTGAGGCAGCACACAGGCATCGCCATTGGTTGCCCACATGAGTTCAGCTGACGGTGATCAGCGGCATCCTCTCAAGACCCTGAATCCTTCCGCCCTTCACTTTTCCCCTCTCGACGTTACGACCAGACAGGTTAGCTACGCATGTTGGGTATGATAGTCTACCTGCAACAGCGTTCACTACGTAGATAGAAGCGTGTGTATCTCCTATCCGGCTCCCAGATGCTTACCTATCTAGGCAACAAGGGACCTATTGAGCCTGGTCAGCACGAGATGAATGCCTCCGCATTACCTACATACGTACTACATATATTGGTCCTCACTCTTTCCCCCATCTTGTTTGTCGTAAGTATACGCGCGACTGTCCGTTTCCACGGAACACACCATCCTTCGGAATCCGATACCACGGCATTCCGGTCTACATCAGGTTGATGGATGTCTGAGCCCATGATATGCATACGTAAGTAGGTAGGTGAGTTGGTAACTTGGACCATCTCCGCATTCTGGGCGTGGGATACCTACTCGCCAGATTCGCCAAGCTTTCTCTTCATGTAAGCTAGTTGACGAAATCCAACTTTGGGGCTTTGTTGGCGCACGTATCAGCTCCCGATAAACGCTCTTGCATGATCTAGCTACTACTGTTTGATTGTCGACAGTAAGTAAATAGTACATGCTTAGTGTAAGCCACGGTAGCAGATGTTGCTCAATGGTAGCCATTATCCAGCACGCCCCCCAAGCGATCATCAGCGGCGACGTCGTCGTCGCTATCGCTAGTACCCAATTATACGAAGTAACTGAGCTGGAACCGCTCTGGTGGGTAGCATGTATGACATCCGACTGTTACAGTGCAAGTCATAACATCCGGTCATTTGGTATCGGATCATGGCGCCTCAGCTGGTCTGACCTTCTCTATTCCCCTATTCAAGCGAGTGGCGTGGATTTGCCGATCCAGTCAAGCATGGTAGCGCAAAAGGACCACGCCTCTAGGCGCGCTGCTTGTGTTCAGGGTTGGGAGGTGGAAAGAGACAGACTTGTGCATATGGATCCTGTTCAGATCTCGCATCTTCTTCCCCCTCCTTTCCCCCCCTGATACGTCATCCACAATATCCTGTAGGGCAGAGCCACGGGATACGATATCCTACGTTGCGCTAGGCACGATAGGGGAGGGCCAGCGGTAGGTACGCATGTTACGACATTGGTGGCCTCACTTCCTTGTCAACCTGCCCACTCTCAGCCTCTTGTATCACAACTTCGCACTGCTGTAACGAGCGCAGACACGTACCAGTGAAGCGACCGACGAGATGCCACACGAGGCCGCTTGACGCTCCCATGCCGACGCCTTTGTGTGGTATCGTCTGAGTTATCTAGTTTCCACTGTGATCCTTTACGATGACCCGGCTCCCGCTTGGCTAGGCTAGACCACTTTTGCATTTCTGCATCTCTCCACAATTTAACCATGTCAGCTGCAATGTAACCCTGAATTGCCTCCTTGGGCCAAGAGCAAACACGACGAGCCAGGATTGTGTTGTTGTTGTTGGTTGGTTGGCTAAAGGTGTGGTTATGGCTACCTTATTGTGACGATGGGTGTCGTCTTGTTTGTTGTTGCTGTTTTCTGCTACCTACAATTAGTTGCCTTGGTCATCACAGGTCCGCTATCCATCTCTCTCCATGCTTAGCTGACTTGATCACCCCCACCACCCGAAATCATTCTAGGCTAAAGGTATTTACAGTACTTGTCAAAGACTAATGTCTCTGAGGAATTATTGAGCCCGCTGCCGGCTGACTAGAACGGCCTGCTGTTGATGTGGTCCCTTACCATCTTTATGCGTTGGTGACCTAATGCTTATTCCTCGTTCAGTCTCGTCTAGTCACTTTACTATTAATTTCCGAACGACGAGGATGTCCATGTCGTGTTCCTTTATAAGCGCTTTTGGCTTGTCATCAGTCAACCACACAACGCCCAGCCCGCGCTTATAGTTCGCATCAATCGCGGCGTCTCTTTGTGATTATCAATCCAATGATAGCCGCCATTCACTATGTACCAGTACCAGTCATGGCTGCGTGGGCTAGTGCTGCCCGTTGAGGCTGACTGAGGATGACAGGCCCTGCAGGGTGAGTCGCGGAAAACGCCAAACCCACAACCTCTCCACTCGAATCCACATCCCTACTCGAGCTTGTCGAGGGTCCCAGGCCACTTGGGCCTTGCTCCGGCTTTGCTTGGGCCTCGTACTTCGGGATTGACTAGGTACGATAGCCAGAGCCTTTCGTCGGCCGTCTAGTGTAGGTAGGTAATCACTCCGGTCGTGGCCATGGGCTGGCCATGGATCCGGCACATCTTCAAATAAATGCTTAGTCGCCCTACATGATGCTCATGGTCCTCCCCGTTCTCTCTCGTCTATCCCTCGATTCATATTGCCGAGCAGGCTCTGAGACGAGAAGGGATCGGGTAAAGTGCCCATATTACAATATCGATTGGGGCCAGATCTAGGACTCTTTGCTCAGCTAAGATTATGTTTCCTCTTTCTCACTAGAAAGCCTCGGAAGTCACCTGGTCTATCCGTGCTACCCCACGGCGATACACTTGTCAGCCAAGCTGTACGTGTTGGTTCAGTCCTAGCCGCGAAGTGACAATAACGCTCCCTTACGCCACACATTTACATCAGCTTTCCTCCAATTCCTGCAAGTCCGGCCCTCGTCCACCTACGTAGGTCTACGCCTCTTCCGAGGTGTCGTTGCACTGCTTCCCGCGGATCAACCCCCCTTGCTCGGCCCCCCCTCTCAAAGCTCTTTGATCGACGAATTAGCCCGTCATTCCCGATCTGTGGTCCTAGTTCCGACCACGCGCGTCGAGCTTCAAAACATTGTACCAGTTTCCCGAAAAAGCAAGATGCCCGCTGTGTCTTTCCCTGTGCAACAAAATCATAATATTGTTTGCGCCGGGTTCATCCATCTTGAACGGGCACAGTTCCTACTCACTTTCGCCGCTGCCATCGTGGCGCCCATTGCTGTTCTGGCGTTGGTAGTGTCTTTTAGCAGAAAGTATAAAGACACCGCCCTGTCCCGTTCGTTTTGCAAACGCCCTACCAGGACAGCAGGATCGCGTTACTTGAAGCAGTCACGTGAATTCAATACAGTGAGGATCATCATGTCCCCCAGCAGAAAATCAGATGTTTCTTCCCTGGGGACTCATAGGACTATTGAGAAAGATGTCCTTGGTGGCAGGCGTGATGAGCCTCGAGGTTCTAGTGGCAGACAACGATACTGGGAAGAATCAGGGGCTTTGAAGGCTAAGGCAGACGAAAGACGAAACCCCAAGAATCGGCCTCCTCCAGCAATGCCTCTCACTCCACCTGACGCAGCTACCACCATTTTTACTTTCCAGGATCGTCGATTAAGTGTGGCAGCATCTACTCATAACGACTTTGATCCAGCCCTTCCTAGCTTGGATATAGATTCACCCGAGTCAACAAGTACCTTGGACGCCAATACTTCATCTCCGATATCACCACATAGGTCTTATACTACGGCAGCTTCTCTCGATCCTCACCAACCGAGCTCTTCAACAGGGGTAAGATTTGAGGACACCCTTTCAACATTCGCCCCTAGTTCATTCCCGTCGTCTAGTCCGATCTTACCTCTAGCGCCACACACGGCACTTCATTTACATGGGAACGACGTCACAGATGAGACGAACTCGGTGACGGACGACTCAGGGGCCGACTGGAAGCGCCACACTCGCGTGTACGGCGGAGGCGTATGTCTGGCGTGCCTAGCATCAGGTGGCGACGACGGGGGTTTCTACGGCGAGAATGTGCCCTTGGACCAGCGACGGTAACACACACTGTTCTCGCTGCGAATCTAGAATCCTGGTCTCAGGTTAGGATCGACTAGTAAGGCACGGATAGAGGGCTGTTGGGATTACGCCCACAAGGCCACACAGCCCACGATCCCCCTGTCTTGTGCCTGGGGAGACAATAAACGCCGAGGCTTCGTCGTTAACTGGCGAATGACTGGAGAGAATCAATGGCGAATTTGCCTGGACACTAGAATAGGCAATCAGCCTCATCCTACCCCCACTTCAGGGCATATCGCCGACAGTCCCCGAACTTCCGAACTATCTCGAGTTTACGGGAGTGATATAGCTCGGAGTTGAGCGAGTGTAATGGTTTGGTAGACTGGTTATGTAAGCACTGCTTGCGTGGGTTCAAATCCTGCATGAATTTTTTTGGAGTATGATCTCGGGACGGCGGGTTCCGGATTTTGTTTCGTCCATTTCTTCGTCCCTCTTTTGCGTTTATTACTCACGTCATCATCAAATAGCCTGGCGAAGTTTAGGTCCGCCACCTGTGCATATATGTATGGTTGTTATGATTTACGAACGATTTAACGATGTTTCTTTTCTTAGCATGAGAGTTGATCTATATGTGCTGTCTTCCATCGTGTTCTCCGTCTATTCTTCCAACAGAGAATGCGTGGCGTCGGCCTTGCCGATCAACACTAGCGATAAACGCTATTATGTTGGCAATCCTACGATATTTTGCGAAGAGTGTGGAATCATGCTCAAAGCCCAATAGCAAGCATATCGTCATGCGCAATGGCAATAGAACGGAAATGGCAGCGTTCACTTCACTATTACTACAAAACGCTTCCGAGTTAGATATTACGGCAATAGAGATATGACACTATGTAAACCGCGGGCTCTTCGGGCCATTACCAGGATAATTATTGAAGCCTTGCCGGCCGAGGAGAAAAGTCGGCCAGACTTTGACAGGTTGTGGAAATCCACGAAAGATCCCACATACAGCCCCGAACCCCCGTTTAAGTAAGGCCATGGGGAACCAACAATGCTTGGCGCGCGAAGGAGCTGGAGCAAAGAGCGAGTGAATCCACTCTTAAGGCTGCTGCTGACTGCCCAATTTGTCAATCCTCGTAAACAAGCGTGTGTGCGCGCACAGGGGCATCGTACAGTACGTACTAGCAGGAGATAGCTATCATAGATAGCAGGGCTATATCATATATGGCATGTTGGTCTAGCGAAGGACTCGTGAAGGACTCAACGCAAATACTCTTATATTGGCATCCGGACCTTCTCCTTTGGTAGATATAGTACTCTGCTTCGGTGTCTTCGTACCACGTAGGTCATAAGATAGAAGGGTATAAGCTACATCACACTTCGCTCTCCTGTATATAAGTAGTCACCGAAATGCCAGGAGTCGACTAACCCCTGGCGGCTTTTCAAAGCTTTTGTAAGCAAGCTTTATCGCTTGAAAGGGAAAGCAATACAGATTAGGCAAAGTATATTACAACGTATCTACCTACCGGGGTATCTTAGCATTAAGGGACATGGCTGCATCAATATCAGACAATGGCCATTTCAGACATATTGCCCGGTTATCCTCTAGACATCTAGAGCACAGGATGCTATGCTAGATACATACTTACTAGTTGAGTATCATGTAAGAAAACGCCACTGAGTGATTTTTTAAACCCTGAATCATAAATATGCCAATTCTCGCATGATATTACCAACACCAGACTACGCTACTGCCAACGCTATTTAATATACCCAGGCAAGCATCCCGTATCCTTGACGGGTACCTTACTTGGTAGGGCATGTGCAGAACAAGGGGTCCAACACATGCCAGTAAATTCTTGGCAGGATGGCACTGACCAATAAGGGGTCAATCGCAAAGAGAAGAGGCGAGCGAAAAGGAAATGCCCTTGTTCTTTCATGTTATACCTAACTTATCAGTGATCACCCTCGTCTAACGCCCCGCAGAGTACGACAAGCAACGGATAGGTTTCCGTGAAATGCGATTCCCAGCAAGACAAGCAAGCAAAGCGAATATTCTACTATATTGCATGCCGAATCCCGAGACGGACTAGGCTCTACTTAGGGAAGTAGGTTAGCATTGGCCAGACATGGTATATACGCCGTATAACATGATGTAGATAGCAATGCCGACGAGCCTGGGGATTGTAGGACCTACATACATACCTACATCTCCTAGCATTTGTAGACAGAGGCACCTGATCTAATGCAGGTATATAAGTAAGTAATACCTAGTGGATGTCATATGCTATGTACGTAGTAAATGCATCCTGCAAGCACATGCACCTCCCGTTTAAAGCGACCGGAGGGCCCTCCGCGAGTCCTAGTCCCCGGGATATCGTACCGAGGATGACGTACGTACATATCATAATCATCGAAGAGTCAATAAGTAAATTATAGGTAATTTTAACATCACGAAGTAGGAAAATGCGTATGCGCCGTGTAGAATAGCAACTCGCTCTCTTTATCTTAAGATGTTCATCATATAGGTATGCAAATACGCATGTCCCGGAACGCCACCCCCGGAATACGTCCTATTAACAACCACGGAATCAAGTATATCCGTCATAGTTGGGGCCCGAGTCTCACGCTGCGCGAAAGCGGATGCGAGAGCGCGGAATGACGCATACGTCACGGTACAGTAAGGCCATGTGTCTATTCCTACTGCAAGTCTCTTGCTTGATTGCGCTTCCGAGACTAGACAGTAGCAGCGGCGCGGAATGCCTCATAGTAGGCAGTTGTTACGTTAGTGATCTGTTGATACAGCATTCGCCCGACGCCGCAGAAAGTAAGGATATGTATCTATCCGCGGCTCACGCCCGACACCATCCACTCCCCTTTAGGCATGAAGCTTCCTCCTTGCTGTGCAGTATGGGGGAGAGGAACTACTCTTCTTACTAGAGGAAGAGCTGCTGACCTGTAACTAGTTCTAAATGGAGGAGGAATAAGCTTTAAGGCCCCGGCTATCTACTCCTTTTCGACCAGAAGTCATCATTGTATTGTTCTGCCGTTCCTGTGTAATAAGCCAGAATTGTTAGATCTTCAAATTTGAAGATGTCGACAATTGCCGAATCCTGCCGTCAAAAATCGAGACCTTGATATCATTGGTGATACATCGCCGCTCAGCAAGAGACGTCGATCGTCCAACATCAGACTTGGCAAACGACTATGACATCGTGGATCAGAACCTGGTTCCTATACCTACAAAATATCCTTGGAGGATATAGCTCTCTTGGGTCAACCAATGGAGAATGCAAAGCGGCATGAAATCGAGACGATACCAAGAGAAAACTCATATACGGGAATACACACTAATTATCCCTCCGATAACATGCAGCGCCTTGTGTGTTGGCGCAGTTTCAAAGAGGCCGATATACCAAGAGACCAAAAACCGGGTTGGTCAGAATTGATACTCTGGGCTCTCCATGGTGTAGTAGAGCAACTATATCTGTTTTACATCTTTGATATACTTGGCCCTTAGCTGTATATTGGCTATATAGGTATGCCTTGACTACATCCCAGTTATGGTTTGATTATACCCTTATTACGGTGTGGTTGCTCGGTGGTATGGGCAGTGTTTATCTTGGTTATAACTTTCAGACTGAATATCAACAAGACTCGTGCTGAATCCTTAATTTATGTGCTAGGCTAATATTCAAGGCTCCGGAATAGACTACACCATTGCAATTTTATGAACACAAGTCCAGAAATGACTGATATCGAAGGATATGTGCTCGGACATGCGGACCAAGGGACTTGATAACGTGGGCTCGGGCACATGACCTTACGCTCGAATATTGCTCTATAGGGTTAACTATGGAGGAGTAAATTGATCAAACTTGCCATGGGGAGTTCAGCAAGGAAAATCAACTCAACTTTTTCCTCCAAGTCTATCACACGCAGTTGTACATGCCTATGCGGTCGGGCAGTTAGTACTTTAGCTTGCCGCTGCACTCCTCAAGCATGCTCAGTAGACCTCGAGGGCTCCTGTTCTGCAACGGTAAATGGTTAGGCTAGGTAGTGTTCAATGTAGAGGAAGGCGGTTTTATGACAGTAGATGAAATGTGAAGGGGTATATTGATCATTGACAACAAGCTCCTGGGTAATATGAATACCAGCGTTTAGAGGAATGCTCATAGTATGCTAATATCACTTGATCTAGGTTTGGGGCTTACAAGTCATCATGTTATCATTCAGAATCCTTAACTGTGAGACTTTGTGTTGGCAGCTACGGCCGTGGATATGTGTATATATCTATGGTAGCTATATGGATCACCCTATCACCTCTACAGCTACAATACAAGGAGGCGACCATTCTATAACACTCTGATCAGATGAAGGTGGTGGCCGATACTAAGCTATTCTTCCATCCGATTAAGCTAAGAAGAATGATGCTCGTGGACTCGCTATCTCGGTCAGGGTTAATGGTTCGTCCTGTAATGCTCCTAGTAAAAAGCGATCCGCCACACGTGATGAAAATTTGGGTCGAGCATCCTCGATAACCCGAAGACACATATCTCCACCGACAAGCAGGAGTGGAAATGGCGAGGAATGAAGTCCAAAATCCCAGAGAAACGAATAACGGCCACCTACTATATTGACCTCGTGCCACAGTTGTTTCAGAAGTTTAGGCGATGGATGATTAGAGATGAGAATATATATATATCAGCCTATTTGGTATCGCAATGCTCAGCCTAGTGGTGGCCTACGTGGATTTACGGGCAAGGCGCAAAAGAGGCTGAGAGACGGGTGGATGGGAAATCTGTCTGTAACGCACCATGACTCGCCTTCATAGATTTTGGTATTCAGCACAGGAGTCTCTAAGCCACCTATATAATGAAGCGTGTAGAATGTTCTTCAAATCAACACATGTGGCCGATATATATCATATGACTTAATAGTGCACCCGGCGCCGTTATCGTGTTTATGGTACATATACTGACATTCCTGAACTAGAAATCTGTCAACTTGACAGGAGTGTGAAGGAGCGAGCGCATGGAAAGGCATAATTCCATCGTTACATCACTCACTACCTTGCGGTTTCACATTGCTTATTGCGAGTGTAGTCTGCGCAAATAAGCTGATACAACGAAGTTCATGCGAGCTTAGTTTTTAAAGTAGCAAACAAGAGATATGAAATACGAGGGACATGTAAAACTAGGCCTCTGTACGTAGATGGTGATATATGCCAAGTAGTCAACCTCAAAGGCAAGAAACCAATTATTAGCGAGGCAGTCAGGCTTCACAAGGGAGATTGACAGCTACATGTCATTGAGTGTTTGAGCAAACTTGAAATCAACGATGATCTATCAATGCATGTGCTGGCTCAATTTGTATGCATAGGAGTGTTACTCATTTACTTCTTCTTCACCTTGTCAGCTAGTTCTACGACATCCTATTCGTGCTCTAGTTACCAAGATCTAGAGCATGCTGTGTGCTCGCAGTTTAACCTCACTGTAGTATCTCACTCGAGTCTACATAAGAATAACTAGGAAAGTAACCCCAAAGGTACATGGCAGACCTTCGGGGATGGAGCCGCTGTCACCCCAGCCAATGTCGTGCGATGATGGTAACATCCGACGCGGAGAGACATGTCTCACATATTGACAGATGGGAATAGTCATCTAGGCCGGTATCGGTTGGACGAAGCACCTCGACTTAACTGAGGCGTTGATCTATTGGCTGATTATAATTCAGCTAGGTAGGTACTACATTCAGCACGACTGGTTGAACAACATTAACATAGATGACAACGTCACATGCTCGATACAAACTACTGAAAGAGAATAAGGCCAACGCCGGCTGAGTTGTATATATGTATGTACACCGGTAATATCTCAAGGTAAAGGGGAAGGGGATGAATGAGAAAAGGGCACGGCGGCCGGCTACGGGGCAAATGGATGACCGGCTTTCACCGGCGGCACGTCTTGCGGAGCACGTTGTTGAATGGACACCCGATTACGCCGCCGGGCTCGCGGGGTCTGCCTATCTGTCAATTGAGTTATTATGCTTGAACTTGAGGGAATCGCCATTGACCAACAGCCCCAAGAGATGGCACCTTGATCATGGAGGCAACACGGCGTCGTCAGTGGCGAGGCATTACTATGTAGCTACGTGACCAACATACTTCTCGTACGTAAGTTGCTAACACTACAACACGCATATGCACTACGATAGACTAGAGATGATACAGCAGCAAATGAGAGGGAAAAGAAGGCTTCTGACGGCTGTGAATGGTCTCGCATCCAGCATGTAGGATTTTCGTAGTGTGGGGGAAGAGGGATAGTGTTGCGCCTTTGCCGGATTCTATACGGTGTAGATACTATCGACCACTCAGCGGTTCGCCTCTCTAAAAGTAGCATATACCGGTATGTACCTACCTAGAGACGTACTGTAAATGGCACTGTAAGTACCTACCTACCTATTTCAATACAGCACCGCTAGTCAGCGAACGGCGCTTAACAGCGAATCAGAGCAGTGAAAGGCGTGCTAAGCGCCATCTATGATTAGCCATGTTCGTCCGGTTTGCCCTTTGCGATTGCAGCCCATGAGCACTGCAGATCAGCTGCAGTCGTGCGACACAAATACATGCGCAGCCGAAGGGTTACTTCCAAGGAGTTTTTGCCAAGCTGCAGCAATCTGTACCTACCATTGGGGCCCCCTTTGGTCGAGAAGCTGTGCGGTGCGCTCGGTTTCGGTGGCTATCCTGAAGCTCAGGTCGACGTCGCCTTGACACGGTACCTAGCTTGTTAGCTTTCGTGGAGACAGGCCTTGTGTTCGATGCGCACTACCGGTAGGTAGGCACATACGAAGTAGTACACTGCCTGACAGACTGGCATCGTTTTCTTTAACGGTATGTACCTACTCTGTACACGCCTGACTGCTCTAGGACTGGCTAGCCCTACAATTTCGGGGATTTATCAGCAGGTACCAGCCTGGGAATGTTGTGCAATAGGTACATATGTACTTATCCTACCTCGCCTACTTATCCGCAGGCTGCAAGCTGACCTGCCGTGTACACTAATGTACTTATATATAATTGTGCATTTCCCGAGACTGGCAAAGATCAACTTGATCGACTTGGTGCGATACAAGATAGTCTAGACTTGCCACGGCGAAAACAAGGAAGAGGCGAACGACTGTGAATCTTAAGTGAACTAAAGGGCAACAGAACCCGAACACCAACTCTGTTGTTACTGATCCCGTCTCTTAACAGCTAAGTACTCTACCTCGTCGAGCTCGTCTACCTTCGTTACGCAAACCACCGAGGTAGGTATTTGGATACTGGGTGTATGGCAGGGTACAGTGGCTGGAGGCAGGGGGGTTTCCAGGGTTTAGATTCAGGCACCGCTGCCCTGTTCCCCTGGCACTCTTGGCATACAAGCAAAACGCCTACCGAAAGAAGACAAATGCTTCAGTCATGGAGCAGATACAGTCGCGCGAGATACTCATTACCTACTTATTAACGCATATACATAGCGATAGAATCTCCACGGTTCCAAGCCTATTGCTTTTATGTATATGTCCCACTTGCAATATAGTAGGTATATTCGCGTTGAATATATTCAAGACTGTTACAGTAGGTATAGGGCTGGGTAGGTAGGTTCGGTTACATTTCAGGGCTGATTTGAATGCCAAAGTTTCAGCCCGTCTTTAAGAAAGGAACCTGAAACACTGCCAATGGGTGAAGATTCCGCACAGACATTCCATAACATGGACAGGCATACTTAACACGATACATTAAGTGTACTACCTACTGTTATGAACAGATGATAGCTACCATTTGCTGTGAACCTTTTAGCCTTTCCACTTACTATGATCTACTGGTATGTACACGTGTGCATCTTACACGACAGAACATACATAAGTAGGTACGCGTACAGATGCTCACTACTCACACGTACCACAGCACACATAACTACCTAGCCATGCATGTCTACATGTAGGTAATACATGTATAGAGGCTACTTACCTGGGTAACTCCCTAATGTACATGTAAGTAATGTTTTAGCTCTAGATGATCACAGCTAGTCGATTGGATAGCAAGTTATTCCTATATGCAGTGTAGACCTGCAAGTTGGCTCGTGGTGATCAACCGCTTGCAAAGTTGGTTAGGTATTAAACCTTGAACAACAGATATGCTTAGTAGCAGGGTATTATCGAAAGCTTCGATGGAAGCTTCCATGTGTCGAATCTAAAATCACCAGACATTGCCACGTACAGGGGGACGGAATAAGTAGAAAAGTTGAATCTTCTAACTTCAGTATCTGTTCAGTAATATCTACTTACAGTAAGTATGGGGACAACGACTCCTCGCCGAAAAAAAATATTAAAAGGTCGGGTGATCATCTCAACACGTGTGGTGTATTATGCTATGCTATGCCCTACTAGTAGTACTGTATGGACTGTAGTGCAGCCCCTTGTCCCAACTTTGATATTAGTACACCCTATAAGAAACGGTCACTTTGTATATATAGGTTCGTATAGGTGTACTAGAGTTACATAAGGAAGAAGATCTAAGCTATGTATAGCGGGATATTAAAGAGGTATTTATCCTATATAAATATAGTGTATAGGTGATATAAACCATGTTCTCGCTTATATTGAATATATCCTAGCCCTAATAGGGCATATATTTAGCCTATAATCTTTACTTAATATTAGTAGTAATATAGTT